AGGAACCGGGCTGAAGCCGTTGGTTTAACCATAGTATGGTCATGAGGGTGGCCCGGTTTGGCTAGTCGTAGTGGTTCAGACCACTGTTTACGGCCTTTGTTGAAGTGGATCAGCTCTGACTTGGCCCCATTGAATTCCATTCCGTAGGATCTAGCCCACTGTAGGCATGTAGCCCAGGCTTGTTCCAGTTGCCGGCAGTTGATATAGGGGTCCCTTCCAAAGGCTAGGATGTTGGTGTCGTCTGCGAATCCCACTAAGCTGACTAGAGGGTGCTTTTCCTTTAGTACTTTATATAGCGAGGCTATATATAGTATAAAGAGGATTGGTGATAGTGGTGATTCTTGTGGCACTCCAGCTCGGATGTCGATTTCCGGGGCAAGTTGGCCGTCGAATAGGAGTTGGAGAATATATATATACTTTGCTTCGAACGCTAGGTGTCCCTGGTACTCTATTAGGATCTTTGCTACTTCTATATTCTTTTTAGTACTTTGGTAATATGCGAACTTGTTTCCTACTATGATTCTAGCTACTTTCTTCTAGGTGACCTAATCCTAAAGTTCGAGTGTTCTATGCTCGTTGCTTGAGCTAGTAGCGACCTTAGCGTCGTTTATATCTTGTTGAGCTATACGAGGGCGTCGTTGTAAACGGCGTTGTCTCTAGCCTGGTCTTGCCGATCCTCGTCTTTATTCTTGGTGACTGCCGCCTCTTCCTAAGTCTATAGTGCTCTACTCGGCACTGTCTGTCTCTTGTAGTGGATCTATAGGGGACGCCTTTTATAGTGTACTACCCCGCTGCGATCTATTGTCCACGCTTCCTATTATATTGGTTGGATACTTCCTTGTATGATTGCGAGGTTGTAGGTGGCCACCTCCCTTCCAACTAATATCTAGGTTATAACTTCGATACTATAGGCGCCTTAAGATTATATCCTTCTTAGGCCCTATCTCTATAATATCGAATATTACTTTGGTGGTTTTCCCTTCTATTATAATATCGAGTGATTTTGTTTCTTATCGAACCTATTGTATATCGAATGGTCCTTTTATAATATACTGATCCTTCTTGACTCTCTAGGGGATCTTTAATTGATTGATAAGTGTAGGTGAGATAAGGTCGATCTACAATCCTCTATCTACCAATGCTAGTACTTAGAAACTATTCTAGTGTGCTATGACCTAAATCTGGTTATCGGGCTTGTTGTTCTATATTGTAGCAGCTTTTTTATAGCTCGCTGGAGAGTCGTATTGTCTTGGGTTAAGTGGTTTTCGGGCCCCCCGATAGGCCCTCGGCTGTTTCCCGACTCCTATTGTTCTTCGCGAGAGGCGTCTCCCTCTAATTCTTCTTGATTGACATCTAGTGTATTAAGTTGTAGGAGTCCTTCTACTGATCTTGGCCGTTTTATCTAGAGTCTGTTTTAGTGGACTTCCTATAGCTTTTATTCTATATATACAAGGTAGTTCGCGCTCTTGTATATATCGTTTATTATACCCTAGGCATAGGCTTCTAGCTATGCCCTTCTTAGCACTATATAGATGACCCTATTATAGGTATTTCGAATTTCCTATAGGAGCGAGTCTGTATATTGTCCTATGTCCTAAAGCTATCGAATTGGCTATAGCTGGCTGTCTTTGTCGATTGGTCGTATAGGCTAGTGATCATTGTTGTATTTTGATCGAAAGTGGTATTGGCATTCGTGTGCGATATACTAGAACCAAGGAATTTGGATATAGTCTTCCCTTCGAGGGTATAGTCGAGCAGCGTCGCCTTCCTTGTATTAGAATGCCTTTCTATAGCCCTATCATTCTACTTTATATGTTTTGAGCCCCCTACTAGTCGTAGAGTGCTTGTGCTAAAATCTACGCTATATTGGCTCGCTCTTGTTATATTTATACGCTTGTTGTTAGGCCAACTAGTATTCCTATTCTAGATTTCGAACTTCGTTGCTCGTCCTATTATTTAGGTATTCTTCTAGTCTATCCTAGGGTATTGTATCCGATTCTTCTTCTAGCCTTCTTAGCTTAGAGTTGACGAATTCCAACTAGCTTATTAGCTAAGCTTTCTCTGCCCCTAGGTTTCGGATAGTAGTTTAGAGCTCTGCTTGTTCTTTTTCTAGTTCTATAACTTATCGAGCGAGGAATATAGGATTAAGTCCGACTAGCTCGTCGGCCGACTACCGAGTCCTCTATCGTCCCTCTTTATCCTAAGTCAACTAGAATCCCTACAATTCTACGAGTTATTGTACGGCCTCTATAGCGATATCGTATCCTATAATAGGTTCTTTGAATACGATCTATTATTCTAACTCCCTTGATTAGGAAGTGTTATCTAACTACCCTATAGCTAGATATTGTTCGATATCGTCGTCAAAGTCGCTCTAGGTATAGCTGCTTGCTATAGCAACTTCGGTGATTCGTATCTTCCTAGTTGACTCGATTGTAGTATTCTCCTTGCTAAATACTAGTTTCTAGTTCTTTTTACTATGGTATTTTTATTTGAAGTGCCCTTTCTTGCTATAATTGAAGCAAGTGATTTATAACTTGTCTTTTGATCTCTTCCTTGCTTCTCTCTATATAGCGTCTATATCTATAGGTCCTATATAGGTGCTATATGCTATACTAGGGTACTAGCGCTTCTTGCTATAGTTAGCCTGATTGCTACGAGTGTTATTGTAAGCCCCGATAATAAATTGGCCCTAGCCTTTCTTTTGCTGCTTCCTAGCAAATAATCGGTCATCGATCTTAATTGCTTTGGCGATATATTCGTCGAGAGTTGCAGGTCGGTCTTCCTTGTATAATTCGTCCTTTATATCCTCTTTGAGGCTATTATAGAACAACTATATTAGGCCTGCCTCGTTAATACCAGCCTTAATAGTGTCTTGCTAGAATAGAGTTATATACACCGATATCGACTTAGTCTGCCAAAATCGTACGAGTCGATCTTATATATAGGTCGCCTTATCTTAGTCCCCAAATACCTTAGTGAGCTCCTTTTCAAACTCTTCATAGTCGCTAAACACTCTCTATATAAATGGTCGCTGCTCCTTAGTATCGTTCGTGATATAGTCCCTAAAGGTAGGTTCGAACTATCGTACGGCTCGTCCCCCGAGTCGTAAGGCTATATACCGAGTCTTGGTGTTTTCGTCGGGGAAGCGGATTTTATAGTGCTCGATATAGGAGAATAGCTTTATAAGGAAGCGAGAAAGGTCCTCCTATTCCCTATAGAACTTGTCGGGTGCCTCGATCTTGAGTTTAGCCCTCTTAGTATTATCGATCTTACTATGAACTTCATTGATGAGGCTCTAGTTGATAGCTGGCTCCTTCTCTAGCTCGGCGATCTTAGCTTAGAGGGTTGCGATGATACTAGCGGTATTGTCCGTAGGTACGGAACCTATACTGACGTTGGAGCTGGCGCGGCTTATGGTATTTGGTGAATACCTTCGATCTGAACTGTAATAGAGTCAAAGGGAGTAAGCAATATATGACGAAACCCTGGCAGTCCTGCCTTTAAAAGGGTTCTCTGGTCGAAGGTAATACTAGTCGGGCTATAGGTCTCGGTGAAGCTAAAAGGTTTATAACAAATGCACAAGCAATTGTCTCAATAGTAGGTGTGGTGAACTGCTTGTATTGCTTACTAGAGAACTTCTAGAGCCCTCCAGAACGAGTGACTATATAGTATCCATTTTCCTAGGTGCTTAGTGTGCTCAGTCTTCCTGTCTATTGATCATACTAATCACCTTCCTTGCTTCCTTTTATCTTGGTTGGTCCAATGGAGGTTGCTCAGTGTGCTCAGTTCTCTTGGCAACTGATCTCACTGATCACCTACCCCTATTGCCTATCCTTCACACTGATTGGTTCTGTCCGCCTACACCCCGCTAGGGTCTTCTACATGCGACCGCCCTGGGCCTATTGGTTTAATTCATGACAGGATATAATTGAAATTAGTAACAAATTAGTACAATATCCTAGGCTTTATATCGAGATTAGATATCGGTTAAGGAAGCCTAGAAGGATAGAAGAGAAGATATACTCGGTCTAGGCTTCCTATATTCTATCACGCTCCGCCTTCGTATCTAGAGCAACAAAGGGCTTCTTATTACCATTCTCCTTGATAGCACAGACTATATAAGCCTAGAGGAGCGCTTTAACCTTAACCGGGTCCGCCCTAGAGAAACGCGACTATCGTTGCACCCTTATAATAAGGTGAGAAGTGCGTTAGGAGCAGGAAGAACAACGAAAAGGTGAGGGAGGAAGGGAGTTCTCGAAGGAGGGTGAATTAAAAAGTGCGTTAGGAGCAGGAAGAACGAGGAAAAGATAAAGGAGGAAGGGAGTTCCATGGTTAGGGGGTAGAGAAGGGAGGCAACAATAGCATAAGCGAGCCAGGCCAGCAAGGCCAGCAAGGCCAGCACATCGAGGCTCGGGGGTTGGGCGCAGTTGGTTCGCGTCCCCGAACCGGGAACGGGATCCTAGCGCCTAAAATACATCGCCATCGCGATTGTGTAGGGTGCGAGCTGAGGGACCGGATGGGGTGTGAACCAAGTAGATTGGGCGACGCCTTCCGGCCTCCGTCGCCGGCGCCGTTTGGAGTTGTTACGGAGCCGGCCCCACTCCGGGAACGCGAACGGGTTTTTGGCCGGCAAAACTTCGGGCGAGGCGCTGGTCCGTGCTCGCTGAGTCATCAATTGCAGTTGTGCGAAAACCAAGATTTTGCCATTGCCCTAAGGATAGGAATGTAGGAAGCTTGGGCAGATTGGAAGCTTGGGCAGATTGGAAGCTTGGGCAGATTGGAAGCTTGGGCAGATTGAAGCTGGGCAGATTGGAAGTTTGTGGGCAGATTGGAAGCTTGGACGTTATTCCTAAGGGTCAGTCTCTTGGAAACCGGTAATACGAATGTTAAAACTATCATAGCGCCAGGCGGGGGTTTCAAAACAGTCAATTCTAGCGTTTTGCAGTGCCAAGATTCTTCTCCCGTGATAAGATTGCGTTGCTGATTCAAAACGGCCGCTATCACAGTCCTACAGCCAAGACGATGACATCACGTAAGCCCGCTTTGGGTGGGAGTGGCCCTCGCGTCCAAAACGAACACTGCGATCATGAAGAGGTAACTACAACTTGAAGCTTCAATTGAGACCAAGCCTGCAGCACTAACGCCGTCATGTACCATCATTGTCTCTTAACAGCCTCGCTGTCCTTACACCACTGCCATGTAAATCTCCATCCCTGAATCCGTCATCCAGCTCACTTTCACCCCAGGCGCGACAAACCAAATCGCGCCCTCGGCCAACTCAAACCTCTCCCCATCCGCCTCCATTCTTCCGCTTCCCCTCACAACGATCATCACCCCGGGGCCCTCACTCTCCGCGATCTCATCCTCTTCACCGGGGCCCAACTCCGCCCGTAGCATATCAAATTCGCTCATGGGCGGCCTATACACCCTGGTCTTTCCCGTCCTACTCTTCGGCGTCTCCCTGCTCGGCAACAGCATATCCGCCTTGGAATGCGCCTTGAACGTGAGCGTGTCCGTGAACATATCGATGTTGTTCCTGTCGCCAGGCGGGCAGAACCCGGAATTCAGCACGTTGTTGCTGCGCGCCATGCACTCGACGATGTCGCCGCTCAGGTAGGCGTGGATGCCGTCGGCCGGTATGTACAGCGCGTCGCCCGCTTCGAGGACCATGAAGTTCATGCACGTGAGCGCCACCAGCGAGCCCGGGTCTTCTGGACCGTACTGCTTCTGGAGACGCGGGAGCAGGTCGAGGATGTAAGCTGCGTCGCCGAGCTCCGATCTGGAGGTGGAGAGCAGGGCGGCTTCGGTCTGTTTGACGGTGCTTTCATCGGCGGAGAGGAGCTTGCGGGTGACCTCGCGGAGCGTCTGGTCGGCCCATTGGGTCGTGTCCCCTGGGACGAAGGGGCGGAGAGCGGGCAGTCGGAACAGGGGCTCGATTTCGGACAGGGGCTTCCACCCGGCGAAGACTTCGAACTTGGAGAGCGCCACGGCGATTTCGGGTTTGTGGTTCGGGTCGGTGAAGTTCTCGGGGTCTTTCGCGTGCAACTTGGCGGCCAGCTCCTTGTTGGGGTGGAGTTGCAGTGGCAGAGCCTTTGCGATGGAGAGGATCTTGGGGAGGAAAGGGAGTTGACCGTCAAGGCGCTTGATGACCTTCTTGCCGAGGAGCTTCTCCTTGTTCTTATCGAGCACATCCTTCAGGAGTTCGCCTGTTTCCAACACGCGGGCTGGGTAGTCAGGGTAGTCCCCAAACCACATTTCCGAGTAGAGCTCATCGTCTTTGATCTGGAACTTCTTGTCGGTCTTCCTGCACAACTGCGCGGCGAGCGATTCTTGTCCCTGCTTCCCCCAGGGATAGTTGTTGCAGCTGCCCACAAGCTGGAAAACACGGTCAGTAGTCATGGCGACGAGGACGAGGTGCGGATATCGGTGTTCTAGCAGAAGGTTGTTTGCTTCGCAATGGAACCTGAGCAGGTAGCCAACTTGGGTCAGTCTCATCCCAGGGCTTCTTAAATCAGTTGTAAACAAACCGGTTGTCTCGAGACAAATGTCGTCATTCGCATCATGGCGTCACCATCTGGCACCTGCAGCCGATGGTGGGGCAATAGGAGTGGGGCCGAGATTCCGATGCCGAGTGCCGGCCCGCTCCGTGCGGGTCCCCACCTGCCGGATCAGGAGCCCTTGCCCCGGTGATATTCCTCCGCCGCTGAAAGCGCGGAAGAGGCAAACTGAATCGGTGAGATGTGCATGTTGACAAATATTTGCACACAAAACCGAAAATTCGAAAATTGCACCGACCTACTTAGTTTAATCTTTCTTCAACCACCCATCACAGGCTTCGCAGCTTCTACACCAGCAACAACACCAACCACCAAGAAATTCAAGTCATCACAAATCTGTTTCAAACACCAGCACAAACATTCTCCCTGCTTTCAACTCCTGAACAAGTAAGTTGTGTCCACAACAAGACTCATGCACCCGAGTACTCATCGCTGACTTGGCTTCGCTGCTTCTTCACAGTCTCTCCGCAGCTTCGATTCAGCATGGCTCACGCAGGCTTCACTCCGCCCCAAAACCTCCCGGAACCGCCTCGTCCCACGGCTCCCACCTTGGAAGAGAGAATGGCCGAGCTCTTCCATTGTCAGCCCACGTATTCCAGTCTCGGACCCCCTCCCGAGTCTGACCTGTTCAATCTCCTCTTCCCAGACTCCCCTGGTAAGACCGCGCGGTCCACGCCAAAGGCCTTGGAGCTCCCCGCGCCGCTTAAAGCTGCGGTTCGGAGTCTCGGTGACAAGATTTTGACAATCAACAACTGCATCACCACATTGCTGGCAGACAACAGTCAAATCCACCGACTTGAGCTCCCTTTGAGGATGTACCAGCACCGCGCCAAGAGCCTGGACAATGCTCAGCTCGTGGAAGAAATCAAGATACTCCGTCGTGGCACTCAGGCTGTCGCCGACGCTGTGGCGACCATCAGGGACCTCCGTAACGAGACCAACGAAGTCTCCGAACGTCTCCGCAACATCGAGCACCTCGCCGAGAATGTGTCTGCTGCCGGCAAGGTCGTGTCTGGCGCCGCGCTCGAACTCTATGAGATTGCTAAGGCGACACAGCGCAACAAGCGAATCATTCAGCGGACTGGCGACGCGCTCGTCGACGTTCTGGATTATGTGAGTCCCTCAGCGTACCCGTATTCGGTCCTGCTTTCTAAGTCGAGCCAGATGTCCGCCACGCAGCCGGGCTTCCCTGCTTTGTTCTTCCGCAGGTCTTCCCGCGGGGCTACTAACGCCCAACCCTAAGTCCTTTGAGGTTCGAGTGAGCAACTGGGTACACTCGCAAGGAAACGGAGAATTTCAAACGCGGGGAAAGACGGAGATCGGACGAGGCTGAGCCGCTGGGTCGAGGTCAGGTCTGAAGAGCCCGTTGAGGCAGAGATACCATAAAGTTCACGAGAAGTCGATCCTTTCGTTTCTACGAATATTATCTCGTGTGTATTTATCTGCTGCCCACGGTATGCCCGTAGACGCGCCGATGAGAATTCCTACCTCCTGACCTCAGCTCCCTCAGGGTCCATCAACACTGAGGAGCTGTTTCCTTTGACGCCTGTGATATCTGACAATTACCTCCGCTCGGTTCACGGACGACATGCAACGATTTATCGAGGAACTGGAAGCTCTTCTGTGCGAGCAACCCCCAAGCACCGACTTTGCCCGTCAGCCCGCCGTTCCCAACCTCCTCAGGGATCCACACCTCTTTCAGAAGGTCGGGCACCTGGGACAGGCCGTTGTAGATGGCTATCGTGCTTTCATCCGCCGTGGCATACACAGACCTGGATGCGCCCGTCAGCATCACCGGGCAACGGATTCTCCCTACAATGCTTCCTTTGCCATCCGAAGCGGCATCCAGGTCAAACTGTTGGAAGCGCCGCAATGTGTCTCCGGGCGTCGACGTGCCCATCATGGCCATGCCGAGCTGAAACTCCCAGCGCGTGGGGAAGTGCAGCCTCATCTGCAGGTGTATGGATGCGTTGAACACCTGCTCGGGCAACCACCCCGACGTCCACATCTTGGCATACCACGTGGGCATACGCGTCAAGGCGAGGCGCCACAGTCCGTAGAACGGGTCGATCGAGACGCACGCCTTGACGCGAGGATCGAGGGATGAGCGGAGCGCGTAGTAGGCACCCATCGATACACCCATGACGGCCATGCGATCCGTGTCGAGTCGCAGGTTCGGATTGCCAGCCGCCATGTGTTGGATATGATCCAGGACCCGGGCGGTGACAGCTTCGAAGTTGGGCCGCATGACAATCTTGTGCTTCTTCAGCATCATGCCCTGGCCGGGCCCGTCGAACGTCACCACCGCATATCCGAGGTTCAGGCCGGCGGAAACAAAGGCGAAATAAAGCTCTTCCTGCGTCGCATCGGCCCCTCCGCAAAGCACAATGACCGGCGTGCCTTGTGTGCCGACACCGCCCATTGTTCGGGACGGCGGCGGCAAATAAAGGTAGCCAGGCAAGGGGGGCTCGTCCCCCTCCTGGTACGCAATCTCCAGCACCATGACTCGACAATCCATGTACGGGATCGCCTCCCGGAACAAAGATATCGACCGCTCGGCTGCCTGTAGAATGCGGTCGTCGTTGCCCGCCCAGGGGAACATGTAGCCCGATGCTCTGGCATAGTTGGACGCCCGAAGCAGCGCCTTTCTCGCCGCGTCGACGTGGCCGGACCGGATCGCCTCTCGGGCGATTGCCTCGGCTCGTTGCGATTGTTCATGCCACGCATGGTACCAGCTTTCCGGGTCGTGCTGCCGAATCTTGGAGACGGCCTCGGTGAACTCGGCCACCTCGCAGCCCTCGGTGCTCGTACTGCCCAGTATCCGGGTTGCTTCGAAGTTGTAGAAGTTGCTCCCGAAGAACTTGAACATGATGATGGCGAATTGGTTTGCTATGAGTACTAAACGAGGATAGGCCTTCGAGGAGCAGGAAAAAAAGGAGATGCACGCCTAGGCACGCTGTCAATGTGCGCAGCAATAACACCAAAAAGACAAGTCAATCAGGCATGACGGTATGTTTAGGTAGGTAGGCTATCATGTGGTTGGTTGTCGCGGGTGTCTAGCATCTTGGGCGAGCAGCCCCCTTCGCTCCATCGGAGTTGCTGATGAGCGGATGCTTGGTTGTGCCGCTGCACAGGCTCGTCTCCTTTTCGGTGTCCGGCAAGGGCGTCGGGGATGCATTTTCGGACGCTTTTCCCGTCTGCATTCGGACACCCGATATGTACATATTAATCAACACGCACTATGAAATACAAGTCCCGAGATAGGGACACACACGAGGTTCCGAATGCCGGTGACGGACTTGACTGACTGACGGCCATGTGGCGGCTCTCGACTCCGCCACCCGCATTTAGATTCTAAATCTTTGGGGAAAGGATTGAGGAGGAGTTATTGTACACGACGAAGCTGAGACTTTGTTCACTGTTATTACCTGCCAAGCCTCCGGAATCAAGTGCAGTATGGCTGGTTCATTCATTTGGACGGCATTGCAGGTTGCGCCTCTGGCCAGCTCCTCCGCGGCGTGAGTGTCCCCCACCTTCCCAGTCAGGACCAGTGCGCGGTTTATTAGCATCTTGAACAGTGTAGATACTAACGAAGGATCTAATGGCGAAAGCGTGATCTGCTCAATCTGCCAACAAGTGACCATGACCTCGTTCCTCGGAGCGACAGTCCCAGCTCAAGCCAGGAAGGAGGTCTACTACCCATTTCATGAAGGCTTCAAGCGTATGGTGCTCGTCTCGGCGCCCGCCCACCTCACAACGATCGCCACTTGCCTCATCAACTTCTTCGCCGGAAACCCCTCGTCGCTGTGGTGGCTCGCGTGTGTGGCGTTTGTGGTGGGGCACGCATACCCTCTCGCAGAGGGGATGAAGATCTTGGGTTTGACGGCGCGGGAATGGAACAGCAAGACGCTGCCGGAGAGCAGGGCCTTTATTCAGGGATTTGTTGACATCAACCAGCGGAGGCTGCTTCTGGTAGATTTTCCGGGCTGGTTGTGTGTCCTCGCTACAGTGCTGGTGAACCTGCGGAGCAGTTAATAGGATCCTGTTTGCACTTTACATGTGTACGTGGAGAAATGCAGTTCGATGTCGAGGTAGGAGCGCCGATGTCTGTGGCCCTGGGAGAAAGGAAAAGGAAAGAGAGTGAAAGAGGTCAAACAAGAGAAATAAGAGCCTGATTCCAAACTGACTGGCAGGTAAAGAGCCGCCCTAAATTGGACGCTTGCATAAACGGATTCTTTGGCACCTATAGCTGGCTCCGCCTAGAACGGTTTAGTTATTATAAAGGGCTTTTAATATATATAATGCTAGGACATACCTCTATAGCCTTTTATATATATATATATTCTCCTACTCCGCTATGCCTCGCTATTTACAAGGCGCGCCGGACCCTCTACTGCTATATATAAAGGAAAAACCGTACCGTTTAGGCCGGGTGAAAACCTTTGCCTTTTATATAGATTTATTAATAACCTCGTCGTATTCGGAGTAGTAGATTTTCAGGTAATATCCCAAGTTATATCCTCATTATTTGTTGATCCTAAAAGGGTAGCGGCCCGACGAAATAATCAAAGACGGCAGGGTATAGCCTGGTATCGGTATCGTCGAAGGTAACCCAGACGAGTCGCGGCGAGTCTTGGTCTCTGGGGAAGAAGATTCCTACTCGGCAATTCTCCGATGGCGAGCCTCGAGAAAGGAAAGAAACTTCCGGCAGAGGAGCTCGTGGCCCGGCCGGTCGACCTGCGCCTAAAGAAGTGCAAACGCACATGGTGCTATTGGCGACGGTATTGTTGCTATAGGCTTTGCCTGCTATTACATCCACACCAAAGAAGTGGAGGACGAGTTCAGCCTGTTCAAGATTTACGGTAGCCGGAAAGCTGAGAAATAGCATAAGGTAAGGAAGGAACCCAAGCGTAACATGCGATTTCGAGCAATCCTAGGTATTTAAAGTGGAGTCTCATGTGTGTTTGAGGCAGCAGTTTATTGTCAGACGGAGGCCGCGTTGGAGGACAGAGATACCCTTAGGCACCCAGAGCTAGTCTCCTAACCCTAAACGTCGACGAGTTGGTAATATATAAATCGAGCGCTTCACTCATCCAAAGGAGCACTAGACTGTCGCCAACACCATTACAAGTCTTAAATCCAATCCAAGCATCTAACTTCAACTCTAACCTTGTCCGCAAACTCCCAAGCCCGAGCTCGTTCTCCATCCTACCTAGGTAAGTCTTCTCTCTCAGGTGGTCTTATCTACCACCCCTTTACCTATAGGTGATCTAAGATACTGACAGCAATTACAGACTGACTATCAAAAATGTGTGGTGGCCGGCGTAACGTCATCTACACCTGCGGCTGCCGGGAGATTGAGGTAGTGAATCTGTGCAACAGTGCAAAGGACTACCCATCAGGCTGCTGCCCCAAGCTAGACCGTAACTCCCCGCTGAAGCCCGCCCGGCATGTCAACAAGGGGTGCCGCACCAAGCCCGGGCATAATTAAACTATATGTCCGGGGGAATATGATAGGACGGAAAGCGAGATAGCGGAGGACTCGTCAGGAGGTTTCAGGTTGTCGAAGGGATGCTCGGTCCTACTAGCAGTACACCTTCGTTATACGCCGTCTCAAGCGTGCAGGCCACGATAAATCATTTTACCTGACTGTTGTGCCTCGGTGATTGTTCAACTCCATGTTGCTCTCACCAGATCTAATATGGGCCCACAAAGCCGCCTCGGGCAGTAGGCTGGCTTGAAAGGGTTCGCTAGCTCACACACGAACGCATTGAGCAACAAGCAAAGTCAAAGTTGCGCCCTTCAGAGAATCTAGCGTTGTTGAAGTGTTCTTCTTCCAACTATAGACGCCAGAACCGAGAGGGCAATGGGTGTCATCATCAGGGGTCAAATCGCGTCCCCTAGCTGCCAGCTCCTCCTCTCAACCTCCAGCTCCCTCTCGTAGTCCCCCAGCGCCGCAAACACCATTTTCACCATGCCATTATACCTCGCCGACCAACGGAACCCTTCAAAGAAAGCCTTGGTACAGTCCCAGTACTCGGGATAGAACCCGGCATTCTCCCAGTCCACAATCCCGGCCACCACCCACCTCCCCAGGCTCCCCTGTCCCTGTCCTCCTCTCTTCTCCACGAGGATATTCCGCGGGTTGAGATCGGCGTGCGTAAAGACCACGCGGTGTCCCCGCCGCGCCGCGTCATCCGAGAACATCAGCTCCCGGCTGAAGGCGGCCTCGTCGGGGAACGGGCCGACCGGCTCGCCGCCGCGGATGCGCGGGTCCCGGATGGCGTGGCCCCGCGCGTCGCAGATTTCGATTTTGAATTTGGTTTTTTGGTGGGTGTGGGTGTTATTATTAGGCTGCTGCTGCTGCTGCGGGACGGCGCGCAGCTGGGCGAGGTGGGCGGCCAGCTGCGCCGCCAGGTCGGCCAGGTCGGCGTCCGAGAGCACGTGCTGGCAGCGATAGAGCGGGATGCCTGGGACACGGGTGGTCAGGAGGTAGGTTTCACCGTAGGCTTCTGTTTCTGTTTCTGCTTCTGCGACGGAGAAGGGGTCGGCTGCCGCGGGGTTGGCAGCAGGTTTGTGGACGAGGTCGAGGGGCGTTGGGACGGGGATGGTGGTATACCGGCGGAGGAGCTGGAGGGCGGCGAGTTCGTTGTGGGAGCTGGACGGGTTGGTTTGGCGCTTTTTGAGATACAAACCAAAGGGCAGTCGGTGGACGGTAGCGTGATCGGGCTGAGGATAGAGGAGCGCGCCGACCCTGCGCAGGAGGTCGTACACGGCTACGCGGAGACGGGAGGGGAGCAGGAGCCAGGTGGAGAGCAAGACGCTCGTTGCGAGGTTCAGGGAAGAAGGGAAGTTGAGGGATAGGGCGGAATGCACCTCGTCCGTGCCGGATGTGTTGTCCAATGGCAATGCCATGTTGATATGTGGAGGAAGTTGGGAGTCATAGAAAGTCGAGGCGGCGATGTAATGGGTTATGGCTTATGTAAAGCGGAAAATGGAAGCGATGGAAGCGATGGAAGCGATGTGTAGTAAAGTGAGATTTCGTTGTCTGAGCCAACAAACGAGGAACAGGGATTTGGAGCCCTGCTTTGTGGAGCCACCTGTAACGTTAGATCAAATCCTCAACAACAGCGACCAACAATCATATCCATCACACATCGTGCATTGACTTTGTTTGCATGCTAACCATTGTACGACGCTCCGGGGCTACAAAGATTATGTTCTTTGGCGTGATCTGCACTTGAACAATAATGTTTCTGACCCTGGTGGGTTGTAATTACTTGTAGATCCATGAATCCATGATAGATCATCGATCCATCATCTACTATGCCGCTCTGATTCTCCCTCTTGGCCTAACAAGCGATTGTAGGCCTTCGTTTTCTACCAGGCAAGGATGACATTACCACCAAAAGAGTTCACTCGGCTACTTGGCCAGGCCAACTGAAACCAGGCCTAACAGCCGCTCGGCCAAGGTTTGCTGCTGTCTCGTTGGGAAGCTTAAATAGAAAGATTCTTCTATACCTCATCGACTTCCACTCTGTAAACCATTTTCGGTTGATAACCTACACTCACCACTGGTTTTTGTTGACTCCAAATTCGCAACGTATCTCATCCACCCGTCTTACACGCACCCGCAACCATGCCGTCGCAGTTTCAGCCCAACAGCCTCTACCTATCCCTCAACTACCTTGAAACTGACAACGGGAAGCACAATTACGTAAGTCGGATATCACCTTTCGAGCATCAGCTGTCGCCGGTTCCTGGGTCCTGACTCCGGTGATTTCGTCATATGACAGCACTGGGGCCTCTACGTGACCGGCAGCACCCCGCCAGCGGGCACCCTGTACCATGCGTCGAACGTCGATCGGAGGACCAGAACCATCGTTCCTTATCGCTACGAGAATCGCCCAGTCACGAATGACCCGACCTCCTCGAAGTCAATGGTGGTATCCCTCCTGATTTGCCCCTTGCCGCCCACCTTGGTCCAGTACATGGACATAAACATCCGCCCCTTCGAACCCCTCGCCCTAAAGCCAAAGCCACGTCCTCCGCGTGGGGAGTCCGACTGTAAGTCAGAGCTTCGTGCTCTTTGATTCCCCACCCTTGCGGCCGTCTCTGTATGGAGTCACTTTAGCTCCCGCGAGATAATTAGTGAAGCTGCTAGAGAAATCCCTCGCTCCCCGCTGTAACAAAGAAACTGATGGGGTTGACAATGTTCGCCAAATCATCTAGGGAACTGCCGGGTCTGGGCTAAGGAAATTCTCAATCTGCTTCAGGAAAAGGGGGTGGCCATGCCCGCCGACACCAGTAAGTGCTTACTGGCCTCCCAGTAATACCTAATACGGCACCACCACGGGTTCGAGTCTCGGCTGATAATAACGGTGCTAAACTTCCCAAAGACACGATCGAGCGTCAGGCCCTCCTCGCTGCCAATACCAACCTGAGGACTCACCTTGGCAATGCCAAGGTAATCAACGATTTGAGCTGGCTGCGGGCGCCCGCCCCCCGCCACGCGCCGCCGGCACCGGCAACGGCACCCGCACCCGCACCGACAAGGGCTCCGGCTCCGGCTCGCAGAGAAGGCGGCGGCCAAAAGACCACTGGCGACGCTAGCAAGCGCAGGCACTAGCCGGCGCCCTCAGGAGCGGCCGTTGTCAAGTAGACGCGTGTGTTGTGTCACATACTAGTAGTTTCCGGCGAGCTGGTCTTGCCGGGATGGACGGGGAGCGTGGAGAGCTTAGACTCTCCTTAGCTACGCCAACACCGATGTGCTGCGTGCCCTATATATAATATACTACTCATAGAACCTTAGTTTCACATACTGATTTGCCATGTGATTGAGGTCAGTATAGGTATACCAAACATTCAGGTTGTTGAGAGTTTCTTCCAAGCTTGGGAAGGCAGATGCAATCATCACCCTGTATCCTCGTCCGTTCCTCGTGTTCAGTACTCACCCATGTAAATGGTTGCGACATATGATGTGTGTGGCCTCATCCAATGTCTGAGCCAGGCCACGCAGACGACCCGGGGAGGACTAGGTTTGCCGCTGTCTGTCCAGCAACTAGAGGGTGTCTCGAAGGCGGCATTTGCATCGAGGAATCTGCTCGATTGGTTGACAGCCTGTTGTATGATTGTATTCTATTGAAGGGCTGCGGCCGTAAACGAGAACAGGTGGCAAGAGGGGGTTCTAGGGGGTTCTGTCACTAACGCTAAGGTACTGTACCTAACCCTTCCAGGTTGTGACACCCTAGCCATCCCTACGGTCCTCCCACCAACTGTACCCGAACCTGCCGCCCCACGCTTTCACCTTCATCACGACACTTTCGTAACCCACCATGACCAACGATGAGCACACAACCGTTCGCCATTACTACCAGTACTCCCCCCCGGGAGTGAAGCGCGTCATTAAGTCGGGGAGTAGTGCATGGATTGGTGAGGTGGACGATTCCGCCGTCTTGAAATATCCCCTGGCCGCTAGCGAGAACTTGGAGCTTCTCGAGGCCGAGAGAAAGATGCTGGAAGCTATCCCGCCGCATAAGAACATCCTGGGGTTCAAAGGCTCCACCGACGCGGGAATCTACCTGGAACGCGCCCCGAACGGCACTGTCGCCGAATACATCCTCGACTCGGGCAAGCCGCTTTCCCTCCAGCAGCGGCTGGCCTGGTGCCGCGAGACTGCCGAGGCAGTTGCCTGAATCCACGCCCACCGCGTCCTCCACTGCGATATCCAGCCTACCAACCTGCTCCTAGACAAAGACCTACACGTCAAACTCTCCGACTTCCAGGGCAAGCTCCTGGCTGAGGACGGCACAGTGCTCGTCGACGGCCGTAGTATGGAGCCCTACCGCTTCTCGCTACCCCGGGACGACTTCCGCGCCGACGTCAAGACGGACCTGTTCGCGCTAGGGTGCACTATCTACTTCATCCTCTTAGGCCACACTATCTTCCCAGACATCGACGACAGAGATGACGAGGCCTATGCGAAGGTGGAGGAGAGGCTCGCCAAGAAGGAGTGGCCTCGGGTACACCAAGTATGTAGTGCGGTCACCCTGAAATGCTGGGAGCAGCAGTACGAATCCGCGGCGGACGTGGTTCGGGATCTCGAGGCTATCGAACGGGAACACCGGGGGTCGTCTGCCGCGTTGATGCCGGGCTTGGGGCTTGGAGAGCTGGCAGGGGTGGGAGACAACGAGGCTTAAGCCGGCGGATGGACCACAGTAGTCTCAGGTTAAGTGTAGATAGGTAAATGCCCAAAGCTCTGTGCACCGTCCACTTAGTCGGTTTGGAATCAGGCTCTAAAAACACTGGAAAGAAGGCTAACTATAGGCAAAACATCAATACTTTATTTTGAGAGCGGTAAATACTAAATGAGACCCATCCACTTGCTTCCCATTTAGGTACGGTATAAATCCATCATTATTAACAGGTAGGTACGACAGTTAGAATGGTTCTATTCTAGGGGCATAGATACAAGGTACTACTACCTTAGGCAGTAGACACATCCGAGCGGGCTGCGTGCCCGTTCCCCTCTCCCGCGCTCGAAGCATTGCCGCTGGACTTCTCAACATCACCGGCTTCTGTCGCCGTCTCCGTCTCAGGGACTCCATACGCGGTGTCCAGCTCATTTCGCAGCGGCACCTCCTTCTCAAAAATGACCAGCACGAACCCCAGCGCAGCAAACGCGATGGCCACGTGCCAGGTGCGTTGCAAGCTGTCCTGCAGCACCGCCACAAACTGGCGCCTGGTGTCGGGAGGAAGTAGCCGCACAAACGCGGCCGTGGCATATTGGTAGGCTCGGCCGTGGCCGACCTGCTCCCGGACGGCCGCGTTGGCGATGCTTCCGGAGAGCTGGTCGAAGCGGTTGTTGAAGACGGCCGCGGCAATCGCAGTGCCCCAGACCTGGCCGAAGCTGCGGAGGAAGGCCCATGACGCGGTTGCCAGGGCCGTGTCGGCCTCGGTCAGGGGCGCCAGGACCGCCGGAAGCAGCGTGGGGATGATGATGCCCGCGCCGGCCGAGCCGATGATTTGGAAGCCCACCCAGCTGCCCGTGTTGGACTCCTCGTCAAGCAGGGCAAGCAAACCCATGCCAACCGTCATGAGGGCGAAGCCAACATGGTGCAGGGGGCGGTACCGGCCTATCTTCGACATGATGCCGCCACCGGCGGCGGCGAACGGAATGAGGATGAGGATGGTGGGGAGCAGCTGGACACCGGCACGCTGGGCCGAAGACTCCAGCACGCCCTGGAAGTAGACGGGAAGGAAGTACAGCACCCATATGGTGCCGATGCTGTGCAGGAAGGTGAGGGCGAAGGCCGTCGCCGACGTGCGGTTGCCGAAGAGATGCAGCGGCATCATCGGCTGGGCCGAGAATCTCGAGCCCTCGAAGACGAAGAACGCCGCCAGACCCGCTAGGCCGACAAGCAGCGGCACCAGGACGTGGAACGAGGTCCACGTGTAGACGGCGCCAGCCCATGCCAGAGCGATGAGCACGGCGGCGACCGAGCCGACGAAGATGGCATTGCCGGCCCAGTCAATCTTGCCCAGACTCGTGGCCAGGTTGGCCTCCTTCACGTAGTTGACGTGCAGGAACATGACCAGGAGGACGAGCGCGAGCCCGCCCACGGGAAGGTTGAGGTAGAAGACCCAACGCCAGGTTGTGTGGTCGACAATCAGCCCGCCAAAGAAGGGGCCCAGCGCGGTGCCGAGCGCAATCATGCCGAACATGCCGGCGAGGTACTTGCCGCGCTCGCGGAGCGGGACCAGGTCGCAGACCAGGATCTCGCAGAGGACGTTGATGCCGCCCGCGCCGACGCCCTGGATGACGCGGCCGGCGATGAGCATGCTGATGTTGTGAGCGCCGCCGGCGATGCCGCTGCCCAGCACAAAGGCGGCCGTCGCGACGATGGTCGGCCACCGGCGGCCGAAGACGTTGGCCAGCTGGCCGTACAGCGGCTGCAGGCTTGTCATGGCCACGAGATAGCCATTGACGGCCCAGATGTAGGCATCGCCGCCTTGCAGATCGGCAATGATGGATGGGAGCGCCGTCGATGTGATGGTTGCTTCCAGCGCAGTGAGCAGCCCAGCAAAGCCTACGGCGACGAAGATGGTCCAGAAGCGGAGGCTTGGCTTGAATGTCGATGCTGTTGGGGTAGAGCTGCTGTTGGAGTGCTGGAGGACATTTACCCCATCGCTATCCATATTCTTAGGGCTCATGGTCGGCGACATTGGCGGGAGCACTGGGAAGTCGGCTGACGGAGTTGCACTCTCGGCGAGCTTCGGGTCGCAGGTTGAGTCGGATTGCGAGATACTCTGAGCATGCTTTTGGAAAGAGGATGGCCGTGATTGTTCCTTAAGGTGAGACACATTCGGTGGGTTTTCCCAAGAGCAAAAGGTTTCCGAATCGCTTTCCGAATCTTGCATACACCACTTAAACCACTTACATGTTGGTTCGGAGGCTTTCGGAGGCTTTCAGGCCGGGCCGTGTCGGAGCTCCGTTTTGGCCGCTCTTTGTATTGACAGGCGATGTTATTCGGGAATGACTTCGCACGGGCTCCGAGTTCAAACGGCCCTACATGTAGCATGGCTCACTCATTGTCGGTCGCGTAACAGAGCAATTTCTGCGAGCTCGGTTCTATCGTGGGAGACGCCCCTGTCTTTGATATCTCGAACTGCCTTTCGTTAGATCAGGCCCTCAGGTACCGTTATCGGGCATTGAACGCTATATCTCTCCGAAGCAGCTATGAGCGCGCCGGCTAGCAGGACCATACACGAGCTCGATGGATCCTGGGTCATAGTGTGTACATCCCTTACCCTCTCACGCGAAATTTAGTGCAAAGTCAGCAAGTATCCGTTGTGTGTAACCAACAGCAAACATACTTAGAACAAGAAGCTATCGGACGACATGGACCCGCTGCTGGAAATCCAGGGCATCCCCTGGTACGTTTGCTCCGACATCCCATCCCCCTCTCAAACCCCCCCCCCGGAGGTGTTATGGGCTTTCATCAATTCCCGTGACTGAGCACCGGGACGTAGGATCCTCCGAAAGGCCATCTCATGGGCGACAATTACCGGGACGGTCACACAGACCAAGGAAGCAAACGGATGTACCCTGATCACCGTCGCGCAAACGGCAACGGGCGGCATCAAGGGAGAGACCGAGTATGTCCGGGTCGACGGGGCCGAGCACCGTCACAACTCTCAGGTATTTGGCACACAGCTCGTGCGGACGCGTTGGCTTGACCTCAGGAGCAAGAGGCCGGCGCCTGACGTTGCCACGGGGGAGCAGCTGGACCCCTACCTGCGCCAGGGTTGGCTGGAAGAAGAGACCGAGGGCTCGCCTGGGCATGTTTGGATCACTTCGAGTTGTGAGAAGGCCGGGTGGAGAGTGGAGCAGGTCTGGGGTTTTGCTCTCGTTGATGGACAGCGCTACCATGTGAAGCGATTCGTCATAACGAAAGGCGAGCAGCGCGCCGAGTGCAGGATGGTGTATGACTGGGTATCTTGAGCGCCTAACGCAGTTTGGTCTGTAGCAAACATGCAGGGTTAAGCTTTGTTTCGAGGTGGCTGCTGGCAACTATGCCGCGACCTTGTGTTGTTTTGTAACTTGTAAAGTTATCTCTCAGGTGTTGTCACTCAGCAGTCTGCCTGCGCCGCTGTCATGTTAGGTTGTAAGACAGATTCATCATTCTAAGTCGAACGGTCTATATTGGGCCTATCCTGCACGCCTGGATCCTCATGTCAAACATCCCAGGACTTTGAGTGAGTAGATCCATTGCTGTGCATGGCAACCCGAACCGCTGCGTTTGTGAGGCGGGGCATGTGAAATTAAACCCTGTCTGCAGATAATTCATACGGTACTGACTGTACGGACGCCCTGGACACAATACAAGTGCATTACGCTTAATTTTTATAAGTCAGTTAAGCATCTTGTACAGTCGGACCCCTGAAAGTTCGTTAGCGTCTGACTTGAAGACCAGGGTCAGCCCCAAAATCTCAATCTCAACGTCAAAATGACCAATTTTTGTCCGGAAAAAACGTACAGATGGACTTAGCCTTTTAGGTTATTATAAGACTCCCTATTTCTTCTATGTTGAATCAGCTCTTTGCATTGTTTAAGAATGTTGTTTCGGGGTTAAGAGGAAGACCCTGTCGCAAGTTCCGCGCTAATAATCATTCAGGGGTCGTCATGTAAGTTACCATAGCGCGGTGTAAGTTACTAAGGTATGACCAACGTTATGACGGCCACTCTATACATTGCTTACATGCTTCGTCGTATTGCTGAGGTACCGACCCAAATGGTAAGAAAGAGTTTGTGCAACCCCCTTATAAGGTACTCGGTGTATTTTCCGGATATCTCGGTGGTAGCATCCTTTATCAATACGTTTCATAACGTATAGCCAAAGATTCAAAAGTATTCAAGCCGATTTCATAGGCGGCAAGACATTCTAGTAGTAGTAATTCATCGCCTAGGAGTCTAGGACAGCTCTTGAAAGTTTGTTGACGGGGAACTGGCGATAGGCGGCCAAGTCCCAAATCCGCAATAACACTACTAAACTATGAAAAGAACTGGTTCAACAAAAGAAAATGGAGAATCTCGCAAGAGTCTGAAAGCTTGAGTTTATTTATAGCTACTGCTCCTCCACGAAAGAGGTGGCCGTTTTAATCTCAAGACCGGGAACTTTAGGGCTCACCCTGGTCTGAAAGTCAGGCGTGAATAAACGAACTTTCAGCGGTCAGACTAAGGTATACTACAATACAGCAGGTAATAATGCTATCTAATGTTATTTCGCCATGATTTCCTGTCGGGAACATAAATGACAGTAAAGAGTCAGGTATCGCAACCAACAACACACTTCCCCATATCATATCGACCCGAAACGAAACAGCAAATCGTGTAAAAATGTCCTTTTGCCATCCCGTAACAATGATGCCAGCCAAAACCCAGAAACCTCGAAAATATCAGCCCTTGACATACTTCTGGAACACAATCTCCATGTCCATCTCCTCCACCGAAGCCAGGTACGCTGCGACCAGCACGTTGAGGCCCTCGGACACGGCCATCTCGATCCACTCGCCCAGCGGGACCGTCCTGTACTCGACCCCGTCCTCCCGCTCAAGATGCTCCCTCATGTTTTGGATGGGCACCACCACGCCACCGGAGTGATGCTGGAATTTGATGAGACTCATCTTATTATTCCCAGTCGCCTCTTCCTCCACCTCCTCCACTTCTGTATTTTGCTGCTGCTGTTGCAGACCCTGCAGCACGGCATGCACCACCCCGTCAGCCACCTCCTCCACACTCACAAAGTCGAGCGCGCCTCGCCAGCGCGTCGACACCGGCACGGCCCGCATCTTCCTGGCGAGCCGCGCCACCGACGACACGACGTCTGTGTCGCCCGCGGCGGCGCCCGTGACGCTGCTCGGGCGGTGCACCCACACGCGCAGCCCGAGCCGCGCGGCTGCCCGCTCGAGGAACACCTCGCTGGCCCACTTGCTCGCGACGTAGTTGTCGAGCCAGTTCGGGGGCGGCGGGTGCGCGGCGAGGGATTGCTCGCCGAAGACTTCCTGGGCCGCGGGAAGGTCTGCGACTGCGGTTGCTTGCCGTTGTTGTCGGGATCGGGGACGAGGAGCAGCCGCCCCGTAGCGGTCGTCGAGATGTAGTGGAAGTGGAGCCCGTGTCGGAGCGCGAGGCGCGCCAGCGTCTTGGTGGAGGTGACGTTTGCCCGGCGGAGAGTTGCGTAGCTCTTCATGAAGGACACGTCTGCACCGCAGTGGACCACGGCGTGCGCGGCCGAGAAGAGGCGTTCGTCCAGGTCCTCGAGAGAGGTGAGATCACCGGCGTGGACGGAGACCTTGGGGTGCAGGCCTAAGTCGGCTAGCTTGGAAGGATCGCGTACTGCGATGCAGTGGATAGTCGAGATTTCCTGGGAAGCAACGAGCCGGCCCAGCAACTCGCGGCCGACGAAGCCCGTTGCCCCGGTCAAGATGATGGTTCTCCCGTCGACCGCGGGCTTGGACCACTTGGCGGCCTGCTGTTCAGACCCGGCAGCGTCGATGAGGTCCTTGCTCAATGCCGTTTCTTCCTCCCAGTCAATCACGGCATTCGCGTTCTGGACGGTGACGTCCCGGATCGCTGCGGCCATGGCTCCTAAAGTGCTCTTCTCAAAGAGACGCACCAGGGTCAACATGACGCCGAACTCCTGCTTGATCTGATTCTGTAGCTGGATGAGCAGAATCGAGTTGCCTCCGACATGGAAGAAGTCGGTGTCTTTCTGCACCGTGTACAAGGAGAGAACATCATCGGGGATGACTCGCTGCCAGACCCGGAGCAGCTGGAGTTCTTCTTGCTCCAACGCGATGATCCGGTCGGTTGACGACGTCTCCATTGCAGCACTTCGGGAGCGTACCGGCATCCTCTGCACGGCGCGTCTGTCCAGCTTGCCATGGGAGTTCAAGGGCATGGACGCAATCGGGACGATGGCTGCTGGGTGCATGTATTGCGGAAGAGGCAGCGACGTGACCAGCCGATGGAGGAATGCGTCCCGCCCTTCCTCTGGCACCGCGCAGTCTGGCCGGAACACCGCGTGGGCGACCAAGATCGGCGGGTCACCCCGGGCCGTCACGCACACGCTCACCAAGGCGCCGTCAGCGGTGCGGAGGATCGTCTGCTCGATATCTTGCATTTCGATGCGGATGCCGCGCAGCTTGATTTGCGAGTCGCCGTCGATCCGTCCCAGGATCTCCAGCTCTCCGGTCGCGGTGAGCCGCCCTCGGTCGCCGGAAAGGTACATTCTCTTTCCCGGCGCACAGGGATCTGCAATGAACCTCTCCCTTGTGAGCGCCTCGTTGTCCAGGTATCCAAGGCCCACCCCAGCGCCGCCGATAGCGATCTCTCCCGGCATGCCGATGCAAACAGGCTGTAGCCTCTCGTCCAATATGTACACGGAGCGATTAGGCATAGCCTTCCCGACAGTCACCGCTCCTTCCAGCGGCTTCACGAGCGGTATTTCGGTATGGTTGCTGCCCCAGGTGATCTCAGAAGGTCCGTAGCAGTTCCACAGGTGCAGATCGGGAAGCTGCAACGTTCGGAAGTCCTCGACGAGCTTTGGCGTGCAGGCTTCGCCAGCCGTCATGGCGATCCGCCAGGCCTTACACTGCGTAAGCTTGGAGAAGCCATACTGGATCCAGCTGTGGTACTCGGACGGTGTGGCGCCCGTGCATGTAACACTCTCCTTCGCCATGAGGGCCGTGATTGCGACGGGATCTCCCCGCATGTCTCGTGGCGCTACAACCAGAGTGCCACCATGTGCGAGGGCCGCGAAGCACTGGAAGGTTGCCATGTCGAACCCCAGCGCGCTGTGGAGGAGGACTACCTCAGGCCCCTGGATATTGCAGGTATGCTCCATGAAGTTGGGGATTCCCTCGTGCAGAATAACCACGCCTTTGGGAACACCTGTCGAGCCGCTTGTGAACAGCACCATGGCGGCCTCGTCAGGCCCAGCCAGGTTCGGGACTTCCATGTCGTCCCCTGCGGCCAGAGAAGCGATCGCCTGAGAGACATGTAAGACGTGGGGGCGACACACATCCCGGATCGCAGCCAAAGCGGCCTCCTGGGATTCCGTGGCGTCGTGGACGAGCGCAGCGGCCGGCTTCGCGGCCCTGATAATCGTGGCAAGCCGCTCGACAGGATTGCCGACATCAACGGGGATAAACACAGCACCGATGCGCATAATGGCGATGGCGGAGCAGATCCAGTCGAGACCTGGCTCCTGGAAGACAGCGACACGCGCTCCTCTGGTGATGTTGGCAGCCAGCAGCGCCCGTGCGATAGCCGCCGTTCGGTCACGGAGTTGCTTGTAGTTCCACACCCCGCCCCGGTGCGGCTCTCGGACGGCGATGGTGTCTGGATACTGCTGCATAACCTCGTCCACCCGGTGTACGATAGTTTCCGGCCAGGCAGTGGCGATAGTGCTCCCTGGTGGAAATGCTCAAATCAGTATGTCTCTTCTCTCTAACCCGCCGAGGGTGCCAAACCAAACCAAGCACATAAGGCCGGGCGTTGTCAAACGTACCTTGACCAAGCCTGATGGCGCTCTCAATGGTCTTTGGCGCGAACATGGGCGCGGTCTCGAGGGCCGCGGCCGGGTTCCGCGCGAAGAAATCGAGCAAGTTCATGTAGGCATCCGCCAGGATATCTGCATCCTGTTCCGAGTACAGCTGCTTCTGGACCACAAACATCAGACGGGGATCGCTGCCGGGATTCTCCATGATGTCCAGGCTGAGATCGTAGGCGGTCCGGCCGAAATGGTACTCCTCGCCTTCGCCTTCCACGGCTCCCATCGTCCGCGCCTCAGCCACGCCAGCTCGGTAGCTGATGAATGCCTGGAACAGTGGGCTGTGCAGCGTGGATCTTGGGATCTTTAGATTGTTCAGCACCAGATCGAAAGGCACCTGAGAGTGTGCCATGGCGGAATATGCAGTACGGCGCGTGTCCTTTAGCGCGTCCTGGAACGTGCGATTCCCAGACAGCCGGAAGCGCAGAGGGAGGAGGTTCAGGTACAAGCCCATACTCGATGCCAGGTCTCCCTCGAACCGGTTGGCGTCGGCCATTCCGATGCACAGGTCAGGGGCGTCAAGGAGCCGGAACAAGGCCACTTGGAACACGGCCAGGTAAAAGTGAAACTGCGACGTCTTTTCCCGCCGGCACATGTTGCGAATCTTGGCAGCCAATGCGGCGTCGATAGTGCGGTCCACGCGGTTGTGGTCATATCTGTGGATGGCCGTCCGCTCCCTGACGGGAGCGTATGGAAGGAGAGGAATCGCAGCGGGACTCCCGGCAAGCTGAGTCTGCCACCACGCGAGATCGCTGTCCATCTTGCCCTGCCGTATTTCCAACTCCTGCTGTGCCGCGAAGTCCGGGTACTGGAACGGGTTGGGCGCGAGACGCCTGCCGGTGTACAGGTTCGTCAGGTCTGCCATGAAGACCTCGAGACTCGCGCCGTCCATGTTAATGTGATGATACCCGACAACGAGAAAGTGGTCCAGCGGGCTCAGCGAGAGGAGCACCAGGCGCATGGACTCGCCCCGTTCAATGGCGAACACGTGGTTCTTCATCGCCTGGAACGCCGCGGAGGCTTCGCGGGGGTCCTGTATGTCCCTCTTCTCGAGACGGAGAAGGGATTTCTTCAGGATGGCCTGCACCGGAAGCTGTTGGCCTGGCTGGGCAACGAAGGCGGTCCTGAGGGCTTGATGGCGCTGGCCGATGGTATGAATTGCCGACTCGAACTTGTCGATCTGCAGCGGTCCCTTTAGCCTCACGGAAAAGGTGATGTTGAAGGTGGTCTGGTCCTCGATGTAGCTTCTCAGGAACCAGAATCGAGACTGCGCAACGGACATGGCTACTGTCCTCTCCCACTCCAGCTCCTGCGGGCGACCCGACTGGAGCGCTGGGTTACTAGTAGGCAGCCGCAGCTCGCTATCTGCCTTGCCCTCCGGCGACTTGAGGCTGTCCTGATCTATAAAGGGCGTCACATCCCTCTCGGAATCGGGAGTAGCAGCCGTATGGCGGCTTGACGTCGAGGAAAGGCTACTCTCCGCGCCGTTACTGCTAGCCGGATCGACTGCCGGAGGCGTGGGTATGGTGGAGCTACGGGCTGAGGGAGCAGGGCCGGGCGCGTTGCCGGTACTTTCAGGTCCCGGCTGACTACTACTGGTAGTGGTGTCACCGGCCTTGACTCCGCTGGACCCGCTGCCGATATTGGGCGTCAGGGTCTCTGGCAGTTTCCCGTGGGCAAAGGCGATGAGGTCTGCAATTGTAGCGCCTCCGAGGATCTTCAGAACGGGCACGTCCACTTCCATCTCCTTCTGGAACCACGAGCGGATTTCGACGGCAACGAGCGAGTCGATGCCCGTGTCGGCGGCATTGGCGGCGAGGATTTTGGCCCGGTCCTGGTCTCCTTGTAGCTGGACCTGTAGCATGATCTGAAGCTTCTGGAGGAATGCGTCGGTGACTACCTGGACCGCCTCCTCCGGCGTGGTCACCGCCAGAAGCCTCGCCTTCACCGCAACCGCCGCGCCACCGCCCTGGGCCCTCTTCGCTTCACCTGTGCCGCCACGGACAATGCAGTGCTGGAAGCGAGGGTTGTCCATCCACGGGGCTGGCTCTTCCTCGTCAATGTTGATCACACGGAGACCCGTGACGATTTCCGGGTTGCGCCCGGAGCCGGGGCGTCCGGCGAGGATGGCCTCGGCGACGCACTGGTGGAACGCACGCTCGTCCATCCACTGGAAGCCGGCACGGCGAATGGCCGGAAACACGGTCTCGCTCGCCTCGCGCATCACGTAGCCGACGCCCATGACGGCGCCCAGATGCAGGACCGAAGCTGCGAGGCCCTTCCTGCGCCGCTCGAAGGTCTTGGCCGTCATGTACATGTTGGCGGCGCTGTAGTTGGACTGTCCTCGGTTTCCCGAGGCCGCGGCCAGCGAGGAGAAGAAAACGAAGAAGTCGAGGCTGTCATGCTGGAAGATGCGGTCGAGGTGGATGGCGCCGAGCACCTTGGGCCGCACCACCTTGTTCATGGTCTCCAGCGACATCTCTGAGAAGGCGGCGTCCTCCAAGACCATGGCACCGTGCATGATTCCCGCAATGGGCGGGAAGCAGCGGCGGATCTCGCCAACAAGATGTTCCACGGCGCTCGCATCGGTGATATCGCTGTGTTTCTTAGGTTAGCTATGCTCCACTCCTGAAGTACCTGAAGCTATGTTGAACTCACTTTGCAAACGCCTGGACTCGCATACCCCTTGCCCTACACTGATCCAACCATCGCGGGTCGATATCAGGATGTCGGCTCGTCAGCACGACGTTCTTCGCTCCGTGCGAGGCCATCCAGTCGACCAAAGACCGTCCCAGATCACTCGTCAGACCGAACAGAACATACGTCTTGCTCCCGTCGAACTGTATGATGCCATCAACCGACCCCAGCCTGACGGGGATCTTGTCACCGGACGTCCAATCGACAAGGGTCGGGGTGGATGCGAGATCAACCAGGTCGGTAGGCGCTGTGTTGCTATTGACCAGCGTAGTAGGGCTCAAGCTGCGGAAGAAGCGGGCTCTCGGCTTGGTTTCATGGGTCCTACGACGGGCGACGACCTGCCGGAGCATTTGGGGAGGCGCATTATCGGTGATAGATGTCGAGGGTGGCGGTGCCTGCTGCGGCGGTAGACTGAGCTGTGCCAGCGTCGCGCACCGGCAAGATGGAGGCATGCAAGATGCCATGAGGGAACCGAGACCGCTGGCGTGTTCCGGCTTCTCGGCAGCGCAGTCGACGAAAAGCGAAACAGCGTCGGTGGGGAGAGCGGCGCGTGCGGCTCGCTTGGAGCTGGTGGGCGACAGGGTCACTACAACACAGCCACCATCAGGAAGGTCTTCTTCGCGGTAGGCAGTGTCGGTTGCTGGCACAGTAAAGATGATCTTTGCATCCCGTTCCCCGGCTCGCTCCGAAAGCCGCACGGCCAGGGCCACGGGAGGCTCGTTCATGACCAGCGTGCCACCACGCCGTGGCAACATTTGAAGGACACGGGAGCACTGTGCCTCGACCACCAGCAAGGCGAGGAGCTGCTGCTGTTCCTCCGCGGCTATTACTGAAGCCTCTCCTTGTGGTCCGCTGTCGATACGGTGCAGGTGGTCTCGCTGCACGGCAACGCGGGTGCCGTTGGTATGCGAAAGGCCCAGTACCCAACTCTTGTCATGGCTATCTCGCCCCACAACACCATACATCTGCTCGGTTACTGGCATCAAGGTGGATGCCGTAACGTAGACCTGGGTCTCGTCAACAGCGAGAAGGCGGTTGGCCTCTGGCGCGGCCTCGCGGATCATGTAGCCCGACTTGGTGGGGACCAGGAGGAGGAGCGACAACGGCCCATCATGGATTTCGGTGGGCTTGAAGATAGACCTCTTGGTGGCATTGTAACGGTCGTTTGCTGCTTGGATGGGAAGAAGGCGCGGGACCACGACCAGCCCGGCTTCCTCCACGACCTCTTGCTCCACCGAGAAGAGCATCCCCTCCGTGGATGTGGCGTCGCGAGTTAAGTGCAGACGGAGGAGGGTCTCGGCCACCAACCTCGCATTGGGCTTGCGGGAGATGTCGAGGTCGAGAAACTGCAAGCGGACGTCGGGCGCTTCCAAAGCTAGCGTTCGTCCGAGACCCACGCTCATGTTCATGTAAGGTTGGTCGGCGCGGCAACCCTGCGTAACCCAGAGGATCGTGCGTTGGTAATCAACCAAGCTCTGTATTCCTTTCATGGTCTCCCGCGTGAGGTTGTGGAAGATGGGCTGGTCTAGCTCAGCGACATTCAACACGAGAGCCCCTGGAGAGATGGCGGCCGCTGCGCCGAGCTCCTGAGGCGAGGATACCCGAGTGATGTGGAATCCGAACCGGCGAGTGAGGTCGAGGACGCTGTCTATCAGGATCACGGTCGTTAAGCTCTGCCCGCCGATGATGACCAACTCGCCTTCTCCATTGTCTGCATGCAGTTCGCTCGCGGCGTGCGAAAGCGGCTCGCGAATGACGTTGACGCGCTGGTCAACTGCCTGTGAAACGATGACTGACAAGGGACGCGCCAGGATGTCGACTTCCGGCGTAATAGTATCGATGCCCGAGAAACCGGATCCGAGGAGTACCTGGTGCCATTTCGTGGAAGAGACGCAGGGCGAGTACTGCCGGCCATCTTCCCTGCCGAGCCACCATCCCGGCAGGCCACTCATGGCAAATCCGACGCGGAGGACGTCATTGCTCGTCATCTCCAGAAGAACGAGATACCCGCCCGGCTTCAGGAGTCGCCGGGTTTCCTGCATGGTCTTGTCGAGGCTCTTGGTTGCGTGTAGGACGAGAGACGCAATGACCAGGTCGTACGAGTGCTCTGCATAGCCCTGCTCCACGACGTCCTTCTCAATATCGAGCGCCTTGAACACCATCTTGTCCGCCACGTGGGCGAAGACCTCCTGAGCCTTCTCCATGAAACCAGTGGAGATGTCGGTGAATGTGTACGAAGAGAACGTTTGTCCGATCTCCCGGAAGACGGCCTTTGTAGCGCCGCCGGTACCGGCACCGATCTCGAGGATGTCCATGCGGGGGTACCGGTGGACGATTTGGGCCACTGTACGGCCCAGAAAGCCCGTGGGCTCACGCAGCCCCATCGCCTCGACGTAATACCGGTTCAACAAATTGTCCTTGAACATGTGCTGGAGGATCTGCGTCTCGCCCCGGACCGAAGCAGTCAGGTTCTCACCGACCGTGCGGCTCAGCTCGACTTCTATGCTCCCGGGATACTTATGCAGGATGTGTGAGATGTCGTCCCACGTGTCATTCAGCCATTCCCGCTGGGCAAAGCGCTGCCGTCCGCGGGCGGTTTGGTGCAGAACGTGCTCAGCATAGTCGAAGAGAGCCTCGTGGTGCCATTCCAGACCTGCACGCTGACTGAGCGGGATGTCTTGGGTCAGGCGCTTCAAGTAGTAGACAGACATTCGCTCCAGGTCTGCAGCAAGCTCAAAGTCTTGCGGCGTGGCACGGTTGTCAGCCGCCAGGGCGCCATCTGGAACGCTCGGTCCCCAGACGTGCTCCCGGAAGAGCTGTCTATCCGCCCCACTGGTGCGCTCAGCAAGGGGCAAGACTCGGACCCCGTACACCTGAATTAGAGGTGTGTGCCCGTCGCGGCCGTAGACCTCGACATCCCCTCCGATCATGTTGCTGGTCAAGGGGTTCTCTGTCAGGACTGACTCCAGCGGCAGAAGCGCTCCCGCGAACAGGTCTTGTTTGCAAAGTGACGTGTTGACTTTCAGACTACCGATACCCGTCGGCACGTGAAGCTGGTCAAGGCTTCCATCGCCGGGATACCAGTAGGCCAAGAAGATAGCCTGCAAAGCGGCGTCCAACAAGGCCGGATGGACCAGAAGAGCGTCCGCGGCAAGTTCGTACCCCGGAACGCGCACATTTGCGGAACCGTAGTTGATCTTGCGCCGCATGCCCGACAGGGCGCGGAAGTCGTCCGTATATTCGTATCCAAGCTTTTCAAGTTCCGAATAAAACGCGTCCTCTCCCACCTCCGCTGTATCGGCTGGCTCGGGGGCTCGTTGTGCTACCACGAGCTGCGCAGATGACGGGTCCGAGTCTGCAGCCAGGGTAACCAGGATGCGGCCGGTGGCCAGGTGAGAGAGAACGTCGGCGTCTGCCCCCAAGGCTGCATAGAAGGCAAAATTGGCGGTGACCTGCCTCTGGCCCTGCTTCGAGATGCCCGAGAGAGCGAAGAGCGTCTCGATGCCGGCCTGCTCCGTATTCTCGTCAAACACCATGGCCTTGCCCAAGTCAAAGTCTCGGATTTCGACGGCGTCAACGGCCCGACCGTCGGTGAGAAACGCGGAGGCCTCGATGGCAGTCGAGAGATATGCGGCAGCCGGATATACCATCTGTCCTTGAAGCTGGTGGCCGCTGATCCAGGGCAACTCGCTCGGGCGGATGAAGTTGCGCCAGCGCATCTCGTCGCCCACTCCGTCCGCAGTCCGCCGGCCCAGCAAAGGGTTAAATTTATCTTTGCGGTTGCGCAAGGCCCGTGAGCGTCTGGAGTCATGCCAAAACACCCGGTCGTGGTCCCACTTGTAAGTCGGAAGGTTGGGTACGACGCGCCTGAAAGTGGATGGTCCGGATCTGATTCCCGTGAGAAGCGAGTCGTACTGGCCAAAGTTGACAACAGGTGCGCTGAATCGCGCCCACACGGCGCCCAGCGCGGCGGACAGGGCGCCAACGTCGCCGGAGCCGCGCGAGAGCGTCCCGGTGTATGGTGGCGCAGGCTGTTTATTCTCGACATACAGAGCCGCGAGGGTCTCGGAGGCAGGGCCCTTGAGTGCTGCATGAGGGCCCACCTCGACGACCATGTTGAAGGGCGCATCCGCGTCCATGCTGCGGATTGCTGTCTCGAGCGCCTGGGCAAAGAGCACGGGCCGCACCATGTTGTCCTTCCAGTACTCTCCCTTCAGATCCTCACGATGTGTCGCCGACGCCCCCATGCGCGTGTTTGTGTACACGCTCGAGTACCAGGCGCAGTTGATCTTGGACTGGTGCGGCTCGAGGTTGCACGCGTTCAATGCTTGCTTGTATGGGACCGAGCAAGCTGCCATGTGGTGCGAGTGGTATGCCTTATCCACCTTCAGACGTCTGGCAAACTTCTTCTCGTCCTCGAGAACCTCCTTCGCTCTCTCGACCGCGTCGGCGTCGCCAGACAGCGTGACGCTGGACGGAGAGTTACAAGCAGCCACGCAAAGACGGCCCTCAAACACGTCGAAACTGCACAGCTCGGTCGCATCGTCAAACGTTGTCCCCACAGCCATCATGGCGCCTTCGGTCTTGACGTGCTCCTCGACACACAGGCCGCGGTAGTACGCGATCTTGATGGCATCCTCGGCGCTGATCATACCCGCAGCGTAGGCAGCTGCAATTTCACCCGAGGAGTGGCCCACGACAGCGGCGAATTGGATGTCTGCTGCGCGGAGCAAATCCACCAGCACGATCTGGATTGCAGTGCACAGAGGCTGAGCAATCCGCGCTTCGCCTATGCGTGAAGACGCGGTGCCGGCCAGCAGTTCGTCGATCAGTGACCACGACGGCCGGTCAGCCTCGGGGAGCATAAACAAGGCGCTCTCCAGGGACTGGAGACGACTGCGCACAAAAGTCGAGCTCTGGATCAGCTCGCGGCCCATGCCAGCCCATTGCGCGCCTTGGCCGGTGAAGATGCCGAGGACTCGGGGCGACGAGCTTACCGGGCGGGTCCCAATGCTGGAGGCAGACACATCGCCGGCGGCTCGCTCCTTGGTGCGTACCTGAGCTAGGTATTCTTCAATGCTCGAGGCTAGCTGTGGAGCAGAGGCGACAGCGGGGAATGCTGCTCTCAGACCGAGTGCGGACCGCCTCGAGTGCAGCGTGTAAGAGAGATCGCCCACAGATATGTCCGATTGCTCTCGCAGGTGGGTTGCATACGCCTCTAGCATTGTGTCAAGAGCCGTCTCGGACGCAGCGGAAAAGACGAATGGGGTAAAGGTGCCAGCATGGGCAGCCGTCTCGGTCGTCTCGTTGGAGGGCTCAAAGCTCTCCAAAATGACGTGGGCATTCGCGCCGCCAAAGCCGAAGCTGTTGACACTTGCCCGCCGCGCCTGGTTAATCTTTGGCCATGGCTTCGTCTCGGTGGCAATCTCTAGGCCGTTGTAGAACGGCGCTACCTTGGGGCTTAGCCGATCGAACAGCATGTTGGGCGGGATGGTGGCGTGCTGTATGGCCAGCGAAGCTTTGAGCAGCCCGGCGAGGCCGGCAGTGCCTTCGGTGTGGCCGATGACCGTCTTGATTGATCCGACGTAAAGCTTGTCCTTCTGTATCGGACGGGGGGGGCTGCCCTCACTACCGTAGCCGAGGAACGCTCGGCTAATTCCTTCGGCTTCCTAGTAAACGTCCAAGTCCCAGGTCATGGTCAGTCATCTACCAGCAACAGTCTCACACCGATATGGACACTGAACTTACGCGGCAATCACCAGCCTCGGTGCCGGTCCCATGAGCCTCAAAGAACTGACATCGCTCCGATTCCTTTGTCAGATCGAGCCCGGCCTTCCTGTACGTGCGCGTGATCAGGTCGGCTTGCGCAAGCTCATTGGGCATGGTGAGCCCCTTGGTGCGGCCGTCCGAGTTGATGGCCGACTCGCGGATCACGGACTCGATGTGATCCCCGTCCCGGATCGCATCGCTGAGCCGCTTCAGAATGATGGCCGCAACTCCTTCCCCCCGAGCATAGCCGTCCGCCTTCTCATCCCACATCCGGGATCGTCCGGTAGGTGACAGCATCTTGAGTTTAGACTCGCCAATATATAGCTCGGGCCCTAAAATGATGTTGGACCCTGCCGCCACGGCGAGGTTCGAGTCGCCGCTACGCAAGAGCTGTACCGCCTCGTGTACCGCGAATAGGCTGGAGGAGCAGGCCGTATCGATTGTCATGGACGGCCCATGCCAGTCGAAGAAGTAGGAGATTCGGTTCGAGATGAGGCTTCTGGCCGTTCCGGTAGCCATGTATGCCGGCATGGCGTCTACGTCCCGCTGGATGTGCTCGCTGAAGTCTCCGCACATAAGGCCGACGTAGCATCCGGTTTGGGAATTTGCCAGCCGCTCAACCGGCTGTCCAGCAGCCTCCAACGACTCGTAGACTACCTCGAGAAGAATGCGATGCTGGGGGTCAATGGAGTGCGCCTCAATTGGCTTTATGTTGAAGAAAGCGGCATCGAACAATCGGGGGTCTTCCTGCAGGAAGTAGCTCTCGGTGACGTTGCTGGTTCCATGGTGAGCTCCATCCGGATGGAAGAAGGCGTCGGCATTGAAGCGCTCGGGGGGATCTTCGAGAGCAAGTCTTTGGGTTGGCGAAGGAAATCCCAAAGCTTGGATGGGTTGTCCAGGGAGCCCGGGAATCGACAAGCGCTCCCGATAATAGCAATGGGCTCGTTTCTGAACCGGTCCTCACAGGTTGCTCGCATCGTCACGGAGACTCTTCCAGCACAGAGCATAAACCACGAACGAGGGATCCAAGGGCGATCGACAGGTTTTGTTGAAAGAACAAGTCTTCTTGGTAACCCGAGAACTTGAGTCAGAACACTCGGCGCTGCCTGGTTTCTCAAAGCGTTTACCCCTAGCGAGGTTTATCAACAACAGTCGTCTAGATGAAGTACTGACTGCAAGCTTGACCATGGAGGGTATAGGTACGGAGTACGGACTGCCATGCTGTCAGGTGTCAACGTGCAGCCGCGGCGGCAATCATTGGCTTAGCACGGGCTCGACCTCGCCAAGTATCGCCAATACCCGACCCTCGAAGTAGTTTTCAAATCCGAGACATTCGGGTCTCCGGGCTTCACTTGGGTATTACCGCGGCCTCGGTGCATATATCCATAATCCCATTGGACATTGCATCGTCACTTCGGCCATGTTGTGCAGCGTGCTCGAGGAGTCGAGCCTCGCGCTAGTCATACCGAGACACTTAGCCGAAACATGTCTGACAGCGTCATTTTCACGCATAGGTCTGAGACCCTGAATTTGGGTGACAAGGCGAGCGGTGATGCGGAGTGTGGACTGTGTGGTTGTTGAAAGTATCAGAAGAGGTGGACCAGCGCTGATGTGAGTTTGTGAAGTTGATTTGTGGCACGTGGAGAACTATCGGAACTCAATTTCGGGTTCTCGTTTTTGGAACGAACAAAGGAACATCACTGGCAATCGCGGACTGCGTCAGTGAGCTCTCCTATCCTATCTACCAAAGTGACGGCACAAAGTTCGCTAGCCTGTTCTTCCATCTTCCTAGAAACCCAATGCCATACACGACCCAGATCTGCCACTGCTTGATTTTATCTGGCAAGAGCACCTGCTCGGTAATTCCCCTGCCCTGAAAGTGCTCATTAGTGCCCACCTCGCCTCCCACCACATCATCCATAAACCCCGTCAATCCCGTGCCGCCCCCGAGCGACATCTCGAACATCTTGCTCCGGTGAGTGTGTTGGAAGCGCCACGTCTTCCCGGTGGTCTTGGACACAAACTCCAGGATGCGGCCCGTAGACTTGTCGGCCATGCTGCCGCTGACGTTCCCGCTTGCGTAGTCGGGCCTGAAAAGGACGTGGTCCATCTCGCGGGCGACGGTCCCGATCTGCGTCGCAACCACTACCTCGCCGTTCTTGAAGAGGATGGCCGAAAAGTACGACACCCAATCGTGCACCCGCGAGAGTGGCTGCCAGTAGCTGATCGTGTACGGGCCGAGAAACCCACGCACCACGTGCCAGCCGCGGCACACTTTGAACCAGCTGTCCTCGGCCCACAGCCGGCAGTGTCCGCCGGAGCCGGTGATGTGCATTGTTTTCTTACCGACTTTGATTTGCCCAGTCAGCCTGCCGCCTGCGATGGGTTGATTGAAGTACAGGCCTGGCGCCATCTCGACTGCCGGCTGGCCCGTCGCTTGCTCCTCCTCCTCCCCCTGCACCTTCGGCTGCCAGAGCTGTCCGTCCGCAAGATGTGGCGGCGTGCGGGACTCCAGGACGAGATACCCTTTTTCGTGACGCGCCTCCCACCACACCTTGGCTGTCTGCATGTCCTTCGCGACCCAGAAGGCGTAGTAACGGTCAGAGCTGTTCCAGACTCCGGAGACGGAATCGGGGCAGTCCTTGATAGTCGATTGCTGCGTGTACTCCAGTTCCTGGATGCGTGTCCCGTCCTCGAGCGTCATGTAGAACTCGACGCGTAGGTTGCCCTGCCCGAAGAAGCCGTACGAAGGATCGCGCGAGAAGCCCATTAGGATGTTGACGCTTCCCGACGCGGCCACGCCATCGAACTCCCACTGCTCCCACACGGTGTCGTTGATGGCCGATAGTTTGGGAACCTCCGGATGCTCGGCTGCGGAGACGGAAAACGCCACGGGTCCCTTGACCTGCTCATACGCAGTAAGCCGGCTGATGTGACATGAGGAGTCGTCCTGGTCCGGTGTGTCGAACTGGTACTGCCACTGCCCGGACAGCAAACCCTCGAGCGGCTGCTGTGTGGGACTACGGCTTGCGGCCGCCAGAGGGAGAAACAGCACCAGGCAGAGCTTCCAAGCAAGATCCATACTGCAATGGGGCACCGAGCGAAAAGACAAGATACGGATAATGTGAGTATAGCGGTAGTCGCGACAGATGTGCTATTCGTTCTGGTAAGCAACAAGACGTCTGCTCACTCTCTCCGTATTGATAGTGATTTTCTTGAGGACGTTTGACCTTCCCTGCAGTCTGGGCCTGTGATGAGAGTTTGACTCGCACTTCCGCGGAGGTAGCAGGATGTGGTTCTGGAGATTCGGAGGCTTCTGTGAACGGAAAAGCCCCCGGTCGGGGGCGCTTGTCGGAGCCCGACGCCAGCAAGCAGGCCTCGGCCAATATTTACAGTTGGTGGCGTTTTTCTCTGTTGAATCCTCAATGTCCACCTCGGAGTTCGGGATGACATGCGGAGTAGGTACCCTTGCCGGAAAGCGAGCGACTCGGATATACGTTTAGCTACAATTTCTGGCTAATACGCCTGGAAGATCACTGCATGTCACATATTGCTATTGGTAGTACTGCTTCAAAGCTGAATTACTGATACGAGTACCGCCATCCCTACTTTCAAACCTTCGCCCGTGGAGTAGCTTCCGCCCACAACCAAGATGGCCCCTGAATTGCCCCCCTGTCAACGGGCCCTGATCCAATCCTCGACCCCGGGGATTCTCGAGTTTACCCGGACACGGCCCATACCGGTACTGTTACCGAACCAGGTGCTCATCCATGTGGCCGCAGTGGCCCTGAACCCGTGCGATTGGAAGATGCCCACAAACTTTCCTTGTCCAGGTGCCGGAGTCGGATCAGATTTCTCGGGCACAATCATCCAGGTCGGACAGAGAGTATCACTAGACACGTACGGCGTCAAAGTGGGTGACCGTGTGGCAGGCGCTGCCCACGCGTCTAACCGTCTGCAGCCGCAGGGCGGAGCGTTTGCCGAATACATTGCAGCGTACGCTGACCAGATCTGGCGGGTTCCGGATGAGATGGGCTTCCCAGAGGCTGCTGCGATAGGCCTTTGTGTCGCAGGAACGGTTGGGCTGGCAGCTTTCCACGAACGCCATCTGGCACTGCCAGGCTCTCCCGAGAGGCCGCTGAACCGCGGAGACGAGAAGATGAAGAAGCCATGGGTGCTTGTGTATGGAGGAAGCACCGCGAGTGGAACGTTGGCCATTCAGTTATTAAAGCTGTAAGCAGTCACATCAGAAAAGGAAACTTCGTTATGCTGATGCGGATCAACAGATCTGGCTTTCGCGTCATTACCACCTGCTCGCCAGCCAACTTTACCCTGGTTGAGTCATATGGTGCGGAAAAGGCGTTCGACTATCACTCGCCAACGCTCACCGAGTCGATTCGTGCTTACACAAACAACAGCTTGAGCTATGTAATGGACATCATAGCGAGTGCTACATCCCTGCGGCAGTGCTATACCAGCATTGGACGTGCCGGTGGCCGCTATGTTGGCTTCGAGCTGGTTCCAGACGAGCTGGCACAGACACGGAGGGCTGTCCAGGCCAGTTGGGTATTGGGGATTCGGATGTCCGGCTCAGAGATTGCGCTGGAAGGAGGGTACGGCAGTCCCGCCGACCCTGAGTTGAGAGCCTGGGGATGTGAGTTGTTCAAGAGGCTGGAGAGATTGATTTGGGAGGGTAAGATCCGCCCACATCCGGTTGAGCTGGATAGCACGAGTGGGTTCGATGGGATTGTGAAGGGTGTGGAGAGGTTGAAGAAGGGAGAGGTCTCTGGAAAGAAGCTGGTCTTTATGCTCAAGTAAGCTAAAGTTGCGCGATCGTGGTCAGCATCTACTTCTCACACGGGACTGAGAAGGGTTTCTGAGGTCGACATGGGACGCCACCACCGTAGATCTTGATGTAGGACAACGCACGTATTACAGTCCTTGCTCATGTATTAAGAGTTTCAAAACAGTCAGCTCGCAGAGTATGGGCTCTCCGCTTTTCATTGGCATCAGGATACTCGAGATCACTTCGGATGTGAGCCTAAAGGACCAGTTCAATGTAACCATTGAACTCTTGGATGGAAATGGAAGGGACCAAATCAGCGACGGGTTTTGTCACAGACATTCAGTCGGGTCCAGAGATGCCAAACTCCTGACTGTAGAAAGAAGAGAAAACGGCTTCAGCTGTTTGAGATGGGGAAATCACACCCTCAGATGCTGTCAGATGTTGACTGACGAGAGTTTGGGAAGAGTGGAAGGTGGAGAGCGGGCAGGTGTGACGCTTCCCGTTGTCCGACTCTTAAGCCTCCTTGACCGGGAAACAGCGGCTGAGACCAACTCATCCGTGGGCTGCAGCTTGCCGTCAGAGCAACTGCTCCTTTTGTCTTTAAACTCTTATTCCCATTTCAATTATCTAGATTGTGAGGAAGGTGAGTTCGATTGCTTTCGATCGAGGTGCGCTCCAGCGTAGAAGCAAAGGCACTGAGCTGGTCTTTCCATCGGCAATATGACGACTCAAAGCTGCAGGTGCAGGAGAGAACAACAGCCCAACTTTGTCATGGCACCTTCTCAGTTCTTGCTCCGGTGCCCTCTCCTCAGAAGGAAAGCGCCCGGCAACCCACGACAAGGGCAACCACGGTCGACGGGTTCGACGAGCGATAAAGAGACGATTCTTGCACCCGTTCCGACTCCTTCTCCTTCATCCAACTTTTTTGCTCGCATCATCTCAGCTCCAACGCACCGCATTATCAACGGCCCCTTTTTTGGTTTTTGCTCTGCTGTTCAGCATCAACGTTACCTTACTCTTCATCGCAAACAAGCCTACACTTCAGCATCATCACACACAATGCCTCATTTCGCTGTAACCCTTCCGCTCCTCGCCAGTATGCTGGCTCTCGCCCACGCAGAAGACTTCCAACTGTCTGCCATTGCTAGATTGCCCGAAACGCCTCCCACGGCTACTGCTCCTCCCGCTCCGCTGCCGCCAAAGCTCGGGTATCCCGCCACCACCGCGCCAGCGGAACAAAAGGACGGACAAGACGGACAGGTCTTCGTGCTCACCCAGGTCCCCGCCGGAGCCGCCGCCACTGGCGCACTCGGACAGGATGACGCCGTGTGCGACGAGGTGGCGGCGCGCATCAAGCCGCAGCTGACGCCCAAGCCGGCCTACCCAGGTCCCCTGCAGGGGCTCGCCACGCACCTGGGCGGCATCCAGTACGACAACTGCAAGGAGTTCAGCTTCAACGGCGGCAACGCCAAGCTCGACGGCACCGACAACTTCAAGAAGTTCTCGGAGGAGCGCTACACCACCTTCATCGTGCCCATCTGGGCCAAGGTCCACGAGCTGTGGGAGGCCTGCGGCGACAAGGCGGGCGACTTTGACGAAGTCAAGAACGAGCCGTGCTACAAGTGGGCGTTTGAGCAATGCCAGGCTTCGAAGGCCGGTTCCGGCACGCAGAATGCCGCCACCGAGGAGAAGAAGCAGCCCGCCGCGGCGCAGCCTGGGGACAGTGCTGCCAAGCCGAGCGGTAGCGGTGGCGGGCTGCTCTTGTTTGGTGGTGCCGGGAAGAGCGTTGTTCCACATGCTGTTGCTGTTGGTGTGGCGGGGGCCGCGGGGCTCATGGCTTTCCTGTGGGTCATGGTCTAAGGATGAGGGGAATGAATCAAGACAGAGTGGGATGGTGTTTCAAATCTCCTTTGAGGTAGTGGCATGGTCTCTTCGGCGGGTTGCTACGGTATTATCTTTAACGTGTGTGTTGTCCTGGTGGAGTCGTCTTCGGTTGTCCGGTTGGAGTTGTAGGAATACGGGTATCAAACATATCTGTCTCGGGAACTGCATGGGATAGACAGTCACGGTTAATCAGGTTTTGGTTCGTGTCGATTTGTGCATCTTCATTTGCGCGCGCTTTCGGGGTGTCGTTCAAACATGGGTTGCTATTCCAAGCTATGAGCCCCTTGTTTGGCGAGCCTTCCTTCCCCTTGTTCGTTGCCACGACAACCGAGTCCTGACTGGCCTTGGCGCTTACCTTCCCACAACTACAGTGAGAAGAAGTCATCTTGAGGCAGACACTGGAATGCCCTCCACTGTTTCCGTTATGTACCAAGCAGGGCGCCAGGGAAGCATGCGATTGCTTGCACCCACCCCCTCCCCCTGCGCAGAGACTGCACCCACGATCGGTTGTTTCTGCGGCATGTACGTCCCCCGGATTTCGAAGGTGCCTCCGGTGTCTGGTCCAAGCGACGCTTGCCTGATGGCCCTCCACACAACATCGAACCGCTCATCATCCCTGGTGAATTTGCACATGCTTGAGTGATCCCCACCGATGTACACTTGTTCTTCGTGGGGCAGTTCCATGACGGCTGAGTATCTTTCCACGACCTTCGCGCGGGTTGGGTTAGCAGACACAACTGGCTGGGGATGGAGTCGACAAGATCTTCACCCACCACGCGGCCCAATCTGCCAAACGTGTTCTCTTCGATGAAGCTGACCAGGGCGTAGTTCTGTGCAATCGGGCGGAAGTCTTCAGATAGATCCAAGAGGTCCTTGGCGTTGGGCCGCAGGAACTTGAAGAAGGGCGTTCGGGCTCGCGTGCCAAACGACGCGGCCTTGATGTTGGCGATGACCTCGCCCCACTGGGTGACGTCGCTGCCCCGATGTGGGGTGCCGAAGAAGACAATGCCCTTAGTGCTGGTGAGTATGTCCCCATAGACTTTCCACTCGTTTCTCGCTAGTGTCAGGGCCTGCATTAGGTCGACAACCGTTATTAGCTTGCGAATGGACGCAGGGAGAGGACTGGCGATTCATCGAACCTGTTTGATGATGATCCCGCCGAGACTGTGGCCGACAAAGACAATCGGGCGATGTAAACTGCCGTCGTCTTCGCGCTTATTTCGCAGCAGCAGCAAGAGCTTTCGAGCGTTCCCCCGGACACCTGCAACCGACGTGTTGCCGATGACGCTGGCATCGTACCCAAATGTCATAGCACGGGTCCTAGGCAGCTTCTGCAATAGAAGTTCGTTGAGCCAGACCGTGGGTGGTTCGCTTGGCGACTGTCCAGTCCAGCTGGTGAAGCAGTCACCGTTTAATCCGTGGACCGCAACCACGCTGAGCCGAGGTCAGGTCATGTCGGCGACTCGCGGTGCGGTGGGCTTAGACTCACTCCAGTGTGGGCCGTCCGTAGGTCTTCTCCCAGTTGGCACTAGGAAAAGGGAGGGTGAACAGCCCCTGATTGTGGTTGCCGTAGTCTGTGACAGCCAAGTTGGGCATGTCTGACTGGGGATGATGAGGTTGATGATGGTGGCAGTCAGGGTTGAGAACATTGGGTTGAGAACGTGAGGGATTGGGTCTTTTAGTCGCAGTTGAGCATGGCATTTCTGCCTAAGAACTTGCGCATCGATGAGGCTAGTGGTAATACCCAAGTTTGGAGCGAGGACGGCAACAGGGCTTATCGGCGCGTCATCTAGGAAGCCAGTGCCAAGGTTATGCCGCTGACATTGCTTCTCGACATTAGGGTTAAGCTATGTGGCTATAACTCTGTGGCTCCAAGTTAGAACACCCTACAACTGTCCTTTCGCTAATACCTGTCTGCCTTATCTCGGTCAAGGTTGGGCTACCCTGTGGCATTGTTGCTGGCCTGAGCCCAGCGCACGCCTTGTATGTCTGTCTATGTGGGCCGTGGGTGCCCAAGGCTGGTCAGATGACGCCTTGTAAGTCGGCCAGCACAGAACGTTACATCATAAGGCCCAAATGGTCGCGATGTGCTTCCATACGATAGCTGAGTCTTGGGAACGGTGGTGTGGTGACTTAATCAGTCTCTTTCAGTCTCTCTTTCGGTCGGGAGGATCTGGACCTTACAGGGTGCGCAAGTCGATCACTTTCTCACTTCTCTCAGTATCTGAGCCGTACAGGTGTTGTTATCATTATTAGGCACCGATCGCACCCCAAGCTTCGACCTGGTCGCAACTGGTCTGGATAAATAAGCATGTCATCCAAGAACACCCTCGTCTTCAAAACGCTCTATGATCCGCTGGTCCACAAGGGAATACCGGCAACTCTCGAGTAAGTTACCCATATGCTACCTAACCAAGCGAGGCCTTCATAATTCTAAATCACTTGATTTGTTGCTGACATGTGATTGTAGCGTGGTCTTGATCCACGGTCTGAACGGCGACTACCTCAAGACATGGCTGCACTCCGCAACCGGAGTATGCTGGCCGAGGGACTTGCTGCCAGCAGTACTGCCGAGTGCCCGGGTGTTGTCCTTTACATACAGTGCCGACATTTACGGAAATACGTCTGTCACCGGGATCAGGGGCAATGCTAACGCGCTGTTGGCGAGGCTCCGCGACCGACGTGAACGGGCGGACGGCAGGCCAATTGTCTTTGTTGCTCACAGCCTAGGAGGCATCATTTTGAAGCAGGTGAATTTTTGATGGCGGGTGTTGATAGTGAGCATAGCGGGCTGACGCAGTACCTATACAGGCCCTGTATCTGTCTCAGCATGACCGTCGTTTCCACGGACTGCTCGACGCAACACGCGGCTTGGTGGGCATAGCCACTCTACTCTCTAATCCATTGACAGCCATCTGATTCTGCTTACAGATTTTCTATGGAACACCACATTTCGGGGCGGACCGCTCTCGGTGGCTATCCATGGCCAAATCGTTCGCACCCCTCCTGCCTCGCAGATTCGCTGGGATGAGAAAAGCTAAAGCTTCCAACCTTGTCGACGCCTTGGCCCGGAGCTCTTTGGAGATCTCCAACATCTGCGAAGACTTCCGCTTCCTGGCGCGCAGGTTTGTTCTTGTGAGCTTCTATGAGACGGAAGTGTGGCCGGGCACCACAAGTGCTCCCATCGTCGACATGATGAGCGCGCTCATGCACCTGGACAATGAGGAACGGGTCCCGCTGGAGGCAAATCACATGGATCTCTGCCGATTCATGGGCCCCGAAGATGCCGGATTCCAGTTGACGTGCCGTTACATCGCCCAGGCAGCGCTGGGCCTCGGCCATGGCAGGGGTGACCGTTGGGGGATTCTGGTATCAGGAGATGCTCAGTCAATGTACATACCTAAGTGCAAGTAAAGCTAAAAGAGCCAACCGTGGAACGCGATGGACCGATGATGATGCTTATTCTGTCACGTTGCCATCGACACTAGCGTACGATTCATGGAGAGAGCGCATGGCGGTGACCGGCTGGATGGTTCAACGAAGATAGGCAACTTTGAGCAACGCCTCGGGACTGTGTAAATATTTCGCCAGCCAGACAGAGCATGGACTGAGAACCTCCTTCGCAACGATCTATCCCAAGCCAGCCATAACATACAACATCCACTCCACCGCCGCTTCTGTCGGACAAGCATGCATGCCAGGAGTAAAAAGGAGAAACACCCAAGTGGGAGTGAGGCGAAATAGGACCAGTCGTATCCCTAGGTAAAATGTCTAATACCTGCAAGCCTAAGCCCCCACGGCAGTCATACCCAGCAGGCTTTCGAGCATGTTGTTGCTCTCCACCAACTGCTGCGTGATGTCCGCCAAGGCTTTCTCGGGGTCACTCAGCGACGCGTAGAACAAGTCCTTCCAGTTCTCCCAGTCATCCAAGTCCTTCTCGAGCCCTTCCTTCTCATTGCTCAACTCCTCAACCTTCTGCTTCAGTCCCTCATTCTCCCCACTGAGCTCCTCAACCCTCTTCAGCAGCTGGCCTTTCTCTCCGCCCAACGTTCCCAGCTCCTTCTGCAGCTCATCCCGCTCGCCACTGACGGCCTGCACCTTGCCATCCAGCCCGTCCCGCTCCCCACGCAGAGCCTCGGCCTCCCGGCTGAGCTTCTCGAGCTGCTCCTTGAGCGCCTGCACTTCCTTATTGCGCTCGGCAAGCTCGGCGGCGGTTCTGTCCCGCTCGGCCAGCTGCTGCCGGAGCGCGCCAATGCCCTGCCCCGCCAGCCGCTTGTTCTCGATTGCCAGCTTCTGCACCTCCCCGATGCCCGTGTTGACCTGCGGGGCACCCGGCGTGGGGGGCGGTGAAATGCGCTTAAACCGGGGTGACGATGCGCTGGGCGTGGTGGGCCGGCTGCCTGGAGCTATGGAGGCCGGGAATGATGGGGGGGAGGTCCCGTTATTGGTTGTCTTCGTCGTCCCGTTTCCATTAGTGCCGCCGGCGCTGTTGGCACCGTTGATGCCATTGGTTCCGGTTGTGGTTGTGAGCTTCGCGGATTCCGTCTCTCGCTGCAGCTGGGGCTGGGCAGACGACGACGACACGGAACCATTGTTGCCCGCCTTGGTCCCATTTGCATTGGGACCATTGCCATTGGCCTTGCTGACAGGATCGGCATCATTAACAACCCTAGGACTAGCGGCGTCGTTGCCAATCGCCCCATTGCTGCCATTGGTTCCGTTTGCCTGCGCGCGGGAAAGTTCGCGTTGCGATTGCTGCTGCAGCTGGGGTATGATGGAAGAACCGGCTCGGAATGCCGTCTTCCGGGGGGGCTTTCCGCCCTTCCCGGCCCGGTCCTCTGCGTCATTGTGCAAGTTCATTGCGACCCCCGGGAGATGGAACTCGTGGGGAAAGCGCAGCCGATAATTGGACTATGAACAGGTAGCTGGTACTCGCTTATCTGCAGAGAACCGTACTATTGGTTTTCTTGCAGAAGTTGCGGGCTCAAGTGGCGTTTGATTTGGAGAATGGTTGGGCGGTTGAAGTCTGTGGTGGACTCAGGGAGGAAATTCACCGCGGTGTGCGTGATGGCATGCAGAAAACGACATGTCGGATATACGCAATGCAGAGGGGATTGAGTGAATTCATGTTTTTATATATGGACTTGCATTCAGCCGCATAATGGCCAAGATCTGTCAGGCTCCCGCCGGGCTTTTTGGGTATCCGTCTGGGTTTGTTTTGGGCTTGCCAGCCTAGTCAGCATGCTTCCATTGCAATAGTTTGCTCGATGACAGGTGCTGCTTTGTGAGCCCCATCATGTTCGTTGATCGTGCAAGGCTTAGGTAGTCTCAGATGCATGGAATACCATGAGCTCCCTCCCATGGACTGAACATCGCTGTTGCTGCATTATGCATGTGTTCGGCCCAACGCAATTTGGAGACATAGTAGGCACGCAGTATGCATGGATGCCCAAGGAGCTTGAAAGGCAAGTCCCGGAAACTCCGTTGCATCGGGGAATGGCATTATCAGTCCCATAATCAAGGAATCTGGGACAGCGTTCTCCGCGGCATACCCTTTCAAGAGAGCCGCTCGCTGATTCTTATCTCACCCTCGTTGGGTTCCGTGGAGCACCACATGGGTTGTCGCGATCTGCTGATTTGTGACTCCCAACACTGATGCCTTGAATTGCTCGGTGAATCCTGAACTTCACATCAGGCATGGAGTAGCATCATGGAAGTCTCTGTCCCTCTCTGGTCACAAGCTGCGGCGTAGCAGACGTGGCCCCAGACAACGTAGGCTTCTGGCTCCAAGGAAAAGCCCGGTTGTCTCGTCTTGGATTTTGAGGCACTATGCACGAGTAACACCTCTTCGCCATCGCTGTCGTCGATTGCCCCTGCTTTGATGCCTTTTGATCCGGATGCCCAACGTTGTCTCAGCTCTCAGGTTGGCTTCGGATTCAGAGCCACAGAGGTTCGAAGACCACAGTTTCCCTCCCCAGTCCATCGCAACCTCACTGCGACGACGTACCTATAGCAACATCCCGCTTCACACGCCTTAGCTCTTCCTTCAAGTCGGTGATTCTCGAACTTTCGTACTTCTCCCAAGGAAGGCCCCCGAGCAAACCGGCTTCTACGTCGTTATCATTATCCTCATCCCCTGATCCGCCCTGGAACCTCACGGGAATGCTATTCATGAGTTGCTCTCTCAGAGCTCGGACTTCCGACTCTGCATCTTGTAGGTCGTACTGCAACTCCCAGTTCTTTTGTATCTCCTCGCGGAGTAGAGACCTGAGTTCATCGGCAGCAGTGGTCGCAGAGTTGAGCTGTTTCATCAACCTGGCGATCTCGGCTTCCTTCTGTTCTGCAGAGGCCAATACAGCTTCGTATTTGCTTTTCCAGATGCTTGCCACCTCCTGTCTCTGCCTATGCTCCTGAAGGAGTTTCTGGCTCCTGCCGACCTCTTCGGCGATCTGACGGAGTTGCCTCGGAGCCGGGCTCGGTGAGCGCTCTCTCCAGGTTGCCAGGGCTTTGGAATCTGACCGTACTGCCTTCTGCAGGGCGTATTATTTAGTCCTCTGACGCACCAGACTTCCATTGCTTTTCCCTGCCTACCTGTTGATCACCTGCGCTTGTCTCTCCGTGCCTCGGCACCTCCGTGGCATGGGAGGACGGGCTCTGCATTGGCGCCTCGCTTGACGAGGAGAATGAGTTCGAGATTCCCGCGAAACCGAGCTCCTGACGGTCATGGTAGCTGGGGCTGCTGTCTCTGTCTTTGGACATGGTGTGCTTGACGGTTGGGGACGGGTCTCAAGGGAGATGAATGCTGGGAGTCAGAATATGGGATCGTGGTGGTTGGTCGCAGCTCCATGGCAAGTTCAATCTGGGGCCATCCGAGTCGCACCCTAACAACTTATCGTAGTGGGTGCAGAGCGGATAGGTGCCTGAGGAATCAGACATTACTTGCGTGCGCCACATGCGCCAGATAGGCCCCGGTCATGCGGGTGCATGGTGCAGGCGATGATACAAGGGATTGCCCACTCGCAACCACCGATTTATTTGTCGTCCAGCAGAGGACATGAAATCGGGCCGCCTGACATTCAACATGCGGTTCTGATCGATCTATATGCAATGCACTTGCATCCGACCCCCACTTCAGCTTTTAGCTTTCCGTCAGCAACTCGATTCCCCACGAGCCATGGGGGATTGTCGATCATGTCGTGTCCTAGCATGCAGTACATTGGACAATATCCGTCATTGGCTACTTTACTATACTAGTAATCAATTGCACAATCCCGAGGAGCTGCGACGCCCATGACCGCCCCAGGCTCCAAGATTCACTGCACATACAATCGATCGCGGACGAGAATGAAGGTAGAGATTCTCTATCCATCTGTCGAGAGGCCTGGGACGGAGCCCTCAACCATTGAGTATGTCGACTTGATATTTTTGGGAAAGTCAACTGACACGGCGTTTGCTCTCACGATAGCATCGTTTTGGTGCACGGGCTCGAACCACCGGATCGAGGTGGCCGCGGACTCGAAACATGGACCGCTGGAGACGGCACAGTTTGGCCTCGGGACCTGCTGCCCAAGTACATGCCGCAAGCCCGCGTTTTGTGCTTCCAATACAATGGCTTGATCGGCCGGGCCGGGGCGAGAAGCGTGGTCAACATCAGAAGTCTCGCAACCGCCCTCCTTTATCACATTGACCTTCACCGTTGTCAGCCAGTCGAGGCTTCGAGGCCGATAATCTTCGTGGGCCACAGCTTGGGTGGTGTCATGTATGCCTGCTCCCATCCGTTTTGTTGCTCCTGCGTCCACAGCCGCACGGGATGAGCACGGTGCTCGCGAACAAGCAGTAGAGGCTAATGATTAACAGTATCAAGCAGGTGAACTCTGCAGTCTCCCCATGCTTCTGCCACATGATCAGCCCATTGACTTGAGATCAGGCTTTCACCCTTGCTCACAACGAGAGCGGGAGATATAAGCACCTTGCAGAGGCCACTTGTGGTATCGTGTGTGGACTCCGACAGGGCCAGATGTGTTGCGTTACTGACGAGATGGAGGCAATGTAGATGTTCTTTGCGACTCCTCATCGCAGCGCATTGGACGAAAAAGGGAGAGACTACGCGGAGCGTCTACTCATTGCGGTAGGGACCTATGGACTCAAAAGAAGGATGAAGCATGTTCCTTGGCCGAGGACGTCAGTAGTCGAACCAACCCCAAGGATGCTCCAGGGCATCCAACGTCATAGCGGAAACCTCCTCACATACATAACCACAGACTTCTTGAATAAGCTCGCCAAGACGGTCACAATCGTCAATTTCATCGAAGAGAACGAGACGGAATGGTTAAAGACCGCGGTCAGTCGGTGGAATACACCATGGACCACGAGTATTGCAAAACTGACCCGAGCCTGTCATAGGTCGTGAGCGACGAGGAAGCCGATCTCGACCAGGAGCGGGCCGACTCCCAGTACCTGGCCGGAGATCATATCGGCATTTGCAAGTTCAGTGCCGGTGAAGACGAGCATTTCAGAACAGTCCATGAGAGCCTCAAGCGAATGGCCGAGGAGCCGGATGTCCATGTCCAACAAAGTACTACTCGTATTCCATCCCCTTCGGAAAGCGTCCAGAGGCTAAAGGTGTCAATCAAGTCCGACAGGCTATGGGCAGTACAGAGACCCGACAATCTAGGGTCACTCCAAATGAGCTACTGCGGTCTCTGTGCACCGACGACTTCCACAGATATTCCAGTAACATTCATCCAACGAAAGGGACCGGTCGATGGATCGAGGAGAAGCCTGCGTTTCAAGCCTTCCAACAGGGTGCCGAACCCAAACTTTGGATTTACGGCGAGCCTGCCACGGGCAAGACCTATCTCGCGAAACATATTACGAACAGCATGCGCATCCGCGGCAATGTCCGAGTGCTCGAGTGCTTTCTGGACGTGCAAAAGCCTGCACGGAACAGCTGCGAGGCCATCCTCCGCTCAACCATCCACCAAGTAGCCAGAGGCAACCCTGCCCTCTCGGCCCGCATTGGGACGGCTGCTTCGACGCTGGGTAGTCGGAATTGGACGCTGGAGAGTTTGACGGAACTCTGGCCCCAGGTGATGACGGAAGCAGTAGAACTCGGCGGCAACGTCGTCATTGTCCTCGATGGGTTCGATGGAATCCCGCCTAGGGACCAAGAGGTCTTCCTAGACTCGATCGAACAATACGAACAAAGAGTGTCAACTCGGTTTCGACCAAGTCTTCGCATCCTCATCCTATCGCGCTGGTGCCCGACACTCGATGCTCCAAAACGAGGTTTTACCGCCTATCAAGTCCAAGAATGCGATACTAAAGCGGACATTCGCACCACCGTGAAAAGGGAGCTAAGTCTCTTCGCGCATCATTGTCAGTACTCGGAGCAGTTCCAGGAGACTCTGTGCGATGCCATCGCCGAGGGCGCCAAGGGCATTTACTTGTGGGCCACCGTGATGATTGCCGATATTGAGATCTGGATGCCAGGCGAAGACCAGTTACGAGCGCGGCTTCAGAGACTACCGCGGACTCTTGCCGAGCTGTATGACTCAATCCTGGGGAGCATCTGCTCACGAGGAGATGAATACGCGAAGATGGCAAAACGGGTTCTGCTCTGGGTCGTCTTCTCCCTAGACGTTGCACACCCCCTGACGCTCCAGGAGCTGAACGTCGGTATTGCACTGGCGGGACTGTGGAGACCAGACTCAGACAGGCAGATCACAAACGAGATGGTCACGGCCCGTCTCATTCGGTCAGGTATTTTCAAGGCTGTTTTGTACCGCGTGTGCGGACAGCTGCTTCGGATATCATCGCACAACCATGTTGAGCCGGTCCACCGAACCCTGTCGCAGTATCTGAAGGCAAAGCCGGAATTCTTCGAACAAGAACATCCGGATTGGCTAGTGCCGCATCATAGGCACTTTCATCTGCCGGAGCATGAATCACATGCTGACCTGGGAGGCATGTGCGTGGCATACCTGACGATGCCCTCGTTCGCAGCTTCTGGCGCAGAATTCGTGGCAAGCGACAAGGGCAGAGCGGAGTGGGAGACTAAGCTCCAGGCGAGAATTGACAACTACGAGCTTGTCCGGTATTCGGCTCTGTGCTGGTTGAGACACCATGCCTTAGCCAGAGACCACCAGAACACACGCGCCGCAGGCCAGCCCCAGCAGAACGCCAACACGTTGCGTGATATTAGCACTGACTTCGGTATCAGCTGGCGCGAGCTATGGTGGTATGTTATGAAGTGGCCAGAGTATGACTTCCCTGGTCGCAGTATCGACCTGGACCCCGTCATTCTTGAAAGCTTGGAGCCGAAGGACTCTTTGAGACGGCAAACCTCCGAGCAAGAGGTAGTTGCACCAAGAAGAAGCGATAAGAAACCAGCAGAGGAGCAAATAGTAAAGCTGATACCAGTAGAGCTGGATTCGACAAAGCACGATGCAGCAGACGATGAGACAGCAGGGTTGGAAAGAGCAGAGGTGCAGGTGCCCCGGCCAGCGTCTGCCCAATGGAAGGCAGGACCCCAGGAGTCATCACCGAAGGACCTTGCAGAGCTGGAAAGAGGAGAGCTGAAGACGGCACCTGAGTTAGAGTCAGAACACGGGCGAACAATAATCCAACCGACACCACTCCAAACAGAGTCTCACGCATTAGGAGACTCTGGGGGTTTAACGAGTAAAGGGGGATCTCCGAGTTCCGGGATTCTTGGAGGTGCAAGGACACCGGACAGCCTGATCGTCGTCAATGGGTATGCGCAACCCTTCCCTCCCCGTGTTCATCCGCATCTCGTTGCTGACAGCGACAGCACCACTCCCATCAAAACTAGACGCCAACGCTGGGGAACATGTCGTTCCAGAAACTGCTGTTTGGTCATGTAGCCGAGAGAGGCGGTAACAAGTCAGACTGTCTTTGGGTGTCTTTGTTTTGAGGCTTTGTGGATGCTGGTGATGGATGGAAGTTTTAGTCTGGTTCCCTACCCGTACTGCGCTGATGCCGGCATGATATGTTGCTATGGAAACCGCTTAGGGGTATCTCCTAGAAGCCGAGTGAATCACTACCTTAGCTCTTTGTTATCACGAATAGTGTGTCAATACTATGTACTCGGGTACAGGTTTAGGCCAAACATGTTTCTCTTTTCCAGAGCAAGAATGGCCTGTGCAGCACAGCATACTGCGTATCAGGGTGCTATTCGGAATGATCCCACTTCCTGTTTGACATATAGTTTCTGCCATCTTTCACAGTAGACGAGAAGCGAGGTAAAGATGGGGAAGAGGCCTGTGTTTTGAACACTAGGCCTTTGGGCCCGCTGCAAAACATAAAGAGAGGAACCATTGTTAATGATTTGGGTATTTGACATCAGCATCTCCCTCAGCAGATATACCTATATAGCCTCTTCCACTTAGGCCATGTCTGCCGCTCTTCATCCTCCTGGGCCTTGATGATGCCCAGCCTGCCAAAGTCTCTGCGCCCGGTATCGATATCCATCTCTTCCACCTTCACAAAGCTCGTCCTAAACCAGAGCTTATGTCCCAGGTAAAACACCAACACCACCGGGAGCGCCAGACAATCTACAAAAAAGTTCTGCGCCAAATCAGCCGCACTCTGCGGTTTCTCGCCACCATGCAGCGGTAGCGGCGAAACAGCCACCCATAACTGCGACGCCAAAACAAACAGATTGCAACCCAGCCCGATCCAGCTCCCAGCCACTCCCGCCTGGGCACGAAACGCCATGTCCGACACGCGCCGGTGGCGATACGCCCACGCCCGGCGCAGCCGGATGTGCGCGAGGCAGGTGCTCGCCCAGGTAAAGACGGTGCTCAGGCCGCTGACGGCCAGCAGCCAGTCGAAGACGCGGCTGTGGTGGCGGAAGTTGACGAGGTAGGCCAGCAGGCCGGCGCTCGACACGGCCAGGAGGGCGACGAGCGGGCGGCCGCGGCGGTCGACGTAGGCCAAGATCTTGGGCGCCTGGCCCTGCTCGGCCAGCGCGGCCAGGGTGCGCGAGGCGCCGAAGACGGACGAGTTGCCGACCGAGATGACCGACACGAGGATGACGCCGTTCATGACGCTGGGCAGGATGGTCGCGCCGGCGCTCTCGATCGCGATCACGAAGGGGCTGGCCGTGGCGTCGGCGATGTTGGTGGCTCCGAGCAGACGCGGTTCAGTGTAGGGGACCAGCAGGCCAACGAGGGTGAGCGAGACGATGTAGAAGAGCGTGATGCGCCAGAACACTTGCTTAATGGCCGTCGGGAGGGACTTGCGCGGGTTGGCGGTTTCGGCGGCTGCCAGACCGACAAGTTCGGTTCCCGCGAAGGCGAAGGCTGCGGTCACAAAGACGCCACAGAGGCCTTTAAAACCGTTGTTGAAGGCGCCGGGGTCTTGCCAGTATGTGCCCCCTATGTAGCCGCCTGTTGGAGTGCCACCAATGTTGATCACGATCCCTAAGAGGCTGCGGTACGACGAGTTAACCGGTCTGTGGCTCATTGTAAGAAAACCTGAAGACGGATGCTCACATGAACGCGATGACAGCCGTGACCTTCACAATGGCGAATATGAACTCGGCCTCTCCATAGCCCCGAATTCCTAATAGGTTGATTGCGACGATGACAACAAGGAACAGGGTGACAAAGATGGCTTTCGGCACGTCTGGGTTCCAGTACCCTATTGTCAAGGCGCCAGCGATGATCTCCAACGGGAGGACAACGGTCCATTGCATCGCATAACTGTGGTAGTCACATGTGAGCTATCTAGAAGTGATTATGGCCAAGGCAGCCAGACTTGTCGGATGATGGCCGGCACATCAGGGGAAAATTGAGGTCGACTTACTTCCAGCCCATCGCAAAGCCCCATGACGGATCCAGGAATCTGGTTGAGAACGCAGAGAACGACCCGGCCACGGGGAACACCACCGCCATTTCACCGAGTGCCTGCATGGTGCACCACAACATGGCACCAATGATCATATAGGCGAGCAACACTGACCCCGGGCCTCCCTGGCTCAGTGCCTTGCCAGACGCAACAAACAGCCCGGTCCCGATCGACCCCCCGATAGCTATCATCTGCAGGTGCCGTCCCTTAAGCTCGCGTGCTAGAAGGGTGCTCGCCGTTTTGGCGTTGGCTGCTTGCAGGTCGTAGTACCGCTGTCCCTGATGTTCGCGGACGGGCGCAATCCCGCCGGTAGTCCGTCCGAACGTGCCATGTCCGCCATCGTTGACATCCTCATGCGTGGCACGAGGAGCAAAGCTGGCGCTGGTTCCGTCCTGGCGGCGGAAGGAGTCGATGAATCGGCCCGCACGGCCGGAAGCCGGAGCCGCGGTGCGGTCGAAATCCGAGACCGACGCTGCATGGCTCGGTCCGTGGACCGTAAAGCTGCTTGCCCCTGCCGAACTGCGGCTCCGTCCCAACCGGTTCAACTCGATCCCGCCCTCGAGCGTCATTCTGTGAGCGTCATCGTCCTCGGAGTTCAAGTGCGTCTGAGAACCGAGTGCCTTCATGGGGTTCCGAGAACTTGATAAGATCTGCGCTGCACAGAGTGGGTCTCTCCGTCCCCGGATCAAGCGGCCCCTGTCGGTTGATACCACACAGCCGGTGCTCCCTGGTTTCTCTCCCCTGTCTTCAATCGAAACGGTGACGACGATGCTGGATCCGGTTGTAGAGGCGGGAGCACACGATGGGCTGTTCAAGCTTTCCGTTGCTTCCCTGCAGCCCGGTACTGTGAAATTACTGGTGTTCAATAGCCTCGGGGCACAAGTGTCGTGGCATGTTCCATATTAAGTGTCAATGGGCCGCATGGCGTGACACCGCCGGTGCTGATATGCTGCCCGATCGTTTTGGGGGGTGGACAGAGTGGGAAGGGTCAAGAGCCAAATCAAGCAAAGTCACTGATAACCGATAGCTATAGAGGTCTTGTAGCTGGGGCTTGTCGCTTGTGCTCGGCAACACACCCTAGGCAGACCCACTAGGTATCATTTCCAGAACCGATGGTGTGGTTTGAAGGATTCTGCTAGGCGAGTTTCGTTTGATGTGCGTTGCCGAATCATGGCGTGAGATAAACGGCTGAGGTGCTTGGTTGGGCTAGGTCAGCCAGAAAGCATGCTGTTAAACGCGGGGAAAAGGAGAGAATTGGCGACAGCTTGGCAGTCTCGGCGTCGCCGTTTCCAGGTTCGTAACAAAATGACCGGCTTCATTCAAAGCCAGTTACTCGGCAATGTTACCAGCGTATGTACAATACGGATCACATACAAATTCCGTATATCTTGTGCAAAAGAATCGGCGTCTCCGTTCATTCTGCCGCACCCTGCCAGGCGAAAACAGGGGTCCCAGGTGCCACGAGGGCTGTCAATGCTGATGTCTCCACTGATCATCACGCCTCTGGTCCCGGCTCGACATTCGAATGGATCAATGGAACGCTCCACAAAGTTCACTTGAAGAATGGCTCTGGACTCCTCAAGAATCCCAGAGCGGAACTATACACTGTATTAGTATACATTACAATGCTATTTGTATGCAAGTCAAGTGATCGGTGACGGCGACCCCGCTGCATAACAAAGTAGAGAGTCAGAGACCCGGCGTTGCATCACGTGTACGGTAAGGTGTGTAACTTGAAGCTGTCTTCCGCGGTGTGCACAGGTGGTCGCTAAAAAGCCCGTGTACATTACAAGGCATTACTGTCCTACACCTGACCGTTTGCGGCTTGGTCGCGATCTGGCAGGGGTTCCATGTGCCGCAACGGAATGGGCGACCCTCGCCGTCTACCCCAACCGCTCGCTGGCCCCGCGCTGCTGACAGCGGGTATCACAAGGCCATTGATCGTTTCTCCTGGGCCGCTGTACAGGGAGTCCTCCGCTGGGGCCACCGTGACCTCAATAGTCGTGGTCTTGAGAACCTTGGCGTCGCTGTCCGGCTTCCCAGCTTCGGAACGGGTCCTGGGAATCAGGGAGTCGACACTGCCCGTGCGTGGAACATCGGTTTCTCCCTCCGGAGCTGGCGTGGTAGCGCCAGCGACGCTGGGAGCTGTCTCACCAGGTCGGGGACTTCTAGCACCGTATGGCATGGCCGGTTCGTCGTCCCCCTCAGAATCTGGATCCTGCCATGAGGCCTTCTTGGTCACCTTGGAAGCTCGCTGTCCGCTTCTTGCGCCGGACGACTCCGTTGGCTGGTACCGATTGGGCTTCTTCTTCTTCACCCCCGTATCCCTCATAAACGTGCCGAGCGTCAGGGCGTTCGCCGCGAAGGTGGCCATCAATATCTCCGCCGAGGCCCACATTGTCCTCGTAGCTTGGTAGCCATCCTCTCCCAGGATTTTTGGCACCCTGTAGATAGCCACCACGACCGTGAAAATGTGCAAGCAGAACAGCGCTATCAGCAGGGCTTTACGGCCCTTCGAGATCCGGCTCTTAAACACGATGGGTACCGGGAACACCATTAACAACAGGTCCGTGAGGACATTGCAGGCGGTCATTGTGATCAGGAAGGCGTATCCTTGGCGGCACTGTCCTCCGGGGTCTGGGAGCACCTGCCAATAGTGTGTGAATGGTTTGCACTCGGCAAGGTCGGCGATGACGACGGCAACGAAAGTGACACCCAGAGATGCGCGCATGAACCGGAGGAGTATGGTATAACGGTTCTTGCCGGATTGGCCGACAAGACGGTCGAAGAACTCGAGGGTGACAACCTTGAGCAACCATAATCTGCCTTTTCTGTCAGCGTATTTGCAAACGCAACGTGATGTTGATGATCTTACATGGCGCAGTGAAGAAGCCGGCTCACCAGCACCAAACGGCTGGCGACGGATCTGCGGTGGATTTCAATATGGCTCGGTGGGGAGAGACCATCGAACAACACATTGTTCGTGCCGTAGAGCAGGATCGGATGCACAAGGCCCATGCGTACAAAGAGGGGGATCAGGGCAGCGGCCGCATATAGATCCTCCCGAAACAGCTTCTCGACCCGCACGCATCTCCCTAAGAGACGAAACAGGATGATGACCGCGCAGAGAAGCGTGATCCACCACGATGTGAGAAGCGTGGGCTTGTCATCGCTCAGTGGCCGAGGAGGCGGTGGCGAGGAGTAAAGGCTGGAGCCCATGATGGCATGGCTAGTGCGGTGTAAAGTGTGCCATCAGTTCGCTCAAACTTGTCGGCCAGGAGGCGAGAAAAGCGTCGCGGTCAGACTTGGGTGTCGGGAATGTGGCTGCGTCAAGTCGGTTCGTTTGCGCATGACAGGGAGAAACGAGTCATGTTGTTCCACCTCCTTCGATAAATTGTATGGCTTGACGGGTGGTGAAGGTCGGCAACACTTCTGTTCAAGGCGGATGCTGGTTTCACCAGGGCATCCTGGCCGCTTAAGGCATGGCATGTCCTAGCCGATAACCGTTTCGGAGACGGAGGCTATTGGGCGATGGAAGCGTTGGGTCGCGACAACTGATCCTTCGGCTATGTTTGCCACAGGAGACTTCGGCCGTGATGATATCAGTTGCTGCGCCATTTTCCGGGGAAGCACGCGCCATGACTGTTCGAGTAAGGTGTCGGACCCGAGAAGCGCGTGCATCACTAGAGCGTCTCACCCGGGGGGGACTGGGTTCTAACAGATATCAGAAACAACTGATGGACCCCTCGCTATGTTACACTCCGACCGTGGAGTCAACTCGGCTCGCACAGACTGCCCGACATGTTCTGCCTTTGGCCCGCTTTCAACTTGCCATCATCAGATTGTTGCGGCGGGCCGTAAGAACTGGTGGTGGTGCAAACATTGTGTGCAACTGCTCTTATCATCGGGCCGTTCTTGGCAGCTGAATGGGTGAGCGGGTCGGTGCCCCGCAGAAGTTCCGACCCACCAGCAGTCAGCCGGGGCATGTTTCCCATTCCAGCAACTCGGTACGCGGCTAGGTTAGTGTATTAACCGTACATCTGTAGGTCTGAGATAGCGACGAGATAGCTTTACGAGAGAATTAGTCTTAGTTTGCTGATATGTTCGGGTTCCGCACAGAGGCTACCGCAAGCAGAGATGGGCAAGCTGAGGAAGCTACGGAGCCGCGGTAGCATACCAGGTAGTTACAAGTATCCGTACCTACTGGTAAGAACTGGTGTATTTACAGTAATATCACCATAAGAACCGGACGTGTGGGATTGGTTCACGTGTGATCCTAACAACCATATTCCCATGTACCGTAACGTAAGGCATGGTATACACCATACCGGAAGACACGTACTGCAGTTCAATTCTTAAAGGATTGTTAGTGCCTAACTTGAATGACCAGATGTCAGCCACAAACATTTCAGCCCTTGTCGCTTGTTCAGCGCTAACAATTATTCAGGGGTTCTCCAATACAGTAGTGTTGGCTGTAATTTTGTAAATATTGATGGAATAAATTACACGTTACGATCTGTTCTATCATACTCCTAGATACCTATCCATAACCCCCATGAACAGACTCGTCGTGCTGCAAGGACGTCCCGTACACTCGTGTGCTACTTGATTGACCAGGGCAAACATTGAGCGGAGACCAACTTAGGATTTCAGAACGAACTGAGCAAACGATGAAAGAGCAACGTAATGTACAATACAATCCACCTATAGGAACCTAATTCGCCAATAACGTCCTAGCCTCGGAGAACATCAAGTCTAAGCAAGAACAAGCGGTACTTCCTCGTACTGCGGTTTGAATGATCCCCCGTCCAGTACCTCGCCGTTCATCAGCCCGTGTACATAAGCCTCGCCGAGGAGTTTGAACGGTTCTCCGATTGCTCCACGCAGTACCAAAGGCACCCTGCCTCCTCGAACGATAGCAACGTAATCATCAGCGCGGGATCGAGGCGACACGAGGCCACAATAGCCTTGCGTAGTCATGCAGAAGATCCGATCCACCGCCCTCCGCGTGAGGTGCGTGATCCAGGCCGTATACCCGTCGTTCGCTCTTCCACGCCGGGTATTACTACACGCTCTTTCACATTGCTGCCTGATACCTCCACCGAATTCATCATCTGCAGCAGTCGACCGAGTGCCGCTGCCGAGCCCTCGTCAGGGCTGGGCGGGTACCGCGAAGGCGTCGGCGGTAAGGGTTCTCCAAAAGACCTCGATAGAGTCCATATCCCTGTATCTATCATAACTTCGCACCATATCCAGGTGCCTATTTAGCCACAGTGTACACCGGCTTTTGCTCGCTGGATTGAAAGTCGACTGAAGGATTTCTCTACTCACGTAGGAGATACGGTCAACCAGAATGCCCGAAAGCATAACCCGATCAGATTTGCCGTCGAATTTGGTCTACGGTCTAGTGCATCCAGAAGCGTGGTAGGCTTGCTCGCAACTCAGCCGAAATATGTCTGTCTTCTCCGCTAGTTCCCAGTCCGGCATCCAGGACGGCAGACCGGGCTGCTCTGGTTCGAATTGGATTGTTGCAAAGACACCCAGACCGCCGGATCGGGTCATGGAAAGTTGTGCCGCATCGATGTATACTTGAGCAACCGTCTTGTTGTAATCAACCTCTAGATCAAACTCCGACGGGGATGCGGATATGGCGCGGAATACGCCATACAAGGCATATATCCGGTCTCGCGGGTCGAAGCAGAGCATCTTGTTGGTCAAATGGATCAGGTCAATCATGGCAAGCCGCTTGGCCTTGAAGAACCTTTCGCGGAACCAGCCCATCCTCCGGATCATCTGCCATGACGAGAGCATGCCGTTTTCAAAGTCAGGATTGCCCAGATCGCCCAACCGGACAACACGGACCAATTTCCCTTCTGACATCAAGAGCCCAAGGTCGTGTAACATTGTCCAGGGCATCTCGTGTGGACCGCACATCATGAGCATGTGGGAGTTCAGGACAGACTCCTGGACGATCCAGAGTCGCCTGCTCCATGGGGCATCCAGCATGGACTGCAACGCTCCGACTATCGGACTGGGGTGCGGCTTGATGAAGTCGGTAAATTCGATTCCCAGAAGCTCACACTGCTGCTTGTCTCTCTCTTCTCTCTTCTCGTGCCTCGTAACAGGCTCCGAGGCCCTACCCACTGCTAGCATCTTCTCGGCCAGTGCGATGGCAGACTGGGTGTTGCTATCGCCCTCGCCAATGTAGGTAATCACTTGCTGCGCTTTGGTGTACACCTGGTCCATGAGCCGGACCTGCGCGTTCCTCTCGGGAGTGTCGCGCTGGTTGATACAGATGCCGTCCGCCCACACAGTTCGGGTCTTCAAAGCAGGCGTGGCTCGTCGAATGTCGCCCAGCGCGGCAAACAGCGACTTCGTGATGGTAAGTTTGTTTTGCGCTTGAGTGATGTGGCCATTGGCCTTGATGCCAACATCATGGACATCGACGGTACCAGTGTCTTGCCATCCGTAGGAAATAGCCTCGTAAGGGGGCACGGAGTCAAGTGAGACATTCTCCAGCATGCAGCAGAGAGCGTCCGGGTTGTCGTTGGCACCGAGATGCAGAAGGCGGATAGGCAAACTCCATTTAGTCTGCACCTGCCTTCCCGAGCTACGGTTGCGGATGGCAAAGATACGCGCAAGTTGCAGAGAATGCCACACGGCCCGGGGACTCAGTTCATATCATGTGTTTTGTGGACTCCTCCCCTCCAGCTGCAGGATGCTAGGCAGATTATTGAATGCGCTGTTTTAGTTGGAGGCACAATGACTGTCGAGCTGAAGAACGCCACAGTTCGGAACGACTGGACGATACTACATGCTCAGCTACCAAGCGTAGTGAGCGGCTGAAACAGTGCGGTTATTACACTTGTTATAGAACAATGAAATCTCCGACACATATCGTAGATCGATGACTATGGCATTGGGGTCAAAGGTTGATGTGGACTGTTGAGATGGGGAAATGGTAGATGTGGAGGAATAAGGGCTGTAAGACTTGCCTAATAAGGTGTCTTGGGCGCAGTGGTTCGTACAACAACGGAGGAGTAATAACAGCAGTTTCCCTGCGTTCTGCCATCGCATCTTACTCATGAATACTGACCTGTAGCACCAGTAAACGCCATGAGCAGGGGAACCGTATCTGACTGAGACCACATCTAAAATCGCCCAGGAGCCACAAACAGACTGTGTACAGCCACCAGACTGCCCTGAGCCTCATGGCAAGCCACCTTGTCGATCCCGGTAGAGGTCATTCCCGTCCTATCGGTAACCGCTACTACGAGCACGCCGCATTTGTATCAGAATGGCTCAGGAGACCTCCACCAATCAAGACGCCAATATTATATCGACGCGCCTTCTGAGTTCAATATCACAATGAATATGTAGTGGCCCGTTTCCTCTGTTTCAGGTTGCTCAGAAGGGGGCAGAATCATCGCCCAAGAACACGAGTAGCACTTGCAGGTAGTCGTGGGTGCTAATTCAGCGATGTCATTCGCTCTCCTTTCGCGCTCTTTGCCCGCTTTCATCGTCGAGCATTAGTCTAGTATTGGGCGGACTTGTGCTGTTGCTGCTGTGAGATCATCCGTTGGCATCCAACTATGTACCGGCCTGCGTTAGTCTCCACAACTCACGATCGTATTCCCGGGAGTCAAACCCCGATGCATGATGAACGCCGTGTTGACTGGCTGGTTTCGTACTGCCTAACCTTAGGCAACCCGCCTTGGGCAGCCGACCAGTGTCAATTGTTGATGCCTGGGGTTGTGTGTGCCTGAACGGAGTCGATTGGTCATTGCCGTTTGTAGGGGCCACCAAACACCCACCGGTGGGGCAAAGTTCTTTGTCACGGCAAGCCCGTTACCGGCCCAACGGGGGTAATTTTTGTTGGAGCCAGGAGTCATCAGGAGTCAGGACAACGACTGGTATCTGTCCGTTGCCCGGGACGCTCAGCACGACTCGCTTTTCGATAAAGTCTGGTCGGTTTCCCGACAGCATCGGGGAATCCGAGAACCGCTAGACCCAAAGTACCACACCAGTGTTACTGTGTTACAAACTTACACCGCCGCCGTCGAACTTTCCTTGTCAACAGGTTTCACAACTTTCAGTAGGGATGGAGCAGTTCATGCTGGACAACGCTGAGCTCTACAAGCGTCTCGTTGCTGCGTTCAAACCAAGCGCATCCGACACCAAGTCCAAGGACGGCAGCTCCGTGGTGGCAAGCTCAGAGATTGTGGTCAGCGCCCGCGTCCGGCCCATGCTCGAAGATGAAGTCACTCAGGGATTCCCCCCATCCGTTTACCTTCGGGGTTCTAGCAACACCGTCGACGTGCATGAGCTCAGGAGGCCGGTGAGGGGCTTGCCAACTATCAATGTATGTCTCGAAGCTCACTAGGGAGATTGGAGTGGTTGCTGATTTGTAGACAGTCTTTCAACTACACCGTTGATCGTGTGTTCGGTCCCGAGTCCACCACGGCTGAGATCTACGAGTCCCTGGTTAAGCCGCTTGTGCCCTGGGCATGGGGTGGAGGTGTTGGCACTATGTTCGCATACGGCCAGACGGGCTCGGGGAAGACCTTCACTGTCAGCGGCCTGGAGAAGCATGTGGCCGAGACACTGATGGACGGGTCACTGGAAGGCGAGAGAAAGGTCTACATGTCCATCATTGAACTGGCAGGGCAAACAGCCTACGGTGAGAAGGATGCTTTGTGAACCTCGCTCCCTTCGCCCTTGTTGCTGACAATGTCGTCAAGACCTCCTCAACGCTCGCAAGCAAATCTCCATCCTCGAGGATTCGTTTGGCACCACACAGATGGCCGGGGCGCTCGAACACCACGTCACGGATAAGGCCTCTCTGCTCGAGTTCATTGAAGCAGCCGCGTCCCTCCGGCGGACCGCACCAACATTCAAGAACGATACGTCTTCCCGTTCTCATGCGATCTGCCGTCTACGGTTCGAGAATCCCCAGATGCCCTCCGCCGAGGACGGTCTCCTCTATCTCGTTGATCTGGCCGGCTCCGAAGCCGCCCGTGACAAAGCCGACCATGATGTGAGCCGCATGAAGGAAGCACGCGAGATCAACACGAGCCTCTCGGTTCTGAAGGACTGTATTCGCGGCCGGGCCCTCGCCGACGCTGATTCGTTCGCCGGAAAAACCAGCAAGAAGCCCACCACCTACGTCCCCTTTCGCCAGAGCACCCTGACCAAGACCCTCAAACACGTCTTCGACCCAACTAGTGCCCGCAGCTGTAAGACTGTCGTCGTGGCCTGCGTCAACCCCTGCCTCGCCGATGTGGCGGCCAGCAGGAACACTTTGCGCTACGCAGAGATACTGCGCGTCCTCGTCCCGAGGAACAAGGTGGCCGAGTATAGTCCGGATGTACCGGCTACCTGGAACAACGAGCAACTCCGGGATTGGATAGACCGTAACGTAGGTGGCTCGGATCGGCATCTTACCCTCGTGTGTCCTCTGGACTAACTCCCCATGTCTGATCTAGTCCGGCAACCCTCCCGTCAAATCGTCCCTGCTTGCCCCCACCGAGACCGGCGAACAGCTCCTCCGGCTGCCCACGCCAGAGTTCCTCTCCCGCTGTCTCAAGACTCCCGGCGTCTCGCCCGAACAAGCACAGGCGTTCCAGTCCAAGCTCTGGAAGATGCACATCGATTCCCAACGCGGTGCCTCGAAGGCGGCCGTTACTGCTCCTGACAAGACTGCCCAGCAAGCTGAGACTGTGAGAGCTCGACCGGAGCTCCTGGACTCGAGCGCCGACCCGGACCCGGATGCCGCAAGCATCCCGTTCAAGCAGCGGATCAGGCCGGGAATGGTAGTCAGCTGGAAGCCGCCGGCGCAGTATGCCTCGTTCTCGGTAGGCGGGAAGAGCTACGCGATGGTGCTATGTCCCGCCCAAGCGGTCGGAGAGAAGGTGAAGGATGCCTTGGGGAGGCAGGTCAGCGGTGGTGGTGGGGCAGGGGAGACTTATCTGTGCGCGATTGTCCTGCCGGCGCTGTTACCTGGGTCGTATGGGATTAGTCCGTGGCGGCAGGTTGTGGTGCAGGTGGACGAGATGGAGGCAGAGGTGTTGTTGGAGTGGGATGAGGCGACGCGGTATTATTACATGACGGTCTAGTAACTGTCTGAAAGACTTTTGAAGGATATCACAGGTCATCACAAGCGAGTCGGACATCTGGGAATAGATTCTGGCCCAGCCCACCTTTTCATATGTATTTCCTTTCAGCTTGTCTACAATGAGATTTGTCGAGTGCCTCCATTCCCCCCCGCCTTAGCCCGCACCGTTCAACCCGGAGGATATACCGCGCAAGTGTCTTGGACGTACGAGATGAGGACGGACACGCGTTGCCCTTTCAGGCCTGGTTGCGTGCTGATACCAGGGCGGCACTGTACATGAGAAACCACCATGTGCTAGTGAGTAGGAGTCAACCTCTCCGAGCAAATCACTCTTCTAAATGTGTGATGGGACCACGATTCTGGACCTTGACGAACTCCCAGACCGCAGACTCATGGTCCTTTGGGACTAGACCATTGCCATCCTGGTCAATAGCCACCTTCTCCAGCTTCCAACCCCTTCCATGCGTAGTCACTAGCAGCACGTAGCCCCCCGCCGGATGCCTTCTCGCGCAGAAGTACTCCCACGCTTTATGGTGTTTAGCCGTGGCCAGGATCTTCCCTCTCGCATTGTGGCCCATGAAATTGCCTGATGCGGTGTTGTAGAAGCCGAGCCATCCTTCCGTCTCGACGCAGGCCCAATAGAAACCGCCTCTCCGGCTAGTGTCGGGCTCTAATTGGAGTTCGCCGTTGATCTGAGTGATTGCCCTGCCAGAAGCCTTTTCGACGATGATGAACGTCTCTCCGGGACATGGTACTGCGTTGCGAATTGCGGTGTGGTCCCAGAAGGTAACTGGACTCCTCGACTCTTCCGTGAAGATGGTTTCGGTGTCCGACATATCCTCATGTTCCTTCTCCGTATTGGTGGCTATCTTGGAAATCATGGCGTTGTGTTGGGAGGTCTTCCGAGTTTCTCTGAACGGAAGGTGCCTAGCTTCTGAGAAGAAACTCGCGCTGCGAGGTGCTGTTGTCTGGCGCCCGTCGACTGTCGGAGATGTAAAGGGGCAGACACCTCAGCAGAGCTCGACTTTCAGGTTAGAGAGCAGAACCAGCAGATGGCTGGGCGGAAATGGCTCTATGTTATACTGCGGGGTAGATCCGACAGCAACCCCTGACAAGGAACCAAAGTGGTCCAAAAGGCAACAGACAGGACCAATAAAAGAATCCCTATCCCTAAATAACCGCCCACCGATCTGTGGTGCTGCCATTCATTGCGAGGAGTGCTGGCCCCAGAGCCACATCGCGTTGGCCAATAGGCCTACTAAAGTTTCAGCTAGGAGTGTGGCCTAAGTGGAGAGAGAGGGGTGTAGATGGGCGACGATCACCTTAGAGCAAATGGCGTCTCGGTCTACATAGTTGATAGTGCTGCAGTAAGAGAAGCGACGAGACGGTGAGAAGCTGTTCGATGAAGCTGTTCCGTTTCCTCGGTACTACAAAACGCGGCGAATAAACTTCAAGAAGGCCTTAATAATATTCACATAGTGTTCCGGTCGATGTGTCGCTATTCGGGTAACCTTCTGCCTCACAATATTGTGCCTGCGTTTAAAATTAATCTACCATCCGTTTGAGTAGGTGAAGAATAACTGCCTTAAACGCTGCCGAAACCAAGATCGCGTGACGATCTTCCCCGCGGCGCGGCGTGCAAGGAAGTCCCAAGAAAGTGACACTTCCACCTCAGGCCACCGGGCCCGGAATTTATGCACCTTACCTTCAACAATAGCTTCACGATTCTTCACCAAATCTTTATTGTGAAACGGGCTATTTGGAAGAAGACAGAGGCCTCGGCGAGGGTGGGTGGGTGATAGTCGCCGTTATCTTGCGTGCCAGAGAGCAAGCGGAAGTCAAGTCGTTTCTCCGGATTGTAAATGCGATGATGGTGGGAGAAATGAGAATACCTCAACTTTCTTCTCCCGTGCAAAGGTTCTCTCGAATCTCAATGCGTTGAGTAGGCTTGAATACCTTCCACCGGGCTCTCTGGGCAAGAGGCGTGGTCTTGGGGCCTCGCCGCCGAGGTGCCAGCGTACGAGCGTTTGGATCGAGTTCCTGCAAGGGCGGCGCCATCTCACAACACCCAAGGTATGCCCATTGCGAGATCTCGCGACGGCGCGTCAAATGGGGGGCGATATGTTGATATTGGGGCTGAGCCGAGGCCAGACTGACCTTCCTATACAAGTTAGGTGGAGTGGATATCCCAGGTAGTGTTGACGGACCCACAACCAAAGGTGAAGTCTTCGAAATCTCATCCTTCACTCTTTTTGCTCCTCACCTCCGTTTCCCTTTCCAAATTCGATCGTTACATACCTGAACGAGCGTCAATCGTCATGCCGAGAGAGCCACCACGCAGGGTACTCAGGTCTTGTGCCTTGGACTGGACTGATGTTGCTTCGCAGAATCAGTCGAGGCTCATGGCTATGCCAGCTGAGATTCGCAACAAGATATGGAAGAGCTTCTTTTCCCACGTGGCACGCCCGCGCTTGCGGTACGCGTGCGATATGGGAAGCGGCATTGAATCGGACTCACGTTTCGAAATCGCCTGGATCTACGCCAGCAAGCGGCTTTACCTGGAAGCCTGGCCCGTCTTCCTAGCTCAGGTGCGTCTCGACGTGGTGTACATGAGCCACTCGCCGGGGCAATTGGCTATTCTACCCCCTCCGATCCTTCGAAGAGAGCTTCGCGAGATATGCTTCCACTGCCCAGTATCGGCATTGGCAGAGCGACCACCGAGGCGGCCATTCCCTTTCCATAGGTTCCCGCGCTTGAGCACCTTCAGCGTCTCCAGCAATATCTCGATTCCTCTTGATAGATTCCGGTGCAAAGATAGCAACGAGCCTATGACTGTGGACGTGTATCGAGGGCTTTCGCCTCAGGAAAGGCTGGCCGCATGGAAAGACGCCGGCCTGCCATCCGTGGACGAGATCATGGAGCACATGACCAGCATGGGCAGGGGCGGCTGGATAAGCCGTGTCGTAGATCCAAAGAACTTCACGCGCCCGCTCGTACTGGATCCAGACTCGGATGATGAGAACGACGACGAGGATTGGCAGACAGCAGAGGAGCCACCCTGTTCGGAGGACGAAGAGATGGGATGTTTCTATCGGGCCAGCCGCGAAAGCCGATCGGCGGAGTGGTTGGAGGCTAAAGAGGCCAGGGACCTTGAGGCGTTTCGGAAAGTTACCGCTCAGATGCACACCTTCGTTGAGGCTGAACTGAGGCTCTTCAAATGGAAGGTCCAACCCATATACGGCGATCCGCTGGATACACTTTTCGTTCTTATAGACACGAGGACGCGAAAGATTCTGGAAGTGCGTATGTTGGATGAAGAAGAGATCGAGGAGAGGGCTCGGTGGGCCGCGGAAGCGACGTGATTTATTACGAAGTATGGGCATGGGCATTGGGCATTGATGGCTTCTCAAGCCCAAGCGGAACCGGTTGCTCCTCGGTGACCAGACATCTTCTGCTGCTGCAACGTGTCGGAGATATCCCATTGCTTTCCTAGTCTGTCTGTTACTTTGGTCCGCTTTTTGGAAGCTCGTACTCCGATTCAAATCGGAGAATTCATCTTCTACGAGTAACGGCTTATTCATTGTGATGACCAGACAGCAACGTGATTTGGCAAATACTTGATTCACCTAGAGATGAATAGTGCTTTCTGGGGACATGGAATTTTATTCGGCATTGTGGTGTGACACAAAATGACGCAAGGACATTGAAAAAGTACACTCTACAAGCACTAACCACGATGTACTGGGCAGTGTATGGGAGGAAGTTTAAGGTACGGTTGCATGACGGTTATCTAATGGTTCCTAACACACAACGGTCAGCCAACATGCATTCAGGAATTCTTGTCAGGCAACGGTACAGGTCTACAACCGTCCACTACGGTTATTCTGATACTACGGTTATTTCTCAATAACCGTTACCTATTCGCTCTCCTTTAGTCAGGCGAGGCGAGGGCACACGAACCCAGAATTCTTCCTTTAGTTAGTCAAACAAAGCCGGCCGAAGCCCGGGCCTGACAAATCCACTCCGAGCTCTCGTCCTTCACAACTTCCATACTAATATTAGGTGCTCTTTATGATCGCAATGCTTGGTACAGCAGAGTACAGCGGTGGTCTCGGTATCCAATTTCACCAAGTCCAAACATCAACAAACCCCCTTCCACCACCAACAGCCTTGACCCTCCCCGCAATATCCAACGGGCTCCCCTCCCAGACAACAAAGTGGCCGTCCTCCACCCTCGGCTCCTCCAAACCAAGCATCTTGTACAGATTCCCGCCCACCATCTCCAACGCGCCGCGCTCATCCACCCGCCCCTCTCCGTTCTTCCACACGGTCCCGGCGAGCAGTCCCAGATCCCTCACCACCCAGTCCTCCTCCAGCCCAATGCCCGTCAGCACACCAGCATCCAGCAGTTTATCCACGCCAGTGCCGTTGGTGAGCGGCGCGCCTGTCAGGGCGCGGCGCTGGTCCCAAGACGTGGCATACGAAAAGATCGGCGCGAGGATTACCCCCACGTGGGCAGCGGCAAGTTCATCCGCGAGGAGATGTGACTCTGCGCCGCCATAGACTACCAGGCGGAGTTTGGTCTCCATGCGTTCCTCCACGGTGGTCTTCACCTTGAGGAGAGCAGCGATGGCGTCGGCGCTGTGGACGGTGATCACTAGCGGTAGGGAGCCGTTGACGACGCGCTGGAGGAAGGCTGCCTCGGAGTAGATATCGGGAACGGTCTCGTTACGCTTGGAGGCGGCGGTCAGGAGCTTGCGGCGCAGGTTGCCGACTGCGGCGGAGATGGAGCCGATGTAGTCGGGTTGGTTGGTGCCTTTGACGGATAGGTCGAGAGTGTAGTGCACTGCTGCGTCCGCAGCGAAGATCGCGTGCTTGTCGAGGGGCGTCTTTGCGCCGGTTACGAAGCCGACGCTGGTGCCATGGTGGCTAGCCTGGCCCGTGAGCTTTGGTGCAGAGATGGCTTTTGTTACACCGTAGGCGTAGGAGACGTTCGTCTTCTGGGTGCCGAGTGCAAGACCGTCTTCCGCGCGGGTGAAAGCATTGCCGCTAGGACCGTTGTCTGTGTCGTCTTCGGCGTCAATGGCGTTGAGCCCTATCTTGGAGCCGAGCGCGGTGAAAGACTCGGTCATGTAGCCGTTTTTCAAACTGATGACCGGGGTTTTGGACTCAGAGGCGGCTTGCAGCGCTAACTCGCACCGCCCGATGCAAATGACCTTCCCTTTGGACAGCACCACGGTGTTGTTGGAAGATAGCTGGCTGGACTCGGTTCTGAGTAGCACTCTCGAGACGCCGGTGAATACCACATCGCCCAAGGGCACCGGCCCCTCAGGGATCTTGGAAAGGCTCTGGTCACGAGCACTCAATTCCACGGTGGGCTTCTTGAGTTCCACCGGGTCTTCAAACTGCGCCGTCCCGTCGATCCAGACCTGCACGGGCGTCGCACCAACACTGAGCGGGTCGCTATCCCATACCACGATGTCGGCATCAAATCCAGGCTTTACCTTGCCGAGCCTGTTTCCAAACCCGAGGCGCTCGGCCGGGGCAGTGGTCACCGCCGCAAGCGCAGCATGGTAGGGCAAGCCATACTTGTAAGCCTTGGCAGCCTCAAAGACGACGTGCTGGGCGTTCAGCACCGGGTTGTCACTGACATAGATGGGTGTCAGACCGTTGTCGTACAGTATCTTCCCGGCGTATTCCGATGCAGTGTTTGCTTCCGTCTTGTACCACATGTTATCGGCAAACAGGGCGGACGCTGGCACTTGTCCGTACGCCCGTTTGAGGATCTGGGTGCAGGGTCAGGTACAGTCCGCATCGGATCGGGAAGGGAAGCGTAGGTACCTCAGGGACCAAGAAGGTCTGATGGGCGTGGTGAAAAGCTTGGACCTTGAACTTGAACTCGTTGGTATGATCCACAAAGGCTTCCAGGTCCGGTATCGTGTAGCAGTGCGTGTTCAACCTGACCTGGTCCCGCAACAAGGCTCCCAGTGACTCCCAGCGAAGCTCCTGTGGCAAGTAAGTTCTCATATGGTGAGCCCCAGCGGCGGATGCAACGTCGCACCAGTCGTCCTGCTGCTGTACCAGCTTCGCTGCCTGCTCAAACGCGTGACGGAATTCCCAGCTCTCCCCCAGCCGACTGGTGGGCCCCTGCTTTCCCGGCCTGCCAAAAAGTCTCTTCGGGTTCTCGCCGCAAGCCATCTTCATGAACCGCCAGTTGCGGTCGGGGTCGGCTAGCAGGTCGGCAGCGCTCGTCTCGTTGCGCCCGTCCGCTTTGCCCACGGCGTGCTTGATCACATACGCCTCGCCGCCCATGTTAGTGGCGGACCCCGGGAGGATCAAACTCGTGGTGACTCCGCCCGACTTGATGACCTGAATCTGGTGGTCGTAAGGCTGGATGCCGTCGATGGAGCGGACATACGGCACGATGTCCGACGCCATCTCATTGGTGTCCTCGTTGCCCCATGACTCGGGCAACGAGTCTACCCCGGCATGGCTGTGCATGTCGATGATACCGGCCGTCAAGGGGCGCCCGCGGGCATCGAAGACCACCGTGTCCGACGCGACAGACGACAGCGTGATCGATGGGTCGACCCGCTTGATCAGGCCATATTCCAAGTACACGTCTGCGGTGATCCAGTCGAAACCGGTACCGCTGCGCGCTGCCTCCGCTGGCGTGCCGGCTGCTGGCTCGCCGACCCAGACGCTGGCATTTTTGATCAGGGTTGGGGCATGGCCGTCCACGTATCTCGCGTTCCGTTCCCGCCCAGCCCCGATTGGATCCTGTGGTTTCTTGCGCAACTTAGCGCACGTGGCAAGGTCCTGCTGCAATCGTTTGACCGAAAGGCCGTATGCGGTCAGTTCCGGGTTGGATAGCGGCAGCACGGAGGCCCCGGACCGCGGCAGTTGCATCCACTGCGCAAACGCAATGAAGCACAGGCAGCCTAGCGCCAAGAGCGGGAGCGCTCGGGATCTTCGCGGCCTCTGTCGGCGCCATCGCGACGCCCCGGCAGCGGCATGGTACGAAGGTAGGTCGTCCTTTTCGCTCATCTTCCGTGCCGGTGCCAGTTTGGTTGGAAATGACCTAGGTGACCCCAACGGCAGGAAGAGATGGAGTTGCGGTAAGTGAACGGATATGACGCGAGAATAGGCGGGGCTCGGGTTCCCCGGCCAATGGAACTGTCGGGCCAGAAAGGGAAGGTGAGCAGACATTGATTACCTTTGTGGATGCTTTGGCACATGGCGATATCAAGTTCCACCCGTGTTATCCGTAACGTTATCTCCCTGCTTATTCTAGTCTGGCCGGTCGCTATGTTTTGTTGTGTTGTGGAAAGGAGCTCGCTACCTACCTATACAGTATGCCAGGTTTGTAGGACTTGGTAACTTACAGGTAACCTGGAAAGTCGTACTACGTTCCCACCACAGTTCGTTTAGCTGCTACCGCCTTCACCTATGCCTTTGCAGGCTTCATTAGGAGATGAGCTGTGAACAACACTGCGCTGACTGCAGGAGAAGGCTTCAAGTTGTTATCAACATCTTGTATACCTGTACCTGTACGATAGGACTATGAAACGTGCTAATTATCAGCAATGTGCGACCAGAGAGGACCTGAACATCCAAGCGCAGTATTCTAAGGTGGCTTTAAGCTACCTGAGCTGCCTATGAAGCCACAATTTGGTCTCAGCCATATGGTCTTATTCCGTTTTAACTTTGCCGTATCCTAATCTCCTGACTTGGCAGTCAGGATGGCACACGACCCCAGTACTTCAACTATTCCGCAGTTCAGCACAGCGTCGGTCTTAGTCAACATTCCTAATCCGGAGCCGACAGAACTGCGGGTATCTGAAGCACCACACGATACGTCTGCTTTTGTCATTCTTGCTGCTGCGTTGGGTAGCCTGGCTTTGGGGCTTTTCTTCCTCTGCTTGGCGAAGTGCGCCTTCGCCAACCCCGTGTTGCGCCAAATTCGTCGCCAAAGGAGAGCGCAAGCCCCAGGACACATATTGCCGGTTTCAACAACCCCGTCCAGCTCCGACGTCACTCCGCTGGACCTAAACGAGGAAAACAGCGGCACATCGACCGGGGAAGATTGTCCGGTATATCCCACTCGTGTCTGGATACCGGAGCGCCTATTACGCATATATTTTGGCCGCATCCCGTGTAGGGTAACGGTCAAGGTGCGCCATGTGGACGAGATACAACGTCCTTGAACAGCAGGGTCCCTGAACCCACGCTATCGGGCGTCGAAGGAGGTTGCGATAACCCGTCAACAGGACTTTTGGCCAAGAAACAGAAGGCTAATGTGAGACGCTGATGGCAGCCTACCTTAGACAGCTGAACACGCGTTGTGCCCAACTGCTTTGCACAAATTGCCCGACTCCATTCAACGTGAAAATCTGATGATGCAATGAGCCAGTCAGGTGGTGAAAAGAAATGCAAAAGAAATGCAGGGCAAGAGGATGAGGCTCGGGCCTAGATCTAGGCCGGCCCATAGGTATGCAGGTCATCGAAGCCAAGACACTATCGGAGAGCATGCAGAGAGTGAGGCCAATCGGTACGGCACGCTGACAGGCGGAAAGGAGCAGCCCAATGTTACCGAAAACTGCAAGACAACGCATGGCTTGGCAGCATTGCCGGGGTAAATAAAACTCTCTTACCTATTCTAATTTTTCAACCTCTTTTACCTCATGTCTATGTGTTCACCTGCTTCAGATCCCTTAGTAGCCTAGTGGTCTCATTGCGTCCGCAAATGCAGTCATACTGCGTCCAAGACAAGTATCTCGACCCGATTGCTCCGACAGATGCCTGGGCTGCCTTCCTTGCCGCTCGGTTTTCTGACAGGCGGGAGCTCTATGAGAGCTTCTCGGATCATGAAAAAGAGACGGTAAGGAAAGAGCTGCGGCGTATCCGCTACTTGAGGGATTACTTTGCTGGTCATCGGCTGTCAGCATCCGACATCTTACCAGTCCTCGACTGCCTAGAACAATCACACAATGGATGGAGAGAACGAGCCAGTCGGCGATGCAAGGATGAGCTGCACCGTTGTGAAGTTGCGATCGCAAGAGCCAGCGGGTATCGGAGGGCGGAGCTGAACAGACAACGCTCGATTCTCAAGCAAGTGGAGCAGTGGCCGACACAGGAGTATGCTCGCCTTCGGCAGTTGATTTCGCCGGTGAGCTTCATCCCGGGCTTAGAAGCCGAGGAAGACAGCGTCGACGACAATCCCGCCGAGTCGAACTATGGATACAACGGCTGGGTCATTGTGTTCGACAGGGAAAAGGGCGGAGTCAACCTAAGCCACCCACTGTGCCATGGCAAGTTCCCCCACCAGAAGATATCGGTCCAAAGGTTGCTGTACGATAAGGAGCACACGCCGCTCCAGCGCTCGGCCGACAGGACATGCCTCAGGTACTTCCATCTCCAAGCGAACAATATGAAATGGGTAGAGGTGCGTACTTGGTCGCCAACGCTGTCGGTAACACTCGTGAGCTGACCGAACGATGGAGGATGCTATTGCTCGATATTATCAAGAGGACAACTCTCAACCCGCGCCACGGGGCGCGCTACATAGCACAGCCACCTCCAAGCCGCAGACCAATACTGAAAGACTCTTGAAGCGAGAGCTCTGGCACGGACAGGACAGAGGAGGTGTCAGGCCTCACATGCCACCTTGCTCGCGCCAGATCCGGCCTCGCTGTGCCCTTGTGCCGTCGCCGGAATACGTCGGTCACCCGGGTTCAGCCGACTCTCAAGACATTGTTTTGTTCGTGAGTCAACACCCCTGGTTCTCCCAGTTTCCCTTCTCCTGATGTGCAAAACGAGTGTTCTTTTTTATTTTCCTTGTGGCTACCGTTCCTTTCCCCGCCAGCTGACCGTTTCTCAGATGCCTTACTTGCACTGGGAGATAGAGAAACGCCTAGTCCGTATGACCAATGTCATTCGAAAGACCAAGCAGATGAACGATCAGGAGTTTGCTTTTGAACGAATAAGCAAGCGGAAAGGGACATGGGGTAGTGTGGTTGAGCGCGCCAAGGCCATGGCCAGGCGCATAGACAGCACTGTGCCGGACCTTGGAGCGCTGGACGATGGTAGTCCCCCATGGAAGCCTCAGTCGCCACTGGGAAGCTATCTCTGGTGTGCGGCAAAACTATTTCAACTCATCGACGAGGCAGCAGATTCGCGCTTGATCAATGACCACCTGTGCACGCAGTCACCCCTCCACCCCAGACGCACCCTCGAGCAGTATTACTACTGGACTGCTGAAGACACCACGCCTCGAGACCGGCAACAGGTTGTATATCGGGCAACTCGCATGAGAAATGACCCCGAAGCAATACCACGAGTGGTAATGGTCGACCAGCTCTGGATGTGGATCTTGGACGAAAGTGAGACTCTCTTACCCCAGCCCAAACAATATCGGATAACCGGGGTGTTCAAGCAGAGATCGTCACTTGAAAGCAGTCACGCTAACAGATGGACAGACACCATTCTCACCGCATTTCCTCGCAGATGGGGCCGGAACAAGCCTGATCCTTCGGCTGTCCACCGGGCAATTCGAGATCATCTTGGAGCCGTGGACAACAGTCAGGTCCGGTCCATCTATGACCTGGCACTCATCATCGTTGACGAATGCTCGAAGGTGTTCTTCGACAGGACAAAGCCTGACCTCAGACCCGAGGTAGTCGACATGTTCGGATCCGCGATATCCACCGTGGTATGTCTAATTTTTCATACTCGCGATTAATGCTTACTGGCTTGGGCAGTCCGAAAAGAAATCCGAGGCGTATGAGCGATTTGGGCGCGACGTCAAACGGATGAACACACATGATCCGCTTCAAACATCCGAGGAGCTCCTGCGGAAGTCGTTGAACATCAAGTTTGAGTGGTCTGTGTTAATGGAGGCGCAAAGCATCATTGACCAGCTGCAGATCATGCAAGAGATCTTCACTCAACAGATCACGGTTATGAGCGACTTTGAGAAGGCTCTGCGCGGCTTGAATCCAGAGAGCCACGAAGGACTCGAAAGCACTCTGGATCGAGCAGGGACGTTGATAATGGATATGAAGTTACGGAGGGAGGAGCTCTCAAACCTAGAAAAGCGGCAGGCCAACACCAGAAGCCAGGTAAGTCCAAAGGCTCTATCCAACTATTTCTCTTGCTTCGCTGACCCGTGCGATGATAGCTTCGTGAGCTCCTGGATATGAAACAACAACAGGCCGGGATCATCGAGGCCAAAGCAGCTATCCGGCGAGCGGATGAGTCGGTCATTCAGGGAAGGTCGATCGTGGTCTTCACCGTTGTTACTATTTTCTTCGTGGGTATCTCCTCCTTGGAGACAACATGCGACGTGTGTTAAACCAACGGACTTACAGCTGCCCCTCTCCTTCTTCGCGACACTGTTCGGCATGAACGCCCAAGAGCTCAACGGCGGCACCATGTCACTGGGCGCCCAGCTTATGTGGATGTGTAAGTTCACCGTCAGCTTTAGCTCCATTACGCACGACAACGTGGCTCATTGCTGGTCCTCGCACAGTCGTGATATCCAGTCTTGTTATTTGCCTGTCTTTGGCAATTGCGTTTAGCGCAAGGGCGAGAACGGCAATATTCGGTGCACTCCGAGGTTCTTTTGGCTACCTCGAACGTCCAACGAAAGGCCACACAGCAGCAAGAGGTCATCTGGCAAGCGCGTCTCCACGTGCACTCCGAGACTTCATGATCGCAAAGCAAAAGGAATGGGAGAGCAAAACCGGGGTTGAGGACGCTGCCAGGGGGGCTTTACCGTTGCATCAAGGTCGAGAAGAGAAGTTGGGAAGGTCAAGCATGATGGCAAGGTTGTGGAAAAGGAAATCAGGGCCGAGAGAGGGGGGGAGGGTATGAAAAGTTTGTCAACGGACGCTACTAGTACTAGTAGTCAGTCAAATCTTCGCAACGAGTACAGTCTTCAGCAAGAAAAGTCTTCGTTTCATCGTAAATGAAGCCTATACGCTCCCGTCTTAATGTCCATGTCATAAAGGAAGTGTAGATACTCCCGATCCTTGCGTGTCATGCGTTCCCGGCCCATCATCACTACCAACGCCAGTAAAGTATCCCGTTCCTGAAATGACCTTGTCCCTGAAACCCCTCTATGGGTTGACATTGGCATCAGCGGCAAGCATCGAATCAACCAGCGCCAGGATCTTCCCGTGGATGCTTTCATCGGCGGTGATCAGTCCCCAGCTCTTCGACAGCTTCTTCCCCGTAGTAAAATCGATGGGGTTCCCGGCCAAGTCCGTCACTCTGCCGGCCCCCGACTCGGTGTAAATCAGCTGCGATCCCGCATGATCCCAGATAGACCATGGCCCTTTGCCCGGCTTCGGCCAGCGGAGCTGCACGAACTCCCTGCCGCCGAGAGCCATCGCGGCATATCGCATATGTGACGAGTACAGCTCCGTCTGAGCGGGATATACCGCCCCCGTAATCGCTGCTAGATCTCGCACTTTCTCGGTCAGCGTCGCCGGGCTCCTCGACGAGTCCACCAAATGGATTTCCCTCAGGTCGAACGGCTTCCCCATGCCCCGATCCACCCTCGTGGCCTCCCGCAGCGCACCGTGTCCCATCGGCCTCCACGTGGCCCCCTGTCCCTTCACAGCAGCCAGCATCAACCCCATTCCGTGCCTATCCACCACCCGCTCCGCCACCTTCCCCCTCATAGCCGGCGCCAAGTTCGGACAGCCCAGCACGCCAAGCAACTCCCGCCCGTCCTCCAACAACGCAAGCGAAATCGCGTACTGCCCGCCTTTCAGGAACGCACTCGTCCCGTCGATGGGATCCATGCACCAGAACCTGCGCCGCCGGCCGCACCTGCTGGCCCCTTCCTCCCCTTCCTCCTCCTCCTCCTCCTCCGCGCCATCGTCATCGTCGTCGGCGTCCGCCCCACTACCGCCACCACCAAGCGCGATCAACTCCATCATCTCCTCGGGACTTCCGGGCCTTCCCAACCGCGCCTCGCTCTCGGCGTCGTCGAGCCGCGTCGTCGAGACCAGCTCCCACACCTGCGCCACCAGGTCCGGGTCGCTCCGCAGCGCGTCGGCGTCCTCCTCGCCCACGATCCGGTCCGCGGGGAACGCGTGGTGCACGGCGGCGACCAGCAGCGCCTGCGCGGCGAAGTCGGCGACCGTCACGGGCGACGTGTCCGGTTTGGCTAGCGACAGGCGCCGTTCTAACCCCGGATGGGGGTGACCGAGGGGACCGTTGGGAGGTGTCGTCGCCGTTGTTATTGTTGGCGAGGTCGGGGAGGAGCATTCGTCTGGGTGCAGGAAGCGGCTGATGGGCTCGGTGCTGGCGCGCTGTAAGAGGCCCGGAGGGCGGAGGTTGAGGGTCGCGAGGACGCGCTTGGTCACGAGGGCCGCGCGCTGCACGGCCAGCTGGGCGATGAGGAGCTCATGCGCGAGGGGTGGGGGCGGGGGTGACATTTCGGTTGTGAGATATGGCATTGTTGATGTTTGGCTTCAGTGAGTTGGTGCGGGTTAGGGTGGTTGTCAACTTCTCGTTGTGGCGCCTTTGTTTGAGGCTGAAACTAGATACCAAAACGCGCAGTTCATAAACAGGAGTGGGGATGTCGGACGTCAACAGGCACCATTTGGAATGTCAGAATGGGGTTTTCTGAAGGGCGATTGCGAGTGGCAGCTTCGAGGGTGGTACGGATGTTATCTTATCATTTTTCATATGGGATGGCCTCTTGTCATGTTTCGGCACTTCCACAATTCGCGCGAAACGCGCAATCTTGTCTGTCATCCGCACTGTCGGCGGCCACGAGGCCCGGTCAGGCGGGTGTTGCACACCGGCGGCTGTTAATTGGCCAGCAGCCATATGGTGGAGAATGTTCCTTGTGGTGAGGAGTGGCGGAGCTTGGGGCGAAGTTCAGAATTCAGCACAAATTCAGCTCCGACCTAGCCAATGGATAAAGAGGCCGCCTCCCAAGGGGTTGGAACTGGAAGACTTTGCATCAATGGGAGCTATGGCCACAGCTTACACAGTGAACTGCCGACTCGGACTCGGTCGGAATTGGTTCGTTACCAGCAGGGTCCCCATCGACTATATTCCCGGGGGTTTGAAAGCCTTGCAGTGAGCCCGGGGCTGGTTGACAGAACGGTCAGAACCTTCTCCTTGCCCCTGACTCTTCTCTCGTTCCTGACTCCTTTCTTATTCCCCGCTCCTTTTTTGTTTCCGGGTTGCTCTGGCCACAAGATCTGTTCTAACTACTAGTAGTCTCACAACGCTTGGTCTGCTACCGTCGTATCTGCTATCGTCAATCCGTTCCCATGACGAAGAAGCCCATGACCGTCCCCTGTGATGTACGGCAACATGGTTGCCGCATGGTGGTTGCCTGCGATGCGGTCCCGGCGCAGCGGTAAAGCCCAACAAGCGCCTTCCTTTTCTCCGGTATCGAAACGAGGTTGCAGTTATGCAGACCCAAGTCACCCGACGGGAACGCTTGATGCTTGCTTCGCCTTCTTCCAGGTCCCAATAACTCGACCAGCAGCGTACCCCATTGCGAACCGCTTGGGCCGGCGTGTCTCGACCCTGCGGCTGTACCCTAGGCAGAAATATCAAACTAAACCCCCCCAGGTCATTGTAAGCGAGTGGTGCCTACTCCTCGCTTCCCAAGAAACCGGCCAAGGGTCAACTGTCTATGTGACTGAGACGGCGATCTAGAGCCTGTCGTTGGCAGTCGCAAAGCCTTAACTTTATGATTAGTTCACTGAGAACCAAAGACCATTCATGTCCAACGGCTTTGAGGTATATATAGTGAGGCAGCGAGGGGGAAAGACTCATAAGTTCTTGGACATAGCTTTAGGTAAGCTATTCGATATCACCTCGGGCCGGTACAGTACATACTACTCTCTGCTCTGTTGAAGAAACTCCCTAGCTTGCTACACAGAGTCCGCTCGCACACATGTTCCGAGGGGCTCTCAACGTTACAAGCGAGTACCGTGCTCGGGTTCCTTGGTGCGTCTGGTTGACCATCCTGTTCTCGCTGTAGGACTGGGTGTTGCGCTGGGTCTTGGTATTCCGCTTCTCGTGACGCTGATTGTCATCGCCCTGCTGCTGTGGTTCCGCAACACGAGCCAGCCCCGTCCTCAGATCCCACCCGCTATGCTGAATAATCATCAGAGGGTGAAAACCGTGAAGCCTGTTATAGCCTCCGATGCCGGGCGATCACGCGAAGAGCTGGAAGGCCGGGCCATTTTCAAGCTTCCCCTCAGCGGACGTCCAGCAAGCCCATCGCACCGGATATCGCTCGCTTTCAAGGCTACTCTGCGGTCTACAATCACCAGCAACTACTAGTAGTAGCAGTTTGTCCAGTTCTCAGCCACGCAGAAGCCGTTGTCGACACTCGCTGGAGTTTCGATGCCTTCCGTTCGCCAAGCCGTGGTATTAGGCATCGGACCTTGACTTAGCTTACAGACGACAGTCTATGTACGTCCCGTCGGATTGTGGATGAGTAATTCATAAGTCATGTCCGCCCAGCGGTTTCCGGAATGGTGTGATAGCGTGTCCCGTGGCAATATTCCATGCAGCTAAACCGCATTCCCCCACACCCCGTCCCGTTCCGTTTCTTAGCTCGCTACGGATGCAACCTGCGGTCTCAACCCAGCTTCCCGTTTTGGCTCAGAGGTAGTAGGGTACAGCATGCACTGTCGGAGGCATATGAAAGTTCCACCTGCTCGGATCCACCACCAACACGCATCAGATATGTGTGTACTGTGTGACAATAGGGACGATTCGTATGCGCCATGTTCGGGTACGTTCGTTAGCGCTGGGTAAGCATCATCTAAAGTTCCGCAACCAAACGTATAAAGAGATGGCGAGGTATCCTAGCTCCATACGCGAGTCCACGGGTTTACCGGCATCACCGTACCTCCTAGTCTCGAGCCTGGACCAGACATCAGAACCGGTGGTCAACCAATACTACCATGTATAGCCCTTCTGGCATCTTCCTAACCATGGCCCTCCTAGCGGCCCAACAAGTCGCAGGCGGCATCTTCCCTTTCGAATCCGTCCAGCTCAGCGAGTCGGATACAGCGAACTTCCCTGCCGTTCGATTTGGGGACATCAAAGCCGGCCCACCTCCTGACAAGAGGACGGTCCCACGATGCCGTGCCTGGCCCGGCAGCCACGACTGGCCCAGCATCGCCGAGTGGAAGCAGCTGAACGCTTCACTCGGAGGTGCACTTCTCAGGCCTCTTCCCGCGGCATCAGCCTGCTACCAGGGGGAGACTTACAATGAGACGACCTGCCAGTGGCTTGTGACCCAAGCGGGGCGGACGCACTTTTGGATCGAGGAGCCGCTGTCCACGCTCACGCAATGGCCGCAGGGCAGCACCTGCACGCTGGCTCTGAATGCGACAGGCACGTGCACCCGCGGTGGGTTCCCGGAGTACGTGGTGAATGCGACCATGGTCAGGCACATACAGGCGGCGGTCAACTTTGCGAGGAACAGGAACGTCCGCCTGGTGATTAAGTGAGTGCTCTGGCTATTAAGCTTTTCCCAGTTTGAGCCTCGTCATCATCCTGACATGGAAGCAGGAACACCGGACACGACTTTGGTGGCCGGTCTATGGGGGCGGGCTCGCTCAGCATCTGGGTGCACAATCTCAAGAGCTTCGAGTTCATCCCAGAGTACAGCGTAGGACGGTACTCCGGCATGGCGGTGCGGGTCGGTGCCGGGGTGGAGAGTTGGGAGCTGTTCAACCACATGGCAGAAGACAACATCACCGTCGTTGCGCCGGGAGGGGGCACTGTCGGGTCGGTAGGCGGGTGGCTTGCAGTGGCCGGGCACGGGTCGCTGACATCAAAGTACGGCCTCGGGGCGGACCAGGTGCTCTCCATCAACGTTGTCACAGCCGATGGCCGGTTCCGGACTGTTGATCCGTACCACCACGAAGACCTGTGGTGGGCGCTCAGGGGCGGCGGGCCAAGTAAGTGGTACCCACCCTGCTAGTCCTTAGTACTACTAGTAGTAATTTGCAGGGGAATCACAATCCTCCAGTCGCTGACGGCGTCAGGTACATTCGGCGTCATTACATCGGTCGTTCTCAAGGCCTACCCACCCATCAACATCACCACGGCATCCCTCAGCTTCTCCGTCAACCCGTCGCTCGCCAACGGCACCATCCTCCCCGGCATCCCACCGCCTCGCCCCAATTCCCCCTCCACCACGGACCTCTCCTCCTTCTGGCGCGGGGTCTCCCTCTCCTACCACCACTGCACCCACATCATCGCCGCGGGCGGCTACTGCTTCAGCTACATCTATCCGCTGGGCCCGTCCTCCTTCGCCTACAGCACGTCCCACATCATCCCCAACATCACCGCCCCAGCCTTCACCGACCTCCTCGAGCCCCTCTACACCCAGCTCAACGCCCTCTCCATCCCAGTCACCCTGCCCCCACCATCCTCTCTAGTCCCAACCCTGTACGCAGGCAACGGGCGCCGCACCGGCAACGGCGACGCACCGATCAACACGCGCTACCGCTCGCGCCTGTTCCCGGCCTCCTTCTGGCACTTTCCCCCCTCGCAATTCGACACGCTCCTATTCGCCGCCATCCGCGCGGGCGTCGAGGAAGGCGGGTATACCTTCCACGGCATCGCCTACTCCCCGACTCTGGAGGTTGCGGGATGGCCCGGGGCCGACAGCGCGGTCAACCCGGCCTGGCGGCGCACGGCGCTGCACGGGAGTCTGATGGAGATCCAGCCCGAGGGGATCAGTGCGGCGGAAGCGAGGAGGAGGGATGCGAGGGCGCATGAGTTTGTGGGGAGGTGGAAGGAGATTACCCCAGGCGCCGGGGCGTATATGAATGAGGGTGATCCGGCCGAGACGGGGTGGCAGGAGAGCTTTTATGGCGGGGCGGCGCATTATGCGAGGTTGGTGGAGGTTAAGACGCGGTGGGATCCGTGGGGGGTGTTTTGGGCCAGGACGACGGTGGGGAGTGAGGCGTGGGAGGTGGTTACCGGGGATGGATATCCCGCGGGGCAGAATGGGCGGTTGTGTCGCGCGTTGGGGTGAAGGGGGTTGGGGGTGGTTTGGAGGGTTTGGAGTTTACTACTAGTAGTACTGGGGGGCTCACCCCTAGGTTCTATGCCCCAGGCAATCTCGATGGTTCCCATCTGGAGTTAACCCTCTCCGTAATGTAGTTATCAATCCGTTTTTGATTTGTCCGGTCGTTTATTCCGTACATGAGTCATGCCGCTATGATAAATGAGACGCTATGAAATACCCGAACACTCCCAACTCCTAGCAGATGCAGGCTAAAAGCAACCATAACCGTAACCACACCCCTTTTGCCCCCACCCGCCCACGCTTAAGTTCTCAACATATACCCATCAATCCGGGCGTACCATCATCATCATTAAGGATGCCCCAAATCCCCCAAATCGGGACTCAAAAACCCCCGAATCGCCTCCTCCACCGGCGTCAGCGGCGCCACACCCTCCAGATCGCTCACCACCACCGGGTTCGTCCCCACCCCGAGATCCATACTACCACCACTATCCGGCGACCCCATCTGGCCGCCCATCCTCCCCTCATGCTGCTGCCCCGGCCCTCCCGCCGCCACGGGAGCAGACGGAAACCCGGTCTCCAACCTCGGACGCCCCAACATACCCGTAGCATTCTGTCCCGCCGGGTGGTATCCGAGATGCATCCCCGGCTGCACCTGTTGTGGCTGCTGCGGCATACTACTAGTATACGGCGGGTAGGTGCCCACCACCCTCGCGGCGGTGGGGATCCCCTGCATCGGCTGCCCTGGGTACGGACCCTGTACGGCGTAGGCAGGGTGGTGGTGGTGGTGGAGAGGGAGTCCTCCCGGCTGGCGGACGCCATAGACGTTCTGCACCTGTGGCATGGCGCCGGGATGCATGTGGGCAGCCATGCGCATGTGTGGTGGCGCGGCGGGGGGCATGGTGAGCGGTGGTGGTGGGGGCGCGCAGAGATCCTCGATGATGGGCCCGTTGGCGAAGTTTGCTGCCCACATTGCGTTGGGGGAGAGCGACGTCTGCACAGGCGACTGTCCGTGGTGCTGTTGTGATTGAGGGCTGCCGTATGGGGACTGGGAAGCAGCCATTCCCATGGCTTGGCTGGGGGGCATCATGCCGCCGCCGCCCTGCATCGGGGACTGTGTTGGTCCGATGCCATAGGGGTTGCTGGCGTAGGGGTTGATCGAGTATACCGCGTGCGGCACGTACCGGGAGCGGTTCATGATTTGTGAGAGTGATGTGTGTTTCAAGATGGTTGAGGTCCTGGCTCTTTTCCTCGGACCCTGTGGTGTGTGGCGCAGATCTTTGGGAGGAAGGGGCAAAGTGAAGGAAGTGACTGCTAGGTGCCAGGTGCCAGTATTGCGGGATACATACAATCCTTATACTTGTCCAGGGTCTTGTGTCAGCCGGAAACAATCGCCTCGCCCGGGGCCGCGGTTCCTGACGGCCGGCTCATTGTTGCTACACGCATGTCGTCACTAGTCCGTGTTCAACTCGTGTTTTGGACGCGGCCTTTGCCCCTGGTCTACCCCGGGCACCAGCTAGTAGAACTTGGCAGCAAGTTTAACCGCGCCTGAGAGGAGACATTGTGGGGTTTGAGGGCGCGTTGGGGGCTATAAAGATGACGGATAGCCAAGGAAGATGCTGGCAGCTGGGCTCGGCCTCTTGCTGTTTGAAGCCCGTTGGTTCGCCCGTTTCAGAATTGGGTCGGGCTTGGCCCGGGATGACGGCCGGGCCCGGCCTCCACTTTTGCTGCGGCACGGAGCCGAGATCAGGCCCACACCCGGGGCTCTCACGGGAAACCAACCCGAGGCCAACAACAGCAGAGGCCATTGGACACCGATTCGTATTATGGAGGCCTTTTAGCACACCTTTGTTACGATTTCAATCGTTTGTATGTCGCGACATGTTTCTAAAGCGTTCCAGTCCTGCGACACTGCCCCATGTCCACCACTTCCGGACTGCTATTGTGTGGGGACCCGAAGTCTCAAAGTGTCTTGCCCAGCCAAGCCAGCCTCAACACACCAAAGACACTATTGTTTTTCTTTGTCCATAACCCTACGGGAACGCATTTGTTTTTCAAAGCTCGACCTGCTTCAGCACCATATACAGGCATTTATATTCAAAGGATCAAACAACCGTTAAGCTAGCTTGCTCTCTGTTCTTCCCTTCCTCCATCATCTTCCTAAGAAATCAACAGCCCTGAGATCTGCTGCTTCCCCAGAAAAATCCACATCACAATTCTTGACCCGCCGGTGCCATGTGGCTCCGACGCATCCGCCTCCGACTGTCCCCCAAGACCAAGAAGCCCGAGTTCCGAGACATCAAGTGGAATGATGATGATGACGGCGAAGTGCGTCCCGTCACCCGCGGCAAAGAAAAGCAGTTCGGCTTCGAGGAGCTCTCGCCCACGATGCCCATGAAGGGGGAGAAGGATACGGCTGCGTATCGGATGAGGTCGAACGTCTCCTACTCGTCCCTGGCTGCCCTTACAGGGAGCGACACACCCCTGCTTGGTACTAGTAATAAGCACGAGATTACGAAGCGGAGCGAGGGTCACGCAGGCTGGAGTCACGGTCGGTATTATGTCTCGTACGGAAAAGGGCCGCGGCGCCTCATTCTCTTCCAGTACCCTCCAGGACAGTGATGGCGTTCTTGCTTGCAATCTTTGGTGGCAGCTCGGAGTTGTGGAAAGATGCACTTCGGGTTTTCCTTTGGTACGGCTTGCTTTGTCCCCCGGATGCGGCACGACATTCCTGTTGCCTTTGTATGATTTTTATCGTCGCGGGTTTGGGTAGTTCAAGTGCTGACGTGTTATGAAAGTTCACTTGGGATGGGGGGCATGATAGTAAGTGCCAATCTCAAAGTCGAGCTCTTCATGTTTCAGGGATTCGGTGGAAGGTTCTTTCTCAACTCCGCCGCCAATAACCATTGTAAGCCCTTGTCCTGTCACCGAGATCCCGTTGTCCTCAAAATCTCATAAACCGGTCGATTAATGAAGCAGTTGCCGAGGACGCGACGTTCCTTTATCTACCCGACCCGTGATTGCTCCAGATTCCGCTCTATGATGCTGCCTTCCATTCGCCCATGAATACCTACCTTTAAACCGCGTCCAAAGCACTCCAGTCTTCAACCAGTTCCCGAGCTCTCGTAACTCCGAACGCCAACGATTCCAATGCCGATGCCAGATCCATCACCGTAGTGACTTTCCCAATATTTAAAGCGCCCCAAGAACCCCAACCTCTCGCCAAGAATGGTAAATTCTACCCCCCCCTTTCCCCCTCCCCCTTCAAATCGCAGTAAACCGCACCATCCGCTCCTCAATCCTCAGCTGCACATGCCTCGGCAAGCTCGACAGCGGCGTCCAGTTGGGGATGTAATGCGGCCCCCGGTTCATGTAGACGCGCGTGCGGTCCACGTTGCGCGACGAGTTGGGCGGGTAATACGGCGTCCTGCGCGCCGGGCGCACCAGCGGCACCACCGGTACCACGGTCCCGCCCATCTCGACATCCACACCACCACCACCATCGCCCCCTAGCGTCATCGTCGTCGACGACGAGCCCGTTGACGATACCGACGAGGCGCTGCGTGAGCGGGGGCGGGTCGGCAGGCGCTGGATGCGCTGGGCGGCTGTTGGCCAGCGCGGGGGAGAGGCGGATGACATTGGGCGGGGGCTGTTGCTGCTTGCTGGGGATGGTGATGATGATGATGACAGGCTGGGCGGGCTACCTGCTGAGGAGCGACGGCCGGGGCTGGCGATGGCCGGGCTGGAGAAGCTGTTCAGGGAGGAGAGGCTGAGACTGTGGGTGGGCCGTTGGGGCGTGCTGGGTGGTGAGGGCAGGTCGAAGTAGTCGAGCAGAGACCCGTCTGACGGGACCAGGGTCAGGTCGCTGGAGAGGTGCGATGCCGTGTCCTTGGGGCTGAGGCTGGTCGACATGACATCCTCCATCGCGTCGTCGTCGTCGTCCGCCTTGGAGAGGGACCGGAACCGGTCGGGAATGTAGTGTCTGCTTGTGAAGGACGGCATTTTGGGTTTTCTTTTTGGGCGTCTCGGTCTCTCCACGGGGATGGTTGTACTGCAGATCGGTCGTTTGTTGATGACTTGACGTTGATGAACAGCGATGCCAGCGCTTCCAAAAGTTTTCCCAAAGATCCGGTGAGGATGAAAAGAAGTCGACCGCAGGCCTGAGAACGGATCAACCGCACTGGGAGACCTCGAGGTCATCTTGCACGGCGACCTGACCGGTGTCTGCTGTTTTAATTGCCCGTCGGGTGTAAGACACCCCCGGTCACCGGACCTCGGCCCGGCGCCCATGCTGATGGGCCGCTGGACAGTGTCGCACCCTCCCCAAAACATGTTTGGGCGCTAATTTTAGGGTCACCCGCCAGTTTGGGACACCATTTGGTAGGCCATGCGGCGCCCGGATGCTGCCGTCAAATCAGCTGGCGCGAAAACTTCCAACGGGCATTTCCCAGACAGTTTCAACGACGCATGTCATCCTTTGCATGCGGCGTAATTAGCGCCACAGCTTGCAGTCTTTATTACTTTTTGCACTGGCTTTCAAGTTACCCCCGGAATGAATGGTTGAAGCTTTCGACAAATCTTGTTTCGAGGGCCGCGTTGGCCAGGTTTTAGGCCCGAGAGACAGATCTCTGATCTTCGCAGGGGACTAACACCCGGATTTTGTTAAACCTTTACCAGGGACGCATTCACGAGTCTCCGGTGCACGTGGTTTGGCCGAGGTCAAGTGCGGTGAGGTGACGTGGACTTCTTTCTCGCCAAACACGTTTGCATTATTATGTATCGGGTCTATTAATACTACCTAGTACTGTTATATATGACTCAAATCAATCCATATTCAACTCGAAGGGATGCTTGCCCGTCTACCTATGCCTTTCGATGCAATGATACGTATGCCCGCAATACCACTTCAGGAGTTCAGTCCGCTCGGTGGCACGCCGAGAGTCGCGATGAGTATCAAGGCAACGTTGAAGCCCATCAGCTCGAATATAGTCTGGGGGTAGGAACCCGCTCGGCTGGTCAGGGCGCCAGTCGAGTTCTCGGAACGGTCGAAGAACTGCAGATCTTGCTTCACCATGTTGCTGACGATATCCCGGGATCCGCCTATACTTGTGATTGAGTGTCTGCCGCATGGTTAGCTTCGGGGTAACAACGAAAACAGGGACCATAGTATTGTATTGTATGTTGTGTCTCACCTGGGCAATGACGTTCCAGCACCACCCGATGACGAAGTATACCACCAGGGTGCCGGCCCCCATGAAGAAGTTACCCTTTTCCTCCATCTGCGAGCCGGTGAACTGGAACACGCTGATGAACCTCGATACTAAGAATGCGTGGCTGGGGTATGTAGTGGCTGCGACTCCGTCAGCGCGAGTGCTACTATCGGGTAAGTGTAAGCTCAACGGACACCAATCTTACCTGCGCCGAGGCATCCCAGTAGAAGAGACAGGTAGGTCCATTTCAGTTCAGGAGACGAGATTACCAGTCGCCAGATCGTCGCGATGATCCCAACCGGCTTCCTGTTATCGTAGTCATACCTAGCTACCTGGTCCTCCATGCGTCCCTTCGTCGTGGTCGAGTCCCGCGTCAGCGTCCTGGTCAGCTCAGCAGGCCCAGCCTCGGTCTTGGCCTCATCAACGTCCTCCGAGTTCCTGTCGGAATCCTGCTTGGGTGCTGACAGATCCTGAGCTCGCACAAGACGCGCGTATGCACCGTTGTTCCCCAGCAACGAGCCGTGTGTGCCTTGCTCGATAATGCGGCCCTTCTCCATCACCACGATGTTATCGGCATTCCGGATCGTCGCGAGCTTATGCGCAATGGTCATAGTCGTACACCTGCGGGAGGCGTTTCCGAGAGCCTTCTGGACAATCTCCTCGGCGTTGGGATCGAGCGTGCTGGTGGCCTCGTCGAGGAGGAGAATCCGCGGTTGTGAGACGATGTCCGGGCGATCGCCACCCGCTGTTTCTGCCCTTCGGAAAACAAGGCTCCGCGTTCGCCTATGAGCGTATCATAGCCGTCGGGGAAAGTAGCAATGAAATAATCGGCAAAGGCGATGCGGGCAGCGTCTTTCACCCTCTTCAGCTTCTCGGCGTAGCCGTCGTTCACCCATGGCGTACCGACGAGGCCACTTGCGATATTGTCGAAACAGAACCTGCAAATAATACAGGTTCTTGCTGCACAAGGCGGACGTGCTGCCGGAGCCATCGGACGTTCAGCCTTGTCGATCAGTCTGCCATCGAGTCTCACAACGCCAGATCATCCCGGGTTGTACCACCGCTCGATCAGGCCGATGATGGTACTCTTGCCCGATCCACTTGCTGCGACAAGCGCCGTTACCTTACCAGCGAGGGCGTGTAGATTGAAGTTGTTCAATACTGTAACTCCAGGCCGGGTAGCTGAAAGCTATATTCTCGAAGTCGATATTTCCCGTCACACTCGCAGGTTGTTCTCCGGAGCGATTGGTAGCCATTCGTGAGACAAGAAGCCTAACGTATCCTCTCTTTTTCAGAACAATCCTCTTCTCGCCTTTCATACCTTTCATCGTACTCTTCTGCCACACCATAGAGACAGGCGATGTGGAGGATCTGGACCGAATGCACGCTTTTGTCGGCTCTCTCGAGTCCGCATGCCAGCACCCCAGCGCCTTTGCAAAACTCCATGACCTCTTCCACGTCTTCTACAACGTAGCTGTGCGCTGCACCGAGCTGAAGTCGGCCTCTACGCCAATGCAGCCGGATCAAGGCGCAGCACAGCGTGGAGATGGGCACCTATCTGGGTGAACTGGGTATTCAGCCTTAGGTAGAACCGGCTGCTCGTCAGGGGTTTGAGGACGGGGCCGCCGGCGGGAGCGGGCAAGGGACCTCGACGGCATGCCTTCCTTCCATGGTGCTGCCGCACGACGTCTCCGGCATCCATGAGGAGGCGGATCAGGCTGCCCAGCTCACGAACTGCTATACGGTCAGCCAGCAGATGATGGGGTTGTTGCATAACAACCAATTGCCATTCTAGTTTAGGAAGCGGTCCGATTCGTTCGGATGTCCCGCGTATCACACAGGTCTACTTCGACGGCAAGACCAAGAAACTGGTGCTTCGCCGGTTGCGGCTGTTGGACCTGCCGGGGCACGAGCCCACCGAAGACACCCTACCTGCTGGTCCGCTGGATGGCCAATCGCCCCGTGGGCGAAACGGGGTACGTCGATAACGGAGCCCAAAGTTGAGGCTATGTCGACGAACTCATCAGGCACGGCGTCGAAGCTCCTGTCCGGTGTGTGCGTGACCCATGTTTCTCTGAACCTGCTGGCTTGTGGGCTCTGGCTTTGGAACTCAGGGAGGGAGGATCACCACAGCCAAGCAACGAATTATCCAGAGCGCAGGCCAGGAGACGGAACAACAGTGCGATGTATTGAATGACCATAAACCCACAGTCGCTAAGCACCGGATATCCATGACCCGTCCCATCCCCCATGTCTGCATGTTGACTCCAATACCCCATAAACGAAATCACTCAAGCAGGAGCCTTGACGCCAGCAACGGGACAGACCGCCCCGTCCTGCGCTCCGCTAACATCCGGATGCCCCTGCACCTTCCCCTTGTGGTGCCCCACTTTGGCCTTCGTGACCGGGCAGACGGCCTCGTCGTCTTTCCCCTCGGTAGCAGGGTGATCCGGCGGCAGCACGGTCGTCGCCGTCCCTACGACGGGGCACACGTCGTCGTCCATCGCCTTGCTCTTGGGTTCGTTGACCAGCTTGTTCTTCAGCACGGGACAGGCGGACGCGTCGGCGGGAGAGCGGCCGTCGGGGATGGGCACGCTCGGGTGCTTGTGCAGGTTCGAGTGGTGGTCTGTTGTTGCGCCGACGACGGGGCAGGTCTGGCCGGGCTTGGAGAGATCGACGTCCGGGTGCGAAGGCGGGAGGGTGGTGTTGGTCGTGCCGACCACGGGGCAGTTCTCCGGGGCTGAGGCCATTTTGAGTCGGTTTGTGGTGTGAGTTCTTGCCTTGCTCGTTGGTGTTGCTGTCGCTGGTGTTATGGTATGGTAGACCTGCAACGCTGGCTTTTTGGGATGCTTGGTTCTGAGTGACAAAGGTCAGAGGTGTGCAAAAGCTGGTCACGCAAACGGCTGCCTGCCAGATGTAAATCAGCCCATTCAGACCCCCATGATGGGCCTAAGCTCAAGAGCAGAGCAATCATTAACCCCTGTCAAGATGACGTCGGTGGGGTCGGTCGCGCCAAGCTTGGGTGGCGAAGCCAATCAAAGCACAGACCCACTGCGGGGGCTGGCCGTTGGTTGGGCCTTTGGCTCACCAATCAGTCCGATCGTGTTGGTCAGAAGGCGGTTTCGAAAGTGTTGCGAAGGGAAAGGCGTCGCCATCGTCAGGGCAATGGCCACATCAATTTCACCCATCACACCCAAACGGTGTGAGATTCGTTAATGTTTTCCACGAGTCCCAAAACCTGCAGAATCAGTCTAAGAACTTGCTTACTGTGAGCGTTTCCGGGTCATTCATTGACAGCTGCAACGCCGGTGCCGCTTCGGCACGTAACGCGTCGCAACTCCAATGAGACCGTGGTACAGTACATTCTACTATCTTGAAGGTTTGATACTTGGGGGCAGGGATTTTCACGAGCATCGTCTCGTCAAGTCAAGCTATATCTCCGCCAAAAGCATGCAAGCAAGTACTGGTGGTTCCGGCTGCCATCCTCGACGGGCAGGAAACCTCGGCGACAACCTCATCGGATCCTGCGCTGCGTGGCATACGCGATGCCTCGGTGACCTGCCGCGTATGTGCCTACGCGATATGCATGGACCAGAATAACGTCGCGGAACGTAACCATTCCCTTGCCGACCACATTGTTATCTTCCTAGGATCTGTCACCCCTGACGCGGAGCTGGTACTGCGGAGTGCCGCCTGCTGGCACACACTGAGCGAGGAAGACCGCCTCCAGGCGACGGCCGAAGCTGTATGGCCCGCCGAGGACGCCATTCTCTCCCGGCCCTGGTTCACGCGCGCATGGATCCTCCAGGAGCTGGTCCTCTCGCACGAACCCCTGGTGCAGTGCGGCCGGGTGCGAGCTCGCTGGACGGACCTTTGTTCGCTGCTGCTTAGGTGAGAGGCAACGCCGACGCAGGTCCTCCTATGGAAAATCAAGCCTATGGGTATGCGGATAGTGTCTGTCTTTCTGCGCTGGGGATTCTATGCGCCTACACCAGGTAGCGTCGACTTTATCTCCGGCGCGCACGACCTGATACGCTTCCTTGTATATGGCCCGAGATGTTGGGCTGCGTGTTACTGTACGACCTGGCCTTTCATTAACGGCGAACTGAGCGTTGGAGGCATGGCGCTATGGGCAACGACTCGCCGCATACGGTACTCTCCGGGTCAGCTGCGCAGCCTACATAGAGTGTCACAGACGCGTCAATGCCGTACATTGCAACCAATCGTGAGAGTTGAATAGCTGCTTGGTAGGAACTGACAAACTGCCGGGTTGCACCGCCCGTCCGGCTCCCAATTGACGCCCGATGAGTCCGCGAGAACTTTTCACGTCGTGACTTTGGTGGAACTTGAGTTCACGGAGTCCGACCACTGCGAGGCCTTCGCGAAAGTGAAGATTTCAAGACTTCCCTCTTCTAAGCTCCGTCTGCTCTACCACATTATCGTCGATACCAGTCATTGGCTGGCTCACATTTCGTCAACCGCATTGCCACTGCTTTCTTTCTAATGGACAGCTTCGAACTGCCTGAATGTTATCCTTCCGATGCGCTGGGTCAAAGCCAAACTGGCGAGGGCCAGAGTCGATGCTTGAGCATTCCGGAACCAGGATCCCCGAACCGAAAAAGTTTCGACTGCAAGATATGCACTGCCTCTCGTGCTACTTTGGATGAACTCGACCGTTCTGAGGCCCAATGTTACCTGTGCAGCCTCTTACGGACAGCCGTGCTGCAATTCGCCATGATGTCTTCCGACCAGAACCGGAGATGGGTTTACCTTTGGCCCATAGCTTATCGCCAGGAAGAGAGACAAACCCTCGAGGTCAGCGTCCACACCCTTCATCCTAAGAGGCGTAACTGGTGGTACTCTGAGTCCCATGGCCAAACTACTTCCATCGTTATATACACAGATATCGAAGGGAGAGAGTGCACTATAATTCCAATACCAATACGGCGCAGCACTTGTAACCCCCGGGAGTTGACCTTCCTGCGACCGATCTCCAGATGGCTCCAGGTCTGCACCCAGGACCACAGCGGCTGCTGGAGCGAAGGAGTGCCGTTACCTGCTCGAGTCCTCGACGTGAGCGTCGCCACTGACTCAGACGACCGTGTCAGCCTTTACGCTTCAAGAGGCGAAACAGGCGTATATGCGTCTCTTTCATACTGCTGGGGCGATGCTTTACCGCTACGGACGACTCAAAGCACATACCGCGATCGGCAAAACGGCATATCGTTCCACCAGCTGCCTAGAACCCTGCAGGACGCTGTCACAGTAACTCGGGCGTTGGGGATCAAGTATTTGTGGATCGACGCCCTCTGCATTGTTCAGGACAGTCAGGAGGACTGGGAAATCCAGTCCAGCAACATGGCCGCCATCTACAAAAATGCTTATGTTGTCATTGCCGCCGATATCGCCAAGGACTGCAATAGCGGGTTTTTGCCCCGGAAATCACAGCAAACATCAGAGCGGGTCCTTGCCAAAGTCGCCTCGTCGAGCGACGACTCAGAGTGTGTCATTTATGGGCGAGTGCTACGAAAACACGGAGGAGCGGAGAGCTCTTCCGGAGGCTTCTCGGCGGAGTCTATTCGACCGCTCGGTGAAAGAGCTTGGACTCTCCAAGAGGAGGTGTTAGCATCAAGAATCATTCACTTCGCTCATGACGAACTGTACTGGGAATGCCAGTCCGACTCTCTCTGCGAATGTATGGATATGGATCAGGATAAAACGACATTTTCTCCGGCCTCTTGGAGTCCCAGGGCGGTTTTCAGCCGCTGTCGAGACTCCAAAAACGCCAAAGAAACATTTTCGTCCTGGACTAGACTGGTTCAGAACTACAGGAGGAGGAACATTACGAAAAGGATGGACCGTCTTCCCGCATTATCTGGCATCGTGAAAGAGATCTCCGACGCCGGAGAACATGGGCGATATCTTGCCGGTCTGTGGAGCGCGCACTTGCCCGAGGCACTGCTGTGGGGGGCTCGAGCTTCCTATGCGCGACGAGTCTTTCCTTATAGAGCTCCTTCGTGGTCTTGGGCTTGCCTGGAAAAGTCTCCCGGTTACGACGAATCCGATTTCATAATCGACTATGGCACTACACTGGAAAAGGTTTACACAACCATACTCGAAACGGAGTGTACACCGAGCGGAAAAGACCCCTTCGGCACAGTTTCAGGGGGGCAAATTAGGCTTACTGCGCCGCTACTCGAGGTCTAACAGCGCCGTCTTGAAGATGAAGACGAAATGAATGCAAGCCCGCGGCTCAGAATGACGCCAAAACGTTACAACTTTGGGAAGTTCATTGTCTCTGCTACCTTCAACTTTGCCATGCGGTTACCCGACGATGAGTCTCTGTTCTGGCTTCTCCTCGGAGCAAGGACGGACAAGGCGCTGTTCAAGTCTGGTTCAGCGCCGTTCGGGTCTGGCCCAGTGCCCCCAGGGCTCGAGAAACTTCCATCTACAGTTCAGGGATTGATACTTCGTCGTAAGCATGGGCTTGGCCTCGGTGCCGGAGGGGAGGTCTTTGAGCGGGTTGGACATGTTAGGATATCAAAGAATGGCTGGGCTAGCAAGGAACATGATGCTTGCTTTCAGTTATTGAAAGCTGTTGATGGCTCTGCGGACCAGACTATCGTTATAGTCTAATTTCTGACCACTTGAAGTGTTGATAAGAGGCAGACTGGGAAGATCAACGCATTTGCGACCGCATTCTACATGTCGAAGTTCGAATTTAGGGGGTCACATAGGTTGTATTGCTTGCTTGCTTAAAGAGTCTGAGACTGTGGGGGCCTTTATTCCTTATGTACATGGAGAGCCTGTTTCCCAGTCTTCTGCCCCTGTTCCTGCTATACCAGTACCTCCGGTACCTAGGTACCTAGCTTGTGTTCTCTGCCCCTGAGTTCAGCACTACAATCTACTTGACTTATCCCTACGAGTGAATGGTTTGGCCGTGTGGTGTGGGCTAAGTCTAAACTATTGGACACCATATCGCGGTATAACATCGCTCGTATCCATGATTCACCACGTCGACCTCGTGCCATGCGACACGCGGCCTGGCGAGCTTCCAGGTTTGTCTATCCATCTTGCCGAGCCTCTTTACGGCGTGGGTAAGGTGGGAAGGAAAGTGCCTTACCTTACCTAGTCCAGCGGATCTACATTAGTGCACTACGGAACTTAACCTTCGCACCTACTACACACCCGTAGACTGATAACTGGGAAGACGGATGCTACATCATGTATCACCTAAGATCGGTCAGCCGGGCTGAGTTTGGGCAACCTTACCTTGCCTTGCTACAAGGCTAGTACTGGTTGTAACAGTCCTCTTAGAGGGCGTAAATGGTTGTGTGCAGTGTGATATATACTATAGCGCCCAGGTGTCTGTTGTTAGTGTCCAGACCGGATACCTCCTTCATTACCTGGTAGGTGCTGTAGATTTCGTTTGGTGGCCAACTCTGTCAATTCCATCATTGCACTTATTATTATTAAGTTCAAGTTATCTTCATCGAAAGCGAAACGTTCGATCGCCGGTTACAGGCGGCATTGATCATCACTGCACATTCCACAATCCCGCGTTTGTTTAACCCGGCAGCGATTACGATTGGTTCGAGCTCTGCTCAATGGGCCTGCAGGTCTTTAAGTTTAACGTCATCGAATCGGGTGTTTTTGAGCCCCGCCTGCATTGCGCCACGATATTCGAAGCTCTGCCGCCTGCGCAACCATCAGGGTGTCTCGAGGCAGAGGGTGCGTACGTAACGCTCGATCTCTGATGACGTCGTTCTTACATATGCATTAGACCAAAACTTGCGGAGAGGCACCAGGTGACCATGAGTTGGGGCGAATCCCACTTGAGAATGCAGCATCCCGATACTCCTTTTTATATCGAGTTCTCCGCAAGCTGTTCACTTCTGAATTGCAAGGTCTCATTTCCCTAGCATCCCGAGTATCATACTGTAGCTTGACCATTCTCCGAGAACAGTAACCACAATGATTTCTCCGGAGCAAGTCGCCGAGATGCTCTACCCGCAGGCCGCATCCACCTCGCACCCGGGGCCGATCCCCACGGTTGCCCGTATGCCATGCCACTTCCGCAGCTCCCCTGCTGACCATCAAAAGTCAAAACCAGCTAACAACAAATCGCACCAGCAACCCCGACCTACTACCAGGTGGCGCATGAGGCGGGCCACCGCACGCTGTGGGTCATCTTCGCGGCCATGACGCTCGCGTCGGCCCTCTTCGCCCTCCTCTCGTGGAACGTGCCCGTGTCGAAGCGGCTCTACCACACCACGACGACGCTCGCGCTGCTCGTGTCGGCGCTGGCCTACTTCGCCATGGCGTCGGGCCAGGCCACCAGCCTCAGCTGCCACGTGGTGCGCGACAGCCACAAGCACGTGCCCGACACGTTCCACGAGGTGTGCCGCCAGGTCTACTGGGGCCGCTACGTGCAGTGGGCGCTCACCACGCCGCTGGTGCTGCTGAACCTATGCCTGCTGGGCGGCCTCAGCGGCGCCTACACCCTGATGGCGCTCGCGGCCAACCTCATCATGGTGCTGACTGGCCTGTTCGCCGCCTTCGCCGCCGAGCACACCGCGCAGAAGTGGGGCTGGTTCGCCATCTCGGCCCTGAGCTACCTGTTTGTCGTGTGGCATGTCGCGCTGAACGGCATGCGCTCCGTGTCGAATAAGACCGCGCGCGTGAAGAAGCTGTGGGCGTCGCTGGCGACGTACGTGCTTGTCTTGTGGGCTGCGTATCCGATGTGAGTTGCCCTTTCCATCCATCTTATCTCCGCGTGGGTTGTTGAGGGTTTAGAACTGACACCCTGTGTGTGATAAAAGTGTCTGGGGTATCACCACCCTTGCGCGCAGGACGAACGTCGACACCGAGATCATCATCTTCGCCATTCTGGACGCCCTGGCCCTGCCCGTCTTTGGTCTCTGGCTGCTGATCAGCCACCGGGCCATCGCGGAGACCAACCTCGACCTTGGAGGTTACTGGTCTCAGGGCGTGCCTGCTGAGGGCAGAATCCGCATCGGCGAAGATGAGTAATTGGTCTGCGGTCATTGCCAAGCAGTGCGAGCTAATGACTCAAGCTGCGGCTGAGTCACTGGCGCTCCAAATGCAAAGGACGATAAGGACGGGATGAAGTTGGACACAATGCAACATGGTGGAGGGGGATGAGAGTGGGAAGGCAGCTCATGCAGATTCGGAGTTCACCAAGGCATCTCAGTGCTGGGTCTCTCTTGGATATTTGTCGGATGCATTCTTGGCGTTCAACTTTATCACTGTGCTTGATGTGTATGAGGGGTAGGCGGATCGGAACGAGAACGAAAGCACACCCAAGGAAGTCGGACAAGGATATGCTCGCTAACGACAGGATAAATGCTATAGCTACTTAGGTACCTTACTCTCTGACCAACTGGTCTTCCAATTGAAGAAAATCAAAAAGGTCTTGGATTTGTTACATCTCGTAGGGTATCGTGTGATCATGCGATTACTACTAGTGTCTACGCCCAGTCGACGTTCCATAATTAGCTCTTCACTAGAAAGAAGCCGACACTTGACATTATGAGCCCCTATAGCTAAGCGGGTACTTTCACTAATCGAACTGGTCACTAAACATTCGCCCTCCCTCCCTCCTCCCCAAATGCCAATCGAGCCTTGAACTCAACCTGTCCCAGATATAATCCATGCCCTCCACAGAGATGCTGTCGTACCGACGACGATGCCTACTTTCAATCAGTCACTGCTAATCAAATTCCCCGTTCATTCGACTTACTGACCCGTCACTAGAAGGCCCCATGACATAAGATGGACCCTAATCCGTTGCGGCCGGTTCGGGCATGGTAAACGTGATGGTGACCAGTGTGGTTGCAGCTTCTCTGACTTCAAGGACCGAGTCCTCCTTTTGGAATCTGTTGTATGCAGACCGCCCGGACTCCGCTTGGAGATCGCCTTCCTGGTTGGCAGACGAGGATGCGGAACTCTCGTGCTTCTTGGCCTTGTTGTACCCCGACCGCCCCGATTGTGCCGTAACGTCACTCTCCTCGTTGGCAGTGGAGGTGCGGGAGGTTCTGTCCCTCTCGAACTTGAACTTGTTGTATCCCGAACGCCCTGACTCTGCGGTCAGATCCCCCTCCTGCTTAGGGGAGGGCGACTCGGCGGAGACAAGGACGAAAGGGCCCAGCAGCCCCATGAGAAGCACGGTTGACCAAGATTGTGTCAGCATGATGGGTGAAGTCTAGGGTTCTCAGTCTGAATTGAAAGAGTTGGAGAGATCCTGTTGCCGCTCCTTGAGGTGAGAGGATTAGGACAACAAGCTGTCCGGGTCTTCGCCCATTTTAAGCACATCCCGTCTGCTGCTGCTCGGGTACACGGCGAGGAGTGAGCCAAATGGAAGAGGGTGTGGTGACCGGTGATTCCGCGCCGCAGCATTGATCAGGCAGACAACCATTGTATCGCCAATGTCTCCTTCCCACTGGCTGGTTGAAGGGGCTTAGCAAACATTACGAAAGCCGTCACCGAGGACAATGAAGCCCGATCGAGATTGCGCTGCATGAAGAGACAGTCAGGTGATAGTGATAGAATAGGAACACCCGCCAACCGCCAATCATGGTCCCCAATCTGACCAACCCCAAGGCCATTGAAACTTGTGTTGGGCAGGCCGAGGCGTTTGGTACCTTAGACAGCGGCCGATGATAAGGATTGGGGGCGAGGTTGCCGGTCATATCGGTCGGTCACACCGAGATACTTGGGTTCCGCCAACCGATTGACGGTGTAGAGCCGTAAGGGCTGGGTCGGCAGGCGCAGACTCGAACCAACAACCGGAGGACTGCTCGGTGTGGCTCCAATGCGAGAGGGAGCTACTGTGCTTGGCAGATGCAAGGAACGAAGGGCAAAAGGTCTGCCATCGCAGGCTCGTATGCAAGAGGTATCACACGCTTCACACCATGTCAGTGATGTAATAGCCTCTGCTTTGACCGATCCGTCTTCTCGAGCAAACAACCGTGCTTGCGCCCTTGCTCTTCAGAACCAATCCAGCGTGGTGTTTACTGTTTAGTGATAGGTAACCAAACCAGATGTAAACTTACTGTCACCGACTAGGAAATGGGAAGTGATGATGCCAACGTCCTTATGCTCATCAAATCATTTTGTTAGCCTACAATGCTAGTACATATTCAATGCAAACGTCCTCTGAGGTAGTCTGTTGCGGCTAACATGTGTAGGGTAGCCACGACCCTTGAGACTGACAGGAGTTTGCAGGCTGCAGAAGCACTTCCCAGAACGTATCCCGCAGGAGCTCTTCTTGTTCAACTAGGTAGCATGCTCGGGCCCAATTCTCGGAGGGGCGGCCAGGAACGATGTTTACACTTGTCTAAGGTACCTTACCCTAACTTACAGATACTATAAGCTGCAGTCACTCTCTGGCATTGGCTGAGAGTCTCTTTAGACAGTTCTGAACTTCATGTAAACATCTCTTCCCTGGTTCCACTCGTCTCAAGATAAGTATCACATACTCGGTCACAAGCTGCAGGTTGCAAGACAATGATCCATTGCGTGCACAGTTGCGGCTTCTCTTGCCTGCACTATCTTAACCTTCCGCTAAGCTTGAGCCTCTCCTTCCTTACGATAACATCGGCACATACATCAGCTCGTTGACCCTTTCCTTCCTGACTCACAACCCCGACAGATGCACCACCAGGGCAGTCCCCGATGCTATACACTCTGGAATCGTTCCTTCTCTGTACCTCAGTGAAATTCGCCCTATACCTACCGCAGCGCCTTCGTCTCATTCACCGCATTTCCCGCTCATGTCTCCTCGACTGTCTCCTCGACTGTCTCAGTTCTCTCTTACACTCACCGATTAGTACACCGGTATTATGCATACGTACATTCATTGCAGACGCATTTTGTCCTCAGCAGCTCAGAACTACAAAGGTCTAATCAATGCAGATGGCGGCGTGCAAGCTCGGAGGTCTCCCAACCGAGGTCCTCACTACGATCTTCGAGTTTTTCTGTGCACACTGCAGACACGACAATGTCAGGGATCCGTACGACGAGCAGACTCTGGTCACGCTCTGTCAGGTGTCTCGCTATTTGCGCGATGTTACCCAACCCATCCTCTACCATTTCTTCACCTCGGAGGTGAGGACACTTGGGCCATCTAAGGGCGAGGACAGCGTCAGCAATATCTATCGCAAGCTACTCTTCCTGCGGAGCCTTGTTGCTCGGCACGATCTCGCCGAAGCGGTGCGATCCCTTCACTTCGTTCCCCAGGGCCGTTCTTGGAGCTTACCTTCTCCGAGTACCTTGGACGACAAGCTCTTCAACATGTCTGAGGATCTCTTCGCGGAAGCTTGTGGGCAACTCAAAATTAAGAACATTCAAAACGTGGAACATTCGGATTCGTTCGGCAACTACACTGTCATCCAGCTGATCATTGCCCATTCACCTAAGTGTGAGTTCATCTCCCTTGGGCCTTTCTCAGTTTCCCACCGGCCACCGGAGCAGGAGGACATGTGGGTGTTCAGGCGCATCGTCAGTCCGATCCCACCCGCAGCTCCGTCCCCCCTTGATGCGCTGCGCAAGCTAAAGGAGATTCGCCTCTACCACGAGCCTCGACCCGTCGGCGTAAGCCTCTCCGTCTGGGATCTATCCGATCTTTTCCTCCTCGCACCGGAGTTGCAGTGCCTCGAAGGTACTGCGACGCAGCACAGTCAAGAAGAGCCTGGCGGCGACCATCCACTCATTCCACTGTCCATCCCCAACGTCGTTAAACTTCATCTCAATTCGAATTCCCTGTTACACCAGCAGCTGGATAGCCTTCTCACCTCTTGTACATTGCTCCGGGAATTCTCCTTCTTATGTGACCGAGATCAGTATACCGTGCCTTGTCCAGGTCCTCGTCAAGCTATTGAGGGGCTGCTACGCCGCCACCAGAACTCGTTGGAGTCTTTGACTTTGAATCTGGAATTTTATGGATCACCAAATGTTCTGAAGGCCAATAGCACGCTCAAGGCATTCAAGCGGTTGTCGTTTCTGAAAACAGACCTCGACTGCTTTGGCGGCGATATGAACGCCGCGGCCGACGATCTCTTGGTCAGAGTCCTGCCCGAATCTCTTCAAAACCTCACCCTGGCGGCGAACCACAGACAACGGAACCTCCAGAAACAGCTACAGGAATTGTCGCAGAGCCAGCACCTGTTTACGGAGTTGCAGCATGTGCATATAATGGCACGTGGCATTCAGGGATCCCTGGAATCACCTGAGCATTCATTTCAAGGGGTGGGAGTCAAGTTCACTATCGAACGGGTTCAACTTCTTGGTCAATTCTCCCTTCCTATAGGCTTCCTTCCTTGAGCACACAAGGTAACTCCACAATTCAATGGACTAAATGGAAGGGTGTTTCCTCGTTAGTTTCAAATCAATGGCCGAGCCAAGACGATCAAGGTGGTTCTTCATGTTTGTATATCGCTACTCGGGCAATAACGCCGGCCCCATCACTCATGTACAATACTCTTATCCCCAATTCATACGCCTGTTCTTCGCGTGAAAGGATACCTTACCTGAAGATGCATGAATGTGACTCCAAATGCCCACGGAACATGCAAAACATTGATGGTCCACTCGTGTCCTGAGCCTGCATTGGACAAAGCTTCAAACGACGATTCAGAATGTGGCATTACCCCTGCCCCTGGCACCCTGAAGTTCAGATCGCAGAATGCTGGTTTCGGCACATCAGCATCGATCGTCTGGTGCGACATGAGATGCATAGGACTGGTAATTCTGGTATCAGAATCCCTGGTTTTCCTATCTGGCAATGCAGGAGTCTTTTCCTTCACCATTGAGACATGACAACCAACCAGCCCAAGCGTCTCCCTTCCGCGTGAGCTGACAGCGAGCTACATCCGCAGAGGAACCATGGTGATCTCGATGGACGGCGAAGGTGTGCATCCCCATCAGTATGCTGTGGGCCTTTTCCGTTCTCGCATTCTTTTATCCGTGCTGTTTGTCACCGCGCACATTGCCGCTAAAAGCAGAAGTCGTAGGTTGGTGAACAGGGACAACTATACGATGACAAGTGTATTGGTACAATACGTTCCGAACATGTTCCTGCCAACGAAACACCTTCTGGAAGAGCCGGAAGGTCGGCGTAAAGGGCCATTTCCAAGCTGACGCACAACAAGGTCTCCCCCCTCACCTCCTTGGAGGACGGCCAGGCTGCGTGACGAGTTCGTCAGGCGTATCTCACACCCATCGGAAGGTTCAGGCGGGACACCAGGCCGCGGTGTCTCTCCAGGCGGCTAGGGTAGGCCCAACGGATAATCCAAAAATCGTCTGCTGTATGTGGCGTTCCTATATACAAACTGCTACATGGATCTACAAACTCGGAGCAGACAGCGCCGCCTTCGTCACTGGCCCAGACTGGTCGTTTTACTGCCAAGAATTCCGCCAACTTCCCAATGTTGAAAAAGGCGCAAAATGCGCAGGGTATCTAATGTTGAAAAGTTCCCGATGCTCCCCTTCAAGCCCACTAGCCCAACATGACCAGCTCATGCCGATAGATCGTCGCCCCAAACCTGCTTCGCAATCTCCACCTCCAGCCTGACCTTCGCCCACTGCTGCTCCTCCGTCAGGTCGTTACCCTCCATCGTCGAGCTGAACCCACACTGGTGTGACAGACACAACTGGTCCAGACCGCGGGGACAGAACTTGGCCGCCTCGTTCAACCGCCTGACGATGTCCTCCTTGTCGTCCAGCTCAGCCTTCTTGCTGGACATGACGCCAAGCACGACGATCTTGTTCTCCGGGAGGAAGCGCAGCGGCGAGAAGTCGCCCGACCGCGCGTCGTCATACTCGAGGAAGTACACATCGACGTTCAGCTCCCTGAACAGCACCTCCGCGACGGGCTCATACCCGCCCTCGGCGAACCACTGCGAGCGGAAGTTGCCCCTGCATAGATGGATGCCAATCACCATGTCCTTCGGCCGCTGGCTGATGGCCGCGTTGATCAGCGCCGCATACTGCTTGGTCAGCTTCTGGGGATCCTCGCCGTGGCGCTTCGCCGCCTCGGCCCGCATGCCCTCGTCGCATAGGTACGCCAGGTTGGTGTCGTCCAGCTGCACGAACCGGCATCCGGCAGCGTACAGGTCCGCGATCTCGGCCTGGTACACCTTGACCAGGTCCTCGAAGAACTCATCCAGCGTTGGGTACACCTCGGTCGAGATGGCCTCCCTGCCGCCGCGGAAATGCACCATCGTCGGGCTGGGGATGCACACCTTGGTGGTGGTGACCTTCTCCTCCTTCTTGCCGCCCGCAGCATCAACCAACCGCGACCGCACCGCCTCCACATACTGGTAGTCTTTGACCTGCACGGCCTCCGGATGCCCCAGCTTGCCGACCACGACAATCTTGGGCGGTGTCACGCCGTGCGACGTGACGTTGGTCGACGACAGGCTGCCATGCCGCTCGACGCCCGCCAGGTGCTGCAGGAAGTCGATGTGGAACCACGCGCGACGGAACTCGCCGTCCGTCACCGACTGCAGGCCGCTGGCGATCTGCTTCTGCACGACCGTGGCGATGTGCTCATCCTCGAGCGCGCGCAGGTCCGACGGCGAGATCGGGTTGGCCGTGTCTAGGGTCTCCCGGGCGGTGAGGATGGGTTTGGGGCGGAGGAAGGAGCCGACATGGTCGGCGCGGTAGACACCGGCAGGGAGGGGCATGTTTGCGACCTTTTTGGTTGGGAGGGTGTGGTGTTGTTGGCTCTCGACGGCTCGGCTGCGCCGGATCTGCGTCGCACAGGACAGGAGAGGTGAGAGAACCCTAAGACTCCGGAGCGGTATGGTGCGCTTCACGGACGGGACGCAGACAATTCGGTCCGTTGTTGTTTCGTGTGGTGCGGGAATGGTAGGACGGCGTGCAACAAGCCACAGAATTCCTGCGGCTGTGGCAAACCCGGTTCCAAGGCTTCGGAGTCGCTTTCGATTGGACTTGGGGATCTGCTGTGTTACGGACGAACGCGTAAGTCAAAACTCACTCTACCGTCGCGAGAAGAGTGATGAGACGGGTCTTGAACAGCCACGGCGGGCTATATACCACAGACAGCTTGGCATGCTGGAACCCAAATACCCTGCCGAGTACTCCGTAGTTCCATCTGACAACGACTCAGCGCTGCTTCACCGAATCACATCACAATCGGCGAAGCTCTCAGGTCCATCCGTCGTGCAAAGCACCCACTGTGCCATGCGCGGCAGTGAAATCGCGCTGTCGCCATTCGCCAATGCCTGATTTTGAGAGAATATGCGGGGTATCCGAAGGTGGGGCTTTCCCAATTGCGCGGGGGCAAAAATGCGAGAAATCCGTGCCGGGGAAACAGATTCCCCGCACGGCAGACATGGCCGGGACCTGCAATCGACAGGGCCACGGAAGCTTGACCGGGTTGCCGAGACGCTACAGGATAGACGAGGACACTTGTTGTGCTAGGCGCTGGAAAATGAAGCGGCAGTTGGTTAATAACTACGTGTAGGTATCCATAGGTGCATGTATAATGTGGTATCACCGTTGTCTTGGCTGGCGCCGGCTGTGATAGCATTAGACGGTTGTGGATGTCAATTGTCATGACCCCCTTTTTGCAACCACATGCGACGGTTTAAACTCTTAGGTACAATACCAAAAGATGGATTGTAAAGTACTGTCACACATACTGTACTGTAATCATGAGCAAGACATTCGTTAAAGCTCCTGTACGTAACGTTACGAAGGAGACAGTTCCATGCTTCGTGCTCCGTAGGACGGCGTGTCTCATTCCGCTGCCTTGGGGCTGAATGTTCGCTCAACCTCCCACGAGTCCTTGTGTCAGGGGCACTTGTCCCCATGTTAAGGATCGTCTCATGGTCTGAAAGGGGCGGTCTGGAGGTCTCAGTGTTCTGCCCATCATGCGCCACAGACAACCCCTGAAAATCGTCTACTCAATTTGGGCGGATCTGGGTCGTATTTGGCTTCGCGAAATCCTCGGGCGCGCCGAAGTGCCAAGACCGCCTGAAGGGTGGCTGATCAACCCTTGTCACGTTGTAAACACCACGAAAACTGGGAACTTCCAGGTTGGGTTGAGGTCTCTGCTCGGGACCCCAAGAGATTAAGGAATTATTTACAAAACTCGGGTGCCTCCCAGCCTGAGAGGGTACAGAAGAAGCGTAGATCACATCACACACATCTTACATCGACGCCAAAGCCCCGTTACCGGAGCAAAACTAGCCAGCACTTGTCGCGAGTCAGGTTGTCCAAATTCGTAACGTCATGATATTATTGCACGAAATGGCAAAGGTATCCTTGTGTAAAGACAAGCAAACAAGTGCATGACTAAATCATTGTGCCACCTCCTTAGACCGCAGAGTCCTTGTTGATAAAGGCAGAGTCGTTGTTCATGTGCCCAGCGAAAGTGGAGCTAGGCTTCCACTTGGCCGACGTGCGTGGGGTGGTCTCCTCCATCATCTTGTCGACCTGCTCGAGGGTAAGGCCCTTGGTCTCGGGAACGAGGAAGTAAGTGTAGACCCAGGCGCAGGTGCAGAGACCGCCCCAAACGAAGAAGACGGACGACTTCAGGTTGCCCTTATCCTCGTCGGTCATGAACGGGGTGATGACAGCAATGATGGTGTTCCAGAGCCAGTTGGAGGCAGTAGAGAGACCCACGCCACGGGAGCGGATCGGCAGCGGGAAGATTTCACCGATCAGAATCCAGGCACCGGGACCCCAGGTCGAGGCGAAGAAGAAGATGAAGATGGCAATGAAGGCGATCTGCGCATTGACGGCCGAGATGTTGTCGGCGAGGGTCTTGGTGCCAGTGGGGTCGGAGGGGTCAATATGTGTGTGGTTGAAGCCGACGGTAACACCGATGATGGCGACCAGGAACTGGCAGATAAGCATGCCGAGGGCGCCCCAGAAAAGGATGGTGCGGCGACCAAACTTCTCGACGGTGTAGAACGAGATCGGGGTCGAGCACACGTTGATGATGGTGAAGATCATCGAGGTAAGGAAGCTGTTAGAGATGGCGCCAGTCGACTGGAGGAAGGGAGTCGAGTAGTAGAAGATGAAGTTCACACCGGTCCTGAACGACAGCCATGTCAGCATGTACACGCTCGACCTGGTCGGCAACAGCTTGCACTCACCATTGCTGCATCATCTGCAGAGAGGTGCCGAGAATCGTCTTGCGCAGGTTGGAGTTGGACTTCCAGAGCGAGCCCTTGAAGCAGTTGGCCCAGCTGCCGAACCAAGTGGTGTTGGGGATGAGCTGGCGCTCGTACTCCTCGTTGGCGACAATCTCGGCAAGCTCGACCTGGATGTACTGAGACTCCTTGGGCTGACCACGAAGGCGGGAGAGAGCGTCCGAGGCAGCGTTCAGGTTGCCCTTCTTGACGAAATAACGGGGCGAGTCGGGCAGGAACATCAGACCAATGCCGAGGATCAGAGCCCAGATGAACTGGATGGCAATTGGGATGCGGTAGGAACCAGTATCGGTGCGGGACTCAGTGGCGTAGACGACGCAGGAGGCAAGCATGAGGCCAATGGTGATGCAGAACTGGTAACCAGCGACCAAGGCACCACGAACCTTGCGGGGGCACTGTAAGGGTGGAGGTTAACCACACGCTCTCGCAGACATCCAGGGCCAAGCTCACTCACAATTTCGGACATGTACAAGATGACGATGGCAGACTCGAAGCCGACACCGATACCGGCAATGAGACGACCCGAAACGATGGCACCGAGCGGGTCGCCGAGGCCCGTGATCATCTGGATGACCACACCGATGCAGTAGATGAGGCAGCCGATGATAACTGTCCACTTGCGACCGATCCAGTCTGCAACGTCACCGGCGATGAGAGCGCCACAGAAGGTACCGGCGGAGAGAATCGAGACGATGAGCGAAGTGTGAGAGTAGCCGACTTTGTCAGCCATAGGGCCCTCCACGGCGTGGATGAAGATCTTGGCGCCGAGAACGCCGTTGATGTAGCCAGAATCGTATCCAAAGAAGATACCACCAAAAGAGGCGAAGATACAGAGAAGGTACGCCTTCCAGGTCACGGGAGCCTCAATCCGCTCGATGTCCTGGGTAGTCGCCAGGCCGGCGAGCTGGTTATGCGAGGCGGACGGGGCCGTAGCCTCCTTCTCCGAAGTGGCCGACATGGTGGTATCGGTCTGCTTGTCCGAAGTCTGGGTGGTGAGGGATGCAGAGAAGAAAGGGACGAACAGTCGCAAGGTGGGAGGGAGGGTGCGGAAAGGATAGGCACTTTAATATGTAAAGAACTCGGATCGAGGGCGGATCGTGCGAACAATCGAAAAAAAGTGGCACCGACTTGTGAACAGGACTCCGGGGAACCGAGTTGTTCCAGGTTTGGAAATAGCAGTGGTCACGGCAAGGACCAGTCAAAGCCAGTCACAGCACGGGGAGAGCCAACTTCCGCCGGCTTGGCAAAACGTGTGCCTGGGGTATTTCGCCGTTGTTCGGCCGGATCGAGTGCGTTGGTCTGCATTGACGCTGCATCGAGGGCAGCGTTGGTTTGCTGCGGGGGGTCCAGTCAAGCCCCACGGGGATGGACCCATGCAGAGTACCGCCGAGCATGTGCGGCGACCCCCGGCTTGTTGCAACGCTCCGGCCTGTCCAGGCGCGCCAGGCAGCGCGACATTTCCCAACTGATCCAAACCCCCGGGCGGGCCAAGTGGCGCACCACGCGCAGCCTTCCCCAAACCAAGTCGTCTCTCCGCTCCGGGGCTCCAGATTCACAGGGGACTGGGCGAAGCTAGAGTCCCCGTGGGGCAAAAGCGACGAGATGGTCTGGCTCACCGCGCCCGCATGGCTCGACAGAGCGTCGTAAATTGGCCGAGTCGGTCCGGTGCGTGACATCCTTTCGCTAGCAAGCCGAGATCCGGCTGCCATTCGCTGGCGATATTCCACATGCAGTGTCACGCACCGAAACTGTCACCAACGGCAGCGTAAATTACCGTAAGGTATCTGCTCGTCACTTTCTTTCAGAAGCAGTTATGTCGTTACGTGTAAGCTACCACGATCCCACCGGATTCGGCTTCTGTGCCAGCGCATGAACAGGAGCCAACACCAATCTCACGTACAAATCGTCATCCTGGACAGACCACCGATTCCGGCTATCATGGTGGAATTTTCGCGTTTGGTTACAGCATCATCCATGGAGTGCTAGGTATTTCTCGAACTCCTTTACGTGCGTCGATTTTGCATAGTGTAGATAATCCATTGCTTCTCATTGTTTCAAGGGCCAAAGCTCTCGCGATCAAGTACCCACATCGATTGTTCGGCGACCAAGCGTCATCGATGCACGTCGAACCTGCGCACAAGTGCTGTGAGTAGTGTATGCTACTAGAATATTTTGCACAGTGGATAGTATTCCCCGTTCCCGCCGGTTTGGGCGACCCTGACATGCCGACACGTGAAAGTGCCTGGGGGAGACGTCGTGTACAAGGAATGCCTGGGTAAAAACGGTCCTTTTCTGGTGGAGCTTTCACAGTCAACAATCCGGGGACTCCACAGAATCGCAGAAGTCTTCGAAGCATGTCCAAGTCCTTCAAGTTCATTCGCTTCTCATCCACTCCTCAAGTTCGTAGTGGCCTGCAGCCACCAAAAGCTGGGGAGCAAATCTGGGGAGAAACCATGCAATCAGTGACATGTGTGGCGCGTCCTGGCGCTTACCGAACGAGTAAGCTTGCTTCAAGGCTCTCGCAGTCGGGGGGAAGGCGTTATAAGATGTAGTGTTAGGTATGTACTTGTACAATACAATAAAGTGCAAATCATATAGCGCTCTTCCCGCCTTTGCTTCCCCAGGCCAGCACTCCGATAGAGGCCCGCTACATACACAATACCTTCCTTGCTTATCCCATGGGATGCGAGTTCTTCTCCGAGTTCCTGAACGCTTCATTCAATGAAGTTTGTTTGCTTCCCCGCCATTACCCCGTCATCTCCACGACCCCACAGAGTTGCCATTCTCAACTGGTGACCCCATAATCATGCTTTGTTGGAGTTGTTGTGGACCTTGAAGCCCAATCTTCAAACGGAAACCATTTTTATACAGTACAAGCCTGTCATCACGCGGTCATGTGTTGCTTTTGCTTAAAAAGAGAAAAGCGATATCGAGCCAATGACGCGATTATTAGCAGTTGAGGCCGCTTTGTGCAGAGAAAGCGGCCGCCCTCGACATTACCGTGTGGTCTTCTGCAGCGAATAGAAGCGTGGGACTTTTGCGAGCCGAATTGCTGGGCCGCATCCGTAACATCAGTAGCGACTCTGCAGCGCGCGCGATGGGGTGAGGGATCGGGCCGAAAGACTCCGCAATTGTCCATCATGTGGCCTTCCAAAAGCCAAAAAGCTCAGCCCAGCCTGTTGATGATGGCAGCGGTGACAAAGACTCATCAGCAATCATTATGTTCACGTGCGTTCAAGATTCCAGCTCCGTGGCATCACCATTCTTTGACACAAGTTCGCAGGTTGTCACGATCTTTAATACCGGAACCAAGAGCAGAACCAACGATGGGCTCGCTGGGCGATGCGGAAGTTCCCCACTGCCCCTTCTTCCAAATGTCGTTTGATTACCTGATGGTAGCACCCGCCGCTAGCCAAGCCGCCGGCGGGTGTATACCCACTTGCATCCGAAGTCAACCTAGCGGATTTCTCAGGCAAGAGTCAAGATCATTGGAAAATGGGCATCACCGGGCTGAGGGCTGCCAAGCCGGCCCCGCCAAAGAAAAGCTTGATGTCCAGATGTAGGTTTCCAGGATTTCCACGATGCCGCCATATCGCAATCAGCACTCGAAGCGAAGAACGCAGGCCTGAGAAGAGACTTCCCGAATCTTCCTAGTGTTCATATAGCTGTATGTACTGTGTAGCAACCCTTCGAGGACCCGATTGGCACTGTAGTATGTACATAGCCTAAGGGTAGCCGGTCGATCATGGCCGCCATGCTACCCTCCAGGGTCTTTATTTGAGATCGCGGAAATCCCGGCTCGACCCAAAGTTGACGAATCCCATCAGGCAGAAGCAGAACGGTGTAACGCTGCAGAGTCTAGACACCCAGTTGTTTTGCCCTTTGGTGATCCAAGGTAGGAAGCGGGAACGTTGCGTGCGGCACATGTCGTAAACTGACCACATTTCAGGCACAACCTCCTTGCACCCCAGCTATGCCTTGGCTTTGTGAGGCGCGTGGACCAACCGCGATTTTCCACCTTATTTGCTTGCCGCGAAAGCTTCCATTTCGTTTCCCGGCAAACAGACGGCAGCAGGGGTGTATGTGCGGCGCTCCTCGGCGCTCCCCGTTTTTCAACCAAGGGCCGTCCCCAAATAGGGTTACCTACTAGCTATTGTAGATCCCCTTAAAATAGTCGGCAGGTACGTTACCATGACTTGCTAGGTTCGGCGGATGAAGAGGTCGAGAATGTCTCAGGTTGTTCTGGGAGTGTTAGTATAGAGCTCAGGGTCCCGCATCCCGATTTTCAGAGTCTGCCAAGGCCGGTGGAACCTGAGCAAACAGAACATCAGCTCGTCATGTTTTGTATTATCCTAGGTGTTTCCCGTGGTTTCCTGCAGCGAGGTACCTAAGGTATCTATGTATGTATCGATAGACAGTTCAACCCCTGAATGATTGTTAGCGCGGAACAAGTGACAGGGGCTGAAATGCTGGGGCTTTTCCGTGGTCGTTCAAGTCAGACGCTAACAATCATTCAAGGGTCGAACTGTACTTATACAATACCATACATGTGCGATGTGACGGGTACCACATACCAGGTAGGTTGTGCAAGTACTACAAGTACCACAAAACGTGGTGGTAGCGCAGAAATTCTCCGAGAGAACACCGCTTGGGGATGTGTCTAAGAGAGCCGGGACATTCTACACGGCATGTCACCGGCTCAAGAGACCCAGCAGCAGCCTCAAGTACTAAATCTATCTGAGTACCTAGGGTATATTTGTCAAGCGAAAGCTAACATCCCTCTCCTAAGTCAATGTAGCAACGTGATATCTAGACAAAATAACTCCCATTCAACCAAGTGATGTTGAAGCTCCCGCGGAGGTCGAATGAACCTAGTCATGTTATTGAAATTGAATTCTATTTTACATCTATGTTAGTGACCAAAAGACAACACTAAACACACTTGACTCTCAGATCTTCCCTTTCTTTCACACGGCAATATTTCGCAACCCCCCCTTTTTCTACTCAACTTCAAAAGACCTCATGGTCCAGATCGACAATGGTATAGTAGATCACCCCACCATCCGCCCACTAGGTTAAGATTGGTTGTTGTGTTGGCCGAAGGGTCCGGAGTAGCAAGTCTCCCATTGCAGTCTTGGTGTTGAACTTAGGGGTTCACACAGATTATATGGCTTGCTTGAGGAATCTGAGACTCTGGGAACCTTGGTTCCTTATATACATGGAGAGCCTAGTTCCCAGCCTTCTGCCGATTGTTCCTGCTATACCGGTACCTCCAGTACCTGCCTAGCTTGTGGTCTCCGCCCCTGATTTCAGCACGTGGTCTTCAACAACTTCCAGACCGAGGTTTAGCGGTAGGCGCAGTAGACTCTCCACCCAACAAATACGAGTAGAGTAAACGCTAGAAGTGCACCCCCGAGCGATTCCCTCCCCATATGTTGGTTCTTCGTTGCTGCCGCCCGCTTTCGGAATTCCTCAGACGCCCTCCGCAGCGCATCCATCTCTGCCCTGGTGGGCGGTCGCCGATTGAGAACGCGCTCTATGTCTTCTCATGTGGGTGCCCGAGTCTCTCGCGCCTCTGTCGAGCTCATCCCAGCTGGTCGAAGTGTTGGCGGTTGGGCGAGTGTCTTGGGCCCGAAGGGGTAGGAGCTGGGGGGTTGCAGTGGAATGCGTGCGATGGGCGCCGTTGCACTACTTGGGAACCTTAATAATGCACGGAGATTTTGTTGATGATGGGGTATTCGGAGGTTGTCAGGGGTGAAGTGTTTGGAAGGGAACCCGTTCTCGCAATGGATGTCAAATCAGAAATCCAAGCTGGAGGATATCAAGACGGTCTTGAAAAGCAAACTAAAGACAGTAGGGCTGGGTATCAAAGTTACCAACGCGACACAACTCGGCGTTCTTGCCTTCTTCAAAGTTCAATAAGGGAATGTAGCACTTTTGATCCATCAATCCAGCCATTCTGCGGACTGTTGTGAAGTTGGATTTGGGAGCGCAGAACACAGCCCCCCAACTTCGCCCCGCAACAAGTGCCGGGTCGGGCAGGCTGATGCCTTGTTGGGCCGCAGTTGGGCGGCGCAGACTGAATCAAGCCACCTTCGCATGACAGTCGCGCGTCGCAATGCTGCAGATATCATACCGTAATGCACTGCAGTGGCAGATAGAGACGAACAGTACTCTGATTGGGTATCTCTGCATTCCGATGGTCCCGCCGCTATGACGCATGAAGCGTCCACAGTCACCACCAGGGATCTTCTTCAGAGGTTGGAATTCAGTCTACAGTGCTGAAATCAGGGGCAGAGACCATAAGGTAAGGTAGGTAGGGATTCGAAGAGAGACGAGAGAGACTCGGTGCCATCAAGTTCTGCCACGTGAATCGCCTTGCGGTCTGGATATCCAACAACGCTGGTTGAATATAGTGATACCGCAGTAAAGTCGCATGCACGAAACCTCATTGCCAATTAACAGAAGTGCCTTACTGCTCGAAGGAACCACCTGTTGGGTTATCCGTTGCCCTTCATGAGTATTGCAACATGCCTTTGGACCAACTGTCCAAGAGTGTCAGGAGAGGGAGGTGGCAGCATCCTTGAGAATAATCCTTCCAAGATTGTCATTTTGGGTGTACTGACTAAAATGCCGAAACTCTGGTTTCAGCGCTCATGTCCCAGGGACACATAAGGGGTGGGTCTTCAGTCCTATAGCGCGGCGTCAGAACAGGTTGGCCTGAGAGAATTTCACCCTGGATCAAGGCTTTCATCAAGTTGGTGAGATGTCCACCTTGGAACACCCGCGGCAAGTGCCAGTGGTGGTCCTCCATTAACATAGGTACCTAGGTATGTAGGACTCCGTTGGAGTGATAACAATAATGGGTCGAGAGTTTCTCCCGGCTCAACAGCCTAAGGTAAACTGTGGTAGCACGATCTTCTTATTCACCTGACGCCTTCTAAGTGGCGCGAAAAAATATCACTTTTGATTAATATACCCGGGAGAGCAACTCCTTCTACGACCTCAAAGAACGCGAACGCAAACTGTACGCGTTCCCGACTTACGACAGGACAGACGCAGACTCACCACGGCTAAAGGCAGTCTCACATCACTCTCAACGGTCAAGAATGCACAGAGTAGTAGAATGAAAAGCAATGAATTGAGTGAATCCCCGTAGGGACCACAGACCCTCCGACGCCAGGCAGCTACCGTGAAATCCTCCAGCCCAGCCGAAACCGACCACTCATGAAATCAACAATGCCCAGGGCAAATGCCATCCCGTGAACGCCGCGCCACCATCCTCAATCCCAACGGCGGATTACCGGGTTGAAAGTTCCTCCCTTGTCTGCCCCTCAGGGGACTTTGCTTGCTTGTTTGTTGGCCGACTTAGATGTAGTCCCATGTGCCCTGGATGACACCGACGCTGAGGTCGGCGAGGGCGCCGAAGGCGGCAGGGCTGAGATCCAGGTCCTCAGAATTACAAGTCACGCAGCGGTCGACAACGGTGACCTCAACACTTTTGCCGTTGTAAGAGGCACGCAGCCGCTTGCCACACAGAGGGTTGTTGTTTGGGTTTCCGTTGGGGGTCGACAGGTCGAAATCAGCATGGCTGAGCGCAACGACGTAGTCGCCGTCACCGTAGTTCTGGCCGCAGGCGCCGAGGCCCTGGTTGTAGTACGTGAACTTGCCGGATGTGGCCGCGACGTCGATGTCGCGAGCAGCCATGGCGGGGGCATGGGTACCAATGTGAGTGTCATCGGTCTTGGGGGCGGGCGACGCGAAAGTCATGCCCGCGAAGGTAGCCGTGATGGTAAAGAGGGAGATAAGGATCTTGGACAGCATCTTGACTGATGGTCTTGGATGTGTGATTGTGTTATTGTGTTGTTGATATCTGAAAGCGGATGTTGAACGTTCGGATGTCCTTCGGAGAGAGAAGCGTTGTTTAGTGAAGAAAGGAAGAAGGGCGGCAGAGGAATTGATCAGGTTGTTTATACCTTTGAGAGATCACTTGCCATCCCAGAATCAGCCCTGAACAGCTTCGCTGTTCTATTGTGTGGCCGCGTTCTGGCAGGTACGATTGTGCGCGTTTAACATGGCCTGTATTTAGGTAGGAACGCGTTGCGTGAACGCGTTCGTGGACTCAATATACATTTTCATCCCATCTTAAACCCACCTGGTAGCCTTGGGCTGTCACAGCTAACAAAGAAGGAACCGATGTGCCCCTGCTCTGCTGCAGAAATCCCTCCGGAGTCCCCGGATCGGAGCTTCTGCCGTGCTGCATACAGGTGGTTTGATTCTATTACCCGGTAAGAGTAGCAGCACTCGTGACTCAAGTTAGGAAGACCGCATGAAGCCAATATCAACAGCTGTTATACACGCGGAACTCGAGTTCAGCTTCCCTGTAGACGTCTGGTCTCGGATCGCTGTTATGGAAGAGACTCCTTAACTTCAAGCAACGAGCTGCCCGATATGATCAACGCTCGGCAGTCATAAACTACAAAGCTTTCGTTGTGAATGTACCATTATGACTACTAGTAACATGCAGTCAGGGCTTTCGAGAAGCCTGTGTCCTCCTCGTTGTAAGAAATTAGCTCCTAGGCTCGAGGTAGACAAGATGTCAAACCCCGGAACATCATTGACATCACTACACATGCTAAGGGTAGAAGGCCGGCTGATAGATTCGGCCATTGCAACATGTACCGGGGTTTATGATCCAGGTCTTTGGCACACACCGAGGTCGTATTCGGTGCTGTTTATTTCATCAAGCACAAAGGAACCCTCGGGTGGTAGCTCATCATGAAGCTCAACACTGCCTTATATTTTGTGATGCTGTCGGCATTAGTGGTGCGGCTCTTGAGAACGCTCTCTAACCGAATCCAAGGTTGATTTCCCGCTGCAGGCTGCAGCAGCTTGATGGCAGCAAACGGACTTCAGAGTCCCAGACCACGCTTTGTGCCCGCATACTAGCAATCAGAAAGCTTGGAAGAAACGCGTCTTAGCCTGACCGTGCTTGTTCTGCTTTAGTACCTGTTGGGAAGCTGGTCCGGCATATTGATTCCAGTCTTTCACGTCATCTTCTAGCAGGCTTCACAGCGACGGTCGTGACAAAATCAGTGGCACCGATTGCCTGTTGCACCGAAGTGTGAGCAGTAACCTCATATTTCCCCAGACCGAAATGGAACCTCGGTCACATCTTCCACACCTCTCTTTCCTTACCAAAGCTGTGGCATATTTCGAGTTATCGGAATCATCGGCTGCCAGGAAAGTTATGGAACCCTCCAAAGACCGAGGACTGATGTAGACCCTGTCAGGAATCCAATATTCAGTAATAAAAGATGGCCCTTTATCGACCAGCTCTTCGATAGCGGGATATACCTGAGGAAATTCGGAGCGTTCGAACCAATACTACTATACAGGTGTGGGAGGGGATCTTAAGGAGGGCAGGATGGTGGAGGATAAGACCGAAGGTTAGAAGTTGTGATGATACCGGTTATTGTCATAGCGCACATCTAGTATCTATCTAGCGTACAAATGGAAAGGGGTATATTGGAGAGAAACAACTACTCTACTGTGCATACCCAGTGGGCATTGCTGTACCGTCTAATTCGTAAGTCACGCCTGACCGTCTTGACGTCTTCCAATTCGTCCACGCTCCATTGGAGTTGCCAAAGGCCGGCGTCCCGTGTAACTCCTGATGTGGATATATCGAGTCGGGTACCTCCTGAGGCTCCTGATGCTCAGACTTGTTAGTCATACATAAGGTCTCATCCGCACCTCCATGGTTGGTCCCGGAAGTATCTTCCGAGGGGGGAATCCCGGCCACCATCTCTTTCCTCTTTCTCCTCCTTAAGAGGAAGAATATCAGCCCTGCCGCGCCGGCCAGGGCAGCTACGACTCCCAATGCAGCACCGACGATTGCGCCTGTGCTGATTGAAGTTGTTTCCATCGCAGCCTCCTTGGTGGCGCCACCTCCGTCCCCTCCGCATTCACTTCCCTTGTTTTCGGATACCTTGCTAACAACGGAGACCAAGCTGCTTTTCGCGGACGGATTGGCCTGCCACATCGTGAAGGTGTGGGCATTGTAATCAACCATCAGGTAGGCTGCTGTGAAGAAATAGCGGCCGAGCGTGGTTGGGTTGTCGGTTGCGCCGCTCATCAGCAGCTCCTTTGTGTCCTGGTGGACGAGGCGTGATCCGTTGCGGTCGACTTCAACGAAGGGGGTTATCAACTGGTTGTTGGGAATGCGGATTTGGAGGCCGTTGGAGAGGACGAAGGTCACATCTCCGTCGAAACTGAAGAGACGGGGTTTGTTAGTATCAGGGAACTGAAGTTAGAAGCGATCACAATGGTGCTGGGCGGGGAGTTGAGGAAAGGGGGCGAGGGGGGGCAGATATCAACGTACATATTCCCGGAGGCATCATACTGGCTCGCACCCCAGTGCAACCCAAACGACGAGCCAGTACTATTCATTTGTGTCGCTGTCACGAACCTGTCCACAATATCAACGGGACCCTCCCATACGAGCTGGCGTTGCGGTACGATGCAGCATGGAACGGCCGAGTTGGGAGGCATGATACCGTAGTCGGTACCATTCCTGAAATTGACCACGACATTCGATACAGTGACCTTCATTCCCGTCCAGCAGCCGGTATCCTCGCTGTAGTCGAGTGGTTGGGTCACGTTGCGTCCAATCACCTTCTCCTGATCGTAGCCGCCCAGCACGAGCAACCATCCATGTCGGTGGCGGCGTTGCCCGTCCACATGCGTCCCCAGAAAATAGACCAAACGCGGGACGGGATCTGGCCTGATTGGAGCAGCGTGTTCAGGTACGTAGAGTTGTATCCGAGCCCGAGAGCGTGAAGAATGGTGTAGCCGTTGTCCCAGCGCATGCGCGGAATGCCGATGGGCATGGTGGTGAAGTTACTCGCCCCTGCCGCGAACACTTCCGTGCCCGCGAGGCTGGTCGACAACAGCTTTGGCACGCCGAGCTCCGCTCCACGCGTTCCCAATTCCTGGCCCGCACCTCCTGCGGCGACTAGGTCCGAGGATTTGGTAAAGCTGGTTGATTTATCCTCGAAAAAGTAACCTCCCCTTCGGATCTCGCATATCTTGTCGTTCCATATGATTGATGGGTCGCAGTAGGCCTGCTGGTCGTAGATGTATGTGTTGTTAAGGTCCCTGGAACGAATTAACGAGAGTCACACACTGCGGCTGCTTTTTTAGCATTTTATGTATCTAATGGTGACTTACGGCCAAGGAAGGACCACGATATTCTGGGGAGGAGTGCCGATCTTGGCCTGGACACCTCTCATCAGGGAGTCGGGTATGTTAGGGTCAACGGCGATGTCTGTGATAGGAAGTGCGATAGGTGACGCTGGCGTATCGCATGCCGAGCCGAGGGCGCGTTCGGCCCAGAGAGCAATGAGGAGGTGCTGCATCACCGTGAACATGTATATTGAGATACATCCGGGAGGACGGGGATCAAGATGAGAGATCCAAGTGCTTCATCCGGGGCGGGGATGCCTTCTCAATAAACCCAAGGCAACAGCGCAAGGGCGGCTCCAACAACTTCGCTTGGTTGCGCCACCCGTTTGTGCAACAGTCCGCACCTGCTGACTGCGTACGAACGGCATCGTCACATCATACAAGTCCACGACCTGCCCGATCAAGGACTGCTGGTAGGGCGGCACCCCTCTTGGTCGTAGTCATACGCGCGCGGCATCGAGAACTCCGCCACGGAAGGCTGGCTGCCGAACCAATTTGGCCCCCGTTACTCACCAACGGTCTAAATGTTGGTGATACTCGAACCCGGTGGTGACCTTCATGCAAGTTTCGCGCTTCTCGACAATTCGTCGAATCAAACCATGCCATTTATGAAGCCCTTGGCAGGAGTGGCGTGTGTTCACCAGGTGTGCGAGGTCTCGGCGGCTATGGCAGTAATAATCCGCACCACAGCATGCCTGCATCATTCACATTGCGTGCTGTTTTGCGCCAACATTAGTGACTCGGACTAGATCATTGATCGATACCATCAGTTCGGACGTTGGACAGGGGATGTACCATGTATGGTTCGACGTGTCGTAGGTAGAAAGCGGTAGTTTGCAAGCTGAGGACGGGGAACTGAAAACACTTTTCAATAACCACGGCTGCCAAAGACCCTTTCTCTCAACAAGGGACAACTGGATCGCTTCGTAACGTTAGGCGACAAGGGGTTGACCAACACTCGACCTGCCGACTTAGGATGTGATTAGCGCCGGGGACTGGCTTGCCCCACTTTCCCAGTTTAGCGCTCGGCTACCGTATCACCCTCCCCCAACAACCGACGATGTGTTTTCTCGACTGCCACAAACCTGCCGCAATGGCGTATCCTCAGAGTTCTCGCCTGTCGAGAATCACGACGCCGTTCTTGATGCCGACCTCGCCTTCCTCTTCGCCGAGGGGACAAGACATGTTACGGAGGCGAGCCCCGCCGCTCCCTTTGCGTGAGAGTTCCTCGCCGCATCATGGCTGTTAATCGTCGTTCTTGCCGAGTCCTCGCTGCGGCCATATTTATGGTCACGCTACTCTTTCTTCGATCTTTCCAACAACAGGACACGCATACCGGGCAGCCCTCACGGCACATACTTCATCCAAAAATTCACTTCCAGTCGAGCAGTTTCGACTGGTCGTTGGTGCCCCAACGATACCCCGTGTCTTCATTCCGACCTCTTCCCACTCGCCGACCGGAGCACCTCCGCCGCATTCAGCATGCCTTTCCGAATTACGTAGACGATGCAACCACTCAGCGCCGGAGAAAGACCGTCCGCGACGCTTTTGTTCGGTGCTGGGACAGCTACAAGACACACGCATGGTTGAGGGATGAGCTGGCCCCGGTAAGCGGCCAATGGAAGACAACATTCGGCGGGTGGGCAGCAACGCTGGTGGACTCGCTCGACACTCTTTGGATCATGGACCTCAAGGATGAATTCTACACGGCTGCGGCCGCCGCGGCCCAGCTGGACTGGGCAAACACGACCGACACGGCTGTCAACCTCTTCGAAACGACAATCCGCCACCTTGGAGGCCTGCTAAGCGCCTATGACTTGAGCGGTGAAACCGCACTGTTGAAGAAGGCTACAGAACTGGGCAACATGCTTTATATGGCCTTCGACACACCCAATCGCATCCCGGGCTTCTGGCTCAACTTTGAAGACGCAAAGCAGGGATTGCAAACGGCAGGAACGAACGACCCTTCAGCAAGCCCTACCTCGCTTTCCCTTGAGTTTACACGACTATCAGTTCTGACGGGCGACCCCAAGTTCTACCATGCCATCGCCCGCGTCACCGACTTCCTGGAGCGGACCCAAAGCCAGTCCAAGCTCCCCGGCATGTGGCCGAAACTCATCAACTTCCATGACGAGACCGTTGATGGTGAGATAGGGTTCACCCTGGGTGCGCTGGCAGACTCGCTGTACGAATATTTGCCGAAGATGGTGGCCTTGCTGGGTGGGCAGTTGCTCGGCTACGAGAGAATGTACCGCACTGCTATGGATGTTGTCAAGACGCACCTCCTGTTCCGGCCCATGGTGGCCGAGGACGACGAGGAGGGCAAGGACGTCCTCTTCGTGGGCGACGTATTCGTCCACCCAGACCATATCGACCACGTCCCAGAGGGCCAGCACCTCTCGTGCTTTACCGGGGGCATGTTTGCCCTCGGCGGCAAGATATTCGGTATCCCGGACCACGTCGTCATTGGCGAAAAGTTAGCCCGCGGCTGCGCGTGGGCATACAACGCGTTCCCGACCGGGTTGATGCCTGAGATTTTCAACCTCCTTCCCTGTTCCTCCATAGACGGTCCATGTCCCTTCGACGAAAATCTATGGCAGAAGGAGGGAAACAAGAGGCTGAAGAAGGGGTTCAAGAACGCTAGGGAGCCGAAGTACATCCTCCGGCCGGAGGCCATCGAGAGCGTCTTCCTCCTCTACAGGATGACGGGCAAAGCAGACCTCAGGGATCTGGCGTGGCGCATGTTTGAGGCCGTCATGGACGCGACGAAGACTCCACTTGCCAACTCGGCGATTGAGGATGTGACGGTCGAGGGCGAGACAAGCAAGACGGACTCGATGGAGGTAAGGCGCCTTCTCTAGAGGATTACACTTTGAATGAGTATTTTGATGACCCATTCCGCAGAGCTTCTTCCTGTCCGAGACACTCAAGTACTTCTATCTGATATTCTCACCGCCCGACCTCATCAACCTTGATATCTTTGTCCTCAATACCGAGGCACATCCTTTCCGGCGGTCAATGGTAGTGTAGCATAGGTAACAGTGAGGACTTTTGGCGAGAGAGGAACAGATGAGGATACCCATATAAAGAATAAGGTAATATATGGGCCCCATCGGCTCGAGAACATGGGGCCCAGTATGCATCAGCGCGAACAGCAACGTTCAAGGGCGATGCGAGGCGGCGAAGGCGTTCTTCATCCAGGTAAGCCTCGATCCAGATGTCAAGATAGGCTTCCTTCTATTGTCTGCCGCCTATCAGGGCGTTGATTGACCCACACATCTCGTCCTTTGGTGGTTAGCCGAATCGCAAGTGGAGAGAATGACGGTCTCAGCCCTATCAGCTGGGCACGTGCTAGGGACCAGGGACCCGGGAATTCATCTGTCCAGGGTCCACAAGGAAGGTAACCTTAATCCACGGAAGCCGTTAAGCGGGCCCAGCGGGCTCGGGCGGTGCCAGGCACGATGGTTCCGAGTGGACCAGTAGCAGAAGGCAGCAGCTCCGCGTCCAATAAACCCCTTGTTCGATTTTAGAATGTTCCTTCGCCAGCTCGGAATTGAGGCTCGGCCTTGGTGCCTATTCTGGTCCCTGACCGTCCCTGGGTGGCTGCAGATAGTTAAGCTCAAGGTGACGGCAACAGCTGAGATGACAACAAGAAAAGTAAGGTAGCTCGGACTTCTCGCCACATTCGCTCCACCGTCTTCCTCGCTTTTCCTCGGATACTCCGACACGTTGCCTGGACTTCCTCGGATACTCTGACGCGTTGCCTGGATTTCCTACTTTATCCCGGGGACAATGGTGACGGTCACCCCCAAGGCAGGCACTCTGCTCGGCCCCCTGACCACAACATGGACCCCGCCGGACAGTTGCACCATTCATTTGATGGCCACGAGCATATACAACAATGCATGGCGGGGACAGCAGTGTGTGGCGGGAAACCCCAGGGATAACACCGATTGCTGGCCGCCAGTAATAGCCAAAGCGGGAATTCCAACGCATCCGTTCTTAGGATGGGGTTTCTATTCGCCCGGTCTGGCATGCCCGACAGGTTATACGACAGCCTGCACGGCGGAGCACGGCGGTCGGTCGGAATGGCCAATCGAGTTCACCCTGGTCCCTGGTGAGACGGCGGTAGGGTGCTGTCCACAGTAAGTTCAAGTTCTTTTCTGCCGAGGGCGCGCAGAGCCAACCGAGAGTAGTGTACCCGACTAAGTGGTAGCGTAGGGGCTTCCAATGCGCCAATCTGGGCAATACATGCATTGCATATGCAGGGACCGACAGCCCGATGACAGTCCCCACAGCGAAGTGCTCCGGGACGGAGATTGTCAGCTTCGGCCAGGGCACATTCCCGGCGCTCGTTACGACAACAATGCCCATGACCAGCGCCACGAGTTCTGCAGAGCCCTCCGTGTTCACTACGATACCCCAGGCGATCCTCTGGGCACCGATGATCCAACTGAACTACCGTTCGGAGGACCTCCCCGCCACATCCACATCCACCTCCACATCCACGCCCGCCACGACGACACCACCACCTACCACCAACAGCAACTCTCCATCATCAGAGACCTCAATAACCGCAAGCGGCCAAGCAGCAGCAGCCAGCCAGAGCGGACTATCCACGGGGGCAGCACTCGGCATCGGCGTCGGCGCCGCACTGGGAGCGGCAATTCTGATCGCAGCGCTCGTCGGCTGGGTGTGGCTCAGGAAGCGGAAGCAACGAGCCGCTGCTGCGGCGGCGGCGGCAGCGGCAGCAGCAGCAGCAGCAGCGTCAGCAGAGAAGGCCGAGCTGGCGGTGGAGAGGCAGGCGGTTCAGCCGCCCAAATACTATGTCAAGCCTCCCGGCTGGACGCTGTCCGAGATGAGCAACGACAGGCCGGTGGCCGAGTTGTACGTTCACTATGATGGGGTTGTTATGCCTGCGCGGGTGGCCTCCGAGATGGGCAATGCAAATGTGGCTGAGCTGCCCGCTGAGGTGTTACACTCATCAGGGACGGAGCGGAGGGGTCGGGCGTCGTGAGGCAACCCACCACGCTGCAGTACATTCATGCGGGACTGTGCACTGCATACGGTAATGATGTTCAGGTTAACCCTTGCCTCGGGGAAGCCGAAGCTGTGTGTATATTTGGCATTCGGTGTACACATTCTACTAGTACATATTATGAGGCTTTATGTAATACGGATGTGAATATTAGAACGGGTACATAGAACTCTCAAAACCGTACCTGCGTTAGGCATTTTACCAGACCTGCCTGTGAGAGCTCCAGAGCACCCGATGATGCTGTCGCCCAAATTTCCTTGCCTTCGGTTGTGACGAGCGAGATGCTACTCTACGGCACAGTCCTCGCATGGCACGGTTCCTACCGCACTGCGCCGCGTCTGAACTCTGAAGACTGAACCTGATTTGTGCCAACCCCCGGTGAGGCTCATCGCCACGTCGCTTGGGACGAACATGGGATTCAACTGCAAGTCCTAAATAAGTATGTATGTCGCTTTCACTTTGCTTGATCATCTAGGGTGCCCGCCGTCTCGTCCCATTATCCCTACAAGGGGTAATAGCCATTAAAGACGACCTCGAGATGGAGACGGCAATGGACGTGCCCTGCAAGTCGGCACCAGCATGGGATATTCTGTGCCAGTCCCAGAAAGCGTGTGCCATCGTGGTCGGCTCTGGGTTGGCGTGTATTTTTGATGACGGCTATCATGGCTTCACATCCAAGTCCTCCCAGTCGACCCGGTACCGGCCAACCGTAACCTCTTGAGTCCTAGCCATTCTCAAGTATTACGTTGCCGGCTTGACTAGCCGCTGCCCACGGCAAAGGGTGCGGATTGTACATGATATTATAGGCCTAGTAAAGCTAGGGGAGAATTGGAGATGCTGCGGGCATGTTCTATCCTCGAAACCGTGCCTGGTGAGAAGCACTTTCAAAGCACCACATATTTGCCTGTCGCGTTTGGCAACTTTGGCTAAGGCTTTGTTAGAGACGGTACAAATCCATCTCGAGCATCTTACATATCACGGGGAACAACCCCGCTGTTACTCAGAAGCTTCGGAGATCTAATGGTCCGACAGGATGCTTAGCACGATGAGTCATTCGCATTCGATACATTCCAGATTGGACCATATAGGAGACTTGCCGATACCTACATAAGGTACTAACTCCCACCCTCCAATATTTTCCTCTCAGATTCACAAAAGTGTGCAATCCTATAACCCCCGCCCCCCCTCCGATCTCACAACAGCATCATCAACTAAACAATGAACCCCCCACCCCCCGAATCCCCTCCCCTTTCTTCTCTTTCTCCCCCTCTCCTCTTACACCCCTCCCAAAAAGCCGCAATAGCCCACATCCGCTCCACCACCCTCGCGCTCGCGCCCGCCGCGACGCAAACAATCCACCACATCCTGCGCATGTCCAACCTACTTCCCCCCGCCGAGATCCACGCCGCCCTCCTCTCTGCCATAGTAACCCAAGCCAGAGTCGCACTGCATTTCCACCCCGACCGTCCCGTGACACCCGTGTTTGCCGACGGAAAAAACAAAGACAAAAACAATGAAACGATCGCGCAGTCTCTCCTGGACGACGGCGTCTACCGCAACCAGTTCGAGACGGGCGTGTCGAACGGGAGCCTGAGTGCTTTCCGTGGCGGGGTGAGGGATTTGTGGGAGAGGGAGTTATTCGGGGGTGCTTATCACAACCACAATCATCACCACAGCCACAGCCACACCCAAGAGGATGAACAGGGGGATACTAGTAGTATTGGGTGGAGGGGATTGAGGCCGAAATATGGAGCTCTGGGTCTGTTGGGCGGTGGGACGAGCGACGACGGGCCGGCGCCGCGGTTCGGGTCGTGCTACCTCGTGCTGAAGCGGGAGGTGCTCGCGCGGTGTACTTTCACGTTTGGCGGGTCGCAGGACCTGCCCCGCTGGCGCGGGACGGTGGATTGTTTTGATGCGGTGCTGGCTGCGGTGCTGGAAGAGGCGTTTGTGAGGGAATCCGTGTTGGGGATGCCAGGGGTGGTGCGGCCGCCGGAGCTAGTGCGGCGGGTTCTGGATGGAGGAAGTGAGGGGGTGAGGGAAGGGTTGAAGATGAGTCGGAATCTGGATCATTACATTGAGGCGCAGATTCATGGGGAGGTGAGGCTGGATCGGGATGTTGAGATTCTGGTGGCGGATCCTTCGTTTCAGGAAGGGGAAACGGGGGGGGACTTGATGGCTTTGTCGGAGAGGTTTGGCTTCCCCCTGCGCTGGCATGCCGGGTCTCATATCGGCGTAGCGGAAGTCCCAGCGGACTTTCGGGGACCAACGATGCCGTCGCTCGCGGCGCGCGTGGCGAGGGATGGCATTGTGGACGCGCGAGCGATCGGGGATGCTGTGCGGGAGCTAAAGAGGAACCCTGATACGTGGAGGGACAGGGGCTCGTATGATGAGGTTTTGCAGGAGCTAAAGTTGCTGTGGCATGTGCTTGTCCGTTATGGGAGATCCCCTGGCACTACTACTAGTAGTACTACCTAGTCACGCAGAGCGCCGGGGGTTTGAATGAGAAGCTGCTATATCAGTTACCGACCGGCCGGGTTCAACTCTGTATCTGCGGATACTAGGGTTGTTCACGGTCCCTTTCATGCGTACAACCTTCATCCCATCGATCCCTGGTGCTTTCAGTCGTCCTTCCTACAACCATTGCTTATTCCCCAAGTGAGACACAAAGGAGCCGCCATCTCCTTTCTCTACACTGGCTCTTTCCCAGACCGAAATGACATCTCGGACGGCATCTTCTGGGCGCGCTGGTCCGCTGAAGTGAGGAGCATAGCTCTTGAAACGCGCAAAGACGTCTTCCAGCTTTTGTTGTTGCTCCGGCGTCACTGCGAGATATGTTAGACAAGTACTAGCACTACTAGTAGTAATAGTGAATCAAACACTAGGTGATCAGGGAATAGTAGGACTCCTACCGTCCGCATAGTGCCCGGCTTCCACCAAGCCCGGACAGATGCTGATGAACAGAACACCGTCCTTCCTGTACTGGGCGCTGAACTTGGCAACCGCGAGGTTCATGGCCGCCTTGCTCATGGCGTAAGCCGAGAACACGGCGATGTCATACTGCCGAGTCGGCTCGATGTCCGAGGTGCCGCTGGTTATCGACACGACCTTCTTGCCTCGGCCTCGCAGGACCAGTGGCATGAAGAGATTGAAGAGACGGACGTTGCCGACGGCGTTGATCCTGAAACACTTGAGCATTTCCTCCTCCAGCCTCTCGGGGTCGTTGTTGCCTCTGTGTGGTGTGTGTGTGTGAGTCCTCAGTCAGTTGCCCGCCTGTGGTTCTTTGAATGGGAGGGAAGGAAAGGAGAGCGCAGACGCACAGAACTCCGAACGGGTCGTACGAGTCCCAGGTTGAGACGTAGGCGGCGTTGGCGATGAGGTAGTCGAGAGTTCCGCCCGTGATCTTGGCCGTGTCCGCCGCGGCTCGCTACCGGGCAGGGGCATTCTCGTCAGAATAGGGATCGGTTGGCACCGGTGTATTACGCGGCATGCCTTACCTGCAGGGTACGGTAATCGGTGAGATCGGCTTGCAGGATGTGGATATTGGACCGCCCGCTCAGCAGCTCCGAGACCTTCTTCTCCGTGCCGGGTTTGTCACGAACTAAACCAATGACCGTATTGGCTGCGTCTTGGGAGATCTGGCGTAGGAACTCGAACTATTGAAGCTCACTCGTCAGCGTGTAAATACCAGGCAATTGATGGTATGTAGCACCTGCCCCGAGTACTCCGGAGACGCCTGTGATTACGTATGAAGACATTGCTGGCGAGGAACCTGAGTTGCGGTTTCTCAGTTTTAGATCTGTGGAATCTTGGTAACAAGCTCGGCCAGTTGGGTCAGCCTCCCTGAGTCTTATATACCACAGATCGAGTAAAGCTTATGGATTATACTGAAGCCTATGTGGGAGCCACTGAGTCCGAGAAATACTAGTAGTATTGGGCATGAAGAGCTCCGCGTGGATTACGGAATCTGTATCCGTACATTGTCCGAGCCGACCCGGAGAGCAACAATTGGTAATGGTGTTGTAGTAGGGTCCGGCCGTCATAGGGTAGTGGACATGGTCCTGTCATGCGTTATGATGCGTTATGGTTATACGTTATGGCTTGTCCGTCATCATAATGCATGCTTTCCGAAGGCGGCAATCAAGCCCTCAACAAGGTGCCATGTCCTCTCAGCGCAATACACTTCGACCATTCATCGACTCTGCTACACGAGTCCTTTGTTTGGTAGTCGTTTAACTTTTTACCGTCCGCATAGACCGCACTTACACGGCTACATGGGGAGTCTGGATCGGCCGAATCTTGCTCCGCATGACAGAAGAAGCTTCTAGTGTAACGCTATTGACCCATGCGCATGCGCAAAGATCGTTTTGCCTTAAACGGCTAGTGCACAAGGGCTTGGTTTGGACAGCTGTGTTTGAGGACAAAGAGCTACGGACCGGGCCGAGTGACTCGTCACTTGCCGAGGTTGGAACCGCTTTTTCAACGTCCACACTTGGACCGGTTTGCCTCTCATCTAGAGACTCCCAGTAGGGGAAAGACGCCATGCCCACAACACGGTCTACGCCAGCTGACCGGCCACGGACCCGGCAGAGGGTTCACAAGCCCCCGCCAGCGCTAAGCGTGCCAGATATTGACGAGGATGCGGCCGAGCGTAAGCGTGTGTTAAACGTGCTTGCCCAGCGCCGGTATCGTAAGGCATCCCTTTGCGGCAGGGCATAACGGTAATGGGCTTGAAAGTGACTGACCGCGTTGCGCGACCCAGGGCGACGCAAAAGGGAGGCTCGTCTTGGAGCTCGAGCACCACACGAGGGCTCTCCCCAATCTCAGAGGAGTCAGAGCCCAGGAGCGCCCCCGCAGGCAACATCGTCTCCCGGGGGGGTGGCCCCAGTACCACGGAAGTTGCATCCGGAGATGTGGTCGACTTCTCCTTCCTCTCCCCCAAAGATTTACAGCTCCCCGTCCCGTCCGCCGACGCGGTCCCAGGCTCATTCGACACCAGTCAGTTGGATGACATGCCGCTCCAATGGTCGAACTACAGTCCGCAGGAGACATACTGCCAGCCAGATGTACCGGCTGCCCTACCATTCGACCTGGCCAACGCGGCGCAGCCTCTGTCACTCACCTTGCTCAGCGGCGCATTCAGCACACCCTCGACCTACACCTCATCGTCGGCCTCAGTGCCCATCCCCTCAATTCCTCTGACAACCAATAACTACTACTACGCACCAACCACTACTACCACCACCACCACCACCACCACCCTCGGCTCTCCCATCCCAACAACCACAATCACAACAACAACAGCCGAATCCGAATCCGAGTCGGAGTCCTTCGCAGACAGCTATTACCTCCCCGTCCCACCCCTGACCCTGCTCCGCGCGCTAGTGCGCATCGCCACCCGGCTCAACGCCATGCCGTCGGCCCTGTCCCTGAGCGCCGCCTCCCCCTTCACGACGGGCCGCGGCGCCCCCGACCCGTCCCAGCTGCCGCCCGCCTGGCGGCCGACGCCGACCCAGCTGGCCGTGCCGCACCACCCGGTGCTGGATCTGTTGCCGTGGCCTGCGGTGCGCGATCGGATGATTGGGTATTTGAGTCTTGGTCTGGAGGAGAATATCAGTAACAGTAGTAGTAGTGGTAATAGTGGTGGTAATGGTAACGGTTCGGGGAGTGTGACGGGCTCGCTGCTCCTGGATTTTATTTATGACATGGAAGATGGGGCCGAGGGGATCAGGGTGTGGGGTGCCGATCCGTACGACGAGGCGAACTGGGAGGTTGGGCAGGCCGTCTTTGAGAGGTGGTGGTTTGTCTTTGATAAGCGGGTTGTTGAGGTGAGTAATCGCTGGCGGAGGCGGAGAGGCGCCGAACCGTTGAGGATTGCCGGAGCGTAGTAGTGACAGGTGGAGGAGAGGACCGTGAGGGGAGGCAGAAGTTGTTGTTTGTTGTTGTCGTCTTTGGACTCTTTTTGCTTTAGGCTGTCGAGTGTTTTATGATTATTTATCTCGGTACCATACAGCGCATAGGCCATGGTTGCCTGTAAGACTTGCGCTCACAAGCAGCTTCCTTGCCCCCTTCGCCGCTCGACCCTTCGCCGTAGCCTCCGCCTTCGAGCTGTGCTGTCGCGTTCCATTCGATCACTAGAGCACAGCCGCCGCCACTGGTTCGATGATTCTACAGCTTGGTATATATATTATGTTGACCACGGTTGACATTGTTAGATGGGTATCCATATGAGTGGCACTAATACAACATGGTAGACACGCTTAGCCCCTTGTTCCGTTCAAGCGACAAAATGCGCGACTACTACTAGTATTCGTACCCTATGTAGCTACGCTCCCTCCAAGTAGATAATAGTAAGTAATCCCCGAAATCCAGGATTCCCCACCCACTAATCCAACTCACTCCCTCGCGAGCGGCTTCGGCTCCGGGACATAGTCGACGGTGCCGCCCATGGCCATGGGCATCACCGCACCGGGCGTCTCCGGCAGCTTGCCTCCCCGATACAAGAAACTCATGGGGAAACCCAGATCAAACGGGACGGCGCCCTCAATCTCCTGGATATCCTCCTCACCAAGCGTGACCTTCAGCGCCTCAATGTTCCCCCGGAGATGCTCGACCGTGCGCCCCCCAACAATGGGAAACACATACGGCGCCTTGGCCCTCACATACGCCAGCGCAACGCTCGTGACCAGCGTATCCTTGCGCTTCGCGACGGCCTCCAGCGCCCGGCTAACCCTGACCTCGGCCTCGCTCGCCTGCACGGCGCGGCCCTCCCTCTTGGCCGTCGCTCGCTGGGCGTCCGTCTTGAACTTCCCCCCGCCCAAGGCGCCCCAGGGGGCCAGGGCCATGCCCTCGGCGCGGCACATGGGGATGATGTCGCGCTCGAAGTCGCGCACGGCCGCCGACCAGAGCCCTTGGTACACGCTGAAGGGCCGCAGCCCGTGGCTGCGCGCGTATTCGTTCGCCCGGCTCACCACCCACGCGGGCGTGTCCGACACGCCGAGGTAGAGCACCTTGCCCGAGGCCACGAGGTGGTTGAGGGATTGCATGAGTTCGGGGATGGAGGTGGAGAAGTCCCACCAGTGTACGTAGAGCTAATGATGAAAGGTTAGTTCGGAGATCTCGGGTTATAGAACGTACCTACAATAAAGAAGGATGAGGAGAAAGGATAAAACATGTCTCATACGTACCAGGTCGATGTAATCGGTCTGCAGCTTCTTCAGACTGGCCTCGACCGAGCAGTGCAGGCTCTTGGAGCCGTTGCCGTGGTAGTTGGCGAGGATGTGCTTCTTGGGCGGCTGGCCGTCGACGGCCTGGTAGTTGGTGGTGAACTTGGTGGCCAGCACGATCTGGTCGCGGTTGTTGCGCTTCTTCATCCACGCCCCGATCCGCGTCTCAGACTCCTCGAACTGGTAGTTGTTGGACGTGTCGATGAAGTTGCCGCCCTGGTCGAAGAAGTAGTCGAGGATCTCCTCCGTGGTCTTCTCGTCACACTCTCCCACTAGTTGATTACACCAGACGAGTTAACACACTACTAAATACTTTGACCTGAAATTAGCGAAAAAAGAAAAACTCACTGAAATCTTTCCACGCATCGCCAAAGTTCATGGCACCAAGGCATAGAGGGCTAACGTAGACGGATGCGTTTGGGGACAGTAAACGGTACCGAGCCAGCGGGCTCTGAGCGGGCGGAGCGGGAGGTAAGAGGGCAACCATCTTGTTGTGAGCGGTGGTGAAGCAAGGTGACAAGGTCTGATGTTACTTAGTGCTGAATACCCGTGGCCTTGAGAAATAGCATGTCAAGCGAACCGTGTCCTTAGTTGGGTTGTTATAGTGAACTGTCTGGTGGTGTGTTTAGAACCGATGGCATAACCTTGATGCCAGCGACGGCGGTTCATGAATGGGCCGATCCCTAACTCCGAACAATATGTCTCCGACGGCAAGGTTGCTTGCTTGTGTAACCGACTCCCAGACAGTGGCACTTGACTGCAGCCGTTATACGCTGGGCTCTTTAACGCCGAGAGCCTAATGCAAGCGGACATAAGGGAAGGACAGCTCGGCATCTATTCCGAACACTTCGATGTACACCGGCGTCATGATGCCGTGCAGGTCGTATCATCCGGAGTTAGGTTGGAGTTAGGCAATAGGAGGGTTGCGGACCACGAAACAGCTTCCACGGGTAGTTAGTGGTCGGCTTTGGCAGGCCGACGTCATGGATCGAGTGGGGATGTGAGGGGTTGACAAAGGTGAGCAGACTGATCGGGATTCAGTTGTACAATGCGGCTAATACCGTAACCGGAAGTGTGCTTTAGTACTAGTATCTTCGTAGACTTTGTAACCCGCCCATACACCCTATATAGACGCCGAAGATAAACATTGGAGGAAACTTAGACCAATCAACTATAAGCAGCGTTAGTCGTCCAGGGGTTGACTGTTTTGATGGATGTTTGCGTGCGCAGTGCTGGTGTTCTGTTGGCTTCGGTTGTGATTACTAATCAAGCTGCAACAGCCAAGAAGTAGCTGGAGTTAGAAATGCTGAGAGTGGAGAGTCGTGTCGAAACCGCAAGACCCGTACCGCCTGGGCTGGGTGTCGACACAACTGGTGACAAGGTTGTACTCCGGTCCTCTTGTTAGAAGCCTGATGGATGAGGGCCCCTGGGTACAGACCGGGAAGTGACGGGCATTGAAGTTTTGACCATTTGTTAGATTTGGCCATTTCCCAACGCTTGTCATTCATCGTTATATGACACACCCACGGCCTGCACCTGCATCCAGCCCACACTCTCCTACAGCAGCCCCAGTAGATCATCATTCGCCTTACCTTGCTCACCCGCCTTGCCATGCCCCAACTGCTGCCCCGGGGGTGGTGGCGCACTTGTCCCGCTCAGATCCATCCCTGCAAACCCACTCATCAAGTCATTCATTCCACCACCGGCACCGCCAAGCCCTGTACTTGCCCCAGGAGTAGGGGCAACACCGGCACCCGCCGCCGGAGCCGGAGCGTCAAATAACCCCATGATATCCGCCATCCCTCCACTGGGCGCCGCCCCCGCCGAGACCGGGCTCGCCACCCTGTCCGGCGTGCCCTGCTCAGCGCTAGCCGGCGCAGCCCCGTCGAAGTCGATATCGAGCAGGTTCTCGATGTTGTTCTGCGGCGTGCCGTTGGTACCAGCCGCCACGGCAGCCACGGATGCGGCGATGGGGTTCTCGGCGAGGTTCTGGCGCTGCTCTAGGATGGCGGCGCGCTGGATAGCCTCGGCGCCAAACCGGCCCTTGCCGACGAACGACTCGGGCGGTTTGTGGTAGACCGAGGCGAGGGTGGACAGCTCTGATAGAAGCTGCTCGAGGAGTACGGGGGGAAGGCTGGTTACGGTGGTGGTGATGCTTGGCTTCTGAGCGAGGATGATATTCTATTGAGTGTGTTAGTTGAGCTGGAACGCGCGGAGAGGGTGCCAGGTGGCGACCGACCTTTGCAACGTCCAGATCGCCGGACAGGAGCCTCCAGTAAATGTAAGCACGGTCCCGGATATCTGGGTTGTCGCTGTCGGCTGTGGCTAGCTGCAAGACCTTTTGTACGAGACCTTGGTTGTTGCTGGGTTTCTTCAAGAACAGCTTCACAACCGCCGTGAGGATTTGTAGTTGAGTCTGCAGAGTGTTAGCTCAAGCATATGTACCTCAGCAATCATGGCTGGACAACAAACCTGTGTAAACTCCTCTTGGAAGACGTCCACAAACCCTGATAAGATCTTATCTGCGTTGTTGATCTTCTCGGCGTACTCCCCAACAATCCAGATAAGGGACCCCCGGGCATTCGGCTCGTCCAACTCGTCGATGTACTTGCAGAGCGTGGGAATGACGCCCTCGTACCCGGGATATTTCCGAAGGATGTCCTTGATGACCACGACAACCTCCTGAACAACGTAGTTGACCTTGGTGGCGATCAGATCCAGCAGGGCATTGACGCACTTCTCGCTGGCCGCCTCAATCTTAATGGCCACCTGACCGATTGCCTTTACCGCACGCTTAACAAAGTCCATATCGACCTCAAGCGCATACTCCTTGAGCTCAGATAGCAACTGGTCAAAATTCTTGTCGTTTGCTATCCTGACCATGATCTCGAGCTTCTGAAGCTTGACGTAAGGGGGGTCGTTGTACTTGCAGAAGAACACCCTCAGCTCCTTGCTGAGGATATCGGGCTTCGCTTGCAGCAGCAGGTCAATATTCCGGAGCGCGACATATTGAACTTCGGGGGCGGAAGAAACGAGGGTGACTAAAGGAGGCGCCATCTTCTTGAGATACTGCCTGACCAGCTCCGGGCTGATGAGCTTCATGTGGATGAAGACGACCTTGACAGCCGCCAGGACGACACTGGGGTTGACATGTTGGAACTGCGGCGCCACTCTTTCACAGATGTGCTCTGATTCCTTGAGGTCTGTAGGCGGGTAATCCGCCAGAGTGCTGAGAATTGTTACTCTCCCCCATTCTGTGCACTCGTTGAGGGCCATGAGCAGCTTCTTGAGTGTGTTTGGCGTGATGACCAGCGCCTTCGTCTCGGGTGCGGTCTCGCTGATCTCCGACAGAGCCTGTACTGAGTTGGCCACGACCATAGGGTTCGGATCGCCTATCATTTCCTGCAGCGTCTCGAGGAAGCCGTTCTCGATGCACATGGTTGGGTTAAGATCGAACAGCTTGGCCACGCAGATTGCGGCAGTCTTACGGACGTATGGCGACTCATCCCGCAGTGTCTTCCGCAGCGGTTCCTCCATGTAGTCCACCATCTTGTCGACACGCACACAGCCCATCGTTCGGATCGCCAGCGCTCGGATGAGGGGGTTCGGGTCCTCTGAGTCCTGCACGAAGGTGTTGACCGCAAGGATGCAGAGGTCTGGGTGGGATTTCGCGTAGTTCCTGCCATTCGTCAGTCACCCGTGACGTGTAGGAAGGCCGCGGAGCGTGGTGTCGTACATTAAATACAGATAGACCAGCTTTTTCTGGTCCAAGTCTGCCGTCGCAATATTCTTGAGGACGTCGGGGAACAACGCCGACACGTCCTTGCCCAGCGTCATGGCCATGATCGTCTTCTGGATCGCCTCCTTCCGCTCGTGGGCGTATTGCGACACCAAACCTGCTCGTAACTCGAACGTCTCCCCCTTGCGCGGGGGGCAAACGCCCCGCGTATGCGGTTCACTGCTTGCGCCATGGCGGGATTCCAGTCTCAAGAAGGCTGTCGAGGGGACAAGCTGACAAGCCCAAAGCCGACGAGGGGCGGTCGATTTCACTTGGCCCGTTCCGATGGAGCACAGATCGTCCGGAGAGTTGCGGATCGTCGCTGTGCAACTCGTTAGCCAAGAGCTGCCAGTCGTCGGCCGGCCACCTGTTATGCCGCGCAAACTGGGCTGCAGTGCCGGGATGCTGTTGCAGACGGTGTGCCTTCAGGCGAAATCGTTCAGCGGTTGGATGTTCTGGCCTGTCGCCCCTGGAAAACGCCGTGGCTTGCAGTTATACCTCCAGCCACATATAGTGGGGTGATGTGGCTTCGTTAAAACCGCGTTTCAACAACTTGCATTCCGACTTAACTCCTCGGGCTCTTATCCAGTTGCCATCATTGACACATCTTCTCGAGGTTGAAGCGATTGGTCTTTGTGTGTCCTTTCGAAACCAAGACGCGCATGGTAGGGTAGTTGTCCCCTGTTTTTGCATATGTCTAATACCGGATAGGCGAACTTCCCCAATCTACGGCGCCTCTTCATCGAGGCAAGGACCGATAACGAGGAGAGGGACGTCTCGAGAAGAGCTGTAAGTCCACTGCCTCCCTTGATTGACAACCCAGGACTAACAACATGCCGAGTAATAGTTCTACAACGCCGTCCTATTCCTCGGGTCTGTTGCAGTTTTTAGTCTGATCGCTCAGAGAATGAATGCCAATAAATGACCCCCCATCGTTTTGTGACAGTAATCCGTAGTAATGTAGCCCCCGCGTAAGGTTTCCCTGCAGATCAAGAATGCCCCACAATGCCACTCTCATTGTCTACCCAAGTCATCGACTTGAAAAGGAAGATAGATTGAAGTGCTCTCAGTATAGGGTCGACGAAGGAGGATAAAAATAAACGCTACCCGACACCGTAGATTGAGAATCTGCGAAGCGCGAAGCAGCAAAAACGTCACCTGTAGGATTCGAACCTACGCTCCCGAAGGAACTGCCTGACATGCTAACTGTGGATTAGCAGGGCAGCGCGTTAACCACTCCGCCAAAGTGACTATCTGAAGATCTGTATCATCCCTCAAGTCTCATGAACACAGGCTGCCCCTTCAAAGTCAACACTCGACATATCATCAACCCAACTCCATCCGGATTCCACTCGAGAACTGGCGACTTGCCAACCGATCAAATTTCTAAGAGCCACAGTGGGCTCTTGCGGCATGACTTTAGCAAAGGGTATCTCTACTTGAACTCAACAGACGAATACTTAACAATGAATCCACCATCCTCCGATAGCTCACTCAGACTCGCTCTCGTCCTCTAAGAAAGCCAGATCCGGCCTGCGTTTGGCAGGCCCCTTCCGATGAACAGCAAGCTTCCGACCCTCTTTCTCATCACCCTCGCTTTCTCCACTCTCACCCTCATTCTTCCCCTCGTCCTCATCCTCCTCCCCTTCTCCACTCTCCTCCGCATCCTTAGCCTTCAGACTCTTACCTCGCCCCCCAGCAGCAACAGCAGCAGCAGCCGCCCGTCGCTTCTCGCCCCTCCCTCCCCCAACACCCCATTGCTTTTCCCGCTGCATGACCTCCTGCAGATCCGCCTGCAGCTCCCGCTTCTCCTTAATCTCGCGCGCCTTCGCATCCGAAAAGCGGCCCGTCATCCCGATCTCGACCAGCATGTTCTTCAGGTGTTTGATCTTGGCCTTGGGCGTGTCGGCGCCGTGCCGCTTGAACTCATTGCCCCAGACTTTGCGGACGCCGCATTTGACCAGCTGCGATTGGAGGGTTTTGATCTGCGCTTCGTCGGGGGAGACCTCCGCCGTGGCGGAGGAGGATTTGGCCTTGGTCGGGCGTGTCTGCTTGGGCGGCGCCGTGGTGTCTTTGTTGGTCTTCCGCTTGCGCTTCGGCGGTTGGGGCTCGTCGATCACCGAGGAGAGCTCGCTGGAGGAGTCAGCTGCTCCGTCGTCGTTCTTTGGTTCGGTGGGCGGGGGGGAGGCCTTGGACTTGGGTGTGGTTTTGGGCTTTTGCTTGCGTTTGGGCGGCTCGTCGACCACTGAGGACAACTCGGACTCGTCGTCATCCGTTGCTGGCTTAGGTGTTTCTTTCCTCTCCGACACAGATACATGCTCTGAGAGATCGCGGTGCAGCTCGGATAATTCGCTTGAGCTTTCCTCAGGTTGTCTGGATCGTGGTTTGGCCCCTGGTTCTGGCGACGGCTGAACACTCTCCCCTTGCGTATCATCCGATTGTTCGTCATCGGACTCGACCTTGCTTTCACGTTTTGTCTTTGGTGCTGTCTTGCGCTTCTTCGCCGGGGGCTCCGGTGCACCCCCTACGTCGCTGGCGTCACTAGTCTCAGGTGAAGCTGGGTCTTTCTTCTGACGCTTCCCCGCACCTATGCTCCGCTTAGGTGCGGCAGCAGCTTTCTTCTTGGGAGCGGGTGTGGCCTCATCCGAGGATTCAGCTTCAATTTCGGCCTGTAAGAGACAGTGTCAGCAGCTGTATCTGTACCTTCGCTCCCAGTTCAGGTGCAGCATACCATAGTGTCGAGAATGATATTCTTGCTCTTGGCTTTCCACTCCCCATCCTTGAAGAACCCTTCCTCGAGCTTGAGCCTCCTCTCGGCGACTTGGCGAGCGTAATTGACCGTCAATTGGTCCCTCTCGTCGCTGCTGTAGATCTCTCGCACCACTTTCGCGAGCTGCCTCGCGATCTTGTTACCCATAACTGTACAAAAGGGAAGAGGAACTTTTCCACAAAGAGCCGCAAAGATATACTTGATGATGTAGGAAAGCGAATGCGCGTAACAGACAAGCGACTTTTGTGAATTGACGTGTTTCAATGTCCGCTTTCTTTACTCGAAGACCAAGACACGTCCCAGACGCGTTTTGACGCCTGGTGGGGCAAGTCAGGCCCAGATTGTGTCTCCGCTTTGAGGAGAAAGCATTAGGGTTAGGGTTCGGTCGTTGTCTCAAAACTTGGGAATACAACAGTGGCAGCAAACCAGTCAACCCAGATAAAGGAATCCCGCCTTGGGATTAAAAACCATGGATCACCCAGGCCCTTGACAAGTTCTCCGCAGTATTTTACTGACAACCGTACATGAAGGTGATCATGTCGGCCACGTCCCCGTTCCTCTCTCGCCGTGGTGCGCTCGCTTACCTCCCCCTCCTCATCTCCTTCTACGCCCTCCCTGCCCTCTCGCATCCCAAACCCAACCTACCGTTGGTGATCAACACCTGGGGCGGCCCTTTCACCGCCGCAACAGACGCCGCCTTTCTGGCGCTCACCGAAAACTCCACCTCCGTCTCGGCGCTCGACGCAGTCGAGATCGGCTGCGCCACGTGCGAGCGCAACCAATGTGACGGCACCGTCGGCTTCGGCGGCTCGCCCGACGAGGCATGCGAGACGGCGCTCGACGCGCTGATCATGGACGGCACGACCATGAAGTCGGGCGCGGTAGCCGGGTTACGGCGCATCCGCGACGCCATCTCGGTCGCGCGCGCCGTTCTGCAGCACACGCGGCATTCGCTGCTCGTCGGAGACCTGGCGACGCAGTTCGCAGTGGAGAACGGGTTCGGGCCAGAGCAGGATCTTTCGACGGACGAGAGCCGCAGGCGTTGCGAGGAATGGAGGGCCGGCGGGTGTAAGGGCAACTATAGGCTCCATGTGGAGCCTGATCCGAGGACGTCGTGTGGGCCGTATCGGCCGTTGCCGGTGGGTGGGCTGCAGGGTTGTGAGGATGAGGGACAGAGTTCGCATGATACCATCTCAATGGTTGTCATTGACGGGTCCGGAGCCATGGCGGCGGGTACCTCGACGAATGGGGCTGCTTTCAAAGTCCCAGGCCGGGTTGGGGACGGTCCGATCATCGGGAGCGGATCATATGTAGACGGAGATGTTGGGGGATGTGGTGCGACCGGGGATGGAGACACCATGATGCGATTCCTGCCATGCTACCAGGCGGTGGAGAATCTAAGGCGAGGCATGACTCCGACCGAGGCGGCTCAGGATGCCGTCAGGCGGATGCTAAGGAAATACCCCAAGGTATCGAGCGGGATTGTGGTGGTAAACAACAAGGGAGAACATGGGGCGGCCGGCTCGGGATGGACTTTCACCTACGCATTTCGCGGTGGGTCGATGAATGCCACGGAGGTCGTTACGATTCCTTCACTACAATCGAGGCAGCAGATGGTAGTAGTTCAGACAAATCCTAAGTAGATATTGGTCGATGGCTTGCTTAAGTAGTACTGCAAGAGACTTTCCCGATCAAGCTATGATGAGGAACAGTGACGGTTAGCAATGACAGATATATATGAAGAAGCCTCTCGTGGTATGAGTGGTACCCGTCTGCCTGGTTGGGCCTCGTTAATGGAGGTTAATATAGGGTTATGACCGGAGACTGTAGGATAAGTTATTGAAGGGACCCGTAGTTACGTACTAACTCTGCGATATTACTAGTGGTTTCCAAAAAGACGCTCATCAATTCTGGACTTGACCATGTTCTAGATGTACTCATCCCATCAAGTTTCGGCTTAACTAAATTACTGCTCAGGAAGTAGTACAGTACTATGGATACTGCGAAAGTCGAGGCTCGACTCTCTCGAGGGCTCGATGCGAGGATGCGAGCTGAGAGGTGGCCCACTTCCCCACGTGCACAGATCAAAATGCTCAACCAGGGGAATTCTTGGCATGCAGGAACCAATTAGCGGGCCCCACCTTTCTAGGGCCCAATACTCTTTAAGGTTTAGCCAATCTCGGCGTTGGGATGAAGTGAGGTGGTCGCGAACTCGCTCGATTTTCCCTCTTCCGCCTAACATCGATCCGTTGCAGTGCTCGACTTCATCACTCCTTAGCCACCGGCGCGGTGTTCCGCCATGGTGCCGTATCATTCATTCTACTTCTGATTTTGATACAAAACGACATTCCTTGATCGAACACCTTACAACTCCACTTTGTGCCGACGATCCATTCATTGCAGTTCGCGACGATCCATTCCTTTTGATCGCAGCAACCATGCGCTGTCTCATTCATTTACTCTTCGGTTCACTCGCCGCCGCCACAGCGCGCGCGGCCAGCGGGGCAGTATGGGCGACTCCCCACGAAAGCTATTCGTCTTCTGTTGGCGTCCTGGGCTGCAAGGTCGACACGAACCGCATCGCATACTGGCCCGCCTCGGTCGACTGCAACAACATCTGCGTGAGGCTGAGCTATGAGGGGAGATCCGTCCATCTCTTACGCATCGACCAATCCGAGGGCGCCCACGACGTAAGCTACGATGCTTGGAACTACCTCGTTACTGGCTATTCTGCCAGGGAAAAGCCGACGACTGGTGGCGCCATCGCGATGGAGTATGAGGATGCCGACCCCTCGGCCTGCGCCAGTCTAATACACACCGACGGCAATAAGCTGCCGTTGAGCGCGGCGAACAGCATGAACTATCTTGCCAGTTGCCTCTCGCAGGACAGCTGGGTCGGCAAGAACTACGTTCTCTACAACATCCTCGATCCGGTCTGCTCTTGGGGCAACGACGAAATCTGCACCCTTGACTGGCCGACTGCGAACCAGGCTACCTGCCCAACCCAACTCGGCACGCCGTCCGTCTTGTCGTCACAGCCCGTCTACAACATTCAGTACATGACGGGGAATCAGATCTTGGCTTCGAATGGGCAGGTCGTTGCCAACGGGTCGCAAACGAGTGCAGGGGCAGCGACTATCAATCCGCCCTTGAACCTGAGCGAGAAGTCGGGGAGTCGTACTTGGAGGACCAACATGGTTAGGGTGGCGGCTATGAGTGTGTTTACCTATTCGCTTCTTTACGTGATGTGAGCCTGACGAAGGGCGGTGGGTTAGGCTCGTTTGGGACGGCGGTTGTGTCAGTTTTGGATACCTTGGATACCCCTTTGCGCATGAATACACGCTCTTATGATGATTGGCCGAACTCATCGTCCCTCTCCCGCTGTTCCGCAGACCAGTCCCCGGCGCGATTCGTCCCATGAAGCATGACGTCCCGTGACACCACCTTACTGTCCTTGCTCTACCTCACGACTGGGGTCAGGTATACATTCAACTTCCCTTTCTCCCAGAGGTTGTAAATCCGCTGTTTGCGCATCCAGTCCAAACTCTCCTCGGCGATACTGAGATCAAAGTTCCACAGGATTCGAGCCAAGATGAGGCGCATCTCAACATACGCAAGGTTCCTACCCAAGCAGTTGCGCGGTCCTACGTGGAATGGCTGGAAAGCAACCTTGCGATCACCGGCAAAGGCCGGGTCACCGAGCCAGCGCTCTGGCCGATATGCGAAGGGGTCTCTGAAGTTCTCGTCGTTGTGGTACATAGCCCACTGGTGAATGGCCACGACAGTCTACCGTCCAGTCAGCATACAACCGCTCAAGACTTTTTGGTGTCCATGACGTTGACCAACCTTTTCCGGTACATAATTGCCACAAATTCTCGCGCCTCCTTTAGGCACAACACGTGGCAGGCCGGTCGGCACGGGGGGATAGATGCGCAATGCCTCGTCCAGGCATGCTAAGAGGTAAGGAAGCGTGCTGACACTGACAAAGTTAATCTCGTCTTCGGATTTGAATGCCCCGCGGATCTCGCCGGTGAGTTTCTTCACCACTTCAGAGTTCGTCAAGAGCAAGAAGGTCACCCCTGAGAGCAGGGTTGCTGTGGTCTCAGATCCGCCAATGATGAGAATCGAGCTGTTAACTTGAAGCTTCTCGAGAGTGAGCCCCTACTTCAGGTCAGCTTCAGACGTCAACAACCTCAACAGCATTATGGTAACCTACCCATTCATCCGCCCGCTTGAGCAGTCCTTCAACCAAGTCCGCCCGCTCTTTCCCGGCCTCCATCCGCCTCTTCAGCTTCGCGAGCGTCATCTGCATGTGCCTCTCGCGTTCCTCCAGGAACTTGGCCGGGATAAGAGCAAGCAGCAACTTCATAAGAATGGGATAGTGGGCCAAACTCTGAAACACGGTGCCCCCGCGCGCAAGTTCGAAGATCGACTTGACCCACGGGTGATAGTCCGCGTTATCCAGACACCCAAAGCTGCCACCAGTCAGCACCACCATCCGTGATCCACGGCATCCGGCCAGGGAGCGAGGAACACCTACCTTTCCCCGAACGCCAAGTCCCCAATCACATCGAACGTGGTATAATTATACCACGCCACCATATCCACCGCCACTTTCCCGTCTTCCGCCCTCTCCCGCAGCCTTCTGATCAACAAATCAATGGACCCCTTAATCAACGGCTGCTGCTCCCTCATGCTACGATCACTGAACCCGTGCGCCATCGTCCGCCTCAGCAGCGCATGCTCCTCCCTGCCGGCATTGACGATATCCCTCGGGATGCCCTCAATGGGTAAATAGAACTTGTCCCACTTCTCCATCTCCGCCGCCGACGACCCCGCCCCTGTCTCAATTCCGCTGCCGCTGCCGCGGTGGCCCATAATATCCTTCCACGCCTGCGGGTCCGAGAAGGCCAGCTCGTCGGGCGCGACGCGCACCACGGGGCCGTACCGCTTGTGCAGCGCCAGCATGTCGAAGGGCAGCGTGCCGGACAGGAGTCTGAGGTTGTACCCCCAGCGCGTGGCGCGCATGAAGACGGGGCCCGGGTAGCCCCGGAGGGGGTGGAAGAAGAGGTTGTAGAGGATGTGCCATGTTATGTACAGGGTGAGCTGGGACGGGTTAGTTCGTAAACCAGGGTAAAGGTCTTCAGCTTGTCGGTTATGTATGTTCTGCGCAAAGCTGGGTGATGTGCTGCACGGAATAGCAGATGACACTACAGAGCAACTTGAACTTACCGGCGCCAGGCCCAGACCGATGATTTGGCCTATGTTGAGGTGTAAAAGTGCCATGTTTGGCGGTTTTGAACGATGTATCTCGCTCAATTCTCTCGCTGCGTGAGAAGGCAGGTTGTGGTTTGTTTCTGGCGGGGCAAAGTTGTTTCATACTACCCCATGGAGGATCTTATTTTTATCCTTGGATCCGGCACTGTATATCTGCAACCTCGGTCTCGGTCGGGTGGGCGAATGAGCGAAGGAGTTGCTGCTATTACCGGGTACGAGTACGAGAGGAGACGCAATATTCATACCTACCTTACGTATGGGGACAAACTAGATTAAGGTCAGAGAAGGCGTTACATCAAACCTTCTTACATTGACAGCATAGGGCACGCAATGGCTTGAGCAAACATGACTAATATAAAATAAAGCAATACTAGGGAAAAGAGTAGAGGAAATGGTGATGTAGATGGGAACTAGAAGGGAAGGAGAAGAAAGAGGTGGGGATGGATCATGGAGACACGATGAACAAAATGAAGGATAATAACAAACTGAGGGATGATAGTAAGAATAAACTAGAATTATGATTCACCAGTAGCTAGTAAGTCCATTCCATCTCCAGGTGTCAGAATCCGACTGACTTATATGTTTGAGAGTACGTGGTTTCAACTACGGCAGCCAGAGGGAGCTTGGTATGCATTTAGAGGACTCGGAGTGAGAATTGGAAATCGTATCCGGAATAGCTCACTCACAATTTAGTAGGGATTGTGGCCGGGATAAGGAATAAACATGGCAGAGACTACTAACTCGAGGCTATTCGGATCTCACTTTCAGTAGACTTCCCAGGTACCCGGTTAAGCCTTGAAATGCCGCATCCTTACCTCCCCACAACGGCAGCAAAGTGCCAAAGCCGTAGTTGACCTCATATCAAGAGGTCATGTACAGAACCGTCTGGTATCCATCTTCTCCTCGTCCGTTTAGAAAAGACCTAAGGTCGAAACGCATTTGTTGCATTTATGGTAAACAGAATGTGTCAGGACTCAGGAGCGCGGAGACTATTCATAACTGCTGGCCAAGACACCCTTATGCATAGCCATCAGCGATCTCGTCCACACCTTGGCGATCTGTCTTCTGTCCACGTACTCTTCCACAAGATATTGTCCCCTGAGAACTCCCTTGTCTGTCGCAGATTGCGTGTCGCAGCCCAATGCCCTCGCTCGCGAGTCATAACGGCCAAGCGCCCAGAGCCGCCCAGCTTGTGCCCAGCAACTTGGCAGGCAACTCAGCCCGAAGATCACCCCCTTGAACGTGAGGAATGTTGGTTTGCAAGACTCGGCCAAGATAACTAACCGGCAACAAGTGGCTGGCTCGCCCAATCGTGCTCCTCGAATCACCACCTGCTTATCGGCTTCTCATAGTTTCGCATCTCCACCATGGAACATGGAACAGCCACTTGTCTGGTCTTGATCTCTCGGCGTGTCGAGACGGCGTCGCAAGAGCGAGCCTCACTGCGCGTTGACAAGCAAGATGCCGAGACGCTTCAGGTCAGCGCAGATCGCAGATTCATCCCTATGTGTTTTGAAGAGAACTCTAAAACCATGGTGGTTGGTGCGAACTCCATTGCTGCCGTCCTACCCTGAAACCTGTCTCTGGGCGCGGGGGGCGCGGCGTCGATTCAAGGTTAAGAGTTCATTTTGCGAGCCGTTGATCTCCCCTTTGGGATTGCTCTTGTCGTCTTGTCCATTTCTTCTCCCCCCCGGAAGCGTTGGCATTCAGCGAGATTGGACTCCGCTGGTTTTTCGGGTCCTTACTTTAGCTTTTGCTTCTTATACAGCCCTGGTTGGCAGTTCTCTTTCTGATCTCTTCACCTTTCGACCCATTTTTCTGTGCTGCTGGCCCTCTACGTGCGATTAGCCCCTTTACTTGGCTGGCCAAGGACAAAGAAGAAATCAGCCACCGCTTGCTCGTCAAGTCTCAGCGTGGGCCACTCCAGGGGCTCGCCAAGATGCCAACCCTCGATGTCAGCGAGCTTAATATTGTCTTGAGTGTGTTAGGTACGTTAGTCAGTCAGGCAAAAGAATGGTGCTTAGGTGATAGAAGAGGGTACACCCGTACAGACTACAATACTATGAATCACTGACACTGTCCTTGTGATAGGCGCCTTCATCCTGCTATATGGCATCATCTCCGTCTTGATCAAGTGCAGATGGTTCCTGGGAGAAGCCCTCCCCGCCGTGGCCATTGGCGTCGCCCTCGGGCCCATAGCAGCCCGGTTCATCGACAGCACGCGATGGGGCTCGGCGGCGGAGGGCCAGACGAGCGCCATCACGCTGGGGATGGCACGCGTGGTCATCGGCGTGCAGCTGGTCATCGCCGGCTTCCAGCTGCCGGCCAAGTACGGCATGCGGCGGTGGAAGGAGATGGCGCTCTGCCTGCTGCCCATCATGACCATCATGTGGCTCTGCACCACGCTCTGCCTGGTGGCCACCGTGCCCAAGGTCACGCTGCTCGCCGCCCTGGTCATCGGCTCGTGCGTCACCTGCACCGACCCCATCCTGTCGCAGGCCATTGCCAAGGGCCCCTTTGCCGACAAGTTTGTGGCCCGCCATCTGCGCGAGATCATCTCGGCCGAGGCGGGTGCAAATGACGGCTTCGGGTTTCCCTTCCTCATGCTTGCTGTTTACCTGATCCGCCATGCCAACATTCCCGGCGCCGGCGACCACGGCAGTGGTGACGCAACGGCTGCGGCAACGGCTGCGGCTAACGCCACTGCTGCCGTCCTGCACGAACGAGGCTTTGAGCTCCTTGCCCGGGCCTCCGAAGGCGGTGTCGGTCGGCTCGGCGGCGGTGTCGGCGTGGCCTTGCAGAACTGGTTCGTTGAGACCTGGCTGTACATTGTTATTATGTCTGTAGCAATCGGTGCTCTGGTAGGCTTCCTGGCCGGGAAGGCGCTGAAGTTTGCACTTTGCAGGTACGCGGTTTCATACAATCCGCATCTAATATGTCAGTTGCCTCCTGTTGCTGACAGACAGCAAACTATTAGGAAGTGGATAGACTCAGAAAGCTACGTCTTGTACCCAACCGCCATCGGTGTATGCATCCCCCTCCCCACTCTTTCCCCACTCCCCTGCCATGTCAAGGCTAACCCAGTTCCATCCAAGCTATGGCTGGTCGGGGTCTGCGGCATGCTCGGCACCGACGACCTCCTGGCCTGCTTCGTCGCGGGTAACGCCATGAACTGGGACGGTGAGTATCTCCGCGAGACCGAGGAGCGGCACGACGAGGTCAACTCGTCCATGGACGTGCTGCTCAACTTCGGCGGCTTCATGTACATCGGCACCATCATCCCCTGGAGCGAGTTCCACCAGCCCGACACAACCGGCCTAACCTACGGCCGTCTCGTCGGGCTCGGCGTGCTGGTCCTCCTGCTCCGGCGCATCCCGGCCATCCTCCTTACCTACAAGCTCATGCCCATGGTCTGCAAGGACCTGAAGGAAGCCCTGTTCATGGGCTACTTCGGCCCCATCGGCATCGGCGCCGTCTTCTACGTCGAGCACACGCGCCACCTCTTCCCCGAGCTCGGCCACGGCGACGCTGAGGAAACGGACCTCGTGCGCGTCATGGTCCCCGTGGTGTACTGGCTGGTGCTTTTCTCCATTGTCGTGCACGGGCTGTCGATCCCCGCGCTCAACCTCATCTACCGCTTCTGCGGCGTGCAGCCGATCCGGGAAGATGCCGTCGAGCTACGTCGGAAGTCGATGCGCGTGCCGACCCCGGTGAACGCCACCGTCGGTGACACCGACACGTTCATCGCTTATAACCGCTTTTCGAGGCCCGTCTTTGACAGGGAGGATCTCCCTGTTATTAACGAGCGGGACACTGACGAGTACTCGCTCGACGAAAAGCCGCGGATCCAGAGACGGTATTCGAGAGCCGTGCTCGTATGAAAAAGGGAAAATAATGGATTGGCTTAACCAAAGTGCGTCGTGGAGATTCAGCGGAAACAGTCAGTGGTTGATCCACTAGCTGGGCCGATTGGACACAGCATGCTTCTTGAAGTAGCTTCGAGGATTGTTGGGGAGCTAATATTGGAATGGACCTTTCTTGATTCTTTCGTTGATATCGAGATAAACAAACGCTTACCGTAGCCGCTCATTACACCTTCAAGCTCTAAGTTGTGGACCCTTTGTAAATGTTTGCTTCCGGTAAATTTCTGCCCGGGCCCAAGTTATTGGTAAGTATTTGATCGACCGACAGACGGAAGATGAATACCTGGAGTACTAGACAGCTCAACCAGCAGTAAACGTTGATTTTCTTATTCACAATATTGCATGACCGTTTCAGATCGTTATGGGAAAATGGGCTTTGGTTATTAGTACCGGGTAGGAAACATGTGGCTGTTGTATAGGACAATAAGCATGACTTGTGACCGCTCACGGGCTACCCGGTGAGCATTCGGTCTTATTCATTACCCTTCCTTGATTGACCTTGCAGCTTGACTCATGTTCAAAACGATAAGGCAGAAAGGGAAGTAACTCTGTGGTTCGTGCAGGCCGGCTCCCTCGCAGCCAGGAAACGGCGTATGTAAGGTATGAGGTTGGCACTTGGAAATGGTATTCGGGAGATGAAATGGCAGTTCGGGCCGGGAAACGACCACTTGAGGGCCAGGGGACAAGGGTTGTGCCGAGTTGATTGGGCTGCATTTGCGCCATTAACATACCCATACCTAATCCTGATCGGCTAAATCCAAGGAGCAACTTGAACATGGAAGAAAATTGGCGAAAGCCGTTACCTGAGTGTAGAAGCAATGAAAACGCTGGGTACAGTGGGATTGATGTAAATTCTCACTTTGGATGTTGGTCTGTGCGTCATCCATGGATGCTTCATTTCTTGCGTTTCGGCCCAGACAGGGAGCTGGTCGTTGGTTTTGGTGGAAAGAATCTGGGCCCGAAGACAGAAGTCAAGAGAAAACTGCGTCCTGCTCGGAGAAACCAATTTGTATGCATGTTACCTTAGTGTACCCATGCATGTGCGCCATTTCTTCTAGCGCATGGGACGCGCAGCGGCGCAGGGCCCGTTAAACAGTTCGGAGACGGAAGTTGTAAGCCCTACATAGTACTAGTACTTCCTTGATGCCGCATGGGGAGCGCGCTGTCCCGCTGTCCGCATCCTGGCTGCTCTACCTAGAAGCTTGTTAACGTAACGTATGTAGTACGCCGGATTACATACCTGACTTACACAAGTACCTTACGATACATCGTCGAAGCCCGAGTTGAGAACCACCTTCAATGTGCTCTGATATCCCCTTCAATACAGAACAATAGCAATCCTGACCATTGTGTCTGAAGCTCTTGTTATCGCTGCCATCTGAGGCAATCGACACGGGGTGACACAAGTCTCCGCTAACTGCTTGTTACCCCGCTTCCACTGCTGCTTGCCCCGCCATTCAAGTGGCAGCTTTCCAAGCTTGGTTCTGGAATTCCCCATTCATCACGTCACCAGAACCGCGACCCATTGTTCCCGGCCAAATCTCTCGAGGAAACATCACAGCAATCCTCGTTTCCCGATTCAATACCATCCATCCTTCTTTTTTGAGTCAGCTTCAGGACACAAAAGCTCGATCGCTGCCCAGCGACAGCCGCTACTCGCATCCAAGCAACGGCGCACCCGTGCGCTGCCTCGTTATTTCGCCCACCCCACTGGTTCCCCTTCGAATCCTCACAATGCCTGGCGTAGTTGAAGACCAAACGGGTGCCTCGGGGAGGCTACTCTTGATCTCCAACCGCTTGCCCATCACGATAAAACGGACTGATGATGGGCAGTATTCCTTCTCCATGTCCTCGGGCGGCCTCGTCACCGGCCTGAGCGGACTGTCAAAAACCACGCGCTTCCAGTGGTACGGGTGGCCTGGCCTGGAGGTCCCCGAGGCCGAGGCTGGACCAATGAGGGAGCAGTTGAAGGAGAAGTACAACGCGATCCCTGTGTTCGTCGATGACGAGCTGGCCGATCGTCACTACAACGGCTTTTCCAGTGCGTTGACGCCCTCTGCCCCGCTCCTTCATGGCGAACTGTCGTTCGGGTTGCTGACATCTGTGACCACCAGACTCGATCCTTTGGCCTCTCTTCCACTACCACCCTGGCGAGATCACGTTCGACGAGTCTGCTTGGGCAGCCTACCGCGAAGTCAACCGGCTATTCGCCAGGGAGGTGGTCAAGGATGTACAGGATGGCGATTTAGTTTGGGTGCACGACTACCATCTCATGTTGCTGCCGGAGATGCTGCGCGAGGAGATTGGACAGTCCAAGAAAAATGTCAAGATCGGGTTCTTTCTGCACACGCCGTTCCCCAGCAGCGAGATCTACCGCATCCTGCCCGTCCGTGAGCAATTGCTGCTGGGCGTCCTCGAGTGCGATCTGATCGGCTTCCACACTTACGACTACGCAAGACACTTCTTAAGCAGCTGCTCCAGAATACTGTGAGTCTACACCTCATCCGAAGCGGCCGGAGATTGATAACTAACCGCGGCAGTTCAACCCCGACGACACCGAACGGCGTCGATTGGAACGGCAAGTTCGTGACAGTCGGCGCATTCCCGATCGGAATCGATCCCGACAAGTTCGTTGAGGGCCTGAAGAAGCCGAGCGTTCAGAACCGCATTGCCACGCTCAAGCGGAAGTTTGAGGGCGTCAAGCTGATCGTTGGTGTCGACCGACTCGACTACATCAAGGGTGTCCCGCAGAAGCTCCATGCCCTGGAGGTCTTTCTCACAGAACACCCCGAATGGATCGGGAAGATCGTCTTGGTCCAGGTGGCCGTCCCCAGCCGGCAGGACGTCGAAGAGTACCAGAACCTGCGGGCCGTCGTGAACGAGCTGGTCGGCCGCATCAATGGCAAGTTCGGCACGATCGAGTTCATGCCCATCCATTTCCTCCACCAGTCCGTCACGTTCGAGGAGCTTACGGCGCTCTACGCGGTTAGCGACGTTTGTCTGGTCAGCTCGACGCGCGACGGCATGAACCTCGTCTCGTACGAGTACATCGCCACGCAGCGCGAGCGCCACGGCGTCATGATCCTGTCCGAGTTCACCGGCGCTGCCCAAAGTCTCAACGGCAGCCTTATCGTCAACCCATGGAACACGGAGGAGCTGGCCAACGCCATCCACGACGCCGTCACCATGTCGCCTGAGCAGCGCCAAGCGAACTTCCGAAAGTTGGAACGTTACGTCTTCAAGTACACCAGCGCGTGGTGGGGTCAGAGCTTCGTCGCCGAGCTTACCCGGATCAGCGCTGGTGAGGAGAGCAAGAGCCAGAAGTCGTCGGCCAAGTTGGCGCTGCGGAGTGCTGCTGAGGATGTTGCTGGCGCGGCGAACAAGGCAATACAGGGGGCGCAAGAGGCGGTTGCGAGTGTTGCGGGGGACAAGAAGGAGTCGGAATGATGGGTCTGCGTACTGGTTTTCCTTTTCTTGACGACATTCCATACCTCACTCGCTAGGCTTGCCGGGGACGGGCCCGTGGAAAGGAACGAGCGCCGATATAGATGTGACGGTCCCGGAACTCGGTATCTGGACAGAGCTCTCAAGTTCTGCTTGGAAACTGCGGGCTGTGCTGCATCGGAGCCATCTCATGTGTTGTTGCGAATTTGTGGTCTGAATCGCCTTGGTCTTTGTCATCTCATCTCATGAGTCTTTAAAGATAGAAATGCATAGGAGCTGGGCGTCGTTGTGTTTGGCATTGGTCCGGCAAGTCTGCATCATGGACGGAGCCCGCCTGTAGGGCTGATGAGAGGGCCGTGCGCCAGCTCAGCGCGGCAGCTCAGCGCGCTAGAATTTCGCCGGTTGAGTGAAACAGGGGGCGAAAAATGAGGCCTCACCTTTCTCGTCGGGTTCGAGCGTGATATTAACCTAGAACACAGCCCCTAATAACGTAAACTGCAGTGAGCAGGTTGGACCCTTCGGCGCCGGCGACCGAGACGGCTCCACTCAGTTAATGATGACAGATGCTACCCGATTTGGCGATCCGGCGGAGTGAATCCGAGGAATGCGATCGGATTACCGGGTTCGGCCCCACTAGGCCCCAACCACATCTGGCAACCTTTTGCGGGAAACCCAATCCTGTCAAACGTAGAGAAAGCTTAGTTGTCGGGGCGCGACGGCTGTGCAGGGGATCATGGCGCCCAAGACCCCAAGGCGAAGAGGATACAGGGGTATTGCTCCTTTAGCGTTCTGCCTTATGGGGCGACCCGTATGAGGCGGAGACTATTTCGGAGTATATGTAGTAGGCAGGGCAGGTCCTCAAAGTCTTGTTAGACGGAATAGAGAGAGCTATCATCTGCCAGATTGGTACCAGTCCTCCTCTCAAAGCCGCCACCAACGTGATCATCAGCTGTGTACGCCCTTTTCTTTGGCGTTGACCCCTTGTTTCCAGACGGTCAGCCATCATGTATCTGGTGTACAAATATGCGAAGAAGAAGCTCAGAGAACATCAGGAGGCAAAGGAGCCAGTACAAGCACTTCCGGACGTGACGGAACCTTACACGCAAGATGGATCCAGATTCAACGACACGATAGCACTGACGGCTTCACCCAGCGACACTCATGGCCCTTTTCCCTCTGACACATCCCATCCCTCGCCGGCCGCCGAAGGCAGTTCCAAGGTCACGCAAGAACCCGCGGAATCCCCTGAAGAATGCGCGGAAAAGGCACGCCGCCGCAGATACCGGCTCAAGATCATCCTCGGCCTCTTTGCCCCTTTCACCCTCCAAGCCCTCGACACAACCATCATCGCATCCGCGCTGAAATTCATCGCCGACGATTTCCGTCAGTTGCCCCCCTTATGTTTACTTTACCAACCATACCTACCCCCGCTCCCCACCCCCCTCACTAACAAAAGAAACCTCCACAGACGAACTCAAGCAACTAAACTGGATCATAACGGCCTTCAACCTCACCTCAGCATCCTTCCTGCCCTTCTTCGCCCAGCTCGCCGACATCTTCGGCCGCCACGCCACGCTACAGACCGCGCTGGCCATCATCACGGTCGGGTCCGCGCTATGCACCGCCGCGCCCACCACCGCCACCACCAACGGATTCCCGCTCCTCCTGTTCGGCCGCGCCCTGCAAGGGGTCGGCGCCGCGGGCATCAACATCTGTGTGCGCACCATCCTGGCCGACAAGGTCAGCCTGGGCGAGTATGCCAAGAACTGGACCGTGTTCGCGCTCGTCAGTGGCATCAGCTTCAGCGTGGGCCCCGTGGCCGGCGGGTATCTCACGCGCGTGAGCTGGCGGTGGTGTTTCGCGATCAACCTGCCCGTGGCGGTGTTGGGGATTGTGCTGGTGGTGGTCTTGTTGCGGAAGGAGTTGCTTGGTCCGTTGCCGCTGGAGCGGGTGGTTGCCACGGGGGGAGAGTTGGTGGAAAGCCGGAGGCGGAGGAGGGGGGATATGACCACCCGGACGGGGAGGCTCTTGACTAGGTTGGGCACGATCGACTATGGCGGGCAGGTGTTGTTCCTTTTGGGGTTCGGGCTGCTGGTGTTGGCGTTCACCTGGGGCGGCAGCACGTATCCGTGGGACTCGGCGGCTGTGCTGGCGCCGCTGGTGGTTGGGGGCGTGTTGGCCGCCGCGTGGTTTGTCTATGAGTGGGCGATGGTGCCGGGGAGGGCCATGGCGAGGGTGTTCCCGACGCAGAAGGCCATGATGCCCTGGCAGCTGCTGATGCAGCGGGACATTGGCCTGCTGCTGGTCGTCAATTTCGCCAACGGCGCCGCCATGTTCGCCGTCATGTACTTCATGGACCTGTATTTCACGCTGGTCCAGGGTCACGACGCCAGTGAGGCTGGCATCGCCTTGCTGTACTATTTGCCTGGTCTGGGCGGTAAGTACCTGAACCGTTCCTTTTGCATTGCCACGGAGGAATGTTAACGCTTGTTTGAAGCTGGCGCATACGGGTCGATGTTCTTCGCCAACGTCTGGCCACGGCAGACAGTTCCAGTCTTATTCCTCGGCAGCATCAGCGCCGCCGTGGGCATTACGGTGATCTCGTGGGCCTGCGACACCGGCTACCTGAACCTCATCTACGGCATGATGGCCTTGACCGGCTTCGGCGTTGGTGTCAACATGAACCCGGCGACGCTCCACGCCCTGGCTTACTTCCCCGGCATGACGGCGCCCATCACCTGTCTGGCATCCTTTGCCTTCCCCTTCGGCGGTACCATCACACTGACCATCATGAGCACCGTGTTCAACAACCGGAGCGGAGAGAACCACATGGACCCCAAAAGCGGAATCGTGTGGGCGTACACCTCGGTCATTCCGATCATGTGGCTGTCGGTCTTGGCTACTACCTTCTTGGGGAACGTGTGGCTCGGCAAGGATGGGAACTACGAGGTTGTTCATGGCTCATGGCTCTGGAGTCACCTCAGGGGTCAAAAACTTGACAAGGTCACAATGGCGAGGGTGGAAGATACCAGAAAAACTGATCTGAGGGCTGGCAGACCTGGTGGAGCAGAGTCGAGGACGGATCTTGAACGGGGATCTAACCCACGCGGGCCCTGGCATATGTTGGTGAGATAGCATCTTGTATTTATGTGATAGACAGTTGCGATAGGATTATATCCTAAGTTGTGATTGCCAAGCTTTAGGTCTCCTTTGGAATTGGTGTATTAGTAGAACTCATCGCAGCTCGGAGGTGTCAGTCAGCCGACCGACTTCTTTTTTTCACCCTGCCTCATACATGAATTCCTTTACAGTCGTGCCGTCAAGAGCGAGGAACTGCACCACATTGAGTTTGAAGTTTGACGGGTCAAAACAAGAGTCGTGGGATGAAGTTGTTGTTAAGTTAGAACTCTCCCTACTGGCCACCTATTTTGTAGGCATCTTTCTAATAACTACGGCTTACAGTTAGTAGTTACCTCCGTAAAGAGATCTCAGTATCTTGAACGACTTCTCTAGCTGCAAGCGTAGGTAGGTACTCTGAGGGTCTGAATCCTGACATTGTGCAGCAACTAGCAAGCCTTTTCGTCATAGGTGTCCCAAGGCTACTCTGACGTCATCGCCCGCCCGCATAAAGGCCGCTCCATCTCAAACAACCACTTACACAGCAACTGGATGCAGACCTACAGCGACCCCATCACAATCCACCGTCAATCACGTATTCACCTCACTGAGGAATCCACCAAGATGCCGTCCGAAATCAAAGACAAGAACGGCGAGCCCATCAACGAAGGCGACCATGTGTTTGCCCGCTCGCGCGGCGGCAGACATGAGGGAGACGTCGACAAGATCGTGACTTCGAAGGAGGAGGCCGAGAAGGAAGGGGTCAAGCACCCGCCCAAGGTATGCACTAGAGAAAACTCTAGAGTATCTGGAATAAGGTATTTGGATTGACTTACGAAAACTCAAAAAAACAGGTTCTCTTCACCGACCAGCATGGCCACAATGTGCAACACAACCCTGGGGCATTGCAGCACGGAGAGTACAAGAAATGAGTGAGTGGATCGCGAGAATGATAGTAATAATGAGGGGTTGTTGGCGCAAGGGGAACATTTGCAGTCGTGCGGCGCGGTTGAGTGTGTGTTCGTGATGCGGAAATCTCTGATGCGGCTTCACGTCAGGGGCAACTAGTCTAGTGGTCAGGACGCTTCGTTGTGGTTTCGTAGAATTCGAAACTTCGTTTCCGAAGAAACCCAGGTTCGATTCCTGGGTTGCCCAATGCTTTTGTCGGTTGCCCTGTTAGTGTACGGTCCACTGTCAATCTCCCATGTTGAGGGTTCAGCTTTGTGCTACCTGGGCGTTGAAATCTTGTACAGACTCGGAGTTTAGTAGTCGTAAGAAAGGAAAGCTCAGTTAGGATTCGGGGGACTCACTCCTAGGCGCGATCAGAACATCAGAACGCTGGCCCTTGAACCACAGGAGCTATCCGTGAAACCTAGTGTAGATGGCGAGTTATTATTATCAATCTAAGATCTTACTTGAGTGGGCACCTGGCAGAACCATAATAAGAAAGGCTTGAGTATCTGTCATAGGGAGGCTTTGGCAAACTGATTGAGATGGCGGATCGTTGTAACAGTGAGTCACATACCATCTACCGATGACTTCAGGACGATGTTTTCACGTCGAATCAAGAAATGCTTGACACCACTGCTGTAATAGTGTAATCAGCAGCAGGTGCGAGTGAGATCCCAGAGCGACTTTGTGGTTGTGGTACCCGGGAGTCTAGTTCTGTTGGCAAGGGCATGCATGTGTCCCGGAGCAAAGACTTTCAGGAAGTGTAAAGGTATTGCAATACGCTTGCTGGGGCTAGTATGGAATGCAGTAGTAGTATTATGTGGGATGTCAGGATCGAAGCAGGACCATCGTCTGGTTCAATGAACATTACGAACCTCAGCTAGGAGCAAGACAAACATCTTATTCTCAAGCCGACTAGGTATTTACCCATCCATGTCAACCATCCATCCACTCAATCAACAACCCCCTCCGGCAGGATCGACACATAATCCACCGGCGCCGGCTCCAGCCCATCCGGCGTGCCCACAATGCGCAACACACTCCCCTTCCTGATCTTCACGCCCTCAAACGTCACCCTCGTCGCCGTCTGCCCATCAATATACGGACTCGGCGCCTTGCCCAGGATATACTCCAGATCCCCCTTCCAGTTCCCCACCAGGCGATCATCAATCCACAACTCCCACGTGGAATTCCCAATCGCCATATCATAATAATTGACCGCGACATCGTACCGTCCCGTCTTCACCCACCCGGGCAAGACCGTCCTCATCTCGCCCCTCGCGTCCGTCCCGTTGCCCCGCGAGGTCACCACGCACCGGCTCCCACTAGCGGCCTCGAACGGACTGACCGCGTAGGGCACATACCCGTCCAGCTGCATATCCTCGGCCTCAATCCGATACTTATTATTATTCACCCGGCCCAGCTCGTCCGCAATGCCGGACTTGTTGAAGTAGAACGTATTAATACTGTCCCGCCACACCAGCGCGTGCCCAGCCTGGTAGGTCAGCCGGAACAGGACGTGCTCGTAGCGCTCGCGGTCGACGCCCTTGCGGCCGCGCAGGGATCGCCAGAGGGCCGGGAAGGTCTGCGCCGTGGCGCTGCCGGCGTAGTGCGCGTCGTAGAAGTGCTGGATCACCGTCTTGTTGGACCCGCGCAGCCGGTGGGTGTAGGGCACGTGGTGGAACCAGAGCAGCAGGTTGTCGGGTGTTGTGTCGGGTTTCTCGTACTGCGCGGCTAGCGAGGGCGGGTACTGCCCCGCAAAGCCCGTGCCGTTCCACACGGTGCGGTCCATGCCGATGGAGTCGGCGTCGGCGCGCGTCCATTGGCCCCACGGGTTGCCGTCCTGCGAGGCCGGGTTGGGCCCGTAGTGGCCGAGCAGGATGTCGGTCAGCGTCTGGATGCCCAGGTTGCCCGTGTAGTTCTCGTAGGCCGGCCACGAGGCCATGGACATGCGCGTGATGACGTCGAGGACTTTGCGGTCGGAGCTGAAGGTCAGCTTGATCCACTCCTGCAGGATGCCCTCGGCCGAGAGGGAGGAAGCGGGCCCCCAGGCCAGCCGCCCGTAGGCGTACAGGTTGGACATGGCCAGGTGGCTGCCCAGCCAGGTCGTGTTGGTGCCGACGTTGGCCACGCCCGCGTATCCGCCCAGCTTGCGGCCGAAGCGCTTGCCGTTCAGGATGGAGGAGACCGGGGAGGGTTGGTCGTCGACGCGCAGGTCGAAGGACAGGATCTCCTTCCACATCGGGGCTAGGTAGACCAGGTGGGCTTGCTGCCCGAGGTACTCCTGGCTGATCTGCAGCTCGATGGCGGTGCCGGTCTTGATCAGGTGGGCGAAGAGCGGCGAGACGGGCTCGCGCACCTGAAAGTCGATGGGGCCGTACTTGATCTGGATGACCACGTTGTCGTCGAACTGGTCGTCGAGGCCGTCGAAGTAGTGCACGGCCGCGTTGGCCCGGTCGGCCTTCCAGTCCAGCGTCTGGTTGAGGCTCCTGTGGTCGTACACAAACGCGCGGAAGAGAATGATGCCGCCGTGCGGCTTCAGCGCGCGGGCAAAGAGGTTGGCGCCGTCGGCCAGCGTCCGGTTGTACGTCATGGGCCCCGGCTGGCCTTCCGAGTTGGCCTTGACGAGGTAGCCGGCCATGTCGGGGATCCTGCGGTAGAGGGAGTCGGTGATGCCGCGCCACCAGGAAATGACGGTCTCGTCCAGCGGGTCAAAGGTCGGGAGCCCCCCGAGTGTCTGCGGAGAAGCGAAGTTGAGTGACAGACCGAGCTGGACGCCGTACGGCCGGAAGACGTCCGCAATCCTCGCCAGGCCGTCCATGTTTTCCTCGGTCAGGGTCTTGGCGTCCGCGTTGACATTGTTGACGACAACAGCGTTGATGCCGATCGAGGCGAGAAGGCGGGCATACTGCGCTGCCCGGGTCAGGTCCTCCCGCACTTTGCCGTCCCAGAAGAAGATGGAGTCGCCGCCGTAACCTCTCTCAACGCTGCCGTGGGTTCCGCCGTCCTGCATGTTGTCCCACTGGTTCACCCACCGGATGGGCGCATCCGGGTTGGAGGCCAGCGAGAAATCCGAGACATTGCCTTGGGCGAGCAGCGAGAGGTAGTGGAAGGCGCCGTACAAGGTCCCGCGCTCGTTCTGGCCGAGGATCAGGACGTTTCCTCGAGACACCTTCAGATAAAAGCCGTCCTCGACCAGCTCTGGGAGATCATTTGCGGCGCCGGGGTTGCTGTCGACGAATGCATGGACCGTTCCGACCGTGGCCGCGGTCATTGGACGGTGACGCTTGTCCGCGCCAGTCACGGCCACCTTCTTGCCGAAGATGCCATCGATGCCTTGCACAAGTTCGTTAACCGCCGTCTGTATTGGTGACCCCTGCGTGGCGTTCAGAGTCACAATGGCGGACGGGAGCTTGTTGTGATAGCCCCTTGCGCCATCGATCCGGGCATACCGCAACCAGGCATTCAGCCCATCCTCGGCGGCGGTTAGGCCGATCGCCGCGAGGAACACCAAGCTCCGCATTGTCGACTGCTTGCGCGAGGCGTCGAGGTGAGTTGCAGGAGCGTCATGTTGACTTGCTGCGGAACCGTCGCCATCGTACCGTATTAATACCCGGACCGAGCAGAGCTCCCTCGATCAGAGACCAGCGTAGTATCAGCCATGATCGCCACTGCCAACTTGAATTTACCCGGAACCGTCCGCTTGGCTCCCCCGCCGCCAAGATGAGGCCCTGGATGAATACGGTGTACTGCTTGGTCCGGTTGTATTGCCGCTCTCGCCCCTCTCCGCATTCTCGTTGCGCGTGGAGAAGTGTGGAGGATGGTGTTCTGCAGGGAAAGGTCGGTCTGTATAAGCGGGCCTGTGACAACCGCTGATCAGGCCTGTCAGGGTCTGTTGATTGACTCAATTCAGCCTGTAGATACTTGGAGACTTGCACAGACTTACAGGGCTTGGTTTGCGAGTGAACCGGCGAGACTCGGCTCAAGTCATGCCATGAAGTTGGCGATTCTCTGATGCGTCCTTTTGGTTGGTGGAAACATTCTCCTTTAGCATCCGAGTTGCTGTGAGGCAGAGCAACAGCCCGTTCAGGCATGTATGTTTGCGAAACCAATGCAAAATGAGACAATTAGTATCTAACTTGGTCATCAACAGTCATCAATTCATAAGTCCCAGGGCGTTGGAGTTGCGGCCAACCGCCCCTTGGCGTCACGCCCCTTTCTAGGTCTGAACCCCCAGCATCCCATCCCAACATTAGCCAACCCCAATCGCGGAGGATACATCAGTTTGTAGGTGTACAGGGGTATATGAACGAAGCAAGAAAACCCAACGTCCATCCATTAACCCTCCACAGCTCCGAGCTCCCGCTGCCCACCACGATCCCACAACAGCCCACTGATCTTCTTCCTGAGCCCCATCCGCTGCCGCTTGCCCCCTTTCCCGACGGAGCCCGCATCGACGTCTGACTGGATGCTCGGCGACATGAGTGAAACAGGCAGCGCACAAGGCGGCAGCCTACCCAGCTGCAAGGGCTCTGGAACAGGCCGTCGCTGCTGCCCGGCCGGCCCCTGCTGTTGCTGTTGCTGTTGCTGTTGCTGTTGCTGTCGCTGTTGCAATTGTGGAGGAGGCGCCTTCTGCAGCGTACTCCTCCCTCCCTTGCCAGCAGCTGCCCTTGCACCGCCCTCGACGGCTTCGGCAGATGCAATCGTCTCCCAGCTTCTCTGCGGCTGGTGCCCGCTGCGGTACCCGCTGTCAACAGACTCTCTGCCGGCCATCGGCAGTGCCACAGCACTGGAAGAAGCAGGCGCACCGAGTGCCAGATTCGGCGTGGACATATGCGCCAGGACATCAGTCATCGGACCCCGGACGCCTGATGGCGCGGGCATGTGCTCCCGCGCGGCGGCCCATTTGCAGGCCTCGGTGATCTGGTCCTCGAGGCGCCGTGATCGAGTGCTGCGGATGGATGCGGTTTCTTCGTTCCGTTGCGAGGGCGGGTTGGGCACCGTAGGTGGAAGGTCTCCGTGCCGGAGCGAGTTGGCGCGGCCTCGAAGAGAGACGCCCACATTGATGTCTGTTTCGGGAGGGGTAGCGGTTGGAGCCGAGTAGGCATCTCGCTGGTACTGGTCGCGCTGCATTGGGATCTGGAGGCTGTCAAGACGCGGCCGGGAGTCTTGCCTCCGGTGATGAGTGACGCGGGCGGCTGCCGTGGCAGTTGAGGGGCGTGACGGTGCGTCTGTCCTTTGGTGTCGCGGCTCTGGCGAGGTTGTTGCTGCACTTCCTCTTCTCACGGGTGTTTCACTGACGGCCTGATCGTTTTCTTCCGGAACAACGTGCTCGTCAATCCGTCTCATCATTGTGTCCACGCTGGGGTCGCGGTTTGACCGGCCACCTGCCCTCCGAGTGCGCCGAGCTGGGGTACTAAACGGGAGTTCCCCGTTGTGATCCGGGGAACTGTCACTGGCAGGAGACATGGTGCGAGAGACGGGTTGGATAGGCTCTACCACAACCGCGTCCCCTTGCCTCAACAGCCCGTCGCTCCGGGTTCGATGAACGCTCGTCCGCCGGTGCATGTCTGGGCTCGATGGAAGCCCGACAACGCCGAGAACAGGTAGTATGTTCAAGGCCGTGTTCGGGCGTGTTTGCTGGGACCCAGCATGGTCCTCCGCTTGTGCCTCACGATCCGGATTTAGGGGTAGCGAAACCTCGCTGCGTCCAAACCGGGACGGTAGCGTTGGGAGAGGTGGAGGCGGAAGAACAACGTCGACCGACACTGATCGCCTGTGGTGGTTCCCTTGAGCCGCCCTACTGCTCCGCCCCTCCGAGAGCTCCCGGTCGCGTAGCCTCGGAGCCCTGTGACGAGGGGCGGGAGAGCTTGATGACTCCGAGTCGGAAGATTCGGACGCGATCTCGCGTCTTGGTGTCCGTCCGCGGATTTGTTTGCGGGTTGGTTGATCGAAATCCCTACTCGAGGCCGCCCTTCCAGGAGTCCTGCTCCTAGAAGATGCATTGCGGCTGCGAGCGTTACTCCCAGCCCTGCGCCTGCCCGCCTCGTCGTCCAGTCTGGCGGCATTGGCCGGCTCGAGAACATACTGCTGCACAGCAACCGGACCGTGAAGTGGGCAGGAGAGGACGTTGGAGGATAGCTTCCTGAGCTCAACCTCCGTCGACGACTCTAGGGAACAATACCTCCCATTTTCCGCTGCCTTGGTGCACTTCACCCACTGGATGTAGTAGTGCTGCTCGCCGCCTTCGCAGCCCGTGTAGGGGGTATAGTCGTAGGTGCACATCTGAGGCACAATGACCGGGCCGGGAATGTGTGAAAGCAGGCGAAGACACTCGTCATCGCCACTGACGGTGAAGCTGAGGGATGGTCATGGCATCTTTGGAGAACGTGACCGGGGCCTTATCCCCCAGGCGGGTATTTACGACCCTTATACCGGAGGTTTACCAGCGACTCGGAGCTATGGGCACTCCGTAGCGCCATCACTCCAGCGGTGAGGGAGGTGACAATGGCTCTGAATCACATTGGCATTACCCATTGGCCCGACTTGGCTGTGATGGCCATCTCAAGTGACGTTGTCGCCCTCAAGGCTTGTCCCCGCACATTTCCAGGTGACCTGCAAGTAAAAATAGCTCATCAACTCTCCGAAGAAAATCGTCATTGGCCTCGTGGCTGCCGCAGCGGCCTGGGCTGCGCCGGATTGGCTTGATTTTCGCTGGTGGCACCGAATGCTTGGGCTCGCGACCCCCAAAATCGGCCCAGATTGGCTTGGCGTATGCGGTGCAACAGAGGCAGGAACGTGCAGATGGGCGCTTAAAATGGACCTTTTTCGACTTTGAGATATACGTCCGGGCGAATAGCTTGTTAGAAACATGGATAGCTCGAGAAAGTGAATTTTTAAAGGATGTAGAAATCGTTAGAGTGATCGCCTCCAAGACATTGGCAAATGAGGGTAGATTGTGTCTCGTATGATGCCTAGGTAGTGACGGCAGCTCCCAAGCTGCCAGTCGCATGGACTCGGGAGTCGGTACGAACCAGCGCCCGAAATTTCACCTCGCGGCCAGAAGCTCGGGAGTCGGAACTGTCGGAAAATGGGAGGGCCGGCAAGACGGGAACTCAATGAGCCGAATGCGGGAACCCGAGTGACAGTCCGAGAACAAGACACCCACAGAGGAGCATCACATCACATCGTTCCCCTCTTTCGGTTTCGATGTGGTTGGATCCGCCTTCTCGAGGCTCAAGGTATGTATGGCGGTTGTTGCGCGAGAGCGCTACCTGAGGTCGTTGTGAATGAGGGCGAAAGAGTTGAGTGGTTGTCACTTGCAACGGGTTTCACAGGAAAGATAACTGGATTGAAGCTTTCCATGTTTCTCACGGCATGATCAAGTGTTGTTTCTTGGAGAGATCAGGTCATCGGAAAGGGAAAGGGTTCAGTGAAGTGGCCCAGGTTGAGATTAGATAAGCCGGTCCTATGAGCCGGCTCCCAATAGACGGACACTGGTGTCTTGCTGACGTAAACCTAAATCGCTTACATAATCTACAAAATGCATCTAACGCAGCTACCCCTGACTGCCCCTGACATCCCACAACGCCCACAACGCCATCGCCAACACTGCAGCTATGGCCATTCAATCAATCTGCACAATATCTGAATAACGCTTTGGGCATGCCCGGGAGGTCCGTATATGGCCAATTCCACCGCAAGCCGTACACTGGCTTAGCCGCTTAGCCCGCGTTGCCTGCGTTGCCTCGACCACTTCGAATTTACTGGGCTCCCGCTTCGTACTTGACGCTGGGAGCCTACTTGTCGTAGCTTTTGGCTCTATACGGCAGGGCTCTAGAAGGTGAAGTGGAGCCCCATCACGTATTAAGCGCCAGTGCGAATGGAAGTCTTCAAGAAGAAGAGGCTCTTGACGTCCAGTTAGTACATGTACATATGGAAGTCCGTAGACACATATAAAAGTACCCGTACAAGTAGGCGACGGAGGAGGGTCTTTCCATTGTAGTTGCCGCTGCTCTTCAACCTTCCGTAGTGCTTCGTACGAGACCTAGCCCTATATAGCCCTATATAGAGCCTTGTCGAGCTCGAGGGGTATACAGATCTATTGTTTGGCCTGGTTAGACTGCAATTCAGAGAGCTGATTGATTAACGCAAGTCGAATCGCCTTCTATACCTCGAAGAGGTCGAACGTCGACCTCCGGAGGTACGACTTAAGAAGCATATAGATTCCTTTAACGCAGGAGGTAGCCGTATTCCTAAAATAAGCCTGCTAGTCGACCTACGTAGAGACAAGCTTCTCCTTGTATAGTAGAAGCTACGTCTCCTTAATATAGCCGACCTGCTTAAGGTTCGTTAAGGCGTATTTCTTCTCGAACTCCTTAAGGCACTCCTTGTATGTCTCTTTAGTTAGCGAGTCAAGAATAGAGAACCAAGAAGCATAGAACTCCTTCTATTGCTTAGCTTCTAGAAATGCTAGTTGGCACTATATAAGGACCGCCTTATTTATATGCTATGTATAGAGAGATATTATTGATGGAAAGAGAGTTGAAGCTATATTGATAACTGCCTGGCACCGGTCTATTAAAATAATGGATGGAAAGACTCTACTATACTACTTGTATAAGGTCTTTAACCGCTCTAGGGCCTACGTATAGTCTTCCTTAGTCTCGCCGCTTGTCATGAACTAACCTGCAGAGGCCGGTGGGGGCCGACCTGCATGGTCAACGGGCGGCGCCCGTACCCAATCATTACGAGGAAGAAGGAACCAATGAGGATTAGGGAAATCAGGAACAATGCCAAGAACGATTGTTCCTGGGGAACAACGCCAAGGAACGTTGTTCCAGATGGAACAATGGGAACGACAATTGTTCCAAATGTTCCAGAGATCTAGGTACGGGATACCTAGGGGAGGAAGCTGTATATAGTTCTACCATTCTGCCTCTCATTCAGATAGCTAGCTTCCTCAGTGAGCAATTACAAGCAGTAAAGTAGCCCTACATTACTGTGCAGACATTGCGACTTGCATTGTTGTGAACCTTTTGGCTTCACCGAGACCTACAGTCCGACCAGCAGATACCTTCGACCGGCGAACCCTTTCAGAGGCAGGACTGCCTGTGGTTTCGTCATACCGCTTAAAAATGCAAAGGCAATATAAAAGGAGCGTCCAGTTATATTAACGCCAATTATATCGAGAAGTGGTATACCGTATTTATTTGTCTTGTATATATAGTTGAGAAGGAGGACTTCAGGGTATGCTCGAAGATAGGCAAGAGAATCGGGGTATACGAAGAGAACTGCCGTTATATGCCTATCTAGCCCATATTGTACACGGCTCTAGAAGCCTTCTTCCTCGAGCTGATTTGCAAGTGCATAGATTGGACTCTGGCCTTAACAAGAGTCCCGGCGGACTTCAGCGATATAGTTATAGATGTCTTGACGTGTTGCCAAAGAACCGCTTTGCCGTATAACTGTCTAGATCTCCTTTGGCGCAAGGCCAGCATTCGAGAGGGTCTCTAGCTCTGGTATACACGAGAGCTTCCGGTAGATAGGATATGTAGTTGGATATAGGCTCGGCTCGTGATTATGGAGGGCATAATATATGCCAGGGCGGTGCTTTAGAGTCCAGCCTTTTTTAGACTCCTTTGCGAGGACCGAAAAGGGACAATTCGTCATACGAGTAGTCGTATTTCTCTGGCGGGACCGTTCCGGTGAAGAAGGTGGTTGGCGGCTACGATCGCAGGCGAAAAAGACCTTTAAAAGGCCATTAGCCTCCCGTACTGACCTCCGAGTGACGAATGCGTAGCCTCGAGGCTTTGCGTGCGCGTTAATTGACTCAAATAAAGCCTCGCGGGAGTGGAAAAAGCCCTCGGGAGGGAGGCAGTCGTCTGGGAAGGTAGCCATAGCTGCAGTGTTGGCGATGGCGTTGTGGGCGTTGTGGGATGTCAGGGGCAGTCAGGGTTAGCTGCGTTAGATGCATTTTGTAGATTATGTAAGCGATTTAGGTTTACGTCAGCAAGACACCAGTGTCCGTCTATTGGGAGCCCTATGAGCCCCCACACCGGCCCACAACCCTGTCACCAGAGACCAAACTCACGGTTCACCACACCACTGACACACAAACTGCAAACACTTCACATTGCTTTCTGGTCGGCAGTACTAGATGAAGGACGATGGAGCAAAGAGAGGGGGAAAAAAAAAACAAGAAGAAAGAAAGATTGGTAATAGAGAAAGAAATAAGAGGAGTTTCCGCTGAACGAATTCGTTCTATCCTGCTCCTAAGGTGTAGGTCCGGCATGGCATAACACTGTCTCAGTCCAGGAGGGAGCTGAGCTCAACGTAAGACCACTTTGCCCCCTCCTCCCCCCGGGGTCCAAGACGGTACGTGAACTGGTAGCTCTCAGGGGCTGCGTATCCATCCATTCCCTTGGGCATATAGTTTTATGTCATGAAGCTCTTGAGGCTTGCTCCTGGATTCTCTATCGCAAGCTTGGCCACTTTGGCGCTATGCTTCCGAAAGGACGTAAGTTCTAAGCTAAGATTTCGGTAGATGGTACGAGAGTAGAGATTCGAGCAGGCATTGTTGGTCTGACGAGTGTACAGCGCTTTCTGTCTTCCTACTTCTTCACTTCTTCTTGTTCCGTTCCGTTTTATTTCTACTGTTTGAGTTTAACCAGAGGATGTTGATGGAAGTCGGCTGAGCTCTTGATGAAGACAATTCAAGAACATAGTGGCAAGAAATTGGGGGGCAGGCGGGAGAGTACGTTTAAGGCGAAATCCAATCATGAAATAGCAGCAACATCGTAGATGTATTCAGAATCGGTCGGCCCCGATTACCCTATGGTGCTGCTCCTTGACGCCTAATTATACCGTCATACGTCGTGTCGCAATGCCCATCCCAGTTTATAAACAACCGGATATCCGTAGAAGCAGACATGAAGCCACTAGCCTCCTACCCCCAACCAGCCATTCCATGATATCATATCTCATTAACATAACTTCATATGTTTCATCAGACATTCCCAATCCCTCAACGCCGCTTCCAAACCCCGCTCATCTCATTAATCATCCACTAACATAGTACCTCCCCTGACTCCGACTCCTCGACCTCCGCACCTCCTGCGCCGCAGGCGGATAGGCATACGTAGCTGGCGGCGCCCTGGGAACGGCATATCCGACCTTCTCCTCATACACCACGGGCCTAGACGTCGACCTGCGTCGGCTACTGCTGTGGTGTCTGCTGTGGCGGCGATGGCTGCTGTGGTGGTGATGACGGTGGGTTGAGCGGGAGCGGGAGCGCCGGCGCGGTGCGGGCTCGGTCGTGTCGTCGTACCAGCCTTGCCGGTTGGCGTCGGGCCCGCGGGGCTCGCGCGGTCCGGTGCACGACTTGATGACCCACCAGAGCAGGAGGATGCCGACGATGGTTCCAATCACGATGCCGGCGATGGCGCCGCCGTCGAGGCCCGAGCCCGAGCCCGAGCCCGAGCCCGAGTCGCCGCCGGCGACGATGACTGTTGTGGTGGGCTGGTCTTGCCGCGCGATGAGACGGGTGAGGCTCAGGGGTAGGGTTGGTGTTGGCGCCATTGTGAATGTGTGACGACGCCTTCTGAGGCCCTCTTGGCCAGTAGCTGGACCGGAGTTTGGATATTGGTGGCGAGGGGTCGTGGGCTACCTTGTCGATCCTGACCCGGTGTTATTGGCCAAAGAGGTATTACGAGCAGGGCTGCTCTGCGTATCATGAGGTCAAGTTACAAGAATAATGAGCCAGGGAGAGAGCGGCGAGTTCAAATAAGCTGTCCATGGTCCAGAATTCACATGCCCTGAAGCGCGGGGTGGGACGTCATTGCAGTATCAGGAACAGTGGCTTCCCACGCGCTAGAGATTGCAAATTGTCCTAATACGACGCTAATCGGAGTGAAGTCGTTGTAATCCAGATTCAATGAACCTGCAGCTCGCGAGGATGACGCACATTGAGGGGAACCTGTCTCAGCTGTGAGATGGGTCCTGTTTAGTGCGGCAGGGGCTCGGAGTCCCATTGAGAGTGAGGTGAGTTTTCGCCGAGCCGTGCCGCAATAGGTGAGGAGGGGGTTGGTTGCTGCGACTTGAGAGGTTCATATTCAGGTTTCTGTTGGAACGCAGTTTGGGTTTGTTCAGTCCATGCCATCCGAACTGCCGGGCTATGACGTCATCCCGCATGCTGCCCTGGCCCTGGCCCCTGACGCTTCAAGGGACATGGGTTCGGCAGGGCAACCATGGCAACGTTTACATACGGGCTCATCAGAGTGTGTTCGCTGCAGTCTACAAACCTCCCAGGTCCTTTCATGCTGATGAGACATCCAAAGCGCCTTGTTATTAGTGTACTGTGTCGGAAACCGAGCAAGGAAGCTGATCCGTCGGTGAGCCTTGAGTGTCTGAGGGAGGCGGGAAGCGGGACCTTATACCGCACTAGGCTCTCGGCGTTGGTCTTGCCTTCTGCTTCTACATCATTCATGATGGGATCAGAAAAGGTTATCTTTCTAACATGTTAATCATATTCCTTCGGCATTTACGTTATATGCTGGTCATGTACCTACGTTAGCCAAGATGCGTGGGTGACAGCTGCAAATCATGGGAAGCCTTTGCAGCTTCGAGCGGGTAATTGTGACGCAACCCACCACATCCTTAGCCACACCGATTTGACTTCTGGGATATCAACGGCATGTCCCGTATTCTTCCAGCAGAGGTAGATCCATAGAGAATCTTCAAGGATACCAAGCCAACAACACATTCGCCATTCAGAGATAACCGACCGCTGAACTTCCCGAAAAATCAAGCATTCAGGCGCTAAAAGTCACCACCACAACTACGAACAAAGCTCAATCACAATGTCAGACCGACGGGGTAGAAGGCACAGTCGATACGACGACGGCTACTACGAGCGGGCACCCCGCCATCGCTCCCTAGGTCGTCAAGCCCTCGACAAGCTGGAGGATGCGATGGAGGGCCTAGGCCTCAACGACAGCCGAAGCAACCACTCCCCCTCCTCCTCCCGCGGAACAGGAAGACACCACTCCCGAGATGACCGCGCCATAGCGCACTACTACCCCCCATCGTCGCACAACCACCGCCGCTACCACAGCACCTCCCCGCCGCGGCGTTCCCGTCGGCCCCGGCGAGATGACAGCAGCCACCACCGTGACTCCTCGCGCAACCGCAGCCGCTGGGAGCGGGGTGCCAAAGCCGCCGCGGAGGCTGCTGCCGTGGAAGCGTTCCGGCTCCGCAAGGAACCTGGGCCGTGGAAGGGCGAAAAGGTGCAGCGAATCGCTACTGCGGCGGTCAGCGCCGCCGTGGTTGGCGCTGCGACCGAGACGAGGAAGGAAGAGGGCAAAGGCGGGAAGCTGGGGACATTAGGGTCGGCAATGGCAGGGTTGGCTGTGAATAGGCTTGTCAACGGGTCGAGGGATGAAGTCAGGCACTGATTCTCTTCCTGTGTTCATTAGACTGGGTTATTGCAGTGACATGCAATTGTTGGGCATGGTATAGGGTGGGCTTTAGGGATGGATCCACGACATTATGACTTGTAACAGTTCCATATTCTCTGCCTATGGTACCCTTATAGGAGCATATATACTGTACTGAACTTCTGGCATATTTGGGCTTATCATACACAGCAGGACCGGTGAGCGGCGTGCAACAACTAGTGTACTCTCGTGCGGATGTGTGAGATTTCAGACACATCCCAGGTATCATCCGTAGAATCAGTGAGCCTATGCTTCTCATTGACCTATCAATTCTCAAGGTCAGATAATCAAAGAATCTGGCATTCAACAGTTCGTGGCGCAGTACATAGAGTAGTGTGGCAAGTATCCTGTTTCTGCAACTGACAGTACTACTGTAGTCGCCGCAGCTTGGTTGGTGCGTCATACCCCCCTTTCGGCTGTGGCTTGCAGGTTTCAACCACCGGACCAACCACAAAGCGCAGCATCAACCACCAGATTTCTTGATACCAAGAGGCCCAGAGGGGAAGGGAAATACGACAAGAGACAATCATTTGACTCCTTTGTCCAAAAATGTGAGTAAATGACGTCACATGATATCATCCTCAATCAACTGCCGGCAAAGACGGCGCCCTTCTACTCCTGAGCTTGGTGTATATAACCGGTAGAACCACATCAATAACACCATCCACATCTCACAAGCCACATCAATTCACATCAAGACAACAAGCTACAATAAATCAAAACAACTCAAGTTCAACATGTACCCCAACGAACGCGGCATCCGCAACCCGAACGCCCCGGCAGCAGCCGCCGGCGCCAACCCGCCCCACACGTACGGGCAATCCGCCGCCTCGGGCCCGGCCCCCACAACCGCCGGCCACCACCGGCACGACCTCCTCAACAAGCTGGACCCGCGCGTCGACAGCACCCACGACCAGCAACCCGTCTCCCAGACAGGGCAAAACATCCCCGAGGGGACCTACGGCCCGCACCGTTCCCGGCTGGCCAACACCCTCGACCCCCGCGTGGACTCGGACCTGGACAGCACGCGCGCCGGCGCCGGCATGGGCGCGGGCGGCGGCTTGGGCGGCGGCCAACCCGCCCGGATGAGCGGTACGCATACCGCTGCCGGGTATGGCGACAGGGCCGGCGGTGGCGTCGCGGAGGGAACGTACGGTCCGCACGCGACACGCACCGGGAACATGCTCGACCCGCGGGTTGATTCGGACCGGGATCGGCATGTCGGGCGCGGGGCGGTAGGCGGGGGAGGAGTTTTGGGAGGAAGCAGGGCGCATCATGGTGGTGGTGTTGGTGGAGTCGGAGCGCCTGGGGCCGGGATGGCGACGTCGCATACGGCTGGCGCTGGCCCGCATCAATCGAGCTTGTTGAACAAGCTGGATCCGAGGGTTGATAGTAAGACGGGGACGTACAAGGCGGGTGCTGGAGCTCGGGGGCCGGCGTACTAAAGCCTTCGGGGATTACCATCACGCAGGATCATTGAGTAAATGGTTGGCCATTGGGATTTGGTTGGGGAGTGAATCAGCATGATACCAGATTGCTTTTCTTAAGGAAGATAGATAGATGAGCTTCGTGAGGGAGATACTCTTCACTGCTTCCTAGCTAGTTAGAAAATCTACTCAGTGCACTGTATCACAGTCCTCGTGTGAGTTGTGCAGTGTGAAATGTCTTAACATGAAATGAAACGTGGTAAGCGCTTGGGGAGGCATCAACCTGGTTACACAACCTGCTATTCCAGAGAAACATGGGGAAGGCCTAGAACTCCTGGGTGGGGGAATCGGGGAATCTGAAAAGGGGGGAATGAAAAAAGGGTTGCGTCTGTAATGCATCCCTTAAACAAGAAGAAAATAGCCCTCACCACTCCCATCAAAGCACCTCGAGTCCCAACCATTGCCGCTTAATAGGCCTCCTTCACGATGTCGTCCTTGCCCAGCTTGTACCTCCCGCTCCCCGGCGTACCAATCCGACCCGAGCCCCTGCGGCCGGCAATACCAAACTCACCAGCAATGCTCTCCCTCGTTGGCCGCTTCAGACGTGCGTGGTTGACCATGTTTACTTCATGCGGCAGCGCCACAATGACATTCTTATCCGTGCCGAACTTGAAGTCGTCGGCCTTGACATCGTCTGTGTACCGCTTGATGAGGTACGGCGCCTTCCGTCCGGCAAGAACCTTCTTAAGACTCCACTCGATGATGTACGGGCCCGTGGCGGTGATAATGCTGGTCTCTTCGACGCCCGCGCCGGTGTTGAACTTGGCAGGTGTGAAATTCACGCCCTTGCCTGTCTCGTAAGCGAACTGGGCGACGTGCTCTGGTGTGAGCGCAAGACGGCGGGGTTGCGGCTTGGCATCAGCAGCGAAGGGCTTCTCGAACCCCAGCTTCCCTTCATTTTTGCCCGTCTTTTGCAGCGCATCGATCAGAAGCAGGTATGTTCGGCACGTGGCAAGCACCCAGCGGCCGTCCGCGGAAACATCGAGACCGATGATGGGTTCGCCGAGAGCCGGAATGTGCGTCTTAGCATTGATACCAAGACGGTCGAACAGCCGGACATCGCCCTTGTTGGATGCCACCGCAATGTAGCCCTTCTCCGTCGTTGCAACCGCTGAGAAATCGTTCTTGCTCACGTATTGCTTGAGCTGGGCGTCGACAAGCTTGTTCCCGGACAACCGAGGATCCACGCGATAGAGGGCGTTCTTGCTGATACCGAGGAAGGTCGGCTCGTGGGTCATCTGGGCAAACTTGTTCTCCGGCGCGAATGTAACTACCGGGATGTCTTCATGCACTTGCCACTCATCGACAACCTTCCCATACTCGAGATCCATGCGGTACAGCTTGTTCGGGTCCGAGTCCTTTTGCAGGATGAGGTTGCGGTCCTCGTTGTGGAGCATGACCTTCTTGGGCGAAAACAGCTCGCCACGAGGGGTCTCGACCTTGGAGATATTTGTGCTGAATTCCAAGTGGTTGTTTGGAGTATGTTTGAACACACCAATCTTAGAACCGCGGACGACAAATGATCGGTCGTGCTTGTACCCGACCGCGAGCATCTTGTTGACATCTTCATCCTTCGGCCTGTACTCAACATCGTCCGCCTCTTCGTCGCTGTCGTAATGCTCGCTTTGCGCACGGTCATCATTTTCCGGCTCCTCCTCTTCAGTGCATTCTTCTTCCTCTTCCTCTTCCTCGGCCTGCCCGGTCTCCTCCATGGTCAGGTCGTTGAAGGCATCAGCAACGTAGTCGCGTTCCTTGTCCTTGATCTTGGACCACTTCATCTCATTAAGCTGCTCCCAGAGGGCTTGTAAGAGACCCTCCTGAAAGCGCTCCAGGGTTGCCTGGTCCTTGAACCGTAGAAGCCAGGAGTAGGCGGAGCCATCATCGGAGAACTGGTTGAAGATGAAAGAGAGGAACTCAAAGTTGAAGACAGGGTTGATGTCAGCGACAACCGGAATGCCCAGCCAGTCCCGGCCCGCACTCTTGACCTGCAGCCAGTATTGCCAGTCGCCAATCTCTGTCACCGTTGCCGTAACGGACGCATCCTGGAGAACAAATGCGCCCGACGGGAAATCGAAGAAGTGCAACTCAGCAACCTCGGCAGCCAAAATCTCACGTGCATCCGGGTGCGCGGACACAGCTGGAGGTTTCATATCCTTTTCCTTGCCTTTCTTCGTAGGCGTAGTGTCCGGCTCGGGGACCTTGTCCCTTTTGGCGCGGGTGTTCGCGGCGGGGTTTGTGAGAACCATTGAGTCAGAAGAGTCGATCGACCTGGCAATTGTCGGACTGTGGATAGGGCTTGCTTGAGGAATGGGTTGCTCGTCAAACTCGAACTGCTGAAGGTCCTCTTCCGAAGCTGTGGTATGTGGTTTCCGGTATTTACGCTCGTACTGGCACTGTCGCGCGACGCGCTCGAATTGTTCGACCTGGGAGGGAGAAGTGCTGGCGTCGCAGACGAATTCGTAGACGTCGCCGGCGTCGCCGCTCAAATCCCGCCAAGCCAGGATCCTCTCGCTTCCTTCCCGATTCTCAACGCGAAAGTGGAGGGCCTCGTCGAGCAAGAATGTTTTCTCGTCACGTTCCCCAGCGAGGATATCCGCGTCCGCCTCGGCGTCTTCCCCTTCCTCTTCAGCAAGCAGCTCGGCCTCTCCCTCTTCGTATACTCGCTGAACGACGAGCTGGTACTGGAAATCCTGCGCAGTTCGCCGGATTCGGGCAGATGCGTCCTTAAAGATAAGCTCGGAGTAGCCTTTCGGCGAAAGTGGTCGGACAAGGTACAGCTGGCCTTGCGGGAGCTCAGCCACAGACTCCTGGTTGCTGGACCCGAAGAGGAGCTTCCCGACTGTAAGTGATGTGTTAGTTGGCTTGAGTCAAGTAGGAGAAAGAGGATGTAAACACGAGATGGAGAGCGCAGTCTTGAGTGTAACACGCGACGAGGCTGCGGCTGAGGATCATCGCCTGTGGGGACTGGAGGGGCGTTGTAGGGCAAGCGGGGCAAAGCTTACCATTCCTGAGCACGAACATGGCGGAGGGGGCTTTTGGAAACGAGCTGTTTGCGCAAAGTTGGAAGTCGGTACCCAGAGGACGGAGCGTGCAGAAACCGCAGGGAGGAAAGAAGACGACAATGTCGCTCTATAAATTAGGCACCTGCGGTCGTCTTCCGACAGCTCGGCACAGCAGGCAGAATCTTGGCTTTGTGCAACCGGAAAGAAGCTGCGTCATAACAAGCAGACTTCAAAATTGGCTGGCCAGACAATGGAGGGGAAGTAAAGACGTGGCGCTGTGGCTGCAGATGGCAGGAAAGAGGTCTTTTGAACGCCACAATCAGACAGCTGCTGAGTCATTGATCCTTTGATTTGCGCGTTCCAGGGTTAGGGCTAACCAGCTGTATTTGTCTAGTACCTCTGCAACCCACTCTCTCACCACTGGCAGTTGTCATTGCATAGGCGATTGCTCAGCAAAAACAGTGATCATATTGAATGAATCCCATCGAAGCCACTGGATTCAAGCCTAGCAGCGCAGGCCTTCTATACCTCTAGTTCAAGACGTTCTGCTTGTCCTCCCACGGACCACCGCTCTGGCCTTGACCGACTCACCGTCGGAGCTAGCCGCAACTATGTCGTCAACGATCAAGCGTGCAACGTTCTTCCCCATCAACGCGTTTGTCTCCATCGTTGAGATGAAGCTCTCCATGCCCGAGGTGTAGTACACACCCTCGCCGACGATGGGGTCCTGGAAGGTAACCCGGGGGTACGCCTTGGGGTACGAGTGGAAGACATGAGGATGATACCACGAGATCGGGCTTGATTTGCCGGTGAACGTCTCGGGAACCTTTGCCCCGAGCAGGCCACTACAAAAGAAAGCGGGTTAGTCTGGCGATCTGAGAGCATGGAACGCGCTGGGCGACGACTGACCTCAAGAATCCGGGAGTGACCTTCTCTGGGGAGAAGATCTTGTAGACATACTCCTGCTGCTGTGTCTGCGGGTTTGCCGCCTTGCCAAGGTTGCTCAGGCTGAAAAAGCCCGCTTTCCCAACCCCTCCCACCCCAGAAGTTGAGTTGTCGGTTTTGGCGAGGGTGGTCAAAACCATACCGGGCGGTTTGCTGGACTTGGGCAGGCCAAAGAATTGAGGCTTGAACCAGGAGGGCGAAGCAAAGATGGTGACGTGCAGCTGCACGTAGGGTATCTGGTCAATGGTGCTCTGAAGTACGCCCTCGGCAGCAGAGATTCCGCTGAACTGGAAGGGGTTGGCGATGACGACATTGTCGAACGCGACTGGGTATGCACTCGTACTCCCCGGGGCGCTGCCGGACGTTGTCGAGACTGTGTACTGCGGGTGGCTGGACGCACTCCCCTGGCTCTTCTCGAGCCCCACGACGGTCGTGTTGAGAGCGATGGTGGCACCTGATCTGTGAGCCATCCCGTCGAAGATCTGCCAGTTACCGCCCACGACAGCAACCGCGCCTTCAGCGGCCAAGGAGACCTGGAACGTTAATCGACTGGAACATATCGGACGGGATATTGTCAGCATACCATGGTATCCAGTCCGTGAATTAGGGCAAGATTAGAGGCATAGTTGACCCGTGTACTGGCCTGGATGATGTCATGGGCATAGAGCGGGGAGATCTGGCTTGTTAGCGGGTGAAAGACCGTCGTAGCCGTGGACACTCACGCTATTCGCGTTCAGGAACTGCTCTCCGGTGACGCCTGTCGCCTCAACCAGTCCGAGGTCTTGTGCGGCCTCCGTCAGGGATCGGAAGGGGAAGATTGGCGCGTCATAAATCCGGAGAAACTTGGCGATGGTAGCAGCGGCCAACTGCTGGGTTCGCTGAGGAGCCGTGTATCCGTACCGCAAAACGACCTTCAGGGTATTCCACCAGTCCGGCTTGGCCTGGTCAATCGTGAAGACGAAGCGGTCACCGTCCCAGATACCCATGATGGGGTCTGCATCGGCGTCAGGTTCCCGCGTGGTGAGGCCGAACTCCGCAAGCGAGCCATAGAGAATCTGGTTTGCCTGGACAAAGATGCTGGCACCCAGCTCAACGCGCTGGGCCGGGTCATCGAAGGGGTTGATAGTGAGCGTCCGGCCGCCAATGCGGTCTGTCTTCTCGAAGAGCGTGATGTTGACGTGGATTCCAGCCTCAGAGGCAAAGTTCTGAAGGAAATACGCAGCGGAAGATCCAGCGGGCCCGGCCCCTGGCACAAGTTAGCGGAAGCCGCTCAACCAAGCCTCACGACATAATCGGGATGGAACCAAGACGAGGTACACCGGCATGGGAGACGAACCGATGATGGCAACCTGCCGCGTGGCTTGATCTGTTTCCTGACAGAGATCACCACCGATGAGGCTGGAGAAAGCGACGAAGTGAAGGCTGGGCCTCATGGTGACGGTAGCGGTACCCTGCCGACAGATTTGAGAAAGGTACAAAGTTGGAGAAGGAAGGAGCAGCACAAGACTCTCAGTTGAGCGGAATCAAGACGTTGGATGAACCACTGCCATCAATTCATCGGACCTGGACTGTTTATGAGGCCGCTTATATGCTTTCCGGAATTCTGGGCATTGACATAACCTTGCATGAGCATCAGCCTCGCGCACTGAGCAGGCTGATGTCTCTCTCTGAGACGGGCCCATACGAATTACTGACTATTACAAAGGTCATACGCATTGCTTACAAACGAGTCTCGGAGATGCCGTGTCCAAATCAAGATATGAATAGTGACGAATAAGGCGCTCAATAAGGAAATAATTGATGTAAGTCGCTCGCGCCACGAAGGACCGCATATGGTGTTCACATCTGGCTCCGTACGATCTTACGTTTCACGCACTGGGCTGGAGCTATGGGACTCCTGAGAGGTTGGTCCGAGCTCCTGGCGGGGCTGTCTGCGCGCTGCCTGGCCCCTCCTCCGCCCAAACTGCCTCTTGGCATTTGGAATGGAATTCACCACTGCGAAAAAAAGTTCCAGATCGGCGACAGCTCCAGCTACACCCACCGCCGCATTCTCACCATCCCCGCACTGTTAGACGTGTCTTTTGCCAAGGAACTGCCGCCATGTCTGCCGCACAGCTGCTCAATCCAAAAGCCGAGTCGCGGGTACGCCGAAGCCGTTCACGGAGTCGCACATATCGGGCTGAGATGCTAACTGCGTGTTGATAGAGGCGGGGCGAGGCCTTACGGGTCAACATCACTGCTGGTGAGGGTCTCCAGGATGTCCTCAAGTCGAACTTGGGCCCCTTGGGCACGATAAAGATGTACGACAGCTATCTGGGTTTCTGCTGTGCTTGTCTCTGGCTAACTTGGCGATACAGGCTTGTTGATGGAGCTGGCCAGGTACGGACGGGGTTCTGAACGGGGAGAGACTGTGCTACTGATCACACCTACACTAGATCAAACTCACCAAGGACGGAAATGTTCTCCTCCGCGAAATGCAAATACAGAATCCTACGGCTGTTATGATTGCACGGGCCGCGACAGCACAGGACGACATCTGCGGTGACGGGACAACATCGGTGGTGTTGCTTGTGGGTGAGCTGCTGAAGCAGGCGGATCGCTATATCCAGGAGGGCCTACACCCGCGCATCATTACAGACGGATTCGAGATTGCGAAGAATGAAGCGCTGAAGGTTGGTCAATATCAGCAAGGTTAACGAACCCGTGCTGACTGTCGCAGTTCCTTGACCAATTCAAGCTTCCCCGCGATGTCGACCGCGAACTCCTCCTCTCCGTAGCAAGAACCTCCCTTGCAACGAAGCTGAGCGGGAGCTTGGCCCAAAGCCTCACCCCAGCTATCGTCGATGCCGTCCTGGCCATCTATCAACCCCCTAAGAAGCCCGATCTGCACATGATCGAGATCATGAAGATGCAACACCGCACTGCGTCCGACACACAGCTCATCAAGGGGCTTGCCCTCGACCACGGCGCGAGGCACCCCGACATGCCCAAGCGCGTGGAGAACGCCTACATCTTGACGCTGAATGTCAGTCTCGAGTACGAGAAGTCAGAGATTAACTCCGGTTTCTTCTACTCCAGTGCCGAGCAGCGCGACAAGCTTGTCGAGAGCGAGCGCCGCTTTGTCGATGCTAAGCTGAAGAAGATCGTGGAGCTCAAGAAACAGGTGTGCGGCAATGATGGCAAGAAGAACTTCGTCATCATCAACCAGAAGGGGATCGACCCGCTATCTTTGGATGTGTTGGCCAAGAACGGTATCCTGGCACTCAGGAGAGCCAAGAGGAGGAATATGGAGAGATTGCAGCTCGTCTGTGGCGGTGTTGCGCAGAACAGCGTTGATGATTTGACCCCAGACGTTCTCGGCTGGGCTGGTCTCGTCTACGAGCAGCAGCTCGGCGAGGAGAAGTACACATTTGTCGAGGATGTGAAGGAGCCCAAGTCGGTTACTCTGTTGATCAAGGGCCCCAACCAGCACACTATCACCCAGGTCACGGATGCCGTCCGGGACGGTCTGCGCAGCGTTTACAACATGATTGTCGATAAGAGCGTGGTGCCCGGTGCTGGCGCGTTCCAGGTCGCTTGTGCTGCGCACCTGAAGAGCCCCGCCTTCACCAAGACTATTAAGGGCAAGGCGAAATGGGGAGTCGAGGCGTTCGCGGATGCTCTCCTTGTCATTCCCAAGACTCTTGCGGCCAACGCTGGTCTTGATGTTCAGGATGCCCGTAAGTGCTTCCCGTATCCGCCAGTTTCGAGATACGCTCGCTAACTCCTTACCTTGCAGTCGCTGCTCTTCAGTACGAGCATGCAGATGGGAATGTCGTGGGCCTTGACTTGGCCACCGGAGAGCCTATGGACCCGACGCTTGAGGGTGTTTACGATTCTTTCCGTGTGTTGAGGAACTGCATTGCTTCCAGCTCTGGCATCGCAGCAAATCTTCTGCTCTGCGACGAGTTGTTGAAGGCAAGGCAGATGGGACGGTCAGGTGGTCCCGGCCCGGGTATGGATGGCCCTGAAGAGTAGAAGAGAAGCATCTGATCTACGTCTGTTATACGATACTCGCTAGAGATGGTCTTGTACCAATAGACGTGGACGTGCCAAAGTCTGAGGAGTGTGCCGTACTGGAACGAGATGTCACTCCCTCAGCCTCCTTATCGGTGACTGAAATCACCAATCGATGGCGGGGCAGCAGATTTACCCCACCAAAATTTTAGAAGCTCTTGTTCGACTTCTTCCCACTCCAGTGTTTCTGTATGCCGTTTGATCAAACTGTTAAACTGCCACTCTCCGTGAAGAAATGGCGCCATACGACAGTGACTCCTCGGGTGCTGAAGACGACGACTTTACCGAGACCAACGTATTGCTTGGCTATGCGTCCGCGGACTCCAATGGCGAGGAGGTCAGCCGACTCGGTGGCCGCCCAGTATGTCTCGAAAGTTGCCGCACTGCTGCGATAGACTATTGCTGAACCCCGAGTCCAGGACTGGCTAGATCCAAGCAAGCCACCTTCAGCTGCTCTTGCAAGATGCAAAGTCTGCAAGGACCTCATGGTCCTCCTCGTGCAGCTAAACGCCGAGCTGCCTGACCGATTCCCCGACCACGAGCGCAGGATATACGTGCTCACCTGCAGGAGGAAGAGCTGCCGAAGGAAGGAGGGAAGCATCCGCGCCATCAGAGGCGTCCGTGTCTCAGCTGAGACCACCGAGAGCGCGGGAAACGGTAGTCAGCCCAAGGAGACGGCCACCCCGAAACCTGCTTCCCAAGGATTGGGCGAAGCGCTCTTCGGCGTGAAGCCGGCCACAGGACCGGGAAGCGCCCCTCGCGCCAACCCCTTTGCGACCTCCTCAGCTTCCGCCACCAACCCTTTCGCCCCCAAACCATCATCCGCTTCCCCAGCGAATCCCTTCAGCACCCAATCAATCGCTCCCACAACCGACGCTAAGCCGGATGCCGAGAAAGCAACAGACGCCCTCCCTAAAACCTTTGCCGAAACTCTGAATCTCAACAACCCCCAAACAACTTACGGCCCCCCTCCCCCGCCAGAACCCTGGCCCGAGGAGGCTGCCCAACCAGCACCCTACCCGATCCGCTGGCTGGCCGACGCCGAGTACGAGACCTTGGATCCGACACCCTTAACCGCCGTCTCCACAACGGCAAACACCGCAATGGACGTGGATTCCGGCGAAGGGGCAGGAGGAGGAGGCAAAGAGGACAAGGAAGTCTTCGAGTCTAGCATGGATGCGACCTTCCAGAAGTTTGCCGACCGTGTGGGCCAGAACCCCGAGCAATGTATCCGGTATGAGTTCGGTGGGCAGCCGCTTCTGTATGCCAAGGGTGATGTGGTCGGCAAGTTGCTTCATACTAGTGGGACGGAGAAGGTAGTCTCTGGGAAGGGGATGCCGAGGTGCGGGAACTGTGGCGCGGGCAGGGTGTTTGAAGTCCAGCTGATGCCGCACGCAATTCAGGAGTTGGAGGTGGAGGAGGATGGGTTGGATGGCATGGACTGGGGTACTATCATTGTGGGTGTGTGCGAGAGGGACTGTCAGCCACGGAATGTGAACAGAGGGGAGGCAGGGTATCTCGAGGAGTGGGCCGGTGTGCAATGGGAGGAGCTGACGATGAAAAGGTGACATGGTTTGTAGAAAGAGGCGATAAGAGGAAGGAAATGTCAGGTATCAAGACGATCATATCAAGTCATCTCGTCGTGTTGGCATCTGCACCCTCATTGAGGCTATGATCTGGACATAGAACCCATGGCAATCCTGACAGACACCGCTGTGCATCCCATCCGCGGCGTGACCATGCCGCCGTTAACAACCCATGAACGCCGAGGCTTTTTACCGCCTAGATGCAAGAAGAAACCGCCGCAAGAGACGACCGGTTGACCCTTTCCGTCATCTCGTCAAAATTAGAATACGCACGCCCCCAACCAAACCACTACGCGCTGTCCTCCCACGACCTCTTGATGACGCGGCTGAACATATCAACCGTTACATCCTCCCGGATCTCTGTCTTCTTGGCCTCGTTCTCCGGATTCTTGGGCACGTGCACGGTCCCGTCGTCATCCACCTTCCAGCCGCAAGTCTCGATGACGAACTTCCTGACCTCGTCCTCGCTGTCCAACCCGAGCCACTCCTCGAGGACGCTCGTCTGGACCTCGCGGAAGGCCTGGCTGACCAGCTGGGCTATCCGCAGCCGGATCATCTCCTCGAAGCCGGCGATGTCGGTCGTCAAGTCCGCGTAGATGTCATCGCTGTCCAGCGTCGCCCAGAACCGCGCGTATTGCGCACCTTCGAGCTGCGAGTTGAGTACCCGCAGCTTGGACACGGCCTCGGCAAGGTCTGAGGAGGAGTTGGGCCCGGGGTTGGAGTGGGACGGGGAGAGGAGGTGCAGGGCGAGGTCGAACTGAGCGGAGGGGAACTGGGTCATGGCCTTGACGAGGATGTTTGTGATCACTTCGTCCTTGATCCGGTCCGGGTTGAGTTGGTACCTTGAGGTGGGAGCTGGTCAGCATGGCTCACTTTTCATGACGGAATCTAATAAGGAAAACAAGCAAAATGCGAGTCCTCTTCTCAGATAGAGCTAATAGAGTTAACCTCATAGGCGGTCGGGTTGATTAGGCCCGATCCGCCGTCTGGTTAATAGGAAACGTTGACTTGATCATCATGAAGAGGAACAGTCTAGTTTCTCCGTCACGGCACCCGAGATTACAACTTACAGCTTAAGCAACACCCGGTTGGCGTTGCAGTCGCAGAACTTCTCTTCGCATTGTTGCTGCAGGTAGGCCTCGAGAATGTCGGCAGCCTGTGGGTTATATCGCTCGAGCCCGTTGATTATGTTGCGGATCTGCTCCGGCCTCTCCTGGGGATCTTCGCCGTTCATGGTGGGCGAAATTGATGTGGTGCCTGCGTGGTTGGAGGAGGAAAATTCGCTCCTCGGGGTTTAGCTCGAACCCTCCCAAACACAAAACCGAGATGGTGGGGTATCGAAATCGGTGCGATTTTGTGTGTTCGACCGGAAATGGCCTAGCGCTGATAGTGGGGCCAGCCTCCTCTTCGGTCATGTGGTTCCGTGGCTGTCTCGCGGGGCTGAAACGCGCCTCGTCCATTCTCAACAACGTCATCGAATTGGAGCGAACGACACGGCTAGTCAGGTAGCAGCATTTCCTCCATGATGCCGTTATGAACTTGGATATGATTGAGTCAGAATGGATGATTTGCGTCCCCAATTAGTTCCATCTTAAGCTCAAACTGGAGTTGTGATTTTAAGCTACCCTGTCTCATCCATCAGCATACTCTCCGTTCCGTCATGCCTAGTCCGGCCAAGAAGAGGAAGCTAAACTCGGATACCAAGCAGAAGGCCGCCCCTGCAAGAGGACTTGAGTACTTCTTTGCGAAACAGAAACAGAATGGCACGTCGTCTGATGGATCATCCATCCAAAAGCCAGCCGTGGCGCCAGGGCAGTCAGAAGAAACGTTGACAGACGAGGAGCTCGCGAGGAAGCTGCAGGCTGAGTGGAACTCAGATGCAGATGGTGCATCGAGTCACAACACACCCCAACCGGAGACGGAGATGAAGTCTGGTTTCCCGGATAGACCGCGCATTGCCATTGATCAACAGCCACGGTCAACGACTGTCGTGCCTCCCGCTGAACCACCCAAGAGCAAGAACACCCTCTCGCTATCCTCCGCTGCAGCAATCGAAGATCAGGCGCACGCATCCATCCCGCTCGACGAAAGTCCCCTGACCTTCGACCCCGCCAAGTACATCCCCCAGCTCCGAGACTCTTGGGCCGCTGAGGGCGGCGATGCGTCATACGCCTTGCTCACGCGGTGCTTCGTACTGGTCAATGGAACGCAAAGCCGAATCAAGATTGTCGACACACTCGTCAACTGCGTCCGGCTGTTGATTGAGGGCGATCCTTCCAGTCTCCTCCCTGCCGTCTGGCTGGCAACGAACGCCATATCACCACCCTACGTCTCCATGGAACTAGGGCTCGGCGGTTCTGCGATCTCCAAGGCGCTCAAGCAGGCTTGTGGGCTGGACAACAGGGCCCTCAAGTCTCTTTACGACAAAGTCGGTGACCCTGGCGATGTGGCGTTTGAGGCGAAAAAGAAGCAAAGCTTTACTTTGCGGAAGCCGAAGCCTCTGACCGTCAAAGGCGTCTTCCAGTCGCTCGTCAAGATTGCCAAAGCTCAGGGTCAGGGAAGCGGTGATGTCAAGCAGCGGATAGTCGATCGGCTGTTGCAGGATGCGCGTGGAGGCGAGGAGAGCCGATACATTGTCAGGACGCTGTGCCAGCATGTGCGTCTTAACTTCTCCCTACCCGTGCTCTGCTAACAAGATGTAGCTGCGAATTGGGGCCGTCAAGACAACAATGTTGATCGCTCTGTCACGGGCGTTCTTACTCTCCAGACCTCCCGGGTCCGAACTTTCCATCAAGGACCCGCAGGCGTTGGCCAGACTGAAGAAAGAAGAGCTCGCCGAGGTATGGGCCAGAGCAGAAGAGCTTGTCAAGGCTTGCTATGCTCGTCATCCGGATTACAACGACCTGATTCCGGTGTTGTTAGACATCGGCATTTCCGAGGAACTCCTCGTCCGGTGCGGTCTTACCTTGCATATCCCGCTGAGCCCTATGCTTGGGAGCATCACCCGCGATCTGAGTGAGATGCTCACTAAACTTCAAGGCCGCGATTTTGCCTGCGAGTACAAGTACGATGGGCAGCGAGCGCAAGTCCATTGTGACGCCAACGGGAAAGTCTCAATTTTCTCAAGGCATCTAGAGCTAATGACGGACAAATACCCTGACTTGGTGGACCTTGTTCCCAAGATCAGGGGCGATGGCGTTCAGAGCTTTATTCTGGAGGGCGAGGTCGTGGCAGTGGACCGAGCCACTGGCGAGTTGCGGAATTTCCAGACACTCACCAATCGTGCCCGCAAAGATGTCGAAATCGGGAGCATCACCATCGATGTCTGCTTGTTCTCTTTCGATCTTATGTATCTCAACGGCCAGTCTCTGCTGGATCAGCCTTTCAGGCGACGGCGGGATCTATTACGATCACTGTTCGTCGAAATCCCACACCATTTCACTTGGGTCAAGAGTTTGGATGCCACTTCGCAGGATTCGGAAACTGTCCTCGAATTCTTCAAGTCGGCCCTCGACAACAAGTGCGAGGGGATCATGGTCAAGACCCTCGACAATCACCCTGAGCTGGAGTATCGCGGCGATGATGAGCCCGAACAACCTGTTAACCTACCACAAGACTCAAAGGCGAGTTCGAAATCTCGCAAGCCAAAACGAGGCAAGCTCTCGGAAAGCGAAGCACCACCTCCTCCAGCCAAATCCCGCCGCAAGCCGCTGCTGGCAACCTACGAACCCGACAAGCGACTCGACTCCTGGCTAAAAGTGAAAAAGGACTACTCCTCATCTTTCGAAACGCTCGATCTCATCCCCATAGCAGGCTGGCACGGCCAAGGCCGCAAAGCCAAATGGTGGTCCCCTATCCTCCTCGCCGTCCGCAACGAAGAAACAGGCTGCCTCGAAGCAGTCTGCAAGTGCATGTCGGGCTTCACAGACGCTTTCTACAAAGCCAACAAGGAGTTCTACGACAACGGCGAGGAAAGCGGGGAGCCCCAAAACACACACGCCCAAAAGCCGGCTTTTGTGGAGTACGCGGGCGGCGTTCCAGATGTGTGGTTTGAGCCTAAGGAGGTTTGGGAAGTGGCGTTTGCGGATATCACCATAAGTCCGACCTACACCGCTGCTATTGGACTGGTAAGGGAGGATAAAGGGTTGAGTTTGAGGTTTCCCAGGTTCTTGAAGAAGAGGGAGGATAAAGGGATCGAAGAAGCCAGTACGAATGAGTTCTTGGCGGCGCTCTGGAGGAAGCAGGAGGCGAAGGCGCCAGCGGCCGGCGAGCAAAACGGACAACGAGCGAACGCGGAAGCTGGAGAATATGAGGACGAGGTCATGGAAGCCTGATGGATGTCAGTCAACACCATCCCCTGGGCGTGCAGTTATCCATGGCCCTAACCCTCGGCGCTTCGCAATCCAAGCACCGAAGCGCGGGGTATTCGGAGCGGCTTCTCCACCACGAGAGGGGAAGTTGTCCCCATCGTGCAATATAGCCTGAATCATACGTCGTCATGTGGAACGGAAGACCTCAATTCCCTCCTGTTCGCTGCCAGTGATTTAAAGATGGCATGTCTTGCAACTTGGCGCTGCAGTGTCTCCTTGACCGTTCTCGACCACCTGGGAGCAGTGATCTGATTTGAACCAGAACACGAGAGCTTGGTTGCCCCTCCATCTCCAATTCCTCCGCATCCACTGATTGCATCACCCCACGCCCACACCCACCTCAAACCCTCACAGCACGGAGTACCTAGTCAACCACCACGCCAAACCAAAGGGTTCCCAAAATGGCGGATGCACCCGTCTCCTTCCTGCCTCTTGGGGCAATTATCCAAGAGCTGCGCGTCGGCGGTGTCAACATTGTCCAGGGGTTCCCCGAGCAGTCGCAGTACCAACGCTACAACGATCCCTACTTTGGCGAGACTATTGGTCGCGTAGCGAACCGGATCAAGGGCGCGCGGCTCGAGAACCTCAACGGCGGGAAGGTCTACCCGTTGGCGGCGAACAACGGCCCCAACAACCTGCACGGCGGCGTGGTCGGCTGGGGCAAGAAGATCTGGAACGGGCCGACGCCCGTCGGCGTGCGGCAGATCCCCGGCATTGAAGGGCTTGAGGGCGGGGAGAGCGTCAAGTTCACCCTGACGAGTGAGGATGGCGACGAGGGCTTTCCGGGGACCGTGGAGGTTAGAGTGGTGTATACCGTTGGCAAGCAGGTGCAGGGTGGGAAGGAGGTGATTGTGCTGGGGATGGAGTACGAGGCGGAGCTGGTTGGCGGGGTGGATGAGACCGTGATCAACATGACTAACCACTCGTACGTTTGTTATTCATTATAGTCGACACGGGAAATACGGATGCGCTGACCACTTCCCAGATACTTCAATCTTACCGGCGGTCCTTCGATTGAGGGTACCGTGGTGACCCTTGCCACAAACAGCTACCTCCCCGTAGACGACGGTGGTATTCCGACCGATGGCCCCAAGCCGTTTAGCAAAGTCGATGCGAATAAGGCATTCACGTTGGGTGCACAAGAGCCGGATATCGACGACTGCTTCATCGTCAACGAGGCAGCCGACGCCGTCCCCATCGACACCCGCTCGTTGCCCCTGACCAAGCTTGTCAGCGCCCACCATCCCGAGTCGAATATCCACCTTGAGGTTCTCAGCACGGAGCCGGCCTTCCAGTTCTACACTGGCAAGTACATCAACGTGCCGGAAGTCGCTGGGGTGGCGGCGCGTAAGGCCCGCAGCGGATTCTGCGTCGAGCCGAGCCGCTATGTCAATGCGTGCAATGTGGACGAGTGGAAGAGCCAGATGTTGCTGAAGAAGGGCGAGAAGTACGGCTGCCGCATTGTGTACCGGGCGTGGAAGGAGTAGTACAGTAGCACCTAAGTAGTCAGGTAGTTCTATCATCTATGGCGGTGCACAGAACAAGGATATTTTGTTGTGCTCCCCTCGTTGGTTAGACTGAGCGCGAGCATGTTGGTACAGCCTTTTTGACCACGTTGACCACGTAGTGGCGGTTCAGCTCAGGGAATCGAACATACAGAAGTGGAAGTGGCCTTGTTCCCTCTGTGCTCCTCCGTGAATCCAGCTCGACATAGTCCTGCCCGACTCAAAACCACCTAAACCCCGTCATGGCGACCCGCTGCAGCATGGCAAACAGCGATTTCTGGGGAACGAAGCCGGCATACCAACTTTGCCACCACGCCGCAAGTGAACCTCGATAACACCCCCCACCGTTAGTCTGATTGCATCTCTCGCAATACAATACGAATCTTCCATAGATCCAACGGGGATACGTACCGCCGACAGGACCTAAGGATCCAAACCCCAGAGCTCCAAGAAAAGCCGGCACCAGCGCCCATAGAACCATGGTAACCACCTCAACAGTGTGTTTCCTTTCTTTATGTAGTCGACGGAAGTGGGCTAGGCGGCTAGGCGGAGTGATCGGCGGCTTTGGTGGCGTCTTTGAGGGCGTGGAGAATACGATCGGCGATGTAGGACCTTGAACGTGGTTCTTCAACCAGGCTGCCGTGGGTGATGTTGTTCGTCTTGCCTAGGTGATTTTCCAAGGTCGATGATGTGGGAGATGACGGGTAAAGCACCTCAAGTAGTGGCTTGGGAATGGAGAGAAGATGGCGGCGCACAACGCGGGTCCGAGGAGGTCCTTAAAAGTAGAGCTAAGCACGCTTTCGGAAGGCATATTGGGCGCCATTACTAGCAAACGAAATCAGCAATGGATGAGTCCTTGTCTGTAGGTTCCAATGTCAAACGTACTAGGTCCTCCTTTGTGACTGTAAAATTCTTTGTACCAGGGAGTCTATTCTCTTCTTCACATCAAAGCGAGACTTTTTTAATCAAGTTAGGTCTTGGTATGTTCGCCGCCATATAAGCGCCTTTGCAAGATTCGGAGCTCACGTCTTTGAAGATGTATGTCTAGGTACTGAACAACTTAATAGAGGTTACACTGGTTGAGTTGCATAGGTGCTTAGAGAGGGAGTAAGTGCCTAAGACCTGCGGTGCATTATCAATTTTACGACTGTATCTTACCCTTCTTCCGCTGATCCATTGCGTACCCATACTTCCCCTTTGCCTGGCATGTGGCATTGTGACCTCTGTCTTGAGTTTCTGCAACACCCCTGGACTGTTTTGGTGCACAACAATAACACCTCTATCTAATTTGGCCTTCAAAGTTGGAGCTTGCGCCTGCTCTCTTGTTCTAAGGTATGAAATGAAGTGGCATGAAATGAAGGGGACTCCTGCTTTGGTCTTCTCTCTTCTCTCCCCTACCTTCGTCTCCCCAATACATCGTTCAGAAGCCGAAAGGACTCATGATTGTAATCCGCAAAAGCGACGTACTTGAAGACTTTTTCAAGACTCTTTCGTGATCGTCTAACCTCCTTTGTCTTTTCGCTAGGCTTGCCTCAGGATCGCCATCATCATCCAGGCTTCTCTTGCGCGCCGGTTTCCCCATCGTGTCATCGGAACAAGGATAGGCTCGTGACGCCTCCCAAAGATCGACGACCCAATCTGGCCTGCCAGCACGCAGAGTCCATCCTTTTATGTATGAGTGTACGGATCCGTACAGTAACCTGCATGCAGCAGAGTGGCACCTGCGATCTCCCGCGTGGATACCTAGGTACCTAGGTATGCACTCATTGATTCGTACGAACCTCCCCGCAGGACAGCAGTTCAAGAGCTAATACCTGTTTTCAAGGAACCCTTTTCATGTACGTAAGCAACTTCGGATAGAGATGCAACCCTCACGTTCCTCTTCAACCCTTCAGGGATTCCAAGATGGCACGGACGCCGGCGAAATCAAGCTCGGCCAGGGCCTTGTCCTAAACTCTCTGCGTAACGGCCATTATTTCGACGTCGTCCTCCCTCGGAACCCTTCCGCTCACGCGCGGCGGGTTTACCAACTCGCCACTGACACCGTAGAGCCTTGAGCCTCCTTCGCCAGACGCTCTTGAACAATTCCGATGACGTCCGACTTTCTGATGACATGGTTATTGTGGTCCTTAGCCTGGCCGGCCAATCCTTCTGGATAGGTGACACGAGCACGGCCGTTACGCATATGTACAAGGCATCCGCCAGATTGTGAAGCTCCGAGGTGACCTTGAAATTTTCGAAGGCAACGAAAAGCTCGCTTGCCGAGACCCTGAGGTTAAAGCCCCGCGTTCAATGTGCAGTCCATGGCTGCTGTCATGTATCGACTGCTGAGCATGCATGACGAGGACTCGTCGTCGATCTTGGAGCAGACCATCCGACTTGGACTTCTCAGTTAGGCCTGCACCGTCTTTCTCCACTGGCATCTTCTAGGGACGTCCTATATGCATCTCGCCTCCGAGTTCAGGCGCGCTCTTGAGCTGTCGACCCCTCTCAAAAAAGGATGCTGTTCTCCTCTACCTTCCACTTCCCTGTGTCCTTCACAGTTTGACTGGGAAGGAGAGGCCATATAATCTAACTCCGGGGAGGACGATGGCAGAGGAGGCGTTATGAAGGGGCCACCCGGGGATCGAACCCGGGACCTCTCGCAGCGCGGATGCTTGGGTTGGGAGCCCTAAGCGAGAATCATACCACTAGACCAGCGGCCCTTGCTTTGCGTTGTGTGCGAGGGAGAAAGGCAGAGTGATGATCAAGGAGATGTCGGTGTTTTCGTGAGTCATCGGTGTCTGCGCTGTGGACCAGGTGGGGCTGAGCGGAAAGGGGTGGAGTTGGACGTGGGTGGCTTCAGGGGAATCATGAATGGAATGTTGATGCCAAGACCGGTGTCACGGTTCCCCCTTCCCTGCGTTATCTGGATTCTGGAGCCTTGGACACGGTTTGAGCAAGGCAAAGAATCGCTGCCGCTATATCTTCCCGTTCATGCAGTTGGAGGAGTACACCCTCTCATTGTCCCAGCGGCCCTCACGGTTCTAATCTCTCGGCAAACTTACGGGCTGGTTTTTGTGGAGGGTGTGACCGCCTGATGTCCCCTCAAAAGCATGCCCGTCGGGCCGAATCTGTCACCAATGAAATGTCCGCAGCGTCAGTGGTTTAGTGGTAAAATCCATCGTTGCCATCGATGGGCCCCGCGTTCGATTCGCGGCTGACGCATTTTTGCTTCTTTCGTCCTGGAGTAGGTAGCTTCGAGGTCGTGACTGTCTTTGACGAGGATGCTGGTCGTTGATGCGGTTTGACAGGCAGCGACTCTCGGTGGGGGAAGCCAATCGAACAACAACGGAGCTAGGGACGAGCCCTAACATTTAAGGTAGCCACTGTGCTGCGATGGGACACAGGGCCAATACCGGTTTCTTTATGCGACCATTGGGCAAACGAGCGTAATACGTTCTTGTATCCCTGGGTGCCGCCGGTCGTCTGTCGGTTGATGTTTGGTTAAGAAGCCTCTGCCCGGTGCCACCCATTGCCGTGGTTCTGTATCACGGGTATTCCCGTTGCTGCTTTCGGAAGAAATACCTGAACGAAACCTTTGAGCCCCATGAAATGCTATGGCACTTCCACTCCATGTCCGACGTCATGGGAGTGAGACTGCAACGCATTTGCCAGTCTCATCAGCACTGAGTAAGCGAACCCGTTGGATTCTCCAAATTCATTCCGAGCCACCCAGAAGGCCCACCGCAGGCGCTCATAAAACGATTATCAGCATCACCGATTCCGCATCATTCCTCAACCACGCAGCATCATCCGAAAAGCCGCAGCACGGTGAACGCTTCGACACCACCCAACATGGCCGATAACGAAGTCTTCCAGTACTCTATAATCTCGGCGCTCATGGATGGTGTCGCCTCGCACGGCACTCCCATCGCCCGCGTCCTCGAGCACGGCGACCACGGCCTGGGCACCTTCCGCAATATGGTGGGCGAGATGATCGTGCTGGACGGGGAAGTGTACCAGATGAAAGCCGACGGGTCGGTTGTGCACATCACGGATCCCGCGTCAACCGTCACGCCGTTCGCCACCGTGACGCGCTTCCGCCCAACGCTCCAATCCCGGGTCACGGTATCCGGCAAGGATGGGCTTGAGGAGTACTTGACGCGGGCGTTTCCCGAGGCGAGGAATCACTTTCTCGTGGTGAGGATGGACGGCTTGTTCAGCAAGGTCCATGTCCGGACCGCGGGCGGGCAGAACATCCCCCGAGAGGGAATGGTGGATGTGTGCGCCAGGCAGACGGCGCATACCTTTGAGCGGGAAAAGGGGACCATTGTCGGCTTCAGGTGTCCGGAATATGTGATGGGGATCAATGTGGCGGGGATTCATCTTCACTTCATTAGTGAGGACAGGCAACGCGGGGGGCATATCCTGGACCTTTCGACGGGTGCCGTTGCAGTGGATTTTGCCGCTGCGCAGATGTCGAGGTTCCATTTGGAACTGCCCACCGAAGACGGCGAGTTCAACCAGGCCAACCTGAAATTGCAGGCGCAGGGCATAAAGGCAGTGGAGGGTTGAAGCTCAACACGGATGTGGAGGTGTCTGCCGGTACAGATCCGTAAAAATGGGGCGGAAAAGCTTGTGCTATGGATTGCATGCTTGCAGCCCTGGGCTTGCCAATATTGAAGTCGGAGGGGAAAGTTGAAGTCGGACGTTGCACAGCGCAAAGGGGTGGGCCAACGTGACGCGTCAGCTCACTCTTCCTAGGGATGATTCAAATGAATCTAGCAGCACACCCACGCCTCAAATCACATCGACCAACGAATCCGACTTCATGATTTGAATCAAGCGTACATATTGTGACCTTGTGGCGGAGAGCGCACCGAGAACCGCACTGCTGACGTGCTGTCGTGGAACCTTGCAAGATGGCACCCGCTGCATCACTTCTTGTCGCCTGCCTAGCAGCCGCGGCCTACCTCCCTTCAGCAGCCTCCCTTCCCCCAACAGACAATGAGAGTACCAACTTCGGGCCCAGCGAAGCCGCCGCCCGCCAAAACGCCTTCTCCATCTTCAACGCCATCCACTCGGCCATGCGCCAATGGGGCTCCTCGCTCCACCACAACGGCATGTCGCTCTTCCTCGCAACCGTCCCAGCCGGCGTGGCCCTGTACCACGGCGATTCCGCACCCGACCCGCCTCCGGGACCAGAGTGGCTCGCCTTTGAAATCGAACACGCCGAGCTGTTCGCCCACCCCAGATACGAGCGACCACCACCACCACGCCACAGAACCCCTCCTCCTCCGGGGGCACGGCAACACCCCCTCAGGCTTGTACACATAGAAGAATCTCAATCCCCCGACCCCCAGCCCGGCCATGGCTACGGCTACCTGCACCTCTACCGCACCACCGCCCCGCTCCACCTCTTATACCTCGACGGCACCTCGGCCGGCAAGACCGCCACCATGGGCACGCTCGACACGCAGGACCTGCTTCTCCGGCTGAACCGGTCGGCGCCCGCGGAGGACGACGCCGGCCGCGCGCGGGCGCTGTGCGACGATGTTGTCGTGCCCTGGGGCTTGCACGGCCTGGTGCGGATGGAGGCCGGGTTTGAGATCATCAAGTGTGCGGGCTTTCTGGACGGGTTGGAGATGATCTCTGCGCAACGTCGGCCGGTGCACCGGGTGCTTGGGCAGGGGGAGGATAATAATAATAAGGGGGATCGGACGAGGGTGGAGAGGTTTGAGTTTATCAGGGCTGTGGCGCAGAGGTATCGCGGGATTGGAGCGGGCCGGGTGGTGGTTGATTGGTCAAGTATGGTGTCTGGGCTGTTTTATGAGGTGGATTTGGGGGAGGTGGATGATGATATGCCGCGGTTGGTTGGGTTGACGGATGAGGAATTGCGGGGGATTAGGGGGAGGGTGGAAGAGGTTGTCGGGGCAAGGAAGGGCCGGGAGGGGAAGGCGGTGGTTGACTGGCAGGGGGTGGTGGATTTGGTGGTCGGGCGGTATGCAGATCGGATAAGGGACATGGCGGAGGCGGTCGGCTCGCTTGAGGAGATGCAGGGCGAGGTGGATTCCCTGCTGAATACCTACATCGACTACGCGGTCGAGGACGAGGGGTATCGAGAGTCCGCTCGGCGTTGTGCGAAGCATTACACTTGGTCGGCGGTCCCGGGCACGCAGGAGGACAAGCTCATTCTTACGGCTATCGAGACGGTGATGCTGGATATCTGCTCGACGCTGTTCGAAGTGCGGCGCGTTGTGGTAGAGGATCCGGCGGAGCACAGGGATGCACTGCGTCAGGCCAGAGAGGCCGTGCAAGGCCTGATGGGCAGGCTACGGTGGACACGGTGGAAGGAGTGCGTTGGCTGTGGCCATAATGAGGTCTGTTTCGTGCCTATGTGGCCGTTTGGTGACGCGCCGTCACATGAACGGCCGAACTGCAGGAATGCAAGCACACTGGAAGACGGATGGCGGGACAACAGTTATTGGCATGCTTTCTAGGTGTGCTAGCAAGCAGAAGCAGATCAGGCTTGTGGTATGTCCTCGGAGAGGCGACAAGCAAAATTGTCAGGCTCCGGAACAAAAGTAATGGGCTTGCGTCAGCCGCGAATCGAACGCGGGGCCCATCGATGGCAACGATGGATTTTACCACTAAACCACTGACGCCAGATGTTGTGATGGTGGAGTTGATGGTGATTTCCGCGCTAGATACGGCAGGCGGTGGAGTTGAAGTCAGGTTTGAGCTCACCACATGATAGTATTAGAGATCAGCTACTGATATTTGGCAATTTGGGCTTCCAAAGAACTGTAAGGAGTTCAACCGAATGCGGCCGAAAACGGGAAAGCAAATGGACCAAGCCCTGGTGCCAGCGATGTTTGTCTGCGTTGAAACCCCTGAAAGCCCCCCTAGCGGGCAGTCACCTGCACCAGCATGTCGTTGGTCATGAAGATACCCATGGTGTTCATAATATCCCAGGGCTTGGGTGGGTTCGCAATGGCCAGGTCAAAGTGCCGGAACAGCTGTGGATTCAGTCAGCAGGCAGTCTCAAAATTCAAACGGACTGCCAGCGAGGGCGTCGGAGGGACTGTAGTCTGTCACTCACCTCGAAGAGGATCTTGTTGATTTCCATCTGTGCCACATTCTTGCCCAGGCACTCCCATCTTCCATGGCCAAAGGTCAGGTTGTTGACTCTCGTCATGTCGGCCAGCCTCTCCGGATCCGGCTCAAACCACCGTTCAGGACGGAACATATCCACGTCCTCGCCATACAGCGCCTTATCGCGATGCATGGCCAGTGCCGAGACGCCAATATCGACACCACCGGGCAGAGACACCGGCTTGCCCTTCACCATGACGGTATCCCCGCCCGGGGGCACATCCTTGGGCAGGATATTGCGCACGGGCGGCCACACCCTCAGGCCCTCCCTGATGACAGCCTGCAGGTACGGCAACTGCTTGGCCGCCGCGAACGAAATCACCCCGTCGTCCTCCCCGCTCCCATCCAACACCACCTTCCCCTCCCGGACCGCGGCATCAATCTCTTCCTGCAACCTCACATACACCCTCTTGTGCGCCATGACATACAGCAAAATCCCCCGTAGCGCGCCCGCCGTGGTATCCGAGCCCGCAATCAGCTGCAGCAGCACCTCACTGCGCAACTCATCCCCCTCCAAGCCATGGCGGATAAAGCTAGCCAGCATATCTCTTCGTTTATCCTTACCCTCCCTGGCATTCCGGACGCGGTCGTCCACATAGCGAAAACACGCGCCCTGCATGGCGCCAAAGCCGGATTTGTCCGTCGGCTTGGGGCCCAGCCACCACCGGCCCAGCACCGACGACCCCTTCACCAGCCCGCTCAGGCCGAGCGCCATCAGGGTGTTGCCCAGCCGCAGGCCCTGCTCGCTGTCGCGCGCGTAGTGGTCGATGTCGGCGTCGGCGCGGAGCATGCCGAAGGCGCGGCCGAAGGAGACGGCGCTGATCACGTCGAGCGTGAAGAAGGGGATCTTTTTGGCGATGTCGACTGGGATGATTCGGGAGGAGGAGGAAGAGGAAGGGGAAGGGGTGGAGAGGTATTTGGTGCGGAGCAGTCGGAGAAATTCGAGGACGTACGTGTCGATGGAGGATTCTAGCTCCAGGTTCTCGCGGCCGGAGTACTGTTCCGGTTTTTAAAAAGTTTGTGTGAGAAAGGGGGTTACACGATAGGGGAAAAGAAAGGGGGGAAGGGTGGCCTTACGCCTGGAGCGATCTGCTTCCGCCGCTCGTCGTGCAGCTTGGTGTTGGTCTGGGTGAAGACGTTGTCGCGATTGTGTTCCATGCGGTTGGCCTTGAAGTACCAGTCCGATCTTTTGTATCCCAACTTGGTGTTGATGTGCATCCACACGTCCGGGTCGGATGTGATGAGGGATGTTGGTCCGACCCGGGCGATGGGGCCTACAGTAGTCACGCAGTGTAAGTGGGAGGCTGGCGGGAAGGAAGGAAGGAGACATTACTCAATGACGTACCGTACTGCTCGCTAACCTCCCGATACCAGCTGTGGGATTCGCCTTTGTACGTTGCAATCCGATGGGGGATGGAGGAGAAAGCCGTTGCCCATGGACCCCGGAACTTGCGGAGTCTGTAAAGCCTCAGGAGCGTACGCGCCGAGTAAAGCACAATGGCACAGAGGAGAAGCGGCCATCTATGCTCAACCAAGGACTCGATCCCCGTTTTCACGAGCGTCATGTTGAGGGATTCCGGGGAGTGTGATGATAGTAGGGCCAGGATGCCTTATAGGAAGTGATGATGCCTCGCAATGAGCTGTGCAGTTTGGGAGGAGGTGATGGAGTCTGCTTATGGATGAACTCGGGCGTGTGAGAGCGGGCGATATATAACTTAGGTCTTTACCTAGTACCTACCTTCACTTACACCACGCCGAGCAACATACCCCATGCCTGCGGATACTACTTCATGTCGATAAGCTGTATATGCTGATGCAATAGAAACTCTGCAGTATCACTCCATGCAGTAGGTCATGCATGAATCACCGACTATCTTCCCAAAACCTGACTCGAGGCCGAAGAGGTGCCCCCCCAAGCTCCCCGATGGCAACCTGGGCGGCTATCACATACATAAACAACCCGTCCAACGTGTCTTGGGACGTCTAGTTCCGTACTTCTAACCCTCCATCGACCAATCCGGACCATGCACTTGCCGTGCCGATGCGGACGATCCCGCGTCTTGGACGCTGGACCCCGCACCGTATTGCTTATTTATTATTGCCCAGACTTCAGACGGCAAAGGCGAAGAGGCGATCTATTGCTGCGGTTTGGGCCCGGCGGCGCTACGCTGGTAATAGATGGACAGGCCTGTTCAACCGTTTTGGAACTCTATCGATACGAGTTACGCAAGGTCGCAAGGGCATGTGGGATGGACATCGGTGGTCAGGTTTTTCCACTTACGGCCGAATACTAGTGGAATCAATTCCAGTAAAGGTATCGGTGCTTTCAAACGCAAATAGCAGAGTCCGCCTGCGGTGCAATAGCCCATTGAACTCGTCTGCTCGTGCTACCTTGGACGGGAGGGTTGTTGGCCACCGCTGAGTGTGGCAACACAACGTCAACGGTCGGGCAGATGCTACTAGTAGTAATAAAGGAGACCTTGAAATTGGAAACCGAGTACCACCTTACGTCCAACCTCCAACTTAACTACCCCCACCGCACCCACCTCCACCTCCGCAACCACCACCACCACCACCACTGCCACTACCGCCGCCGCCGCTATCACCTCCCCCTCCACCGCAGGCACTTCCACCTCCTCCATCCCCGCTCGCACAACCCCCGACGCAGGCGGCAGCCGAGCCGCTACAGCTGCCACAGTTGGAGCCACAATTCACAACCGCACAGCCTCCTCCCCCGGCGTCCCCTCCTTGACCACCACCCACCAGGTCCCCGGCCGTAAAGCCACAATCGGCATTCCAGTCCAGCATCGTCATCAGCGCAACATTCCACAACTGGGCCTGGCTCTGGTTCCCGCCGGCCCCTCTCCGCCTGTCAAGAACACTGCTATCCGCGGGCCCCTCGAAGCCGGCGAACAGCATCCACGGGGAGCGACCTCCACTACTATCTCCCGCTTCCTTCTTCTTTTCACTCTTCTTCCTCTCCTTCTTTGTAGTAGTAGTACTGCCATCCCCGGTATAAAACCGCCCCTTCCCATTCCCAGACATACCCATACCCACACCCACACCCACACCCCACTTCTCATCCACATCCACATCCACCATGCGCATCCTCTCCTCCCTCAGCGCCTCATACCTCCTCACCTGCTCCTCCCTGCTGCCGCCCCACAACAGCGCCCACTCGGCAAGGAAGTAGCGCCCCCCGCGGCCGGCCTCAAAGTAGTGGCTGAACGGCTGCGCGCGGTGGATGCCGCCCGTCTTGGCGGCCCTCGCCACGGCCAGGTATGGCTGCAGCAGTAGGTGAGAGGAGGAGTTGTGCAGCCAGGCGGTGGCGGCGTGGAAGGCTGGTGTGCGGGACATGGCGGCTGCGCCGCGGGCGAGTGCGGTCGAGGCGCGGAGGAGTTGGAGGCGCGTTTCCATCATCATCGTCATCGTCCACTGTTTTTTAACAGGGTCGGAAGTGGAGGTTGAAGAGGAAGGAGGGGGAGGAGGGGGAGGATAGAGATACCTATCGCGGGTGAGGTGGTGCGAGACGAAGGAGAAAGAGTCAAAGGGGAAAGCCCAGACGTGTTTGGCCAGGTTGCATCCCCCCACTCCCCCTCCCTCTCCTTTGCTGCTGCTGCTGCTGCTGCTGCTGCTGCCGCCGCAACGGGTCGGATACCGCCCAAACGCCTCGGTGCAGTCCCAGGGGAAGAGGGTCTGGTAGCGCGGGTAGGGCGGCCCGCCGGCGAAGGCGCCCCAGTCGTGCCAGTACTCGTGGCACGTGTCGAGGATGTCGGCCGCGTCCTGGCCCACGCCGAAGTGGAAGCGCTGCACGTACTCGTCGGTGATGCCCGGGGGAACGTCGAATTTGTGGCGGACTTTGGGTTGGACGTAGCTGCTTGATCCTGGACCCCCTGCCCTGGACTGGGTAACGAAGCTGATGAGGTAGAGTGGTTCGGATGTCGGGGAAGAGTTGTTGTTGTTGTTGTTGTTGTTGTTGTTGTTGTTGTTGTTGTTGTTGTTGTTGTTGTTGTTGTTGTTGTTGTTGTTGTTGTTGTTGTTGTTGTTGTTGTTGTTGTTGTTGTTGTTGTTGTTGTTGTTGTTGTTGTTGTTGTTGTTGTTGTTGTTGTTGTTGTTGTTGTTGTTGTTGTTGGCGGAGGGGAAGGATTTGCTGACGAGCGGCTCGAAGAGGTTCAGGTCGACGAGAGAGGCACAGAATGCTTGACAGTTGTTCTTTGTTGCGCTCCAGGTGAGCGGTGTTTGGGGGTCGGCGAGGCGGGAGGCGATGCTGTCGAGGTAAACATCAAGCCGACCTTGCATCAGCTCTTTCAACTGCTGGCCGAGACCTTCGAGCACCGAGTCGAGGATAGCATCTTTCTCTTCGAAAGGCAGCTTGCTCGCTGCCAGAAGATCACGGACGATCTCAACCTCCTTTTCGTGTCGAAGGAGTCCCGTGAAGGGTGCGCCGACGACCTGCTTCATGACGGCCTTGTACCGCTTGGGCAGCGCAGCCTTCCGCTTCTGCTGCCACAACGTCCGGTCCGAGGACCCGGCTACGGCGAGGGCCCTGTCGCGGGGGCTAGACAAGGTAAATCGCTCGTGGAAGACGGGCATATCTCGGATAGTCACCAATGCGCCCGCTTTAGTGCTGATGGTCTGTCAGACCCGGCCCAACTTTTGACACCTTCGGCAGCGGAAAGCTCACTGTGCAACTCCATTCTCGATGAGCAGCGGTCCAACCCTCAGCGCCATGTGGACATCCCCGAACGGATTCTTCCTCGCAAACTTTCTGAGGAACAACGGAATGTTCGTATCAGCCTCGGCGTCCGTGGCCGAGCCGTCGAGGTTCGGGATCCACGCCTTCTTCCGCGTCGTCTCGGAGACGGAACCGTTTCGTACCGCCGGAGTCTCCTGGGAGAATATGCCCACCGCCTTGGTCTCCTTGATATCCACCGTCTGAAGCAGCCCGTTGTACTTGGCCCGCGGGACGAGCTCGGCCAATTTCAGGAGGCGACAGTTGTTGAGGTGCTTCGCCTCCGTCTCAACGCGAAATAGGCTGACGGGCTTGCCGGAGGCGTCATGATGAGGAACGGCATTGCAGCTGCACAGCTCTCTGCTCTTTTCGGCAGTGATTGACGCTTGCAAGACGCAGTGCTTGTACGTCTTGGTGTAAGAGTCGCTGCCGTAGTAGTGCTGCCAGTAGCAGTCCTCACAGACCACCCTTGGGTCTTGCGAGCCGTGGGACGTGAACATGCTTCCCGTGATCATCTTCCCGCAGTCTGGCCTTTCACAATGAAGAGGCCGCAGCTCCGGGTTCTGGAGCTTTTGAAGCTCAATAGGGGCCACTGTGTCATGTGAGATGGTTGTCTCTGACGGAGCTTCCGAACGTACGTTGAGGAATGGACGGCCGCTTGTCTGTCCCCAGTTTTTCAACCGGAGGCCGGTGTTCCATCACCTTTTCGATATCAAGAAGCCCTTTGCGGTGGGTGCATTAGCCATTGGCGGCTTAATAAAAAGTGTGAGGGACTCCACGCACCAGAAGCTTGAAGCAACGCCCACGCCCGCTGTTCCCATCCTTCGAGTTTGGGAAGCGCTGGTCTCGGTCAGCGAGCAAGTTCATCCGTCTATCACGGCCTCAGAGCTCGGTGCTTACAATCAATCCCCCCTCTCACGGAAGCCTTCAACTTGGCGCTCACATACTCGGCCCTTCGGTCCCTGACCGCTTGCTCCAAGGCTCTTTCATACGTCTCCCCTCGTTTCGGAGTTTTGGCTTTGCTCAGAGCGAAACGTGTCAGCATGTCCTGCTAATAATAATATGCTCACATTCATTGGACTGCCGAGTCCCGACAAAGAGCTCGCATCCCGGGAACCATACCGTAACGGATTGCAAAGTCGCGCGTTTTCTCGCTCACTTGGTCAATGAACGTGTCGAACCCATGAACGAGGTCGTCCTTCTCGTCGGGGCATGCAACGACGCTGAATTCGGGCTGCTGCCACGCCTTGAGTGTGCGGATGATGTTCTCGAGTTCGGCACGGACTCCTTCCCAGTAGAGCTTCTCCAACTCCGTTCGGAGCGTGTCCTTTCCGCTGCCGAGTGGCGACCAAGGCGTGTCCGGTCCGGGGGTGATGCTCGACTGGGACAATGCGCTGATCCGTAGCACGTCGGTGATGGCTCTGAGACGGGACATGGTGGATGGAGAGTGATAGTAGCTCTTGGCCCGCAAGTCTGTTCTTCAGGCATGCACCATGGATTGCAACTTGCAATTGCTGTCTTCCCCAAGAACTGCTTGAATGCAGCGTGATAGACAACGAGCCAGGTGGACTTGTAATTAAGAGCCGCTCGGCAACGATGTCTTAATGGCGAGGCATGGTCCTTCAAACAAACGGCTTGTACATACGATGGATAGGCAGTTTGGAACTTCTCAGCTGCGCCTTGCTGCCTTCGGTCGAACGATCTGTGACCGACGTTGCCTTAGTGCGAAGCACAGCCTCCCCGCAGCTCCGAAGTCCGCTCTTGGCACTCAAATATACCCAAGGTCAGTACCGACCTCTATCATGCTCCAGAAACAAGATTTATCAGCTGGTATGTTGTTGGGACAAGCCTCCAGGCCAGGAGGTTCAAGGTTTCCAATAGTGGGGACAGATATCGCGATACTCACTACGTCTACTAACACGAGGAGGTTGTAGCCTGTAGGCGCCCAGAGAGACCCAGAAGTTGAAACAATGGAACTCCGCCTGCCGAGACCCACCAAACAGCATATCTATCGGATTTCGGGATTCGGATCCATAATAAGGTAAGGTACGATTCAATGTTTCTAGGTACACCCTCTTCGTGTGCGGGTCAAGCCAGCACCACAATCCCCTCCCTCTCCGACAACGGCTTTTTGCACTACCGCCTGCAGGGAAGACACTTCGTCTTGTCCTGGGCTCCTGGCCACCTGGGCGTTCTTCGTCGTCTTTTCCAATACTCTCTGTTGTCCAACAAAGCTAATAAGCTCGGCAAGATAGGATCTTTGCATCATCGGTTGATGTAAAGCGTTCGGAGCATGCCCATTGACACTCCGCCAAGTGTTGGAAGCAATCGGAGCGAGGGACCTGGCTGGTATCTCGGGATCGCTAAGTAGTAATGTTATTCGCAAACAACCGATTCCTCATGGGGTGTTCGGTAGTGCGTATGGACCTACCTACCCAGAAATCCGGATTGATCAGATAGCAGACTGCGGGAACTGGAAGAGAAATCGTTGCACTAACCCTGAGAACAATATAAGTGGACGTAAAGGACAGGCAGAAATTCAGGGCGTAGTCAGCACCGTAGGATAGGTACCTATAATCGATATTGCGCAACTCAGCGCTTCCAAAAGAGAGCCTCGATCCAGAACCGTTGGGACTCAGCGCCTGCAACCCCAGGGACAAGACCGATCGTACGTATCGTGAATTTAATAGAAGATGTTGAAGCCAATCTGATTAGCACCGCTCCAACAACGGAAATGAGTGTTTTGGGGAACACAACTAGGAGCAGCTAATATCTTTTCAAAGTGAGTTGAATGTGATGCACGGACGTTGGCGAGAGCCGCAATGATATTGCCGTCAGAACTGACTATCCGCTTGTCATCACTCCATAGGTATGTACTCATCAAGTTGAAGCAGATACTACTGTCACGTCCGATACCGCTCAATGTTATCATTGGCCAAAGCAAAGGAATTCCCTCCGGCAGTCTCATTTTTGCAGGTAGAAACTCTATTCCACACTCTGTCAGTGTCCAGGGAAACCCGTCTTTCATGGTAACCAAGAACGGCGGCGGCGGCAAGCAACAAGCTCTGGCAATAACCCCTCCGACGAGGCAGAGTACTTGTACCTAGCAGGCTGCTACAAGGATAAGTGGAGATACAGTACAAACTGGAAGGTATTCCGAGGACCGAGGTACACTAGTGTTCGCTGGTGATGTGAACAATGCCAACAAGTCGACATGCATTTGAACCGGACTTATTAATTTGGGAAGTATCTCCAGCGCCGGAGCACATCATAGTTGTTGCTCGAAGGTTCGAGACTTCGGTAACCGGCGAGGTCATTGTTGTGACCATCAAGGTTTGACAGGCGCTTGTTGTAAGTGCGCCTTCCTTTCCTGAAAACCGCGGCCGTGGAAGCCGAACTCGGGGGTTCCGTCCAGTCCGGCTTCTTGCGATAAGTGTGCCGATCAGCGGCCAGCGAAACCTCGGTCGGTTCAACGTTAAGCTTTGCGGAGTGAAAGGCTCAAGTTTATTTCCCCCACTGACTTCCGCGCAGCGCGCAGCAGAATGTAGCCCTATCCAGCACTGCTAATAAGCCCTATATTGTATTGTAGTATACATCCGTCCCGGGTGCCCGGGCTGGATGTTGTATTGAGATCGGCGCATTGTGGATCAGATCCGCTGGGGTTCCCCAGATGAAGATTCAGATGACTCATGGTTTGCTTGATACTCTCCCAGCACGACACCGTTGACACGTGCTGGAAAATGGTAGGTCCGGGACTTGTAGAGCACGCGATCGGCATCAACAAAGCTAGGAAGTGCCAGGAACAGTCGCTCCGGCCCAGTTTCTGCATATGCAGTTCACCCGCGGGTTGGGATGAATGCGGATGACGGCTCCGGAACTCCGAGAAATCACCAAGCCTGAATCGGGAATGCTTGCGCTAGCGCCGGCACTTGGCCCCGGGGAAGGGTGAAGCCCTTGGCCCGCCGAGCCTCCGCGATTAACGGGCCCGACCGCGGCTGGCTTCCTGCTTAGGGAAAGGGGCGGATGTGGTGAAACGACTGCGTTGTCGAACATAAACAAGCGTGGAGTGCACAACCCACGACCAATGTTTCGAAGGGCCAGGACTATGTGTACTTGGTTATGTATATATAAGGTCTACATCCCAGGTTATCACTCACATTCTAAGCAGTCACCAGCGCAAGGTATCTCACTCGTTCGTAGCTCACTCGTCGCTATCTCGCTCGCTTATTATACCGTGCCAGTGAGACAGCCAACAGCTACCAGTTCACGACCATGAAGTTCCTCGCGGTCCTCGCGTCTATCGGCCTCGTCGCCGCCGCCCCTACCAGCGCCGCCGCCGACGAGGCTCAGCTCGAGGCCCGCCAGTACTACGGGGGCTTCTCCACCACGCGCAATGACCTCGTGAGCGGCAGCTCGGCCAGCTGCCCCAAGGTGATCTTCATCTTTGCCCGTGCCTCGACCGAGACCGGCAACATGGTAAGCTACCCAGACCTCCTTCATCGTATGTGCATCATACATGTCCCAGCTACTAACATAGGTTATGCAACAGGGCGCAAGCGTCGGCCCGAACGTAGCCAACGGCCTGGCGCAAAAGTACGGCACCTCGCTGTGGGTGCAGGGCGTGGGCGGGCCGTACGACGCCGGGCTCGAGGACAACGCGCTGCCGGCGGGCACGACGCAGGGGGCCATCGACGAGGCGACGCGCATGTTCACCATGGCGAACCAGAAGTGCCCGCAGGCGGCCGTCGTCGCCGGCGGCTACAGCCAGGGCACGGCCGTCATGTCCAACTCGGTCGGCAAGCTGCCGCAGGCGCTCAAGGACCAGCTCAAGGGCGTCGTGCTCTTCGGCTACACCAAGAACATGCAGAACCGCGGCCAGATCCCCAACTTCCCCACCGACAAGACCAAGATCTACTGCAACGATGGCGATCTGGTGTGCACCGGCAGCCTGGTCGTCACGGCGGCGCACTTTGGCTACGGCCCGGCCTCGTCGACCGATGCGCCGCGCTGGTTGATCCAGAAGATTGAGGGCAGCGCTTAAGTTTTGTGAGGTCCAGGGAATCAGGGGAAGTTAGGGACCACGGGCCAGGCAAGTACTGTACCATGGGGTGGTGCGATGCTGGGAACAAGGGAAGTAATTGGGGAATGTACATACACGACGCGATGTTTTTATGATTAAGGTATAAGATACGCCTCATGTTCAGCGAATATGCCTTGAATGAGCAATCAAGTAATCAAGTTCTGCAATGTCCACCTTTCACTAGCAGGGCTGACGATGAGAGTGTCGTAGTCAAGACTTGAATATAGGTACCTAGCTTTATAGAACCGAATAAAGAGGAAGCTCGGCGCAAAAGTGTGTCCTTGGTCTTGCGCTCGTTCTGTTACCCATTTGCAGGGGAACCTCAAGAGGACGTCGAAACCGAGGGCGTCCGGGTGCGTAGTTCAACGCTCTGATGGTCTCACGTCAGAGCTACGGCGAAGGCGATATTATGAAGCGGACTGATATAAATGTGAGGTAGGTAGGTTAGTTAAAAGAAGGCCAGTCACAGCTCCATGTCCCCGCTGCCACATACGTTGACATAGTAGTCGGGATATCGATCATAGCAGATGAAGCCAATGATGTAGAACCTCCTATAGGACCTCCCATAAAAGTCGACGATGAGGTGTTGTACAGTACCAGTCGAGCTCTCCCGTACCTTAAGTGGTAGGTGAGTTGCTCTCTCCGCAGTCGCTTGGGTACCATCGACGGCCGTCTCGTCAGTCTACACTCTATCCCACATTCAGAGTTCTCCGCTGCCCATGCAGTAATGGCGCTACAAGTGAGCAGTAGAGCCCTATGGCCAACCCATTAGGTTAAAAGATTATACATTTACCGAAGCCTAAAGGGAACGGTGAAGCGCTAGCTTATGCGGGGTGGATGGGTACCTAGTAACATGATGAGCTTACCGAATTGTGGTGTGGCTGTGCATCAATAAATGGGGTGACCTCCTCCTGCGCGGAGTCGGCTAGGTGAGGGCAGTGCTGCTTGGGGCTGTTGTCACGAACCATGATCTGGACCACCTATACCGGCGATCCATAGCTGCCTTGGATGATGTCTTCAGCTTAAAGGTTCAGGTATTTAGCGGCACCGGGCCGGGGTCTTTTGCCTTTTATTAGCGTCTCGAATCTCTCGATTAGGTTGGGCGCTTTCCCTTATTTCCGTCGGCCCGGGGTTGAACCGCTCAGGTTAACCTCCAAAGTTGAAAGAGACAGGTGAGACAACATTCCCATAGCCCTGTGAGCTTATCATGCTATTGGGATTGGCAAATCGCGATTTCAGGACCGCGCTTCAGAGGCAAAATTCAAAGCCACCACTAATAGCTCCTCTCAGTAGGTATCTTAATCATGGCGCTTCTCGACGCGCCGCATCTCAAGGCACTCCATGAGCACGGCAAGGGCGACGCCTGGCATATTGACTCGATTTGCCGGCGGCTCGACCTCAACGACCCCTGGAGTTTCCACGCAGGCCGCACTGTATATCGCAAAGCAGAGACTAAGGACGAAGAGCTGGTGGTCCCGGCACCGCATCTCTTCACCTCGCTGTCTTCTTCCTCGGTGAGCGGATCCCCAGACGCGGTCGTCCTGCCGTCGGTTGCCCAGTGCGCCGTACACCTGGAGCTGCTCGAGGTCTTCTTCAAGCTCCGCTCCGACATCCTCCATAGCACGGCGCTCGAGACCACGTTTGGAATCAAACAGTCTCACCGTACCGTCTATCAGCGCGTGTACGGCAAGCCCATACGACAACCAGTCAAGCTCAAGGACCCAATGTGGGACGAGAAGAGAAGGAAGAAGTGGCCTTACTTCTTGACGCTCGCAGTTGCACGGTTCGAGATTTGGGCGGAAAAAGCCGCTGCCACACTCGTTGGAGAAAAGGAAGAAGCAGTGCAGCTACCCTACCTCCCTCCTCTGGGTAAGCCCGAGTGATGCCCTTCTAGTGGCAAACTGAGGTGCTAATGGTCGAGTCAGATATCCTTATGGTGTGGCACGCCTTTTTACTCAACCCCAAAGCTTTTGAGAGTTACTGCAACGGACCCGGACGAGATCTGTCTCGCCTGCGCCAAATCCCTTTCCCTTGGAAGGAGATCGTATGTACCGTATCTTCCGCATTCCCCCTTACCCCCGTCCTAACCTGCAGTAACAATACATTAACACGGAGCCTCCGGTCCGTTAGCACGACGCAATCGACACCAGACACCTCACCTTCACGCTCCCCGCGCCCTCCGCTGCTTGGTTCAGCACGACGCTCAGCCTCTCCCCGGATCTATTCGCCTTCCTGACCTTGACCTCCACCAAACCAACCAACCACCCCATCCTAGCCGCAACCACCCGCTTCGGGACGCACGGCATCCCCTTCCGCCCGAGCAACAACAACAACAACACCGCACCACCACCACCACCACCCCCCTCGGACCCATCCAACGACGCACAAGAGTCCGCCGCCTTCCTCAGCTTGCTGCACACCTCCCGGGTGCACCACCAGCGCCAGGCCCCGCTCGCAGACAACGTCCAGCGGCAGGCCGCCTTCGTCGACAAGATGCACCGCTTCCTCTGGCTCCGCGCGCCCTCGCTGGCGGGCACGCTCCGGCGGGCCGTGGCGCGGTACGACCGCTTCCTGGCCCTGTTTGCGCTCTACCGGGGCGAGATGCTCGTGCCGACGCTGGACATCGACCTCGTCTGGCACACGCACCAGCTGAGTGCGGGGAAGTATGAGAGGGATATGCTGCGGCGGGTGGGTAGGTTCATTAACCATGACGATACCGTCGGTCAGGGCACGTTGCGAGGCGGGCGGGAGAGGACCAGGGAGGTGTGGCGCGTCCGGGTGGGCGGGGAGTACGAGGTGTGTTTGTGCTGGGATTGCGAGGCGATTGTGGATGTTTTGGAGGAGATGGAGGATGGAGATAAAGAGCAAAGGGGGGAGGGGGAGGAGGAGGAGGGGGAGTATTGGTTTGAAAAGGTTATGCAGCGGGTGCGGAATGAGGTCGAGTATTATCGGGCGGTCGAGGCGGCTAGACGGTGGAAGTGGGAGAGGTTGCCTGTCCGGGTGAAGGCTTGGGGAGAGCAGTAGGATGGGCAAGTTGCCGGTGGTAAGACGTAGCCTTTAGGGCTCGTGTATGATCAGGTAGACTAGGTGTGATGATTACTAGCTACCTCGTATGTGATATGATCATAGATGGATCTCTAATATACTGCCATGCGCCTTTGAACCTCACCTCGATTCTAAAAGTCACATGGCCCGTCCACACTCAACAATGCTAGCTCCAACCCAAGCTACCTCTTGCCGTCCTAGTCGGACCGGCACGGTTTCTTTCGATTACACGGTTGCACTCATGGACAGATATCAAGTTACTTCGCAAATGAATCGCATCCTCGAATGATTCTTTTCTCGGTCTTTGACGTCTATATTCTGATTTGCAGTGAGCCCGTGTGGCAGGCTCCCGAAATGCCTCAACTATCGCATGGCCTAAGCAATAGAAGGATCTATCTTCAATCCCATGTCACCGTCAGGGGGCGCAATTGACCACTGCGTAACACCGCCTCAAACGGTAGAAGGTTGTTCGACCTGTCTGTGGGAGCACCCGAAATTCCACCTATGAACCACACCTATCACAGTCGCGTTCGGTGACATGCCATCTGGTTTTTTGAGAGCTAGCACAAGGTGGACAGCAAAGTTAGCCCTACGCTTGCGGTGCGATGCCGGTGTTCGTAGGTGCCCAGATCGAAAATCATGGTCAACCGCGACACGGTACGTGCCTATGGTAATTCGTGGATGCCAGACTGGGAGACGTGGCGAGGGGGTTATGGTTATCGTCGAGTCGGGCATCTTTGCCGCGGCTTCTCATCCATCAGGTTACCCTGAGGCATTGAGAAACAATGGAGTCACAGCGAGTACTGTCTTGATCCGCGAAGCTTCGGCCTACCTGTCCTACGTGGCTGGGCGGGCTGGTCTCGCTGGCATATCAATGTCCCAACATCGGATTCTACCCGTACCTGGAAGTTAAGGAGAGCTCATCCGAACTCCGAAGTGCCCAAGCGGGGTACCTGTACCTGTCACATGGAGAGTGGGGCAACTGACCCCTGCAAGAACCATCGCCACTTTGCTGGTCCCTGGCGCATCTACCCTTGGCATGCGATGCAACCAACAAGGCCGCCACATCATGCGGCTGTCATAGCGAAAGGCCACGAAGTGGTCGGTAATTTGGACGCTCTTCTTCAAGCTGACTGCCACGAGTCTGGCATCTTACGCCGGTTTCTGAACCATAATATCTGATACTGCCCCATTTCTCACCAGGGCGGAGCGCCACCAAGCATAAGCCACCATCCAGCAGACCAGCACCGTCCATCTGCAGCCTTACCAGGCTGACAGGCGCTGCAGTCGGCCGCAGCCGCATTTCAGCCGCCGCCATGGCCCAATCTCCGCTATCTACACCGAAGAGGAAGCGCAGCGAGATGCTCATTGATGGGATACCTACGCTAGACACAACCACCCAGTTCACCTTTGATCTCAGTTCATCTCAGGAGGATGGTAGTGCGAGCCCTCGCACTCGGGTCGCACACCGGTTCCGTGGTCTCGCACTGGGAGGCGAAAGCGGGGCCAATGGACCCCCAGCGGCCGTGAAGACAGTGGACGACGATGTAGCAGCCGGGTCGCGGAAACGGATCAGGCTCCCAGAGGTTGAGATGCAAGATCCTGATCCACCCCCACCAACCTCGATCCCGGAATCCCAACCCTCAGATCTCCCAGTGGATCAATCCAGCCCGGGACGACGAGGGAGATCCCCCAACTCCGTCCGCATTGCCATCGACGATGCTGTAGTTGAGCAATCCGAGACGGTAGCCAACACCGGCATGGACGCTGACGCCAGACCACCACCCCAGCCCCGCTCCCAAACCCGCCCGCGCGCCTCTCGACGAGCCGGGACTCCGCCATTATCAACCACGACCAAACCCAAGTCCAAATCCAAATCAACCTCCCCCTCGCGCCCAGCAATAACCGACCCGCTCCGCGCCTCGCTGACATGGCACGACGACGAGATCACCATCTACGACCCGGACGACTCGGACGACGACGGCGCGGGCATCAACGGCATCGGGTTCAAGCCGACGCCGGCCATTGCCTACGCGCGGACGGTGCGCCGCCGGCAGCAGCTCGCCGAGTACAGGAAGCGGGAGGAACGGGAAGCCCGGGCGAAGAGGAGCCTCAATCGGCGGCGGGGGCGGGGTGAGAGTCCTGTGCCGTCGGCGCTGGCCATGGAGACGGCGGCGGGGAGGAAGGAAGGGAAGGCGGAGCGGAGGAGGGTCCGGTTCTTGGAGAGCCAGGTGGGGCGGAACTGATTGGGTTGTGAATTGCGCTCTGGGAAGGGATGGGGTGGTTACGTGGGGTGGGATATAGTGCCATGGGGAATGATTTGACGTGGCTCAATCTTTTCTGGTATTCTGGGAACTTGCTGGCCTATTCAGGGGTTTCCGCTTAAGGGGCGGCGTTTACGGCAGCGGCGTTTTGGCTGGCGACGGTTGGATAATTGACTTGGCGTGTGCTATGGGCGGTTGGCATTTCTCTGGGATGTTGGGATCCGGGGCTTGGACCACCTGGACGTGGCTTCACGGGTTATAAGTACATGGCGTCGACTTCAGAATTGAGCTTTGTGTGCCCCCATAGCGGCACTTGACCGGTGGTTTCCAATTCAGGAGATTGCATTGTACAATACAGGACGCAATAATCACCCCAAATAAGGTACACAGTCTCCGGACCCGTCTTTTTCATGCTTGCGCTCGACCCTGTATTCCTCCCGAGTTACCCAACCCCCTCCTGTCAAACAACAACCCTTCAATCAATCTATATCACCGTCACCAAAACCGCCACCACGCCCTCCTCCTCCTCCGTTCCTCCTCCTCCTCCCGCTCCCTTCGTCTCCTCCTCTCCTCCTCCTCCTGCTGCTCCGCCCGCTCCTTCCGCTCCCGCGCCTGCTGCGCAGCGTACACCTCGACCACCCGCCGCACCTTGGCCCGCTCCTGGTACCGCTGGAACTGGCAGTACTCGTACTGGCCCAGCGACGCCAGCACCCCGGCGCCCACCGCCCAGTTGGCCGCCTTGGGGATCGGCTTGCCCTGTATCCAGCGGAGCACTCCCACCGCGGCGCCCGCGCCGATGCCTGTCAGCAGGCCCGTGCGGGCGCACGGCGCTTGGTGGAAGGTCAGGAAGTCGGACGGTTTGATGGTTGCTGCGGCGTCGGCTAGGGTTGGTTTGCGGTGGGGTTGGGGTTGGGGCTGTTGTTGTTGCTGTTGTTGTGTCGGCGGTTGCGCTGTTGGGGTTGGTGGTGGTGATGGTGCGGAGATGGTGGGATGGGACTGGTCTGTTGGATGTACCCAAGAGCGGCTCGGGTCTGGGGGCGTTTGGTCCCGGGGGGTCGACTGTGGTGTTGGCATGTTTTGAGATTCTCGCAAAGGAACGGACCCGAGGAGGTATGGTAGAGATTGATGGTTTGGCAGGATCGTGGCGTCACTGTTTCAACGGCGGGGAGTTTGAGGTACTGGAGGTTTATCTGTAAGTAACCGGCCATGCTTTGGCTCTGTACTAGTCTGCACAGTGTGGAATACCTTAGGTACCTTGGAGCAGGAACAATGGCCGCAGGGAAGCTCAGATGTTCCTGATGGGTGCAAGCTCCCGTTCAATCTTCAATTCGCGGCTCGGCCCGAGCTCCGCCAAGGACTTGCCGAGAGCCGGGTTAGGGTCAGTGCATTCATAGAACCCCTGCTGTTTGTGCCCCGCCAGTCGCGTCGTGTGTGTGGCTGTCTGTCGCGCTTTAACTAACGCGTCTCCCGCGGGTCAAGTTTAATGGGTTTTGCCAGCACAGACGTGTGCAAGGGTAACAACTTACCAGTACGCAGCGATCACCTAGAATAACGTTCACAGTTACGGAAGGATCCCAGAAGCACTGCCTGATTCTCAATTCTCAATGATATTCATCCAATGACCTGTTCGCACTTTGCATCTGGGTTATCTTCTCCTTTCCTGTGTTGCTGAGACGCGATCTGCGCCGAAGGGAGTCCGGACTTCAGTCGAACACAATAAGCCGGGGGAAGCCACAAGCTCTCCGCAGCCACGATGCCGAACACCTCCCTTCGAAGACCACAAAAGGGTTACCGCCGCGGCGGGAAAGCCGCCTACCATGGCACGCGGACCCGAACATTCGCGGCCTCGTCCAGCGCCCGCGGCGAGGCGACCTCGACAGACGAGAAGTGGGAACGGACGGCGCTGGCACACCAGATCGACGAGAACATGGGCTTTGCGCGCTATGACGCTGGGCGGAAGCGCGAGGGCTGGCTCGTCAACGTGCAGCCCACTTCGATCGACGACCCCCGAGTTTCCGGAGGTGGCGGCCGCGCTGCCCTCGACTGCTACTTCATCGAGGAGGATGGCTCGACGTTCAAGGCGACGGTCGAATATGAGCCATACTTCCTCATTGCCTGTCGAAAGGGCCACGAAGGCGAGGTGGAGGAATGGTGCAAGCGGGTGCCTGGCGGCGGAGTCGTCAAGAGCATCAAGCGGATCGAGAAGGAGGATCTCAAGATGCCGAACCACCTGCTGGGCTATCGACGGCCCTTTCTCGAGCTGCGGTTTCACAACGTGCAGGACCTGATGGCGGCCAGGAGGGATATCATGCCCATTGCCGAGAAGAACAAGAAGGGGATGGATGCCATGGACACATACGCCGAGGTCGCGAAGTGAGCCCTGGTTCCGTCCGCCTCTGATGCTATGTAGCAGGGATGACTGACTGCCTGTGTAGTGCGAACGGCAACTTTGATCTCTTTGACAAAGACCCACGAACTGATGATAAACGAAATAATGCATCCTTTGCCGAGGCGAGCGATTTCATTGTTGATATCCGAGAATACGACGTCCCATACCACGTTAGAGTAATGATAGACTTGAGTATGCCCCTGAACCGCCCTGGATTGAAAACAGCGGACTGACGTGAGTTGTGACAGACATCCGCGTGGGTAATTGGTACTTTGTGGAGGCGAAGAATGGAGTCACGACGGTGATCCGCAACGAGGAGCGACTGGCACCGGCAGATCCCGTCGTCATGGCATTCGATATCGAGACTTGCAAGGCCCCCTTGAAGTTCCCCGATGCCGCTGTTGACCAAATCATGATGATGTCTTACATGATCGACGGTCAGGGGTTCCTAATCACCAACCGGGAAATCGTCTCGGAGGACATTGCCGACTTCGACTACACACCCAAACCCGAATACCCGGGGCCTTTCATGATCTTCAACGAGCCGGACGAGAAAGCCATGCTGGAGCGGTTCTTCCTTCACATCAAGGAGGCTCGTCCCACTGTCATAGCTACCTACAACGGTGACTTCTTCGACTGGCCTTTCGTCGAGGCCCGTGCTAGCGTCAACGGCATCGACATGTACCACGAGATCGGGTGGAAGAAGGACAGTGAGGACCAGTACAAGTGCAACTACAGTGTGCATATGGACTGCTTCCACTGGGTCAACCGTGACAGTTACTTGCCCCAGGGCAGCCGAGGTCTCAAGGCTGTCACGGTTGCCAAGCTAGGATACGACCCCGATGAGCTCGATCCCGAGCTTATGACACCATACGCGAGCGAGCGGCCCCAGACACTGGCTGAATACTCAGTTTCCGATGCGGTTGCAACTTACTACCTGTACATGAAATACGTCCACCCGTTCATCTTCTCCCTGTGTACCATCTTGCCGCTTGGCCCGGACGACACGTTGAGAAAGGGGACAGGAACACTTTGTGAAATGCTCTTGATGGTGCAAGCTTATCAACACGGGATTGTGTTACCAAACAAGCATATTGCGCCAAAGGAAGCTTTCTGGGAAGGGCATCTTCTGGACTCGGAAACATACGTCGGTGGACACGTCGAGAGTATTGAAGCCGGCGTCTTCCGATCCGATATTCCTGCCAACTTCGCCGTCGACCCAGGGGCAGTCGACGAGCTCCTGCGCGACTTGGATGCCGCCTTGACCTTCAGTATCACGGTGGAAGAGAAGAAGTCCATGGACGACGTGGTCAACTATGATGAGGTGAAGCAGCAGATCGCCGCCAAACTGCTGGATCTCAAAGAGACGCCCAACCGCAGCGAGCGGCCCCTGATTTACCATCTCGACGTCGCGTCCATGTATCCCAACATCATGACGACAAACCGGTTACAGCCGGACTCCATGATCTCGGAATCGGACTGCGCCGCTTGCGACTTCAACCGGCCGGGGAAGACGTGCGACAGGAGACTCCCCTGGGCCTGGAGAGGCGAGTACCTGCCGGCGAAGCGGGACGAGTACAACATGATCAGGCATGCGCTAGAGAACGAGAAGTTTCCAGGCAAGGGGGTGAACAGTCCGATGCGCTCTTGGCAAGACCTAAGCCCCGAGGAGCAGGCTACCCTGACCAAGAAGAGACTCCAGCTTTACTCTCAGAAGGTCTACCACAAGATCCATGAGTCCACCACCATCATCAGGGAAGCCATCATCTGCCAGCGGGAAAACCCCTTCTACATCAACACCGTGCGAGACTTTCGAGACCGTCGATACGACTACAAAGGCAAGGCCAAGGTTTGGAAAGGCAAGACTGAAGCATTGAAAAGCTCCGGCGCCGCAGCCTCGGAAGTGGAAAACGCCAAGAAGATGATCGTGCTCTTCGACTCGCTACAACTCGCACACAAGGTCATCTTGAACTCCTTCTATGGTTACGTCATGCGGAAGGGCTCGCGGTGGTACTCCATGGAGATGGCGGGCGTGACCTGCCTGACAGGAGCAACCATCATCCAACTGGCCAGGTCGCTGGTGGAGCGGCTGGGCCGGCCGCTTGAGCTCGACACGGACGGTATCTGGTGCATGCTACCGGCCACATTCCCGGAAAACTTCGCCTTCAAACTCAAGAACGGCAAGAAACTAGCCATCTCGTACCCCTGCGTCATGCTGAACCACTTGGTCCATGCCAAGTTCACGAACCACCAGTATCAGACTCTGGTTGATCCCAAGACCTTCAAGTACGAAACGCACAGCGACAACTCCATCTTTTTCGAAGTCGACGGCCCGTACAAGGCCATGATCCTGCCTACGTCCAAGGAGGAGGACAAGAACCTGAAGAAGAGATACGCCGTGTTCAACGACGACGGCAGTTTAGCAGAGCTGAAGGGTTTCGAAGTCAAACGGAGAGGTGAACTCAAACTGATCAAAATCTTCCAGCAGCAGATCTTCAAGTTCTTCTTGGAGGGCACCACCCTGGCAGAATGCTACGCTGCCGTGGCCAAGGTGGCAAACAGATGGCTGGACGTGCTTCACAGCAAGGGCGCAACCCTCGCCGACGAGGAGCTGATGGAGCTCATTTCGGAGAACCGTAGCATGACCAAGACCCTGGAGGAGTACGCCGGGCAGAAGTCGACATCCATCACGACGGCCAAGCGTCTGGCCGACTTCCTGGGCGAAGGGATGGTCAAAGACAAGGGCCTGAACTGCAAGTTCATCATCTGCGCCAAGCCGAGGAATGCCCCGGTCACGGAGCGCGCCGTCCCCGTCGCCATCTTCTCGGCGGAAGAAGAGACCAAGCGCATGTACCTGAAAAGGTGGCTGAAAGAAGAGCCTGCCGACACGGATCCGCGAGCGCTGCTGGACTGGGACTACTACTTGGAGCGTCTGGGATCCGTCATCCAGAAGCTCATCACCATTCCGGCTGCCCTGCAGAAGGTGCGCAACCCGGTCCCGCGTGTGCCGCATCCGGACTGGCTGCAGCGGCGCATCAACATCAAGGACGACAAGATGAAGCAGAAGAAGCTCACCGATCTGTTCGGGCCGACAACCAAGGGAGGACCCCTGGGCGAGATTCCTCTTCCCAACACCAACAGTAGCCTTGGTGATGTAGAGGACATTGGCGCTCTTCTCAAGCCAAAGACGGTGATGTCTGCCGTCTCCGCCTCCCAGAAGGCACCAGCGGCGAATAAGCGGAAGTCTCCTGAACCGGCCGAGAACCAAGATCCCTTTGCCGCCCTCCCGAAGAAGATGCCTAACCCGAGCGAGGATTACCCAGCCTTCTTGGAGTATCAGAAGCTAAAGTGGAAGCTCCAGAAGCAGGCGCGAGCACGACGACGGCACCTGTTCGGCAACAGGCGTGGAAATGCCCAGAGCAACCTTCAACACGCGTTCCGGAACCAGGCCGAGATGACTTTCAAGGGCACTTGGCAGGTACTGCAGCTCAAACCTACCGACAGCCCTGGCATCGTCCTCGCCTACGTGCTCATTGACGCAAGGATCCACGCCGTCAAGATCAATGTCCTTCGCCAGGTCTACCTCAACCTCAAGAGCAAAGAACTGCCCGACATCGAGGTGGAGGGATGCCATGTGGAGCAGGTCAACCACACACTTCCGAATGGCCACCCGTCCGTGCATCTGTTCAAGCTTACCGTGCCTGAGGAGATCTATTTCGCCGAGGCGGAGAAGTTTTCCCTGCTCTTCAACCATCCCAGCGTGGAGGGCGTGTACGAAAAGCAGCTTCCGCTCAATCTCCGCGCCGTCCTCCAGCTTGGCAACCGCTGCACCATCGACCAGAGCCAGGCGGGCGTGCTCGGGAAGGGCTTGGACCAGGGGTTTGACCTGGCCAGTCTGACGAAGCCGGCGAAGGCCAAGCCCTACCTGGAAGCGGCTCAGATGTCGTACATCTACCTCTCCCACATCAGTGCAGGCGAGCGTCAAATCTACGGCCTGTTCTCCACGGCCGGTGATCAAGCGCACATCATCATCCAGCAAAAGAGCAGGGACGGCGGCCAAGACCTGCCTAATATCTCCAAGTTGTACGCGGACTTCCTCGCCCGTAGGAACCGGGAGGAGCCGGCGGACTCGAATTGGCAAGAGTGCTTTCCGTATCAGGAGAAGTTGGCCTTCAAGGTCACCCAGGTCACTACGCGCCGGAAGGCGTTCCTCGAGGTCGGCGACGTCGTCAAGAAGATGAAGAAGGAGGAATCGGGGCCTACCATACTGGTCATCCAGTCGTCCCAGCGGAACCTGCTCGTGCACGATATCCCGATCCTGGGCGAGTTCCCGGTCCTACCGCTGCGATACGACCAGGCCGACAGCGCATTGCCGCCTCTGGGATGGCAGACCGTGGTCGCCCGTCGGCTGGTGAACCACTACCTTAGCCTCGGGTCATGGATCAACCATCTGACCGCTCTGGCCAAGTATGGGGACGTTCCGGTCTGCAACCTGGAGCGAGATGATCCTCGGTTCCTCATCGATGTGGCGTACGCGCGCCGCTTGCAGGCCAACAATGTCGTGCTCTGGTGGTCGTCTAGTCCGCGACCGGACCATGCAGGATACGAAAAGGATGATGTCGCCGGGCCCCTCGATCAGGTCCAGATGCCATCTGTCAACAACCCGGGGACCTTCGCCTCCGTCTGCATCGATATCGAGGTCCGCAATCTCGCCATCAATACCATTCTCACATCGTCCCTCATCAACGAGCTGGAGGGTGCCGACAGCATCTCGTTCAATCCGGCAGCTGACGGGACCTCGGATGGAAATGAGGTCTTGTACGCCGAGAACGCCTTCGCGAATGCCGGGGTACAAGTCCTCCGGGAGATGGTCAAGTCATGGTGGGCCGAAGCCTGCAAGGGATCGACCATGGCCGATGTCATGGTCCAGCACCTGGTCCGCTGGGTCGAGTCCCCCGCCTCGTGTCTGTACGACCGGGCGTTGCACTATTACGTGCAGATGATGAGCCGAAAGGCGCTTCTGCAGCTTATGGCAGATTTCCGCCGCGTCGGATCACAGGTCATCTATGCCAGCCCCAACCGGCTCCTCCTGCAGACGACCAAGTCCGAGGTTGGCAACGCCTACGCCTACGCTCAGTACATCCTCAAAAGCATCAAGTCGAAGCCGCTCTTCCACTTCATCGACCTAGACATCAAGGAGTACTGGGACTACCTCGTGTGGTACGACGAGTTCAACTACGGCGGAAAAGCGTGCCAGCAGGTGGTGGAGAAGGACGAGCAAGATCTCCAGATGATCATGCACTGGCAGCTGGCGACCTTCCTCCCCGTCCGGCTCCAGCCCATCTTCCGCGACTGGGTCGTCGAGTTCATCGAGCTGATGCACAGCATCAAGCGGCCAGCGACGGGAAGCGATCCCACCGCCACCCCGCGCCTGACGCAACTCCCTATCCGCAACGGCAACGCCGGACTGGCCGAAGACGCGCCGGGGCAAATCATCCTGGGCAGGGCCTTCGAGAAGCCGCTCAAGAAGGAGATCACGAACCTCATCGCCACGCAGAAGCGCGAGCTCCTCCACCCGGAGCTCGCACCAGACTACACCTTCCCGGCGCTACCGGGCTCCCACCTCGCCGCGCTGACCCCCAAACAATCCAGCCTCCTCACCACGTCAACAGCAACAACAACAAAAGCCCCCTCGGCCAACCCGGTCCTGGAGCTGGTCAAATCCCTCATGCAGGTCTTGTCGCTAGACAAGAACATCACCCTAGAAGCCCGCCTGCTGCGCAAGGAACTGTTGGCCTTGTTCGACGTGCGCGAGTTCTCCCGCGAGGGCACCTTCCAGAACCCGTCCGAGTCGCTGCGCCTGCCGCAGCTGAGCTGCGATCACTGCACCATGGCAAGGGATCTGGATCTCTGTCGTGACGAGGACCTTCTTCCCCCTCCTCCTCCTCCCACTTCTTCTGGGGAAGCGGCGGGGGGGTGGAGCTGGCGCTGTCTGTACTGTGAGCAGGAGTATGACCGGAACGAGGTTGAGGAGAGGCTGCTGGCGGATGTGGAAGGCTTGGTGGTGCAGTGGACGACGCAGGATCTCAAGTGTGTGAGGTGTGGTGCGTTGAGGGTGAATGAGTTCATGGAGCACTGCACTTGTAGTGGCGAGTGGAAGGAGAGTGTTGATAAGGGCCTGGTGGTGAGGAGGTTGGCGGTGTATAGGAATGTGGCGAGGTTTTATGGGCTGCGGATGTTGGGGGATGTGGTGGATGGTGTTTTGGCGGGGTTGTGATGGACTAGAACGGAGGGGGAGGTCGGCTTCGAGGTTGTACATACTGTGTGTGCCATTCGGGTGGATGTTGTTGACGGTAACTTCCGACTTAGGAGCAAATGGAATTCCTTGTTTGCTTTTCACAGTTGTAAAACTTCAGCTTCACTCCGGTTGCCCTAATATGCAGCGAAGCGCCGTGCTGTTCCTGGATCAATTCAAGATTTGAACTATCAATCGTTAACAAGATACGTACCTAGGTAGTAAGGAACTCTGTCGTATCATCTCCTTAACTGCATGTAGAAGTTACCACCCCACCCCTGGTCGTCTACCCCACACCGTTTTCTATTTCGTCTTTGAGCTTCAATGCAAACCGTATGGCTGTGGGCGTCCTCCTTTCAATTTCCTGCGTACCTGAGTTGCTTGTAATGTACCGAGCGAGCATCCAATCATTCTATTCTCCTCAATTTGAGGTTTTGTCATCTGCCGGAACTTATGAGGTGTGGCATGGGCAGCAGTGACTGCGACCCAATGCACAGTGCACACAATTACCAGATAACTAACTCGTACCGGACTTATTCGCGGATCGGTAGGTGCCTCCATTCTACGGAACTCTGTATTAACGTAGCTGACACACCAGGTACACGCAAGTAGCTTCTTCGGTGCGGCGATGCTTAGCGATCAAGAGGTCGAACGGGCCGCGGCCCAGCTCGCCGAATACAGGCAGAGCAACGCATTGTCCAAGCTCCTCGAACAGTATGCGGTCTTGATCGAGGATTACAAGCGTCTCAAGAGCGATTACGAGGAGGAGCGCGAGACGAGGGAAAAGTACAAGCAGATGGTCAGGGACCAAGAGCGCAACCCGTTTGTGCTCGTCTTGGTGGATGGCGACGGCTATGTCTTCAACGAGACGTTGCTTGCGAAACGTGCTGAGGGCGGAAGCGCTGCGGCCCAAATGCTCAACGACGAAATCAAGGCCAGTCTGCGACGGAAAGGTCTGGAACACTGCCAGGTCATGGTGCGGATATACGCCAATGTCTTTGGTCTGTCAAAGGTCCTTTCCAAAGCCGGTCTCGTCGGCGCCGAGAGCCGGTCGCTTGGCCCGTTCATCGCCAACTTCAATCGCGCCTACGGTCTGACAGAATTGGTCGACGCCGGGGAGCTGAAGGAGAACGCAGACTCTAAGCTGCGCGCGCTCCTGCACCTCTATGCGGACAATACCCAGTGCAAGCACATCTACTTTGCGGCTTGCCACGATGTCGGCTACATCTCGGAGCTTACACCCTTTGTGGGCAACAGCTCCAAGTTCACACTCGTTAATACTCCCGGTATCCGGTTTCACGACGAATTCAGGAAGCTCGGCATGGCCATTGAAGACTTCCGTGGTGGTGTCTTTCGGCATAGCCCTTTAGACGGAACCACTTCATATCGTCCTTCCAGCAACGGTGTCCATGCGAAAACTGTCCCTGGACCGCCGCAACCTGGTTCGCCGATGAAGCGGACATTGGCACCAAACTCAGCGGTCTCCAGTGCGACGAAGAAGCCTATTTGCCCATTCGACTCCCTAGGGAAGTGCCGATATGGCAAATCCTGCAAACTCCTCCATGTTACTCCGCTTAACGAGACAAGCAGCACTGCGCCGCAAGCTGCGGGGCTGCGGTCCATGGTTATGTCGTCGGCCACAGTCGATGTCTTGATCGAGTTAGTCAAGCTCCCGAAGAAGCACCAAATCCCCGAGGGTTATGTACCGGTCAACAAGAGCAACTACCGCCTCGATCCGTACCTAGAACTCGTCGAAGATGATGCTATGAGACGGCTAAAGGCCCGCATCGAGAAACATCGGTTGTGCAACAATTTCCATCTACAAGGGTCCTGCGACGCCGGTGATCGATGTGAGTACGACCATCAGCCTCTCGAGCCTGAGCTGCTGCAGGCATTGGAGTCGCTGGCCCGCAACCAACCGTACGTACATCTCAGGCTCCTTATCCCCTCCCAGCAAAACAGATCATAGGACTAACACTACTTAGATGCACGCGGCGAGGTAGCTGCAGACTTCAAGGCTGCAATCATGGACACATTTGCCAGACTCCCGAATGCAGACATCGCGGCGGTAAGGCTTATTGCAAGATTCCACACGCTGCCCATCTGGAAGACTTAGAATGCGCTCGCTATGTACCCGGTGTCACTAAGCAGGACGGAAAGACGGCCAACAGCGGCAGTGGAAGCAGCACTACCAGCGGGTAGACCGGACGGCGGGCCTATCTACGTCGGTCATGGGCGACAACTAGCTCAGAATCGTCGTCTTATTCCTTGGATATGCGACGCGGCTCCCTGAGAGATAAGGGTGCCGGTGCATACAATATGGGATAAGACTGACATTAGCGCATGCCCGCCCAGCACATGCCCGGCCCAGGAAGCATGTCTCATCATGGCCACCCGCTTACGAAGCCGCCCCTACCTAACACTTTTGCAGCAAGAACAGAGCTGTGCTGAAACAAACCGTACTCACTCGCGCTGAGGTTCTTGCTTCAGGGATCAAGCTTCCAGGCTCACCCATCACTGCCCGTCACGGAGGGGCACAGGAAGGGGATGACTCTGGTGATGTATCAAACATCCGACAGCGTCAGAAGAATCATTGAGGAATGATTATCTGCATCATACCATCATGTCGTTAGCTTGTAACATAGGAAAAGCGTGCGAGCAAGATGCCATAGACATTATATGCCGCATAGAGGAGCTTCTAGAGAGAAATACAGTACCCTTGCACAAGAGCTATACACACGACTGATGGGACGGCAGAGACAGGCATATGATCTGACTGAAGCTTTCGACTTGCTGGCTTTGTGGAATGCGTCTGACCCGAGGGTGACCCTACCAATTTTCTATACCAGCGTTACTGAAGAGTCGCGGCTTCGCGGTCAAAACACCCAACCCATCCATCGCGGGTAATGTCGCAACAGCCATGCCTCCATCGATGGCCAGGGAAGATCTTTGCCAAGCTGAGCTGCTAAGAAAGCACCTAATTCCCAACGGCTATAGTTAGGTATTTGTGGTCAACGATAATAGCTTCCGTCTCGGTCCCTACATATAACCCGCCCCGCCCGTGAGATGGGTCATGGGATATGCTTCGAGTTCCATCCAAATGGGCCCTGCAACGCCGGCGCCTAAAGTAAACAAGATCATGACCCTGTCTCAACGAGAGCGTATGTACAATACAATCCAGCAGGTTCTTCATCCCGAACCCGATGTTGTTTACCTACTCGCCCGGCCCTTCTCAGCCCAACGCTTATACTACTAAGTTTCGTGTAAGGCCTTCGAGTTCGGGCACACCCAGTCGCGCGACTTCCAGGTCCTAACCCTTGGCTTGCAATCCTTGCAGACCACTTGCCCTTTCGGGTTCCTTTACCCAGCTGAAGCGACAGGTGCCCACAGCCGTCAGCCGGCTGACCTTGCCCAAAAATAGCTGCCCGAAACCCCGGCCAACACGGCCCGAGATTGGCCCCTGTAAGGTCGGGGTCGGCCTCCGTCGAAACAGCTTCGACAACTGGATGGAGTTTTCAGCGTCGTTCGGTTATGCGAAGCGAGGGATCGGCCAAGTGAACCGTTAAGCTAAGAGGAGGAGGTATCAGTTCGATTCTGGATCCTCGCCGGCGCCGATGACCTGTTCCTCAGGCCCTTCCAGCCGGAGGCGTCCCGACTCCTGAGCTTGGCTGGGCTTAAGGAGCGGGCTGCAATGTTTGAACATCATGCCGGGGACCTGGACGTCAATGATGGATCTCGATTTGAAGTGTACTATGTACTATACTTATAAGAGAAATAGCCTCAATCATCAGTCGAACTCTTATTTCTATTGAACACTAACAGTACCACCACATCAGGCTTCCCGACATCTTCAACACTTCGTTGCTGCTCACATTACTATTCTCAGACCTACCTTCCATTTCTATCTCTCAGACCACCAGACCGCTCAGCCACCCCATCTATTGGTCACATCCTTCCCACATTTCCCTCACCGTCAGTCAACATGCTTCTCGTCCTCACACAACCCCACCTCCTCCTCCTCCTTGCCCTCACAGCAGGGTCCAACCTAGCAGCGGCCGCCCAAGCCGACGATCCCGTCGCCATGATCAAGGGCATGTCGCAGTGCCAGGCCCTCTGCGCGGTGATGGCCAGCCAGCCCAAGACCGGCTGCGGCGTCCGCTTCGACTGCCTGTGCGACGGCGACGGCGGCAAGGCCTGGCAGGGCAACGTGAGCGACTGCTTCAACGCCAACAACTTCAATTTCAAGGACGCCAACGCCCAGCAGCTCAGCAAGCGCCGCTGCAGGGACAAGCCCGACGCCAAGGACGTCAAGCTCACCGACCTGTGCAAGGCGTACTCGCCGGATAAGGCGAGCGACATGGTGGAGGCGTTCAAGGAGAAATACCCCGAGGTGCAGGATGTCTCGCTCCGGATCGCCTTTGGTCTGAAGGGTCCCGAGGCGGAATTGTCGAGCGACGGTGCTGCTGCTGCTGGTGGAGGTGGTGCTCGATTTGGCATGGTTGCTGCTGGGATGCTGGCGGCTGTTGCTGGGTATGCCGTGGCGATGATTTAGCTCGGGGGCATTGAGGCGGTAATGGGATGGTGACAATGGGTTTGTTGCGGGTTGTCCTGAGGTTGGGCTTGTGGCATGGGATGAGGAGCTGGACCGCTATGGAGCGCCGGGCGCTGGGGCAAGTATCTATCGGTGTCTTATGTTATCATGGGTTCCTATTTCTGCTTCCGCCTTGTTTAGAATGGGTTGCTTGTAGTGGGCGAGGTCTGCGCGGCTGCGCGGTGTTCTACTCTAAGCATTGAGTCATATACATCTTGTCGGTCTGGATCATTCAGTAATGCTATGCCGGCAGTGGTGAGGTGAGTCAGTGTGCTACACCATCCAGCCTGAATAAGCTCGTGGGTATCAGTTACCAATGATTATCGATGGAGTCGGGCCCTTTCGGCAGGAACATCGCTCAGTTTCCATCTATACCGTCTATCTTAGCATTAAATACTACTCGCTACCTTTGTTGAATACAACTCTAACCGCTTTCAGAGACGGAGCCCTGCCATCACGGCCTCCTGCATTTCGTGCTGGACTGGGCTGAGCTGGACCTGGCCTGTTTTTGGATCTATTTGTATCCGATCCAGCGTGCCCGCTCTCTGGAGTATTTCGCGACAACGATGGTCTGTAGCGTATGTTCCCTGAGAGAGCATTGGCATCCGCAACTCAGATAACGGACATTCCACTTTCCCGCCTGGGATTATGTCCACCGGGATAAGTCGGCCACCAGGCTCCGCGTAGTAGGCCACCATCACGACTCCGGCGTTCGCGTCATTGTTGCTGCCGAGCTCATTCAGGGTGTCGTTTGGGGTCCCTACCAAGTCCTCCGAATGCTCCTTACACGTACTCTCTGTGTCAGACATCGATGGGGATGAGCCATCGCCCGGTAGGCCGACAAGTGGGCTGGGTGCCTGGTCGGGTGTCTGGTTTCGTGTCTGTGCACCCTCCAGTACGAATTTGGACTCGAGCAACTTGTCGATGCTGTGCCGTTTGATGACCAGGCTGATTACGAATGCAGCAATGGCCACGCCCGTGATCGCCCAGAAAACTCCGTGGAATCCGGAAAGATCTATTTGCTGGTCAGTAACAGTCTCCCGTCACCAGCAGGAACGAACCTACAAGCTTGTCCGGCGGCGATTCGGGTGGGATCCGTTGGGTCCATCAAAGACAATGTCTTCACATAGGCCTCGGATTCGTGTGCGATGCTCTCGGGGAGCCCCAACTCATCGAGCTTGTCGATCATGATGTTCTGAAAAACGGTTCCTCCGATGGCGACACCAATGGACATGCCGAGCGTGCGCATGAAGGCGTACATGGCAGCTGCACGGCCCGCGTCTTCAACGGAGCTCACAGCCTGAATGCCGACATTGACACCGGTGAGTAGCATGCCATGACCGATGCCGAAGATAGCAAGAATAACAGCCCACACCGGTGTCTCCGTGTCGTTCTCCAACAGTACCAGCAACCCACATCCAATTGCTGTGACGACCCATCCGCTCCAGATTGCCCAGCGGTAACGGCCGGTTCGCGTTGTAATCAAGGAGGTGATGATACTGCCAGGGAGAAGCAAACAGGTGACCGGAAGTATATCCAGGCCCGCTTGCGTCGGCTTTTCCAATTTGCTGGCGCTGAAATAGAAAGGGACATAGTAGAGCGCACAGAAGAGCTGCGGGTCACATCGGTTAGCTCTAGACTGTCACTCCGACAGAACGAGAAAGGTCCTACAATAAAACCTTGAAACAGAGCACAGGCGTAAGTTGCAAGGGCCGATGTTGAGCGGAACAGTGAGGGGCGAAGAAAGGGCTCTCGGGCACCATAGATCTCCCAAAATATGGCGATAATGATGGCCAGGACGCCGACGATCATAGGCGCAATTGCCTGCACGCTTTTCCATTCGAACTGGATGCCTGCCCACGATATGCCGATGAGAAAACTGGTCAAGCCGCCGATGAAGAAGAAGCCACCAACCCAGTCGACGCGGCGGAGTTTGGAGGCAAGGGACGTCTTGGTGGTGGTAAGCTTGACATAAAGGGGCACAAGGACAATTCCCATGGCGCAGAATGGAAACTAGTTCTTTGTCAGCCGAGATGCTCCAAGATCGAAGCCACTGACTCCCCCGATCACTCACGTTGATGTAGAAACACCATGCCCAAATAACGTGTTCCACAAACAGCCCCCCGATCAACGGCCCAAGCACACTGCCCAGTGCCCAGGCAGCCAACACCAGCGAGAAATACTTGGGTCGCTGTCGCAGCGGGACAATATCAGCAAAGATAACCTGCCCCATCGTAATGATCCCACCGCCGCCGATTCCTTGGACCGACCGTCCGACGAAGAAGACGGTGAAGTCCTTCGCAACCGGCGCGCAGAGGACTGTCCCGAGCGAGAACAGAATCACCGACGCAAAAAGCATCTCCTTGCGCCCGAAGATATCCGACAGCGCGGCGATGAACGGCTGGCACACAGCGCACGATAGCAGGTATGACGTTCCAGCCCAGAAGGCATCCGTTGCGCTGCCCTCCAGGTCGATCGCTAATGTCTAAGGTAGGCAAAACCAAGAGTCAACTGAGAGTCATTTGACTGACGAGACTTCCAGCACTCACCGGCAAGACCGAGACGAGGATTGTTGCGTCCAGCGCAACCATCAGCGAGATGACGGCGAGAGTCAGCATCACTGCATACTCTTTCTTTCCCGGCTTCCACTCGACCTGCGGTATCTGGCCTTGTTCAAGCATATTTTCGTCCCGACCCGTCGACTCCGTATCGGACTGCGTGACGGGGTGCTGTCCATGCTGTGGCTCTTTCTCCGACCCATGGTTTCGATCCGAATCTTCATGCTCGGAGACCGGAGCAGTGATAAGAGCTGAGGAATTATGTTCCATTTTCGTGACCAGACCTCGACCACGAGGTCGTCTGGATAAAATATTGGGCGTTCTTCGTCCCTTCAGCAAGAAAAGAGCACCGATAAACAAAAGGATCAAGTTAGATATTCGGTCTGGTGGGGTCAAACTGTTTTACTCTCGTGGAAGGCACGATGGTCGGTCAAAATCGATACTGCCACAGATATTCAACGTCGGGATGGTCTATGTTTATACTACCTAACTACACCTAGGGTATATCACCACCACAGTATGACGCCGAGTCTGAATCCGCTTGCTATTTGCGGCAACGTCTGACTAAACACACGCTCCCTTAGGCTACCCGGAGTTGAAAGATCAAAGCTGCAAGATCTGAGCCACATCCTGGTCGGATGCTACTCAGATCCTCAGACCTCTGCAGTTGGTTCATGCAGTCGTAAAATGTCTGCATTTAATAAGACCCGCTTCCCTCAGCCCCCAACAGCCTCGATCTCACCTCACTCAACCGCCCTATCAACACCGTGACAGCCAAGCGCGCTTCGGTACAGGTACTAAGCAGTGACTCGGACTTTCGCCCCCACACCCCCAACACCCGTTTGACTGCACACTGACGAGCACCCCAATGCTCACGATTGGCGTGTTATACGTTGCACGACATGTTGCAAAAGGAGATCTTGCTCTACATAGCAGCATCTCCGCGTCTCCTTGCAGTCAGAGGCGGCTAAGTAACCGCGGCCCGCTCTCTGCGGCTCAGACCAGCAGCCAGTTTCTCTGCCCAGCTGACTTCCAGTTCCAACATCCACATTCGATTGTGAGGTTGAACCAACAGCACTACGATAAGCGCTGGGTGGCAGCATACTCGTCGCGACAACTGGCTCAGATGTAACCGAAATGGGCCATGGACGGATGAGTTGGTGTGTTCACTAATAACACGTGCAAGTCAGATGCGGCGGTCTTCGTTTTGACCCCCCACCCGCGGTCCGCACTCCGAAAATGAGTTGTCCCCCATCCCGGAGCAGATCGTTCATCCGATCGCTTTGAAGTTATCCATCGACCGACGACCTGGGCCCACGTGCAGGAACTACGGGGAGTGCGGCTCAGCGGCTGAGTTCGCGTCTTGGAAATGCCGTCGATGTCCGTGTTTCACAAGTCCAATCAACCATGCACTGCCCATTGCTACTGCATTTGCAGGTGACGCTTTCAGCAGCGGAACGTGATGTAGGGCAGAGGTAGCATCTCGATTGCCGGCTGTCGGGCAACGGAGTAGCAGCGGCAGCAACCGAAACGGCGTTGGCCTGATCTGGCTGGCCCCCACGGTCCACCCGATTCCCAACTGCATAAGGCACCTTGTGGTTTGACAGATGTGGCCAGGTAATATTGGACATTGCCGCGACGGGACATATCGTTGCTCTCAGGTCTCATCTTACACCGCCACAGGACCCGCGCCCCATTCACCCAAAACGGCAGCTGACGTTCAGAAAGCTGAGCTCACTCACCTTGATGGAGAGCTCTTCCAAGCTTACATATCAAACATCAACTTAGCTGCCCGACCGGTGTGGTGAACAATAATAGCCATGGGTTCCATTCAGCGCCTGCGGTGACCTGTCCAACGACCACGTTGGCGATCCAGGCTCTTAAAGGTGTGGTGGTGTTGCGCTGTACAAAAATATCATTCCTAGGTGAAGCCAGACCCAAGAATGCTGCCCAATGATTGCCAGCAGGGAGTTCCGCGCTGTGATAGAGTATAACGACTGTTCTCCCGGACAGGAAAGAGTCCAAGCCAGTGCCATATCATGTCTCAATCCTATGCACACCATGGGTAGGAGAACCGCAGCCTTCGCACTTCGAGGCTTTGCGCCCCTTGCACCATCAATTTACGTACAAGACTCCCAAGTGGGCGTAAGGAACAACGACCTCAATCCAGAATCATCTCCCTCCTTCTCACAGTCATCATTCTACCTCCCACCCGGCCCGGCAGCAGAAAGCAGTCGCCGGAGCCGGGATACCCCACCACCAGACCTGATCGTCCTCACGTCCTGGACCGGCGCGGCATCCAAGCATGTCGCCAAGTACACGGCGTCCTACAATGCTCTTTATCCCGGTGTCCCCATTTTGGTAATCACCACAGTGGTCTCTGATTTGGTGATCCACTCAACCAGGCACAAGCTCAAAGCCCTTGCCCCAGCAATCGACTACCTTCTCTCTCAAAAACTGTTCTGTGCCCCTCAGGGATCCGCAGCAGCGTGGACGCCATCTCCCATCCCGTTCCAAGACCCGTCCTCTCTCTATTCCACCCCCGCTAGCGATACCAACAACAGCCCCTACACATCATCACCAAACCCCTGTTGCCATAACAGCCATACACCACCATCAACATCCTCCTCCACCACTCTCCGTCACAAAGTCCAACAACGATTCACCTCCATCCTACTCCACGCCTTCTCCGAAGGCGGCGCGCACAAAGCCGTGCTCCTCGCGCAGGCCTACCTCGCCGCGACGGGACACGCCGCCCGCCTGCCGCTGCGCGCACTGATCCTGGACAGCGCGCCCGGCCGGGCCAACGACTACAGGCGGGCGACGAGGGCGATCAGTCGTGCGCTGCCGGCGAGTCCGCTGGGTCGTCCGCTCATCATTGCGGCTGGAGTGGTTGGGTTGGTCTGGGCTTCGCGGTCACTTGGGTTGGGAGGTGCAGGTGGAGGTGGAGGAGGGGAGGAGGGGAGTGCTAAAAGGGGAGTAACCTTTGTTGAAGAGACGCGCAGGGCGCTGAATGATGAGCGGTTGTGGGATGTCAAGCGGATTGTGAGGACGTATCTCTTTAGCGAAGGGGATGAGGTGGTGTGGTGGCGGGATGTGCATGATCATGGGATCGAGAGCGCTATGGCTGGTGGTAGTGGTACGGGTATGGGGGGTGAGAAGCAAGGCGGAGGAAGGGGGTTGGGCAGCTTGATGGTCAGGTTCAAGAGGACTGAGCATTGCGCGCATGCGAAGGGGGAGGTGAATGGAGCGCTGTATTGGACTGCTGTCAGGGCTACGTGGGAAGCGACTATGGACGGGGGGATGGGGCTGCGCTTGGGATTGGGGAGGCGGTTGAGTTTGGATTCGCTTTATTGTGCTGATGATGACTAGTGTAGCTGGCCTGGGAAGCCCTCGACTTACGCGACTGAGAGTAATAGCCTCCGCTATCGGTCTTAAGTTTACCTATCTTGGCTACCTATAGTAGTAGGTAGTTGCAAGGAGTGTTAACATGTGCAGGCTTTCCCAGGCAATCGTTTGGTAGTGATTCTCATCTCGAACTTCGTTTGAATTGAGATGAACTAGTCATAAGAGTCGATGACCGTCCTTGTTCACAAACGCGAGGCCCTTGGCCTTTTCCACGCAGTCGAGGAGTTCATGCTGTTTCACCTCTTCCCGGCCGACCCACAGTCCGAGTTCCCAGGCGCCCTCCTTTAGGAGGAAACTGGAGGATGATGTTGGGTTCAATAGGCCGTCGTCAAGCGAAGAGCTCGAGCGGCGGCCAGCTCAAGCTTCCCGACCTGTAGATTCGATTCAGCCATGCTCGGAGGCAAACACAAGAACAACAGGCAAGGCAGATGTGCTTCCAGTCGGACGATGACAGAAGATGAGGGAGAAGAGACGTCAAGGCTCAAACTGGAAGGCCGGGGTTTAGATAACCCGCCGAAAGCAACCCCGAGCCGTGTTGGGCATGCGATCTTAGTATCATCACGGTGGTTGGTTGATTTCGCATCCCTACGATATGTCAACCACTGCAGCACAGGTTACACCGAGTTGGCTGCTTGGCCAGGGACTCACGCCGCTGTTTCCCACCATTGCATTCTCAGATTGGATAGGATACCTTCGGCCACTCACACTTGGATTGGCTTTAAACATCATACGCAGGCTCACAGAGCAGCAGGCATAGCTTGTTCCGAGGTCTCATCGTCAAATGTACGCTCGCAGCCAAACTCCGACATGAAGAACAGTTCCGCCGTGCAGTGCCAGTATGGTACACGAAGTCATTCGTAATTCATCTCCAAACCGTCGTTACTCGTCCCTGCCAGGCCCCGTTCCTAACTCTGGACGCATCATCACCTACTCGGTACGGGCAGATTCGGCTGGCTACTGCTGTCCCTCTTCGGCCACTGACCGGATCCGGCCGATGTTGCATCGTCGAATGGGTTCAAGTGACCGTTTGATTGTCCGGCTTGATACTTCGGCTCGGTTCCGACTTGCAGTGGATCGCGCGACCGTCTGCCATAGCCGCTGGGTGAACCGTCGTTCGACTTTATCTCGTCGTCTGGCCGTGGCCTCCTCCCAGCCGGCAGCTCGTCCAACCCGTAGTCTGAGCTCTGGAATCTATCTTCCAATTCCTCTTTCTTGTCTTGTTTCTTTCGCCTGGCATGCAGGAAGAGGAGAAGCGCAGCGGTACCGACCACCAATAAGCCACTGTGCGGAGGTCAACACTCCGATGCAACGACAAAGAGGATTCAAGCCGCGGCACTTACAGGGCGACGCCCACAATGATCCAGGTAACCTTTGTGGTCGAGATCCCGGGCTTTTCGCACAGGTCGACCCCGGGTTGCGGGTGACAGTTATCCTCGCGACTAACGAGCATGCCCAACACTGTGCGTCTAATGCTCGCCGTAGAATGGTGTGCCGTTGCCGCGACCATAGTACCGTGGGAGCCCTCCATCCTTGCCGTCGCTATCGATCGGCAACTTGTCGTTGTTGTCGGTGTGCTGTCCTCAAGCAAAGCAAGTCACCGTCGCCCTTCTCCCTCTCTTTTTGGCTACTGTTTGATGTTCGCAACGGGAATGGTGGACGTAGGGATTGTTCAACACCTTTCAGTCGGTTGAGTGTTGGCCAGCGTCTTGCCTCAAAATTGGTTTTCGTGGCCGCGACCGAACAGGCCGACAGTGGAAGTGGAGTAGTTTTGAGGCTGTGATCGCGCAACTGGCGCACGCATTCCAGGAACAGGAACTTGTAGATCGGCGCGTGAATTGCGGAATTGTGATCTTGCCTCGCACGCTGTGCACAGGCAAAGAAGTTTTGGTGGTTTGTGTAAGGCTTGGAATATTTCGCGCAAAACTCGGTGTCAGACAACATGGGCAGTGCCATTAAATTCAATCTCGCGCCTCGAAATTCAGGAAGGTGACGTAGGGAAGCGGCCCACCGACGGACAAGGGCTTCCAACGTTCGATCGTGTCAAGGGGCATTGGCAGGGGCTAGACGCCTTCTGATTGGTGCACCAACAGACCATCTGAGAACCAAGCAATTCTGCGCCTGCCGGCTTCCCGTTGGATTGGGCCAAGACCTCCAGAACTTCCTGTTTCGCGTTTGTTGCAGGAACTTGGAAGCACAGACCTCTGCCAAGGAAGCAGCCTTTGCTGTGACCGTAAACCTGATCGTTGCATGTGCTCAAATAATAACTGCGGTGCTATAAACAGTTCAGTGGTAGGCTGTATGTACTACGTCAATGATATGCGAAAGCTTTCAGTTTCGGTTGGTATGCATGTGTGTTATGATGTATGTATAGTACCTAAGCGTATCTTGGGTAATAAGGCAAAGATTGTAATCCTACCAGTAGTCTCATACTAGTATATACTAATATCAGAGGCAGGCGGGGAACGTTGAGTCGACACTGACTCGGGTATTGAGGGTCTTGATGCCGTCTTAGCTGAACTCGTGCCTCAATAAGATGACCTACAATTCACACCTGCAGCTACCCGGTAAGTGACGCCGGGCAGTTGTCATGAAGGATAATCCCGTAGGCTTCTGCATCAAGGTATCGGATCGGCTCTTGGTCAAAAGTTCACGGCCCTGATGGTGCTTTTCGGGTAGGGTAGCCGGGTTGTGCATTCGGACAGCTGCGTCAGATATGGAGAATCGAGATGGCAATGGGTCTTGCGGCAAGTTGATAAGGAGACCCTGGAGCTTCTTCGGATGTAGTGCAACTATGACAACTGGCTACACGAGACGTCGTTGAGTACATTCGAAACTCCACGAGTTTCCTACCTTCTTCTGCATGTCTGCTAAGCGGGACCAAGAGGGCATTGCCGTGATACCCAGGCTTGCAAAGAAACAACCCAGTCTCCCGGTCTTCATGTGCGGGGGAAGGCGGTGAGGTCGCAATACAGAGCTGTGAGGTCAATTTACGCCACCCACTGTCCACGGCTGGTTCCGAACGATAGGTGGCCTGTGCGCCTCCAGCAAACCGGGGCCGGGCTCCAACCCGTGTTTTTCCTTAGCCTGCAGCAGTCATCTGATCGCCTTATTGGTCGTTGCCCGCAGCTTTGGGATCAACAGCTTCGTTCAAAAATTCAGTGCGACATATATTTGCAAAAGAGCTGTCCAGAAAGTAACCGCAGCATTCGCAGCATTCGCAGCTATCGATCAACAACACCATTATGTCGGCCAATCCGGGGACCCTCCGAGGAACTCCGAATCGGGGGCAGGGACGCGGCGCGGTGCCCTTCACGAAAGATAGCCCAGCAGGACCCTCCGGCATTCCTAGGCCGGTGCTTGAGAGCGCGCCGACGGGAGGGAGCGACGTCGGCGCCTCTTCAGTCAGTGCCAGCCGACAGAAGCAGTCCAAGAGAGATGAGGTGCGTTACTTCTCAGGGATGCTGAGGGTCTCCGGTCCACTTTCCCCGTGTCAGATCCGCCTCCCTAGCCCGTGCCGGATGCTTACACACGAACCATTCAGGCCATCCGCCGCAAGATGGAGAGCGACCTCTCCAAGAAGAAGCACCTGACGAGTCGGGCACGCCAATCCCGCAAGGCGCCTCCGGGAACGGTTCTGGCCTTGAAGCCGAGTCAGGCGTTGCAGATCAAGCCCGCGACGACCGTTGCTGAGGCCGCACAGCTCATGGCCGCCAAGCGGGAAGACTGCGTGCTAGTCACCGACGATGACGACCGAATTGCCGGAATCTTCACTGCCAAGGACCTCGCCTTCCGTGTCGTTGGCGCCGGACTGAAGGCCAACAACGTCACCATTGCCGAGATCATGACCAAGAACCCGCTGTGTGCAAGGACGGACACAAGCGCTACTGATGCGCTTGACTTGATGGTGCGCAAAGGCTTCCGCCATCTGCCTGTCATGGACGAGAATCAGGATATATCCGGTGTCCTCGATATCACCAAGTGTTTCTACGACGCCATGGAGAAGCTGGAACGCGCCTATGCGTCGTCCCGCCGGCTTTATGACGCACTCGAAGGCGTGCAGTCAGAACTCGGTACCAGCCAACCGCAGCAGATCATCCAGTATGTGGAGGCTCTGCGGTCGAAGATGTCGGGCCCGACCCTGGAGTCCGTGCTGAACGGCCTGCCCCCGACAACGGTGAGCGTCCGGACTTCGGTCAAGGAGGCCGCGCAGTTGATGAAGGAGAACCACACCACAGCGGTCTTGGTTCAGGACCAAGGAGCTATTACGGGCATTTTCACAAGCAAGGATGTTGTCCTGCGTGTGATCGCACCGGGCCTCGATCCCGCCACCTGCAGCGTTGTCCGCGTTATGACTCCTCACCCGGACTTTGCGCCTATGGACATGAGCATCCAGGCGGCCCTACGCAAGATGCATGGTTCGTGCCGACTCGCTAAGACACATGTTGAAGACCTTGGTAGCTAACATCCGCAGATGGTCACTACCTGAACCTTCCGGTCATGAACGACAGCGGCGAGATTGTCGGTATGGTCGACGTTCTCAAGCTCACATATGCCACGCTCGAGCAAATCAACGGCATGGGAAATACCGACAGCGAGGGTCCCGCGTGGAACAAGTTCTGGCTGTCCCTTGACCATGAGACCGAGTCCATGGTTTCTGGAGATGGTTCGTTCCACCATACAAACCCGGGGCCAAGGTCCCTGATCTCTCCGGATATGACGCGTAGCGAGCGGGTGTTCCCCGATAGTGTCGCGCCTGGAGATTCTGCGAGTCATGCTGGCGTCGAATCGCCGCACCACAGCGCCGTGGGTGCTTCGCCGGAGCTGCCGCCGAGCGAGGTCCCGTTCCCCTTCAAGTTCAAGGCACCGAGCGGCCGTGTCCACCGCCTGCAGGTGATTGCTGCGCATGGCATGTCCGAGTTCGTCGCCAATGTCACTGGCAAGCTTGGCTCGGAGGTCGACGCTATCGGCGGTGCTCCTGTTGTCGAGGAAGGCAAACTGTCCGGCGGCTATGCGCTGAGCTACCTGGACGATGAGGGCGACTTTGTCTCAATCTCGACAGACCACGACCTGTTAGAAGCCATTGTCATGGCTCGCCACACCCACCGCGAAAAGGTCGATCTGTATGTGCACGATCCCAGCCAGCCGCCTGTGGCCCCGGCTTCCGCTCCCGCCCCAGAAGCGGTGGTAATACCTCCCACCCCGCCCCAGTCGTCTGTCGTCCGGGAACGCAGAAGGCATACCGGCGGCAACGAGACGGAGGATGATGGCGATATCTCTGAGGATGACGAAACGCCCATTCGCCGCGGCAGGCATCAGCGCACTCGGACCATGGAGCAGTCGGAGCAGCTCATTGCCGGCGTGCCTAACGATCTTCTTCTCCCGGGCGCCATCGCTATGCTCGCGGTGGTAATCGTTGGCGTATTTACGATCTCGAGGTTATCAAGCAGGTAAACAAACTTCAGTCTCTTGGTTGGGAATAGAGAATAGGAGTGAACTTCGTTGCCTGGGCTCTGGGAATCAAGTCTAAGGTACCTTACCTACCCCGCAAGGCAGAGCCCAGGCTGTAGGTCGTTATATGAAACCTTCATGCGCTAGCTCTTGATTCCATAGATCTTATACCATTCATCACTCTTTTGTCGTCGTACCTTCGTTCATCCCTTAACTGGAACTTTTTGTGGCGTCTTTGGACAACTCTCGACAAGGTATCTATCTCAATTGTCCCCGGGTTATCGAGTACTAGCTAAGGTACCCACGGGTAGCTCAAGGCATACACTCTTGAATTAGTACCTCGGGCGAAACATGGCACTTCCCTGTCACGCAGCAGCAGCTGCTCGCAATGCTTCCTGCCATACTTGTACATACGCAGACGCTTTGAATTATCGCATTCAGTTTCCACCTCACCAGTTAACCAAGAGTGGGCCCTTGACCAGGGTTCGCCGGGTAAGCCAGGGTGATGCGCACGGACCAACTCAATTGACAATTCGACAAAAGTTGTTCTGCCTATCGCGGGACGTTTGCGCGCAAGCAATGGTTTCGACGGCGACATTTCCAAGATGATCTTAAGGAACTTCGGCATGCGGCATGGTAATGGACCTTGATAACTCCTGGTAATATAACATCCGCTAATTGAGCATTATGGCAGGCCGCCGGGCCCTGGCAGCACCCCTCACACGATCATGCCTCCGGGCGTTCTCAAGTTCCGCGGCACGACCAGCCCAGGCGCCGACAACGTTCGCGGAACCCACAGACACAACCATAACGCAGGCCACCACCACCCATGCTTATCTCGCCACCCAAGCCGCCGCCCGGCAGGCCGAGCTCGCCCGCATCCCTGACAACTTCACCGAGTTCATGCACCAGCGCGAGGTCACGCGCAGCATCGGCTCGCGGGTCGAGTCGCGCTATCACCCAGATCAGTTCCTTGACAACCCGCCACACGACGCTACCCTCGAGATGCTCATGGCCGCGCAGTGCCACATGGGCCACCACACCTCGCAGTGGAACCCCGCCAACCAGCGATACATCTACGGCCAGCGCGCTGGCATCCACATCATCAGCCTCGAGACAACGGCGAGTCACCTGCGCCGCGCGGCGAGAGTCGTCGAGCAGGTCGCACTCTATGGCGGGCTGATCCTGTTTGTCGGGACGAGGAAGGGGCAGATGCCGGTTGTGGTCAAGGCCGCGGAGCTGGCGAAGGGGTATCATCTCTTCCAGAAGTGGACGCCGGGCGCGATCACGAATCGAGATGTCATTTTGGCTAGTGCTGAGCTGAAGGTGGTGGGCCCGCAAGACGAGCCGCTGGAGGGTTTCGACAAGCACCTGCGGGATCGCAGGCCGGTGACCCCCGACCTAGTGGTGTGTCTAAACCCGCTGGAGAATTACCCGCTGCTGCATGAGTGCGGGCTGGCGAATATCCCGACGATCGGCATCATTGACACGGACGCCGACCCAACTTGGGTCACATATCAGATCCCGGCTAACGATGATAGGTGAGTCTCCCGTTCAGTGCTGGCACGGTTTGCGTTTGGATCGCTAATAGAGAGGGGTGACAGTTTACGATCCGTCACGCTCATTGCAGGTGTCCTTGGCAGGGCGGGCGAGCGGGGCCAGCAGCAGAGGCTGGCTCTCGCCCGTGATGGCGTTGTGACCTGGCGGAGCCCGCGTGAGATTGAGGCGTTTTTGGAGAACGATGCTAAATCCAAGGCAGAGGAGGCGGCGGCGGCTGTTGCGAAGGCCAAAGAGGAAGGAGTCCTAGATGACAAGCCGGCGTTACAGCGGGAGGACTTCTTGACGGACGAGGAAATCTTGAGGGAAATGTTTGATCCGCCTGTTCCCCCAAGCTAACGAGGGATTGGAATGCGGTTCTAGTACTGTAACATATTGCTACAGACCTTACTGCTGTAAAATACCACATTCATCCTGTTCACAGAGGCTCCCCTCCCGCTGTGCTCTGGAGAGCCGACACCGTACCGTGCGTGTGATAGTGAATTGCTACTGTATGGAATTTTGAATGCCAGGCGTTCCCTGCTGACTAAGGAACTCATGCGCTCTTTCCGGCAACCGGACTGAGAACTTCCCCTCAGCACAAATCATCACCAACAAGATCTCAAGATGCCCGCCATCCTGGACGATCCTGCGGCCCCGACAATCTACCGTGTCTCGGGTGATCCGCCGTACCCGGACCCGGCCAACCCGGCCGTGCCCCCGGGCATCGCCCCGCGCCATGTGACGCTGCGGGATCGTCAAACCGTGGCTACGGTCGTCCCATTTGCATCCCGCCATGAAGTACCCGAGTCGCTTCTGCGCTATCTCAATGACCAATTCAACAAGGAGATTGAGGGCGGGGATACGTACCCGATGCTAGAGCAAATGCCCTTCGACAAGTTCGCATCCTATTGGTTCCAGAACTTTGCCGGCATCATGCTCCTCGGCCACATTGAGAGCGCCGCCGAGGTTGTCGAAGGCAAAGACTGGTCCAAGGACTGCCTAGGCACCTTCTACATCAAGCCCAACTACCCCGGGCGCAGCAGCCATGTCTGCAACGCTGGTTTCATCGTCACCGACGCCGCCCGTAACCGAGGTGTGGGCCGACTTATGGGTGAGGCATACCTGGACTGGGCGCCCAAGCTGGGATACAAGTACTCCGTGTTCAATCTTGTCTACGAAACGAATGTCGCTTCGTGCAAAATCTGGGACGCGCTGGGCTTCAAGCGCATCGGACGTGTCAAGGGCGCCGGCAACCTCAAGAGCTACCCAGACCGGCTGGTGGACGCCATCATCTACGGGCGAGACCTGGGCGACGCGGCAGGCGGCGCGGGCAACGAGGAACTTGTGAGTGAAGAACGTTTCGACAAGATCAAGTTCTACCTCAAACACGGCCGCTATCCCAACGGCGCTGACCGAGCCGAGAAAAGCAGGCTGCGTAGTGCTGCTACCCACTACAAGCTACTGGACGGCGACATTCTGATGCTCAAGGACAAGGAAGTCATCTCGGACCCGCAGCGGCAGTACGAGATCGCCAGGGTAGTGCACAACCAGGCCCACGGGGGATCAACAAGACCACGTCCACCATCGCGGAGCGGTACCACTGGAGTCGCATCAAGGAGACGGTCTCGGATGTAATTAAGAACTGTGCTGAATGCAAAGACACAAGCAAGGCATCCTCGCCCCATGTTCAGCAGGTCCCCGTCAGCAGTTTGAAGCGTCCCAACCCCAGTTCTGCATCTGCCTCTGCTTCCAAGCGTGCGTCGCCGAGCCCTTCGGTCCCGACGGCGCCTGTGGCGAAGTTGCCTACTGGAGCGCAGCGGTCACCTGTGTCACCTCTCACGGATGCATCTCACTTGTCTCCATTCACTGTGCCCTCCCACCACCAGTTCGCTGATCCCAGCAACATCTCTATCCTCACACCGCCGACCCATCACGCTCTCCCGTCACCGACCGACACCACAATGACGGGGCACGACACTCTAGTTCAAGGTACCCACAGCCCAATGCTACAGGGCGCATCACACGGCCCAGTTCACTCACACCATCACCACATGTCATCGACCGATGCGGTATCACTTCCATCCCTCGCCTCGGATCCGCACTCCGTTCCCGTCCCGGTATACGGGCCCATCGACCCGCAAATCATAAATCAGCCATCCACCAGCGCTGACCTCCACCACCACCACCACCACCACCACTATTCTTTCTCTCACCCGTCCCCAACACCCCACCATCATCACGCACACGTTCCCGCACACCATGACCCAGACGCCGACGCGGCAGAAGCCGAGACTTTCCAAGCCCTCATCAACGCCGCCGCCACGGATGACGATGATGATAATGACCATCCCCACAATCTCAGGGTGACAACAACAACAACAACAACAACCAACCACTCGTCATCTACCGCAGCTCACTCACTGCACCACAACCCTAACGAGAATGAGAACAGCGATAACCGGCAACCGCAGAGGGAGGGGGGAAGCCACCGACACGCACAGGCAGACGCAGACAGGGCTAGGATATCAGGACCACAACAAGACGAAGAAGCACGTCATCAACAGGAGGCGGAGGATGACGACGACGAGAGGGTGGCACACACAGCCGTGGTAGATCGGGATCTGGACCTGGAGATACTCATTGAGTCGTCACAATCGCAGGAGGGTGATCGCCACGAGACCGATCCCGGTGTACCAATAGAAGGGGCCGCAGGCTCAACCGGGTTGCAATCGGTGCGGGAGTCCATGGATGTGGATATGGGTGCTGCCGATGATAGTGGCAGCGACCTGAAGTTACGCGGTGGAAAGATGGATGTGGCTCGCCTGGTTGGACTATGGAGTTGAGGGTGAGTTGAGGGATGCGGGTGGGACGAGGATATTGTATCATTACGGGGATGCATCTCGAGGGATGGAGAGCAGGGAAAAGCGGGCGAGGGGAGAGGTTGCGTTGAGGATATACCTAAGTGTCGTTCCAAGTAAAGCGTCCGCTAATACAGCGCCCGATTGACGGAGCCTAATACGTTCTCGAATCAAATTGCTCCGGCATAAGACGGACCACCTGTTACACGGTCTTGGACGTGATTAGCTACCCATGGATCGGTCGGCAAGCATTTTCATTATGCTATTATTAACGAGCTACGACGCTCACCGCCTGGGCATGCCCCGACCGCGCCCACGAAGCGCCCGCTGGGCCGTTCCAGGGGGCAAGGGCTTCCCCGGCGCTTGTGGCGTCTGGCTCTCCTCATTGCGGATCGTCTCATCGACTCCTAGAATAAGGCAAGCGGCCTCAGTCGCCGCCTGAATGGCGTTGACCTTCACCAAGGCCGGCTCCCACACGAAGCGCTCCATCATGTCGGCGACCCCCTCGTTCAGGAAGTCTACACCCGCCCAAGTGTTACCCCGCCGGTGCTCGACGCGCAGCCTGTTGAGGATGTCGGTCGCGTCGAAGCCCGCGTTGTCACAAAGCTGTCGCGGAATAATCTCCAGAGCCTTTGCAAAGCTCTTGATGATGGCCTGCTGCTTGTTGCGGACGTCCTGATCGGCGAACCGGTGTAGGTACGCCGACACCTCCATCTCGGTGGCGCCACCGCCGCCAACGATGGTCTTGTTGCGGATGGCGCGCTTAACGATCATGATGGCGTCGTGCAGCGACCGCTCGACCTCGGCAATGAACTGCTCGGCACCACCGCGCAGCACCAAGGTGCATGTCTTGGCCTCCGGACAGTCCTCGAAGAAGTTGAAGCGCTCGCCGCCAATTTGACGCTCCTCGAAGCTGCCGCACGTGCCCAGGTGGTCCGGGTGGATGTCGGAGCAGGTGCTCTGAATGGTGGCGCCTGTGGCCTGGACAACGCGCTCCATGTCGTCGGCGGAGACGCGGCCGGCGCAGAAGATGTCGCGGTCGGCAAAGTACTGCGTCGCCAGGTCACCAATGGGCAGCTTGGACAGGACCACCTTGGCGCCTGTCTTGTAAATAGCCTCTAGCTTCTTGTAGATGATTTGCCACTCGGCATCGACAATCGCCTGGTACTCAGACACCTGCTCGACGCGGACCTCGGCGTTGTCCTTCTCGGCCTTCAGTTCGAGCTCGACGTTGAGGCACACAATCTTTGGCTTCTTGAACGATTTGGGTTGCTGCTCGAAGCCGGCGTATGAAAAGGTCTTCTTGAAAGCCACGCCGTTGACAAAGAGTGACTCTGTCAGCGAGCCACCGGGGATCTTCTTAATGCCTATTAACTTCTCGTTGAGATCTTCTTGGTCAAGGGAAAGGACGGCGTCGACGACCACTAAGAGCAGTTAGTTTGGCATGCCGTTCTGTCAGATTGGAGAACGCTCACTTTTTGTGAAGAAGTCGGTGTTGCGCTTGATGAGCTTGCTCGTCATGGCGGTCGCAGCCAACTTCCCCAGCGTATCCCTCTTGTTAGCCTCGTCTGTGCTGATTTGGATCTCCTTGATCTTGTTAACCGCCATAGCTGAAGCTCTCCTCAGCCCCTTGATGATGATCTGTGAGCTGACACCGGCCTCCACATGCTCCTTGATCTCCTTCAAGATCTCGCCAGCCAAGACGACCACCGAGGTTGTTCCGTCGCCCACTTCCGCATCTTGCGACCGGGCAATGTCGACGAGAATTCGGGCAGCCGGGTGGACAATGTCCAAGAGCTTCCTAGAGTCAGGACCTGTCTCGACATCTCAGGGCGGACAGATTTCTATGCATACCTTCATGACGGTGGCCCCATCGTTAGTAATGGTTTGCTTGCCATTCGCATCCACCATTAATAAGTCGCCGCCATAGGGACCGAGTGTCGACTTGATCGTGGCCTGAACCGCTAAGCAGGCGTTGATGTTAGAGATAATCTGCCCTTTGCCCTGCGAGGTGTCGGTGCCTATGGATGTCAAGTCAGTGCGAGCCAGCGTGGTGTGTCAGCAAGGAGGGATCCCTAACCCTCTTTCAGGACGATAATCGTCGGTGTCTGCCCCCCGAACGACATTATGGAGCTTGAAAACGGTTCTTGCAAGTTGTGTACAAGCTCAAGGCGCAGTTATGGCAAGAGGAAGAGGGTATGTGGTGGTGGAGCGGTCGTCTCGGTATCGGGCGTCGCCTTGTGTCCTGCGGCCTGCCCCGCCCAAAAATTATTGAAGCCTGGTCGATGCTTGAGGTGGGTTGCACGGAGCAGCTTCACAAGCACGGACCCACTCAGCTTAGACTCACGTGACTAAGCACGCGCCCAGTCCCCTTTTGTCGGGGAACCCCAGCTTAAGAAATTAGAAAAGCACGTCCTTCGCATCTACACAAGTACAAAGGACGGTTTCCAGAGATAAAGTCCTAGCCACTTGCCCCAACCTGTCCGCACTGGTCGCCGTCCAATATTTGACACTGCTAAATCAGGTATCATGACGCGGACAATTGCGCTACCGGCTATGATCCAATCTAATCAGACCGCTGACAACCCTTCTGAAGCTGCTGGTGCTCATGAGTTGAAACACGAGGCTGTTGTACGCGATGCCTAGGGCTCCGTTCGTCAGACATTCCACCTAGTTGCTGTATAATCGATATTTTACTGTATAGGTCCTGTACCATGGAGATGTTTCGTTGAGCACGCGCTCTCGGAGTTCTCCCGACAAGTGGGCAACATGACGCCGTCCAAAGCTGGACGATTCGCACCTTTCCCTCGAGCTCTCATGGATACAGAAAACTCTATGAGAAACCGTGCCGTATAATATGATCATGAATTTAGTCAACAACCAATACTCGATTGATTTACTCCATCTCCCTCGAGATGACTAAGATAGTTGTGAGAAAGTACTAGTAGATAGAATGGAAAGGTCTGGTGCCGCTAGCTACCTACCTCCTTCCAAATTCATTGCCGGTCTCTCCGCTTTCTGTATGAACAGATAACGATGTACCTGAGCCATGGAGTTTTTGCAAAACCGGCAAGACCTTCTATTCTTGGACCACCTCACCCACGGGATCTTCAACGGCCATCCTTGAAGCTCGTCAACGGCGCTTCAAGTCCCCAGTCGCCTTTGATGATACAATACCTCCTCCGTGGGCCACGCCTGATAACCTGGTATCTGCTATGACATCGTTCCTTCCCCAACTTTGCTACGTAGGTCAGAACGCTCAGGCAACCAAGCTTCTCGGCGGGGATCATGACCATAGGTTGTTATCATGTGCGTCACATCCAAATTCTTTTTCCGGTCCTACAGTGGCGATTTCTCGACTCTTCTCACCAACTCGACTTCCGTGATCACCTATCATTGTTCTATTGCACATCATGACCGCCTGATCCAACTTTTTGCACGGCTTTGATTGTTTGACAAACGCTCTTAACACAATCAACACGAATGTTAATCGATGGTCCATCCTTTCAGAGCGATCCAAGTGTCGTCCCATCACTTGGTCTGGTTAGGTATCTTATCTACAGGATCGTTCGACGCGCCAACATCTCGTCCAGTCGGTTCATGCCGCGGTGCTGGGAACTTCGCAACAAAGTCGGTAAGTGGCCGCCTCAATGGAGGTAGGTTTCCTCTTTGATGAGTACTGCAGCTGATATAGTGGAGGGTTTTGCAGTTGCAAGTCGATCTAAGCCCACATAAATATTCTTGTAGCTCGACTATACCATACGATAACCGCCAACCGACCGAGTTCCCATAACCGACCTGTCCGGGCTCAAAGATGCCAGAAGGTAATCACATCATTAAATTTTTTTCTTCGCTTCGATCCAAACATGTAGCTTTCGGTTGGAATTCTCTTAAGCCACACTAATCTCAGCATTTCTACAGCATCACTTCATGCCAACAAACGCCGCTTCATTCTCTCTTCTCGGAGGATGTCCCGGTCCAAGCGACAGAACACCGCATGTGAGGAAATGGCAGACTCCCCTATTACTCGACCGTTTTTGATGAAGCTCCCTACCGAAACTCTGTGTCACATCGCAGGGTACCTGGATGAGTGCGACTTGTCCGCCCTCTGCCGAACAAACCGCCGCCTGGCAGTTGTCGCCACACCAGTTCTGTGGAGGACGCTCTTCAAAAATGCGTTGAGGTGCAAAGAGGTCCTTCTGTGGGCTGTGGAAGTCGGTCACCATCGGATTCTACAGTCCCTATTGGAGCGAGGTGTTAACCCCAATTTCCTTTATCTGTCTTCCCTTCTCAGAAGCAGGTTGATGGATCTCCTTTCCGCCCAGGGTCGACGGGGCATGCTGAGACCCCGTGATGACCGTACGCTGGCCGCCGAAATATTCAGAGATGAGTACTGCCGGAGTGCACGAACGCGGGCGCGTATCCATCTCGAGCGCGAACAGGTGAAAGAGGACTGGGATATCCGATTTCCGTTGGAACAAATCTGGGAAATTTTGCCCCCTCACCTCTATCATCAGGCGTTCTCTGCTCAGACATTCAAGATTGCGGGGAATTATGAAGACCTACGCCCGTTCTGGACATGGACACCCCTCCACGTCGCTGTGCAGCACGGGGACGAAGTAGCAGTTCACATGCTTCTGCAGCACGGCGCAGATGTCAACGCCCAGTGTTCGGGCTTGTGCGACTGTCTTTATCCAGATATCGGCCAAGAGGACGACCCCAACCTGTCCGTCAACCCGACACAACTCCGGCCATTCTGGACGCCGCTGCACGTGGCTATCTGCTCTGGTCACGAGCAGATCGCGGAAGTGCTCATGTCGAACGGCGCAACGGAACGCGTCGGCACCCTTGTTCGCCAACCATCCCCTCTGCAACGGAATGGGCGTCTTGACATGACGGCCATTCAGAGCGCAGCTTGGCTTGGTTCTGTCAAGATGTGCAAGCTTTTTCTTGCCAAGCCGGCCACGCCCAGAAGCCAATTCTGCAATCATTATCTAACCGACCGCCATGACCGAACTGCCTTACTGTATGCCGCAGCATCCGGCCATATTCAAACGATCGGGAAGCTCCTGTTGAAGAAGGGTGGCGCGAGGTTGTTGTCTCAGGGCCAAACCAGCTACTTTCAAGGCTTGACTCCGGATCATGAGGATCAGCCCCCGAGAGTGCTCATTTCCGACCCTTTACGACTCCTGTGCATGCAGTACAGGTATGATGATGCTCGCTGGCTACTGAATTACTGCCGGCCACTGAACAATTACACAATCGGGAGCCCTGTGCTGCACTACACGAGGTACTTAGCCGCCCTCTGTTTCTTACGGCCACGCTCCGGATGCAACCTACCCTCCCTCCGCGACCAGCAGGATCGGCTTTTTCGTCTAACCCCACAAGACCTCAGCCGTCAGGTGCGCGAAGCGATTATGTTGCAAGAGATCAAGGGGTCTGAACCACATAGGCTCTCACTAGCTAAGAGGCTCTTGGACCTGGGAGCGGACCCCAACCGGGCCGAAGTCACCATGAACTCTACAATGCCCATCTTCACAGACAGGCACACGCAGCTCAGATTTACACGTACCCCTCTTCAGCTCGCTGCAAGTTGCGGCTTCGTCAAGATGGTGAAGCTTCTTATCACCCGCGGGGCAGAGCCTGACTTAGTAATCGGTGAACGGAGCGCTGAGCTGCGAGAGCTGCCGCTGATGCTAGCTGTCAAGCAAGCTCTGCTCCCAGGGGGCAATATCGAGACTGTTCAAGAACTTCTCAAGGCTGGGGCTTCACTAGAGGACCGTTTCGGTGAATCGGTCCTACGTACTCTCTACGAAATGAGACCGAGAAAAAGTCCCTATGGCGTTCTCGGCGACGATTTTCCTGACTGGGAGGCATGGCTTCGCATTGTGGACATGTTTCTGAATCACGGCGCTGCGGCAGAAACGAGCGAGTGGAACTGGAACTGCCTTTTGGTGATAGGGTGTCTGCCAGGCAACTTGCGGTATTGCGAGCTGCTTGAGAAGGCGCGGTCTGTCAACGAGCTTCCCCCGGCGACACTTGTCCGAATGCTGCGAATGGCACTACTTGAAATGGCCAAGACCCGAAGTGCATCAACTCAAGACGTGGAGCTGGTTCGCTGGGTGCTTCGGCGGTACCTGGATACTGAAGAGCGTCTTCGCGTGCCGAAGGATGTGTTGAGAGAAGTGCAACACCAAGCCCACCGCCAGCGTCTCAACCGGATAACCGACGTGATTGGTGAGTTTCTGACCCGAGCAGAAGCTCCAACCGTCAGTCGTTTGGAGAAAGAGAGACTTCTCGACATATTGGCCACATAGATCTGTCGATGACCAGGGAGGATCTTTATGGGGAATATGGGCCATTCTTGGTTGTGTGGAACATGACATTGGGAAAATTGGGGGCAACTAGATGGATCTGGCTGATATTCTCAGTCAAAGATCGACGCGCTGTCAGATTTTGCTGTGTTTTGAGGAGGGGTTTCGTTTTACATGGGCGTGCAGCGAGGCGTTCGGCTGGGGGGCGTGACTGGCTACGGTTGTGTCATTTGCTGTATGGACATACTCGAGAGCTGAGAAGACATTGTTGGCAATATCACCCTGATTTACAGATCCGAGACCTGCAGGACTCTCCTCCTTGCGGAAACTGCGTCATGCCGAACGGGATCTGGACAACTGGCTAACAAGTCGATTTGTGGTATCCCCGCCCAAGGAATAAGCTAGATGGCCATCATTATAATCCTCCCAATATCCGCCCATAACTGTCTGTACCTTTCCGTGGTGCCATTTGCTTGCCATCCAGAACCCGACCAAATACACCAATTCCAAGATAATTATAACCCACCCAACCGCCCGTACCAGCCCAGAGCCTCAGCCCTCATGAATCAAGCTCCAAGTTGCCTTACATCCCTCCTCAATTACCCTTCTCCTCCACCCCAACTTCCGCCAGCGTCTTGGTACTATCGCCCAGCGAACTCCCGACCCCACTACCACTCTCTATCCTATCCCGACCTCCCTCTTGCGCTTCCACATCGCCGCCACTACTACTACTACTACTACTACTACTACTACTACTACTACTACTACTACTACTACTACTCCTACTACCACCACCACCACCATCCCTTTCCGTACCCGGCTCTTTCTCCTTTTGTGGATCACCCACAACACCGACAACGGCCACCGCCGAACCCGAACCGCCTCCCCCCAGCGTCCCACTCCCGGACCCGGACCCTCCGGGAGATCTCCGCATGCGCCACCATGCCCGGCGCCCGCCCACGTCATTGCTGTTGTTGTTGTTGCTGTTGTCGTCGCCGTTGTTGTTGTTGTTACCGTTGTTGGTGGCGGTGATGGTGTTGAGGCGGAAGGATGAGAAGGGGAAGGATTCGTTGACACGCCGTTCGAAGGCTGGGTCGAAGAGAAAGAGGTTGGGGAAGAAGCGCTTGGAGAAGGCTTTGAGACAAGGCAGGCAGGCGCAGACTATGCCGATGTACTCTTCGACCAGGCTTTTTTTGGGAGGGGTTTCGTTGTTAGCACGGGGAAGGGAACAAAGAAGGATATCTTAAGGAGGAGAGGTGGCCTGGGTATTTACTACGTACCACCAGATTAGGTTCACCGGGTAGTGCCAAGTTATGTCAGGGTTGTTGGCGCCGGTCTTGGCCGTCACCATGCGCATGGTGCTTACGCCGCAGACGCTGCAGAATCTGTTAGTGAGAAGAAGTTTTTTGGTGATCGGGGGAGCAGGGGCCGAGGGACGTACAAGCCTCCGGCCATGAGCACGAGGGAGATGCCAATCTTCTTGAGCAGTGGCGCGCGCAGCGGTTTGAGCATCCAGATGGGAAGCAGCAGGATCAAGAAATCCGTCGACATGTTCAAGATGTTGGCCGAGTCAAAGACGGCCTGTTGGTTGATGCATGTGCCTCCAGCGATCGACCCGTCCCAGTAGAAGGCCACGGGCTTGCAGATCCAGGCGAACAGCAGGGCGTTGGGCACGGTGTAGCCCACGGCGATGAACATGACGACGTAGACGGCCATGCGGAAAGCCCTGTCGATCGAGAAGCGCAGGTAGAAGGAGAGGATGGACAGCTTGACGAAGAGAGTGCAGAGATTGTATGTCATGGCGCCGCCTATCATGCCAAGCTGTTGTTGTTTGTTTGTTTGTTAGACATGACGATGTCGCCATTGGAGGGAGTGTGCCGTCCTCACTTTCATAGTTGCTTTGAAATTCTCGAAAGACACATCATAAATATGGTAACCCATGCCCATGGTGGACTCTGGGGAGAACAGGGGGTCAGCGATCATGACTCCTTAAGACGGCGTGCCCCGGCAGATCAGAGACTCACGCGTGATACAGATGATGGAGTTTGCCAGAGCGAATGCCTAGATATCATGACCCTAGGTCAGCTTGGCAATGCTCGTCTAGAGCTGGAATTTCGTTGACACACAAAGCCCACACATATCAAATCTGCCAGCGAGAAATCACTAGGTCAGTCTCGATCCGTACCAAACTATTCCGTCGCCGTGGGAAACCTTACAGTCGTCGGGGTGCCATTTCCGAATGATGAATGCCGCCGAATACAGACGCGGCAGGAGGAAACACAGCGCAACCGCAGGAAACACGGTAGAGACAATGATGAGCCGGTAGCCGATCCATTCCGGGTTCTCGAAGTTCGGCGTTATGCCGTCGGGCGGCGGGGCCGCGCCCATGATGCCGACGTCCGCCGAGCTCATGTTGTTAACGAAGGTCCGGCACGTCGGGGTCGTCGTCGCATTGAATTTAGAGAGCGGGCCACCACATCAAAAATGGTGGAAAGGGGACCTCGACGGCCCTGACACGGGATGAGGGCAACAGACGAGAAGCGGGCGGCAAAACTTCAAGTACTAGCTGGGGATCCTCGATGCGCGCCAAGGTCACTTGCCCAGAACGGCAACGCGCCGGACGGGGGCTCCGCTCTTCCGCCTTCCCCGGCTGCAAGTCCGGAGAATGCGAATGACCAAACAGCGACTTCGATAGCGGTGGGGCGAGCTGGGTTTCAAAATCCGGCGCAAAAATTCCCAACTTGGAACCGTGTCTTGGCTATGCTAGCGTCGATATGTGCCTGCTAGGCAAGCCGGGGTCAGTCCATGGGGTGACCACAACGCTGTTTCGATGCGGGGTGATGCCATGGCCCATTGGGGGCTTGTCGACAGTCGAGACTGGAGACGGGCAGAAGCAGCTCCGGATATCTTTCAGGAGACATGTTTAGTGTGAGTCGTGATCTCCTCACCCGGGTTTCCTGGGCGACGCCACGGCGCTGACGGCGCATAATGCCACCAAACGTCGCTTAATTCGAAATAAAGGCTTGGGGAAAGGATTGTGGAGGCGACCGGTGAGCCCGCAGACCTTCAGGGATGGTAAAGATCCGCTTGTTCATCGCTTCAGCCGTCGGAGATTCAGGGTGTGAGCCTATGAGGTCAGGATTCTCTGTTGTGTACACAGTATCCGTACCTTATTATTAGTTTCCCATTGTATCGTATGTAAGAGTAGGATGTATCCGTAATAAAGGCCCGTCACTTGGCGATTGCCAAGTGAGGATCAATGTTGACAGAGAGAGGGCCCCTGTTCGGAGCATCACGCGCTCCTTCAAAGTTGAACGGCCTCGAGCGCAAAGGCACCGTCAGGTCTCGGGCTCACTTTTCTTTGAAAGGCGGCGAGATTGAATCTCACTTACAAGCGAACAGCAGACGTCAAGTGGCGTAAGGCGATCATCATGACTTCGCTAGGGACTTATGATGTGACTTTCAAACAGTGTTGTCTGATTGACCTGAATTTGGACCTCATGGCCCGGAGTGGTGCAGCCTGCATCACAGACAGTATAAGCGTCCATTAACGCAGTATGCAGCACATGGGTAGCGTCGGCGTGTCGGGAGCCTTTGAACCGCGCCAACGAGTACGACCCGGGGTGATATCAATGCATAGTGGGCTTAACGGTTTGGCTACGGCGGCCGGCAACTGCCTGGGTTGTCTATAGACAAGGGTCCAAGACTGGCGTGGAGCGAATTGCGCTCAAGAGACTGCAAATCGATCGCCACCGAACAGGAGCCTGTCACAACCATAGAACACGGATAACGAATCGAAAGGAACCGAAGACCCTTCGTCCTCACAACACATGCTCTGAATTGATGACTATGGCTATATGATGGCCCGCGGGCCGAAAGGGACCCTAAATCCCCGATTCGTGGTTGCCGGATCTGTCATGCAAGACCGAATCATGATCTCATTATATTTGGATCATCATGACCACGTCTCTAAGGCCGAATGCCACCAACCCAGAACGCCAAGAGCAAGAACATGGAGAACCCCTTAAGCGGTCTTAGGGCCCTGGGTGGGGACCACCTTCTTGCCATCCTTGTTGTAGCGGACGCGCGGGGGAGGAGCACGGTTGCGGCGGCCCTCGCGGGAGCGAACACTGCGGCATCTCTGTCAGCGACTCCTGTTCTTGGATCGGGGGTATCGGGGTAACTAAATGGCGGAGAGGTTCGACCAAGGATCTTCTCAGCCGCCCACGTCGCCGAAACGGCCGACGTGGTTGTCCCCGCCACGCGGACAAACGTACCGGACAATCTTGCCGTGGATCGCGCAAGAGACACAGTACTGCAGCTTGAGGTACATCTTGGGAACCGTGTACTCGGAGAACACCGAAGCGTCCGAGATATCACCTGGAAGCGTGCGCAGTTAGCAAAATCCGCAACTGAGGAGGGTGCCAGGGCGGGCGTGAGGAGTCACGGTCGGCGGCGCGGTTCTCGAAGACACGTACGGATAGCTGCAGACTCGACCATGTTGCGGATGGTGAACCGCTTGATGGCCTTATCCTTGGGGGTGCATCGCGAGCAGTTGGAGCACCGGATGGGCTTGACGTGGCCGCGGCCTGCGAAATTGTCAGTCAGCAAGTTTGCAAACGGAGGGCAGTGGATGGTAATAAATGCTCACCCTTCTTGTTGCGGCCGTTGTTCTTTCTCTTCTTGACCATTTTGTCGGTGTCTTGAGTGCACTGGTTCTCAAGAGATTGTGTGGGAGAAGGACGGCGGATTCAGAAATTCGGCTGGCCCTCGAAAACCTGAGAGCTTGCGATGTCGCCCCACCATTCCCCACTCACCCGACTTCATTCAGCACGCGCAGGGCAATCTGAGAGAAGCCCTAACACGCACACACGGTCAGCTGATCCACAGCGGGCAGTGTGGGGCCGCCGACCAAAAGTTCAACTTCGAAGTCCTAACGCAAATTCCTACATCCTTTTCTCATCAAGCGCATCTTCACAACATCTACAGATTGCTGAGGAAGACACTTGTGTCTAGGTACGTCTGCGCGATGTTGCGAGCCGGCTGCGCTTCATCTCCTATCCCCATTCTCTCACTCGATACACCATGATACCCAATCTTGTCCCCGTTGCGCTCTCCGCGACCGACTCCGAGAATCTGCGGTTTACGGCTTGGAGATGTCCTTCCGTGCAGTTTCCGAGGTCAACTTCTTCCACAGCCTAAACCATCGCGCCAGCCGAGCTGCACTAGAGCCTCCTCTCTTTTACCTCTAACACTTCCTTACCACTTCTCAGTAGGCAATCATGCAGATCTTCGTGAAGACCCTCACGGGCAAGACTATCACCCTTGAGGTGGAGTCGAGCGACACCATCGACAATGTCAAGTCCAAGATTCAGGACAAGGAGGGCATCCCTCCCGACCAGCAGCGCCTGATCTTCGCCGGCAAGCAGCTCGAGGATGGCCGCACCCTCTCCGACTACAACATCCAGAAGGAGAGCACCCTCCACCTGGTGCTCCGCCTGCGTGGTGGTGCCAAGAAGAGGAAAAAGAAGGTCTACACCACCCCGAAGAAGATCAAGCACAAGCGCAAGAAGACCAAGCTCGCTGTGCTCAAGTACTACAAGGTCGACAGCGATGGCAAGATTGAGCGCCTCCGCCGCGAGTGCCCGAACGACACCGTGAGTTGGATCTATGCTGTTACTGACTGCACCAATACTAACTTCTTGCCCTCAGTGCGGTGCCGGTGTCTTCATGGCTGCCATGCAGGACCGCCAGTACTGCGGCCGCTGCCACCTGACCTACGTCTTCGAGAAGAACGCATAAGCTGCTAGCTTCGATGGGACAGGGCAACCTCCTGGGAACGGGAACGGATTGCAATGAGTCAGGGATGGGCTACGATCTTCACGAATCGGGGTTTATGTACCGTTAGAGGAGGGACAAATTGGGGCTCACACCGGCAAGGAAATGCAATTTGGGATGCGATGACAAGACCGGCATTATCTTAGCCGTATCATCGATCCGGGCTGTGCGAGTAGGCCGTGCAGGCTGCTACCTACTTAGGTTATACAGCCAAGTTCCCGTCCTAACATCTCGCTCAGTTATTGGGGAACCCGTTCCGCAGGTTGTCGTACTTGGTGTGCGGATATGTGAGGCAGTTCTCACGCCACTCGAGGCACTTTGGTCCGCCAAACACCTCCACCACATTTCCGATCAGACTCTCCGACCCCTCCTTATCAGCACTGCTCTCCCACCACATGCCACCTCCCAGCCCATGTCTCTTTATGTAGTCGGCCTTCCTCCGGGCCAGGTCGACCGTGTCGTAGCTCACCAGCACCTTCCGCTCGGGATGATAGCAGTAGCTGGCCCCCGCATCCTCATCCACTCTCACCTCGGCGCCTTCCAGCGGCAGCTTCTTGTAATCATGCACGCCGTTCTCCCACGTCCCTTCTCCGATACCGTTATACGGCTTGCCGAGGCCCTCGGTGCCCTGGAAGGCCCGCCCGTACAGCGGCATGCCAATCACGAGCTTGGACGGCGCCACACCGTGGCTGGTGTAGTGTTGCACCGCGGCGTCGGTCGAGAAGGGCGTGCACGTCGGGTTGCTCCGGCACGGGTACAGGTTCGCCTGGTGGCCGGCCACGCTGTCCCACGAGCCGGCGTAGTCGTAGGCCATCAGGTTCCAGAAGTCCAGGTACCGGTCCATCCCGCGGATGTCCAGCTTGCTGTAGTGGTGCCACCCGGCAGGGCAGGCGACCGTCAGCTCGAAGTGGGGCGGGTGCGTGTGGCTGGCCGCGGAGATGCTGTGGGCGTAGTGGTCGAGCGCGGCGCGCACTTCGGCGAGGAGTGCGACGAAGTCGGCGGCTTCTTGCGGGTTCTGCGGGTACTCCCAGTCTATGTCCAGGCCGTCGAAACCGAGGGTTTTCAGCTGTGGGTCACGCATGGGGTTAGGAGCTGTTGTGGTGCGAGGGTGGGAAAGGGGGTGGACGAACCAACTCGACGGCGGATGATGCGAACCTGCGTCTTCCCTCTGGTGTGGAGGCAGGCTGTCTGAAGTTGCTGCTGTAGGTCCACCCGCCGATGGATAGCAGTACTTTGAGGTTGCGGTTGCGGCGCTTGAGCAGGTTCAGCTGCTTCAGGCAGCCGTACAGGTTTGTACCGGTGTCATTCCAGCTGTCACCCTCCCAGTGGATGTCGGTGTCGGCCCAGGAATCGGTCATGTATACCTCGCCGGAGTCGGGACGTACGTTGGCGAAAGCATAGAGCACGTGGGTGAGCTTCTCGACGGGCAGGTCTTGGGGACGGTGCTTCCGGGCGTAGATGGCCCAATTGACGAAATACGCTACGGAGCGGTAGCCGGTGGTTGGTCCCCCGCCCATAGTTGCTAAGGTTGTTAAAGGTGCTGTGGGTGGTGATGGACTGGTGGTGGTCAGATAGCTAAGAATGAAGCTACCACTTGTTGATGAGAGGATGATGCTAATTAGACAAGCTGCAATACTGAGGAAGATAAATAAGAGACAGTTGTATCTCACAGCTTGCAACATACGGCAGCTGAAATAGTCGCCTCTTGGGTTTGTCGTTGGGCTGTGTTCATCAGCAGGTGCTGTTCAGAGGGCGCCCAATTGGGAGCTGACTGGGCAGGCAAGCGAGGGGGAGGGGCAGAACGCGCAGTGGGACCCACTTCGCCAGGATCTCCGCCACGGTGGGCTGTAGATCCCGTCTCCTGAACATACCATCATGAAGGGCGAGCTTAGTTCATCTATGTAGCGTCTCGGACTCACTTCTATGGCACCACGTAGCCTCCTTTAAGGTAGTGTAGTTGTCACGAAGTTGCTATTCGTCTCAGATTACACACGTGCCACAGATTGACCTGGATTCACATCCATCCATGATATTTGCCTGTACAATACAAGTACATACCTACATGTATTGTACGGAGTACAGATTACAAGTCTTTGTATGGCCACGGACCTGGTCCTTTCCGCAGGTCAGAACACTGAAAAGAGGCATCATGTGTCAAGGATATGCATTTTTTTGTTTCCAGTGGATCATTGGAAGACCTAAGCACCTTATAAGTTAAGTTGTGAACGACTCGAGATTACCTCTGCTCTCTTCTCATAGATAAGGAGCATTGTGACTATATTCACCAAACCACTACGGACTCCGAACTTGTGTGCTTCAAGCTCAAATCAGGAGCATCGAATGAGCATATACACTAGTGATGGAGGCTGCTCGACTTTTAATACAGATGACGGCGTACTATTTTATCTACTTTATCAGCCTTTATTGAAGGATTCGGGGTGTTCCATGACCCATTGTGCGATCTCCTTGCAAGGCGCAACCCATATCTTCCCGTCCTCACTAATCCTTTTCAGAACCTCCTCCAGCACCTCGAACTTCTCATCGCTCGTCTGGAGAAATGGATGAAACAGGATCGACATGAACCCGCTGGTTCTCACAAGCTCAACAATCTTCGCCATCAACCACTCCTTGAACTCCCCCGGGCTCAAGATCTCCTGTCTCTCGCCATTCTCCTTTCTGATACCAGCAAACTTCTCCATATACCAGAACGCGTCCACAGCCCTCCATTCAAATGGCAACACGATCACCCCTTCCTTTCCCACGCCGAACTGACCGAGCGGCGAGACGTAGTCTACGCCATACTCCTTGAAGAGACTCCACGTCCTTTCGTTTACCTTGCCCCCAGGCGGCCTGAAACCGCAATATTCCACCCCGGCAACTCCATTCGCCGCCTTGAAGCTCCTCTCAAAGCTCTCCCTTTCCTGTAGCTCATCCAGCCCGCTCCATACCTCATGCTGATACCCATGCCACGCCACCTCGTGCCCCGCCCGGACAAGCTGCTGCACAGCGTCCAAATACACTCCGAGACTCCAGGCTTCGACAAAGTAAGTGGCCCGCAGGCCGTACTTGTCGAGCAGGCCCAGCATGCGAGGCAGCTGGTCGGTGACCGACGGATGCGTGCCGATGGGGTGTGGCCAACGGTTCTGTAGCACGTCTTGAGCTTCACCTAGGTTGTCCATTGTGAAGGCTATCGCCGCTTGATAGGGGGCTGGCCAGGGGGATTGATGCGATTGCGAGGCCATGGTGGATGGGGGCAATAGATTTGGAGATCAAATATTGTGGGTTTGGAATTAAGGGGATGTAGCTGGTTGGAGAGTTATATAGGGAACGGAATCTGGACTATGAGATTGAATATGGTTTGAGTGAAATATGAGAGGGAAGAGTGTAAGCGAGGATGGTTGTGACGCAGCCGGACATGCTGCCGAGATCCCGCTTGGGAATGTGGAGGAGGGGACTCGGCAGTTGTGATGTGCGCGCGAGCATGCCCAATCATATTAAAGTGGAAGGAAATGGTTCAACATTGGGACAAGCGTACAAATTCAGCTACGTATAATAAATCAGTTGAGTGGTTCTACATTTTACCCCAGCCAACTGGAGACATGCCACGTACCTACTAGTACTCATGGTACGGCCTCTTTGACCTTGTGCTACCAGGGGCCGCTTGGAGACATACACTTGGACTCGGAACACACAGACTGTGCTCATCGAGTCAGCATGTACATGGAAGTAACAACGGAAATTCCTCCGTACAGTAATCGTTTTGGACATCTACTCTTGCATATACACCTTTATCCTGAAAGTACAACCCCTGCCTCATCATATCTGTCTCCGACAGAACAGACCATTCATCCTCCACTCATCATAAAAATTAGAGATTTACACAGTCTATGTTCACTTTCATAATCGGATATAAAAACCTGACTGAACCTTGCGATTTTGAGGCATGGAACTTCTTCCTCCTCATCCTCTCTACCACACCACAGTCACCACTCAATCACCTATCAAAACTCGAGATCAGGAGGAGAGTAAAAGCATGACACAGAGATCAGCAACAATGCCATCATCACATTATGGCCACCAAGCAGCAGATGAGGACCCCTGCCAACCATTTGATCACCCGGTCCTCCGCGTTCCTAAGACGTTTGAGGAAATGGGTTTTCCTGCTCAGGATTAGGTGACGCCCGGAGGCAAGGCCAGGCTGGCTGCCATCGTCCAGCAGCTAATGGCGCGTCTCAAAATTGGCGGCAAGTCTCGCGGCCCTGCCAACAACGAGGAAGATCATCAACATGTTCCTACCATAACGGGAGAGGAAGCCTGGAGATGTTGTCCGAGGTTGCTCTGGGTCAGTGGAAAACACAAAGACCTCTGGCCCGAGGGACTGGTGCATCTAGGGTGCGTTGATCTATCTCACCTTAAGGACCCTAATCTGGTGGTTCCAGTGGTGTGGCTGTACTGTCTGAATGGCGCGGCTCACTACGTCTCGATGCCAAACCAGCACTATGGATCGATTTTCAAGGTTCCTTTGGGCTACTTGACACGGCGTCCTTGTGAGGAGCCTAGGGAGTACAGCTACAGATCGGAATCCTTCTTGTTGATGACGATAGAGGGGGGAATGTAACCAAACTATTCTCACAGGTTTCCTTGATCTCAACTATGTATTTGCCAATAAACCAAGAGATATACTGAATGTTTGCATCAATACTACTAGTATGCAGTATGTGAACTTGTGACAACTACTTCGTACTAACCGCCGTGAATTGACTGAGAGTTATGAACGCTACTGATTCAGTTACTACGCATTTCGGCGAGTTGAGCTGTCTAGTTGAGGTATGTATTGCTTTCGTTGATCAGTGTATCCATAGACCGGCTTTTATATATATAGAAGGGATAAGACGGCTGGGGAGAACTTCGTAATCATGATATTTTTGATGGCCTGTTGCAAGTGCAACTGTGCAACGCCTTTTGCCAATACGGTAAGCACATCCCTCCCTGTTCCGTCCATCTGCATCGCCGGCAGTGCTGCGGCCCAGCCACCTTGACCGCCTGAAAACCGTCTTAACCGTACTGAATGATTGTGTCCTCCGTGTTCAATAGTGAGCCCGACTGAGCAAATAATAGTTTGGCATCCATTACTATTAGTAGTATTACTCCATAATAAACGGAGGGTGGGGTGCATTTGCTGCAATGTGCGGTAAACCCCAAAGGGTTGTGCTGTCACAGACTGAACTCAAAACTCACGTCATAGCCAAATCCAACTTTCACAAAACCATCCGGACTCACTCCCGACGCTTCAGCTCACAAACCGCCAGAAATGGAGGAAAAGTCCCTCTTAATCCTAGGCGCAGGCTGGACAGCCACCTTTCTCATCCCTCTCCTCCAGTCCCGCAACATCCCCTTCGCAGCGACGACCACCGACGGCCGCATCGTGGCCGGCGCCCCCACAATCCCTTTCAAATTCAACCCGACCGCGCCGGAGGAGGAGACCCGCTCTGCAATCGCCTCCCTACCCTACGCGCGCCATGTACTCATTACCTTCCCACTGACGGGCCCGGGCCAGAGCAAATTGCTGGTCGAGTGCTACGAGGAGACACATCGCCGCGCGGTCAGCGCCATGTCCGTGGGCGCAACGAGCAGCCCCGCGGCGCGGGCGCGAGCCCGCTTCATCCAGCTCGGCAGTACCGGCATCTGGCAGCAACCGCGGCAGCGGCAGCGCCTGCAGCCCGGCGCCGACGGCGGCAAGGGCCCCTGGATGACCCGGCACTCGCCCTACACCACCACCGACCCGCGCGCCGTCGCCGAGGACGAGCTGCTTTCCCTCGGCGGATGTGTGCTGGATCTGGCGGGGCTCTGGGGCGGCGCCCGCGATCCGCGACACTGGATCGGTCGTGTCGCGTCCACTAAGGAGGCCCTCCGCGAGAAGAAGAGTCTGCACATGGTGCACGGGCTCGATGTGGCCAGGGGCGTTGTGGCCGTCGTGACCGGTGGGGATGAGAAGTGGGAGAAGCACGGCAGGGGACAGAGGTGGATGGTGACGGATGGGTTTGTGTACGACTGGTGGGCTCTCATGGCCGGTTGGGCGGAGGGGGAAGGCGTCAGTGAACCCATTGACCAGGCCAGGTGGGTGTTCGAGTTGATGAATGAGGAGGGAGTGAAGGCGTTACCCCGATCTATGGAAGCGTTGGGGAGGTGTTATGATTCGAGGGAGTTCTGGGAGGCATTTGGGTTGGTCCCCTTGAAGGGGCGTGTCTAGCGAGGCCGGCTGAAATCAGCCTATGAAGGCTAGGATACTAAACAACCCGGAAACACAGTTGGATTCAACAATGCTAAACTTGTCAAACATAGTTATCGATTGATCCGTCGAGTCCCTGTTTGTGGAAAGAATTTCGTCAACCTCCGTCCACAACCCGCATGTCTGAAGGCCTGTGTCTCAGAATGCCAGACCAGACAAACAAAAACGCGAGCAATCCCAGAAAGAGCACGACTTTATTATCGGAGAAGCAAAATGAAAACTGCGTCAGCCGCGAATCGAACGCGGGGCCCATCGATGGCAACGATGGATTTTACCACTAAACCACTGACGCTGTTATCCAATTGGATGACACTGAGACAGGGATGTTACAATATTCAAGACGTACCACATAGTCGAAAACCACCATGTTATAGAGTACCTATTCTCGAAACAAAGCATATGCACTCAGTTGCACTGCGGCTGTTGACGGTCAGCCTGGGTTTAGGGCGTGGTTTCAAGTGCGAGAAAGATGTAACATCTCCTCCCCAAGCATGTCTGACGAAGTCACAGGGTCACTGTTCAAATTGTCCTCGAAGTCCCGTAGTCGGAAGTGAGACTGTGAGAGTCGACTCGGCCGATACAGTGAGTTGACCATGAAGACCAGTCAAGGTAAGTCTGGCATTGAGGCTTTTGATACGTTATTATTGCTGAGACAGGGAGGCAAGGACCCCATATCGAAGATGGCTGCTGTCCAGGTCGGTATAAACTGCCTTCTCCCTCATCTTTCACTTAGTGCAGATAACGGGTTACCTTCTTTAGCTACCCGCCACGCTTTACGTACGGTGAAGATTACAAGCTTCAGTATCTTCATTTCAATCCCTGCTCGCCAACACAGCGTCCGAATCTTCCTCTCCAAGAGCTCGCCCCTGATGCCACCCCGTAACCGAATACTTCCCGGTCGTTCTGCCCCGTGATTTCCGGGATATCATTCTCCGTCACAACAAGGAAGAGTCGGATCCGAGATGATCTTGGCCCTGGTCAGAAATTTCTTCTTCTCCATCTTTCTTCTAAGTTCCACCATCCACAGACGGTTTATTCTCTCAACTCAGGCTTGGTTACTGTGAATCTATGAGTATTTTCCTGTTTGGTGAAACGTTCAGAAGGTACAATACCTACCCATAGCGGCCCTTGGCACAGTCAAAGCCAACCAAAAACTGTGACCCTTAAGGTTAACTGTGTTTCGGTCTGCCCTGATACGATTCAGTTCTATGTTCCCACTCGGACAAAGTAGACATCACGCCACCTTCAGATGTCTCAGCTCTGTCTCAAGAAGCAGAACGACTTACGCCAGTCATTGTTGGCCAGTATTAACCATTGCTGTTAAAAGAACAGCTGCATTCAAAGGCATTGTTGAAGACACTTCGGCCATGTCTCAGACAGCCCATTGTGTAACAAGGCCCGAGCTTCTCGTAAGAAAGAACAGGCAGCAACGGCAATGTTCGGGACGTCAACCAGGAAAAGAAAGATACGCTGAACGTTTCTAATGATTCCGTAGCAAGTCTGAGAATGTCTCAACACGGCACTTGACGCAAAGTGCGATGAAGAAGGACAGATCAGGATCAAGAAGGCCGATGGACTAGGGTGACAGGATTATACCTTTTGATAGCTTACCTATTTAGACGCAAGCGATACATGGTATTAAGTTCTGCAGGGAGTCTCATTCTGTTCATACCAGCTCAACGTGCTCTTACAGTTCTCAGTTTCCGCTCTGCGCGACGCCGACCTAGAGTTCAACGACATGGGCATATTCCGTACAATATCTGACAAGATTCTCGGTACGCTTGGAAGCGGGAGAAACGAAAAGGGCCATCAACCAGAGGAGTGGGAAAGGGATGGCACTGGCAGTTTACCAAAAGGTTTCGGGCTCTTCGATGAGCACCGGTCCTGTGAACGTGGACCGGACCCTGGGAGATTGGGGAGAACTCGAACAATGCTTGCGAACGACGGCCGGGACTTCTGTTCTGAACATGACATACGAGCATTTTATGTGGATGGGAGCGTTCACAGTGCCAATGAGTCCGTGGTTAGTGCTTCACGTTTGATACATCCCTGGCTTTCACCACCTGACACCTTGTTGTGTTAGTACTCTTGCCCCAACTTAAGGGATGACCCAAGCAACAGCAAATACCGGCGTATTCCAGCAAGGAGAGTGAGAGAGCAGGTGAAGGCGGCCCCTCGCTTGTGGCGAGTTTCAAAGGCAGACCACTACCCAAAACGACATTTTGGTCATGAACACAGAAGGGGAGACTACAGCCTGACAGCTAGTTCTCCATGGGTCGAGTTCCCCATTCTGAATGGGAGCCACATCTGGACGCCAGGTCAGAACCCTGGCCCAGTCCGGGCTATCTACAACGACGGGAACCGCAGCACGTTTGATGTGGTATATCACGACCCAGCAGCACCAAAGAATCCCGGCGGCAGGTTCCAGCGCTTCACTAAGGCAAGATATCGACCGGCAAACCGTTCGAATTGGTTCAAACAACCACGGCCTCGTCCAAGGGGCACCAGCCAAAATGTGCCAACTGAACGACAGCCGGCTGATCCCATCAGGAGAATTCAGCCGCCCAGGGCTTGCAAGGTCATCAAGATTGCTCATATCTACCAACACACTGTTTGCATCTCCGTTGCCTAATGATGTCGGGGTTGAAGGGTTTCTTGACTTTCTCCCTTCTCCTTTCTGTTTCCATTTCCATGTTTCCGTCCCTCTCTTTCTCTTTTTTATCAGACTGTGTCTGAACGAGTCAGGTCTCTGGGAGTGGAGCGCAGATTTGGGTAGACCTGGAGCGGTTTACGTGACTTCGAACCCGGCACAGTATCGGCAGATGTCCGCTTTATGGGATTTTACGGAGAATAATACAACTGTTAGGTGGCATTGGGTCAAAGTTGGAAACAGCGCGGCGGTGTCTCTAAATGTCTACCTTTTCCCTCTTTCTGCGCCAGATAGCTTAAAGATTTCGCCATGGTCGTGTGACCATAGTTGACAGGTAGATTACATTGACATTCCAGTACTGACGGACGCTGCAAGCCCGTAGTAAGTACTGTCCCAGACGGACTTTCCAACCATCTTGCGGCCGATCCTGGCCAGGCGGCAAAACTCACCAGCCAACCACCCTCGGCTCATCCGAGCCAAACATCCCTTCCATATGTCGACAAGGCTGCATCTTCCATTACCAAAGGAACCCGCAGATCTGTGCTTCCACCCCGCGACCTTCTAATGTATTCCCATCAAACCCCCAAACAAATGAGTTAGTGCTGGGAGTAAAGGTTGATCTAGTTGCGAGCCTTCTTCCTCTGCGGCCTTTCGGCTACGTCTCCGTGATTTCCTCTCCTCAAATTATTCCCGACTTTCATAGAACCAGAAGCCTTGATTCCTGATTTCTCGGCCTGCTTTTTGAAGTAATCCTCATCAAAAGAAACGAAATCCTCCACCTTACAAATGGCGAAGATGTCCTGAAGCGTAAACGGTGTCCAGGGGGTGCAGTTTTGATGAGAACGGTCAGTCTGGGCCATGCATGACGTCGAAATGATCCAACAACGCAAGCGTTCTAATACCGGTATTAACCAGTGAAGATCTGCTGAAGAATTTGAACGTTGAATTGCATCAACTCTTGTGATGTGGAGCTGACCCAGGCCTTGATCCATTGAGTGCACGCAAGAACACGATGCAACCCCCGGAGCATGGCACAATCACACAAGGTTGTACTTGGCTGAGCACGACAGCGTATAGAATCTCCTTTCGTGAGATCTTTCATCGCCAGCTGGATCCTGCTCCGAACCTCATTGAGCAATGACTGACGGGCAAGTCTTAACTGTCCTGATTACCGGAAAATCATATGTCAGGAACTGCCATCAAACCTGTAGAGACACATCAAGGGGATTACGTACGCAGTATTCCCAGAGACTCAAGGTGGATGTCTTGTGCCAAGGGGTAATCTTTGTCGGTTGTCAGGCAAGTTGAAGTAGAATCAGGAGATTCTTTCGAGTAAGGAGAGAAAGCTTTCCAGTTTTGACCGGTAGGACTCTGGATCGCCTAGCTTGTAAGCCATCCACAGTTGCTGGATCAGATCCTTTGGGTGAGAACAACTCGGCAAATCTTGTACCCAGCGATGCCAGAAAGGCTTCAGGAATTCGACCATGTCGTACTTGTCGCAGATGACGAGAAGAGCGAAAACCGTAAGCTGAGTCAGAAATGGTGGAAAGGCGGTAAGTCTGCCATGAATCCCGAGTAAGAGAATGCGCAAGCCCTCAGGTTCATCGTCCGGATGCGCAACCACCCACTTTTCGCTAGTGTGCTGCGTCTTGCCCTCCGCAAGGGGTCCATAGAGCATGGCATCCCATACACCCGATAAGCGAGCGAGGGAACGGGAACAAACTCGGAAGGCGACCTTGTTTCTCCCCACAGTCAATGTAAGGTCGCCACGGTGATCGAACACTTCCGCTGTGTTAGGAAGCGTGTGGGGTGGCTTCTTGGGCTCCTCGGTGTCTTTGGCGGGAATTTCTTTGGGCTTGGGCTCGTCCATGGTGGGTTAGAAGACGTTCAAGTCAAGCTTCAGTCTCAGACTCTCAGTTGGACATCGTATTTCTGATGAAGGGATAGGTACGTCCCCGTTGGTGCTACGGAATCACCAATTATGAGCCGCTTGAAAGTTACCTAAGTGGTAAGAAGTGGGGAGAAAGCAGGAAGAAGATGAAAGATTGAATTGACCGACAGGACGTGAGGTCTCCGGACCGACCTGATGATTAGTGTGGTGCAACTGAAAGGTAGAAGAGTTGCCGCAGCAGGGAAGTTAGTCCCACACCTCTCATTCAATATTACTGCAACACCGCACCTTCCTGAAGGACCCTTCAAGACTGCTGGCACAAAGCGATCACATAGTGGATACCATCCCCGGTGCCAGCCTGCGACTCTGCGACGTGATGACGAATGAGCTGGTGAGAATCATAAGGCGCAAAGGCTTCTCTGAAGTTGATACTGTGGGGATTTGTGGTTTCTTGTACTTGGAAGACTGCTAGGAGCAAATTATTGGCACAGGATGAGTTTTATGATTAGTGACTACTAGTAGTCTCCTTTATATGAAGAAATGTGGTGAACATACTTCATATATGATCAGGATAAGTAGAAACACAGATCATCTTTGAAATGTCATCTCCACTCTAGGATAAAGTCGAGGAGTTATGATTAAGAAAGTCTATTTTGCAATAGCTCACCCTTCTCGCCACTCAAGGTTACTAGTAGGAAGTTGAATTTCGTGAATTCCGCAGTGGTTTTCCGCAACTCTCGAGTCTCACAGTTGACACCGGGATGTGATTGTGAACTCAACGTTGGGAGTGGAGAGTGGAGACCGCCGGACGTATTCAGCGCCCCACACCTGTCAAGGCGCGTACCCGCTTTTTGCTAGCCCAAGTTCAACCAGCCTTGTTGGCCCAAGCTCCGACGCGACTTCAACTGCATGGAATACTGAATTTGCCATTCAATCTGCAATACCTTAAATCTCGATTCTGGCACTCGAACTGGCCTAATTCTCTTCGACACCCAATTGGCTCTGTTTGGAGCTGAGTTTGCGACCATTCCGTCATCCTTCAGATACCCCGGTGGTAGCGGTCATGCAAACCGCTCCGAGGACGCGGCGCACGCCGCAAAACACACAGCACACGTCCGTCTGCCACTTTCCATTCATGATGGTTCTGCAACCTGCGTTCACTAACTCGTGGCTTTTACATATCAGATACTCGCTCGACTGCCGGATACACGAAGTGAAGACATACCCTGTCAAGTCCCCCCAAGGCGCCACCATCCTCATCTACGGCCACGAGAATGGCATCACAATCACCTGGCGCGGGGGCCGGAGGCTAAGAGCCCCAAAGCAACCGAACAATGAGAAGCAAAATGGCGGGAGCTCAGAAGATGCTGTCATGGTGATCGACTCGGATGAGGAGGAGGCGCCCGCCGCTGCGTTTGTCGACAAGCCCGAGTTCGAGGACAACAGCCCGACCGTGGATGCCTCTTCAGTTCCAGAAATTGTTCAGAGTCTCGACCTTGCACTAGGAACCGCTGCAACACATATAGCGGTCTTGCCGATGCCGCCGTGTGATGCTGAAGACGCCGCTTGGAACGGCGCAGGCATTCTGAAGAGCCGGATTGTCTTCGCAGTGTCCTGCGCAAATACCGATGTCTACATGATCACGCTTCCCTTGACCCCCCCTTCACACGAGAGCAAGGCCAGGCCAGAATTGCGCCGCAGTTTGCTGGCGGGCAACGCCGGAACAGGCGTGTGGGAAGAAACACTTACCCAACTGACAGGCCAGAGCCGACCTTGCGGAGGTCTTGCGGTGACATTGGTGAAGCAAAAGCCAGGATCTCGAAGCCGGTCATTGGAGCGCGCAACATCCCAGGTGGCTCCCGTCCCACGAGCCATCGTCGCGGCACATTCGGGGGAAGCCAGCGGCACACTGCGTCTCTGGGACGTGACACTGGACGCGAAGCCAGGAACCACCAATCGTGTCGAACCCTTCCAGACCGAGTATCTGCCCTCACCATTGACGGGCATCTCATTCAACCCAACACATACCACCCAGCTCCTTACCGTCACCTCGCCGCATGCCGTCCGCATTTATGATTACGCTACCGCGGCACTTCCTTCTGACGACACCTCCGAGGGTCCCTTCCCAACCCAGGGTTCCTGGTTGCTGTCGCTCTATCCTCCCTTCAACCGGGGACCATCCATGTCTACGTCCCGAAAACCGATTGTGGCTGCCGAGTGGATTGCACATGGTCGCGCCGTATTGACGCTGCTTGGAGATGGGCAATGGGGCATCTGGGATATTGACGGCGCAAGCCCCTCGGCCACTGGGTCAACTGGTCTCTTCAGCAAGGCGAACTCGGGCCTCCGTGGCTCGGCTATCACCGCCTTCTGTGTCGCTGGCCATCTTGAAGGTACCAGTCCGCTGCGGAACCCCGCGACCCAGAAGTCACCCGCAGCGCCGGGAGCTGGGGGCGAATTTGTTCCGATGACACCTCACACAAGGCGAGATGCGATTGCCTCCAACATCTCAGGCGGCTCGGAGAAGTTAGCAGCCGTTCGGGGAGGTATCACGGTCGCACAATTACCGTCGCGAGGCGGTGGGTCAGGAGAGGAAAGCGCAATCTTATGGCTAGGCGGTGCGGATCCTATCGTCTCCGTCATTCCTGTGATATCCAGGTTTTGGGACTCTCAACTCCGGCGTGCCGTAGGCGGCGGTGTCAATCTTTGGAGTGGTGCGCAACCGACTCGAATGATACGCCTGACCGACCTTGGTGCCGGCCTGCTTGGCGAGCGGTGCACGGGTGCAGCCGCCATTCCCAAACTTAGTCGCAGCAATGTCGTCATGAACGGCTCATCAACAACGAAAGAGACCAGCCCTAGCCACACCGAGGGTCTTCCAATCGAGGTCCTCCTGCAAGGTGAAAGCCGTCTCGTCTTCGTGCGCGAGAGCGAAGATGCCAGCTCGCTCACAACGCGCCTCCTCGGCGCCCACAAGAAGCCTTGTACTGAACTTGGCTCGACCAGGGCCATCATAACTTATCCGCGTCCGGAACCGGTGAGCTCCTTCAACATCAGCTTCGAGAAGCGTCCAGGAAGCAGCGGTGGCGGACTATTCAGGCCGCGGCCGCGACCGTCGGTCAAGGGTTCGTTTGACCAATCTATGGGTGTCCTCCCCTCGACCGAAGCCCCCGACGAGACGCAGTCGGCGCCATCGAGCCAACAGGGTCTGATGTTTATCAACGACCTCAGTTTCGCTGCGGATCAGCCGGATGATGAGTTTGAGGTGGAAGGTCGCGACATCGAACAGGAGCTGATGGACATTATGGAGATCGACCGCGAGCTGGAGCAGCTGGAGCACGAGCGCGAGAGGGGGAGGAAGAGAGTCTTCTTCGAGGAGGGTTAGAGCCCCGCCTCTGAGACCGACAACAACCGGAGGCGTCGGGCATAGCGACCTTCTGTTTGCTCAGAGAGGCCATGGAGCAGCCCATCAGCGCCCCTGGCTGCCCATCGTGTCTGTGCCGGAGGGACGCAAAGGGCCGGCTAAAGCTGTAGGATACCCAACGGGATACTAATGTTATCTAGCACGATCACGAGACATAAAAGGCCAAGGCCATAGTCCCAAAGACCCGACCCGATCCCACTTCTTGTCCCCTTTTCCCACATATTCACACACGTCCCCGTTCCGCACGGCTTGGTGGAGCACAAGGCGAGATCCATCCTTGATCCAGCTCTGTATTCCGAGCGGTAGAGCAAAACATGGCCTGACCTAGCTGCCGAGTGCAGCAGGTTTGGGCCTGCCGGCATCACTTGAGCGGCTGTTGAGACAGTACGCTAATTGCATTCTTGACCAAATGTTCCGTCAGGCTTCGATGAGTTCACGGAGTCTGGGGTCGTGGTGTCGGTACATTTTGTTGCTTGAGACGACAAGCGCCGTGCTTGGATTGGTGTAGACGCTTCTGTCCCTTGTGCACCCGTCGCTAAACGCCTTCATGACTCGAAAACACTTTCACTCCCGGCGCTCGATGCTAGGTTGACCTGGCAGTGCGACTCAAATTTCCCTTCAACCCACGCTATCAAGGAATCAACAATGCCATTATGCCTTTGCCGACGCGATGAAGACCATTCCCGGAACTCCTCGACTCACTCCGTATCATACAACTCTCCATCCACCCCTCCTGATCGTCTCTCCCCGACTCCATGTTTAAGACATCTTCTGCTTAGCCTCGCCCATAGCCTCCTTCGCCTGGCCCTTCACCTCCTCCTTCATCCCCTTCGCCTTGCCGGCCATCTCGTCCTTCACTCCCTTCGCCTCGCCTGCCATCTCGCTCGCCTTGCCTTTCGCCTCGCCGGCCACCTCGCTCGCCTTGCCCTTCACCTCGCCGCGCAGCTCCTCGGCTTTGCCCGTGACCTTGCCCGTCTTCACTTCTTGGGCGGCTTCCTTGATCTTGTTTGCGACGGCCGCTTTGACACGGGTTGAGATGTTAGTCACATGTTGCTTCTGCGGTGGTGGTTGGGAGGGTAAAGATTAGGGGGAGCTTTGAGCATGGGGACGAACAGCCAATGTTGATGCCGTCTACTAGCTTGTCGGAGACCTTGCGGTCGACCTGCTTGAGGGTCTCCTTGGCGGAGTCGACGGGGGACTTGTGCTGCGGCGCGGTGGTAGTGAAGGCCGCGCGGGAGATGGTGCTAGTTCTGCTAGCGGTTGTGGTGGTGGTTGCCAGCCGCCGGGCGAGGGCGCCGCTTCGTGATGTGAGGGCCGACATTGTTGTTTTGGTATGGTCTGTTTGTATGCTGCACTAAATCGGGATTTTCTCCTTGACGAGTGATCGGATTAAACTACTTGGCTTCGAGAATTGCAATGAATAGAGAAGAGAAAAGATCTTTTTCCTGGCTCGTGATTTAAGGGTTCAAGCTGTCTGGATCAAGAGATGGGCGTTGGGGTGATGATGTCATAGCTTGGTGATTGCCCACTGGCAGAGAGCTGCAACAATGGCTTTTACCACGGCTCACACGACAGGTACTGCCAAATGACGTGCAATGGTGGGGGCAGAAAGGCAAATCATATAACAAGACCTGCGAAAAGAACGCGACTTGTGGGAATTGATAAGTTAAAGGTGCATGTGTCGCTCAGGTTGACACTTGCTTCCCAAGCTCAACAAGCTCTAGCTGTCGATAGCTCTGAGTGGAGCTTAGCGTTGTCATCAAGCTCAGTCAGGGACCAGAGCAAACCCTCTGCGGCTATCACAAGAGCTCGCCTTAAGATTGCTCGACAGATTCGCCCAAAGGGCTTAAATATACTACCTACCCGTAGAATCAGCGTAGTCCAGGCGACGCATCCAGTCCTTCGGTTCGTAGATACCCTCGACGTGGGCACAGGAAACCGGCCCCTTACATAAGGTACCTTCCGCCGCTGCTGTCCAAGATTTCACCTCCCCTTGAAGACGGGCTTCCTCTTCTCAGCAAACGCCTTAAGCGCCTCATCCCGATCCTCCGTCCTCACCACCCGCTCGTACATGTTATTCTCCACCACCTCGCGCGGCTCTTCCACGGCGCGTATGGCCGCGCGGATCGCAACCGGTCCGCCCTCGCAGATCTCGCTCGCCAGCCGGACGGCCTCGCTAAGCGCCAGGCGCCGCGCCATATGCAAGATCCTCTCCTCCCTCTCCTTGTCCTCCAGCGCCTGCCACTCCTTCGCCTGCTCCTCGCTCTCGGGCAACACCTCCACCAGCCGGTCCGCCAGCCCCAGGAAGTAGGCCTCGGGCGCGGAGACCCGCCGGCCGGTGAGGATCAGGTCGCGGGCGCGGGGGATGCCGATCAGCGCCGGCAGGCGGTAGGTGCCCCCCGCGCCCGGGATGATGCCGAGGCGGGTCTCTGGCAGGCCGACCACCGCGTTGGAGGATAACACCCGGAAGTGTGTGGCCAGCGCTAGCTCGAGCCCGCCGCCTAGGGCGAGGGAGGAGATGGCGGATATGGTGGGGATCGGGAGGGCCGAGAGAGAGGTGAGAGTTGTGCGGAGGTTGAGGAGGAAGGCGGCGGTTCTGGAGCGAGGTAGGTTTTGAGTTAGCTGGCTGGTTGAGAAGCGGGATCTAAGTAGTTTCAGAGGGAGCGAGATGAGCTTACTCCTCCTGAGTGAACGACTTGCGCTCTTTGAGGTCTGCGCCGGCGCAGAAGGACGTGTCAACTGCCGAGGCGAGGATCAGTGCTCTCGTAGGGCCCTTCTGGTCGTCGCCTGCGATGCCACCGAATCGCTTGCTCCATGATGGCGCGGGGATCTCATCGCCGGTTGCAGCATCGTACTGCGTGTGGACGGCGTCGATCTCGTCGCGCAATGAAGAGAGCAACGCGCGCGAGATTGCATTGCGCGCTGCTGGACGATTGAGTTCGAGGATGCGGATGTGGCCCGAATTGGGCGCGGGAAGGTCTGTTACGCGAATGAGTGGCCCGGCGTTGGCTTCGGTAGAATAGCGTGCTCGGCGGAGGGCCTGCTGGCCGACACGCAGAGCGGTTGACGCATTCAACGTGATGCTGAATCTGGGGTGCATCTCAGACACGATTGCGCGATGCAGTTGCGCTCTGGACTCCTGGAGTTGTGAAGAGAGGGCGGATGGGTTACTGGTGCTGAGAGCTCGTGGATGCACAGTGACGTCGTCGGCTATCGTCGGTCCTCAGTCTTCCGTCGGCGTTGCCAAGCCAACCTCTTCTCCTGAACTCATACATACAACCAACATCTATCTTTACGAATCTTACAATATAATGTTATCCATAAGGGGCGTTTCGGTCAATGCATTGCACTCGAAACATGTTTCTTCACTCGGATCTTGCTCGCCCACCTCGGTGATGGGGACGTGTAATTGAGTTGCACGTGGCCAAAGTGCCCCCCTTAACCAAAGCGCGCCCATCTACCTTGCGTTTCAACTAAAGACATCGCGAGATCCGGTTGTAGACACTCCGTACAATTAAACCTCCAAGGTGGGCAATTGTTTGGATGCCAGCCCACCTTGAATAGGCTGTCATGGTGCGTCTAAACTCGGGATGCTCTTATCAACGGCCAACCTAAGGTCGCTGGTGCAGCAGTTCAGAGCTGGCCCATCCCACCCCTTTTTTTCTATGCCAGAGCTACGCTTCTCTCTCGGACATCGACGATGAATTGAAGAATCGAAGAGAAAATGAGCGAATGTCCATTAGATGATCAGACCTCCGCGTAACCAGTCGCGGAAGGATACACAACATCTCCGGTAGTCTCTCTCTTGTCTATAGAAGAATCATCTGCTGTTTTGACCCGAGACCTCGGTATTTTCCCCTTCGCCGTTTCCCAGACTTATAATATGTCGCTTTATGCTTATGGTAGCGCTGCCATGCTGCTTCATCAACGCACGTGGCGTTATATATGCGAGTCGAAGTGGCTTTTTAGTATACATCGGAACTCCAGCATCGTCTTGCGAGCCATCGTCACCATTCACCTTCTATTGATGGCCTTCCTGATCCAGGTGGCTAACCGAGCTCGGCAGGGGACTTACAACACAAGTGGCACGGTCAGTGGAATTTGCTTACCAGACAAACTGTGGATGACATGCGAGTGCTGGGACGCAGCTACAGGATTCATGATGGGATCCAACTGTGCTATACCGTACATCGAAGCTCGGTCTGAATTGCAAAGCAGACCGGCGCAAAGATCTGCATCCCGCTCATCCTCGCCGCCGTGGACGTCTCGGCCTAGCTCGGGCCGGGACTAAGGGCCGGAGGACCGTTGGTGCTGCCGATTGCTCACGAGTCCCCGACCTCTCCGCGCCAGACGAGGGTTTTGACCCGTTGGCGGCGAAGGGCACAGAGCATGAAGAGTCGCGGCGGCTTCGAGAATGCCACCGACCCAGGGACCGGCAGGCCAGGGTATGAGAGGCGTGAATGCTCGGAGGAAGCGTATATGTACTCCACAGACCTTGTGAAACAGGAAATCTACTACGGGACGGAGAAACTGAGGATGTAAACCTTCTGCTCTTGCCACTCCGATAGCGGGTGTTGCCCTCGCACAGAGAACATCAAGCTCTCATGGATATTCTACGCGCTGGACTCCCAGCAGTTGGCCGACAAGAGGAATAATGAGAGCAGTGGTCGCAGACATATGGGCGGCGGTCGATCCATGCCTCACAACCCCCGCATCGGCCGGTGGTGTCAGTGGTGAGATGCAAACAAGGACATAGCCACGCCGAGAGGCACCACCCCTTCAGAAAGCGGCTCATTACACCTGTTACCACGCTATGCTTCGTTCTTGTATGGACCCCATAAGTACCGGAAACTGAAGGACGTCGCCGTTGTCAAGCCTGACTTTACCTGTAGCTACGTCAACAAGGGCTACATCGATGTTGAACTTGACGATAGCGATGACGAGAGGGGTTGGAAGGGAAGGAGGATGATGGCCAGGGACGCGGGAACCATGCTACGTCCAACATTAAATTTTCATGTCTAGGACCAAATGAGAGACAGTGGGACTGGTCGATGATCTAGCGTCTCTCGGGGGCCATGTGCTGGTCAGCAACGATCATATCGGAGTCATTGGATATTGAAGCGAAGAGAACCACTCAGTAAATCAGCTTGTATTTCCATACTTCCACAAATCCCATTCTAAAGCCCGTAATCCCACATCTGCCGCCAAACCCGTGCCCGTCAGCGAAGCGAAGAGACAATGTCGTTGACTCGGAGGTACAAAACAAGCAGCCCTGTCGGGGTAGCGTCTGTCCTGGTATAGCACGCCCCTGTCCCAAGCCGCTTTCAACCGCCAGGTTCCCATCAAGCCGCCCACGACATCTTCTCACTTGCCTACCCACCTGACCCCTCCGAAATCACCAAGTGTGAAGGGACTCGAAATAGCGTGCATTGAAAAAGGCCGATAGTCTCCCCATTGATATTGCGACTCGCGTCCAAAGAAGGTGCAAGGCAGGACGGAACGGCGTCAGGCCCCAGGAGTTACTGGTCTAAAAGGTTGTAGATAGCAAAGAGGCGGGAGAGTGGGCAGCGTGGCTAGCCGGCTGGCAGGGGTCCCAAGGGGGATCTCACACCGAATTCCACATGTCCCGGCATGCCCCGCCAACCAGACAAACGAAAGAGAAGACGCCCCAGGTAGGTCCGTTCGCGCGATCGATCCACCACCGAGTGTGACAAGACTAGTGTAGAATATCCCGTCCCCCCCAATCCTTCCCCAAAACGCCGATTATGCTGATGTCAAAGTGAAATACAGGGCGAGTTCGTTTGTCGTTATCACTTGGGGTGATCACGCATTGGTGACCTGTAACACTTTTGTCAGCAAAACGTCCGACCGGGGAAACGAAACGCATCGGGAAATACATACGCGAAGGATCCTCCTGGAGTAGTCTTGGTTGTCGGCGATGCTGCCGTCGCTCATTCTCCTCTGTGCCATCACTGGGTCCAACCGGGAATCCGTCATGGACGTGCCGCTGCTGCTTCCCGGCGGCTTGCCAATGAAGGCGCTGACTGCCGCATTGCGTCGATGTTCCTCTTCAATCTCCTGGTTTCTCTTACGGCGCAAGTAGAAGAAGCCGCCGGCGACGGCGGCTGCGACCACTACGACCGCCACCACGACGCCTGCCACAATACCCCCAGTGTTCGTGCCGCCGCTTGGCTTTTTCTCAGCATCGGAGGTAGGGGTTGCTGTGACGACAACAGTTTCCCCGACCTTGGTCGCCGATTGGGTTGGTGACGAGGTGCTCGATGTGCTAGACTTGGTTGTGCTGGGGTCGTCTTTGTACTTGACCGCTAATGTAACGCCAGTATTATAGATGGTCCAGGTATCAATGCCGCCGCCTAACGTCCCACTGTCAGTGTGTTCTGCACCATGGTTGCGAGACGAACGCAGCCACTTACATGCATGGTCACCGAAACCCGGGCAGGGCACATTGCATTTGGAATCCTCTACTAGATCGTCCTTGGGCGGGTATGAATTCCCGCACCAGCATTGGTTTCCACCCGTTGAGCCCCCAACGGCAAAGCCCCCATGGTAGCAGGTATCGGTGGCACATATGCCGATGGTGTTGTACTTGATGGTTGTGTTGAAGACTAAATCGCCTGACGACTTGAAACAACCTTGCACTGTCGGACTATCGAGAACGGGAGGTGTGATCGGTTGTTGCTCCCCCTTTGGTACTGCACGAGCGACCCTGCCGACCCTGCCGACCCTGCCGACTTTGCCGTCGTGCAGTTCTATCGCCGGTACGAAAGGATCGGGCATTGCGTCGGCCAGGGCAGCGAGTGCCGCGGCCAGGAAAGTCACCGACTTCATTGTGGATGAATGCGATCGCACTCCTTTATTGGGGTTTCTGGAACGAGGTTGGGGATTCGGGGTGGTGCTGGCCCGAGATCCTGCGGTTGACTCGGCCTGTAATGCCTCGCACCGGGTCTTCTTTGCTGCCCGGTCGGTCGCCGATGTGGTCTCAGATTTGCGGTTTTACGCTGACCAGTGGCCCACAGAACCTGCCGAATGGGTCCCAAAGGCCAGACGTAAAACGATGGTTGAAGGGGCAAGTGTGTCCCCCAAGAAATCGAATTGAAGGTTGACTGAACGAGCGGTCGCGGTCGGTGATTGTTGCTTTGGTCTATGTGCGTCTCCCTGTTTCAGCGGACGGGGCTACAGTCGAGAGGACATTTCCTAGCTCCCGCAGCGTGCTGTTGGGCAATGGTGCAGGTTAGGAAAGGGAGCGAATACCTTTCCTCGAGTCGAAGGAAGGTGGAGTGAGGATACACACGATGGTCAAAGGAGCGACTGTGGAGGGAACGAAAGTGGTTTTGTTGCAAGGTCGAGATCTGGCGAGGAGAGAGATGCAGAGAACCCACACAAAGACCTCGTCCTTGTGCACAAGCCACAGGGGAAACGAAATTGCGCTGGAGACCTCGGGCCCGTCACGCTCGAACGGCCCCTGCGTTTTCCGCTGTTCCCCACCACACCAAGAAGCAAGGCACCACTTTGGCCAGCTCATATTGGGCTTAGCCTGGTGGAGCGGCCACACGGCCAGAGCGGCCAATGATACTGTGCGCTGTCGCCGAATAAATGATTGGCATCGTATGATTGGTCAAAGGCAACCAGTTGACGCGGAAAAATCTCAGGCACAAATTCAGGGGCGGCAGCCATCCGCCGATCACTGAAGAAGGCTGCGAAGTCTCGGAATCGTCCGTTCTGTTAGTGTCTGTCAACCGATGTGAAAAGGATCGTAAGGATTGAGCGTATTGTTTCTAGTGGACCTTATCAGTTATTATCCTCTGGAACTGGTGAGTAACTACAGCTTATCTGCCTTCTCAACAACAGAATCTGTGTATGCGCACCCCACCAGTTGTTCTGATTCCCGTCGTGATTCTTCAAGATTCGCCCAAGCAGCTGGCCTTAGTGTAAAGTTGCTTCCAATGCCGGATAAATTATTTTAATAACCATATCCTCGCCGGTAGATCTTTCTGGACTGCTGTTGAGAGCTGCGGACAGCACTGTTGCGAAAGAATCAACCTCGGGTTTTTGGACACCATACTGTAAGTTAGCTAGATATACAGCGCACTAGGTCCCGCGACATGAAACAAGAAACACGGGGACTGAGGGGAAATGCGGTGCATCCTCCGTCCTTCCTTTTTGGCGGTGTAACAACAAACTGAATTCGTAGTGTGTAGAGAGTATCAGATCGTCACGTCCTTGTGGCACACTGGCAAGCGCTTTTCGTTGTTTCTGACTCAACCGTCGCTCTTGTTGTGTCACGCATCCATGGTCAGGCGATGAGTGATTACGGTGGTGAACTGGATACGAAGCAGCACAGCACCTGCAGCTTGCAGCCCCGGAGATTCCGCGTCTGATCTTTTCGTGCCACGGCGGGGTGGCTGTATTCCTTGGAATCAACCAAATGGCAACGCTGCATGCAGCCATGCACAGCCTCCCGTCAGCGCCGAAGGGTAAACCACGCGAGCAGCCGTCCCGTCCCTGGCTTGGAAAAGCAAACGGATGATCCCAGCTTTGCTTTTACGATGGGTTTCCGGGTTTTGAAGTTCATGCCCAGCCCTGTAAAACAAAATAAGTCTCAGCAGCAGGCGTCGACACGTTTCTTCCCTACAATGCTCAGTGCTTACGTACAGTCTGTACCTAGTTCTTGGTTCGGTAAAACTTACCAAAACATGTTGCCAGTGTTGCTGTTTGTTACTTTAGTCGTTAGCACTACTAGTACCTACCTAGTTGATATTCGTCCACGCCTCATGTTTTCTTTCTACAACTACTTTGTCCGCTCTGTTCCTTTGGGCCTCAAAGTCCGCGGTTAGCCTTTGGAGCGAGCTGTGTGAACGCTCTCGGCTGGCTCACACAGATAGATAAGGGGAGGCTTCACAGTTCACCCTCGGTCTGCCAACACGTTCTGTGCTTGTTCCTGCGCCGGATATTGACCTGGTGTGAGAGTATCAGCAACTCTGTTGGTGTGACCACCATTTCACAAGATCCTAACATCCGATGGACGGAACTAGTACTTTGTGGTGGACACTGACCTGGTGACTCCTCGCTTTCCTCTGTTTGTGCTCCCTCAAGCCTTAATCAAAGCGCTTGAGTCATGTCTCATACAACACAAGTCCCAGTATTCAGGCTCACGTCTAGCCATGCCGCCTAACTGTGAGGGCGATCCTAGCTAGCGACCTGTTTAGCCCCAGTCAACGAACGAGATCATCGCTCTGTCCAAATCCCCCGAAAAAGTCAGCGCCGAATCCCATTCCGAGCTGTTCCTTCATTATTCCAAGAGTCTCGGTGGGCCTGGATACCTAGGATGGTTCTACCTACACCCAAAGCTGCTTCGTCATCACTAGCCTCAGAGAGGAGCTTGTGGGCGGTACAGTCAAGCAAGCTTCACAAAGGGACAGAGTCGTTCCAACCGAACGACATCCATAGCTACTAGAGAACGAATGGATTGATACCCCCACATATCGTATTCAACACATTGGTAGCCAGCAACAAATCAGAGCCGTATGCCCGGTACTGACTCCTTCCCTCCAGGGAGCGAAGGAAGAGTCAAACCTTCCTCGGCCCTCACTTCTTACCCTGAGCGCTGCCCTGATGATGTAGCTCCGACTCCTTGCACTCCATCCGGTGCTTCTTCCAATCCTTTTTCTGGCACTCGCTCGAGCAGTAGACCACCTCCAAGCATCGCAGGCACTTCTTCAGCCTCACCCCTTCCGTCTCCTCGGTCTTGCCGCAGTTCCTGCACGCCTTCATCTCCTCCCCTTCTTTCCACGCCTCGCCGCTGGCCACAGCTTTGGCCAGCGCCGGGTCGATCAGCTCCTCGACCAAGCGCGACGCAAACACGGGGCTGATGGCGACGCGCGTGACATACTTCGCCGCGGTCTCCCAGTCCGGCAGCGGGATGAACTCGTCTGGCAGTTGGCCCTGCCCGCAGCTGCATAGCACTTGCTTGCCATCCTCCAAGCTCAGCGGCACGCGCCCCTGGGTGGCGTACTCACAAGTCGCCGGGTCGTGATTCCACGTCCTGCACCGCTCGGCCAGCGCGGGCAGGCACTTCTTCCACAGGCGCAGCTCGGCGTCGTCCACTGTCAGCGTGCAGCATTCCAGCGTGCGCAGGATCAGCAGGAATGACTCGAGCTCCTTCGACTCGACTAGCTCCTTGGTCAGGGGCAGGACGGCCGCATCGAGCGCGACGCTGCCGTGGGCGCCGTCCAGCCGCACGGCGCTCACGAACAGCAGCATGTGGATCCCGCCGCGCTGCGGGTGGGTGAGCGCGAAGAGGCCGGTCTGGCCGCCCTGCAGGCCGGTGGCGAGCATGAAGATGGTGAAGAGGGATTCTTTGAAGTTGAGGCGGGCCGAGGAGGACAGGCCCGCGGGTTTGGTGCTGTTGGCCTCCGCCTGGGTCTGGACTCTCTCTCGCTGGCGACGCTCGTGGGAGGAGAATTGCAACGATGCGAGAGTCGTCAGGAAGCGCATGCGCGACTTGTCGTCGACGGCTAAGATGGGGAGGATATCGAGATTGATGTGGGGCATGTTGAGGGTAGCTGGGATCTTGGAGGGTTCGATAAGGGCCGTGGGGAACATGTGGTCGTCAAGAACGCGCGGCAGTGTGCTTGGCTTCGCGAGCGGCGCAATGAGCTCTATCCAGCCAGATGTCCGTGCAATGCGGCTTCTGATCCCATCTTCGAGGACGGGGACCGGGAAGGTCAAAGGCAGGACCAGAACTTGCTCGCCGAAAATGACGGCGATAGTGAAAGGGGACGACTGCCGCAGTTGGATCTTCGCCTTCTCAGCCAGCAGCTGTTTGCCTTGCTCTGAAGTGATGTTGAGGCGACCTGTGATCGTGGGTATCTCCCTGCTGTTTTCAAGGTCCAGAGTAAAGGTTGACTCTGACGACGTGATGCTTTCACCCAAGCTCCTGGACTTCTGTAGACCTCGCAACATACCCTCAGTGACGCTATGACCGGTTTGGTTTGGTAAGTGCTTCGTGAAAAAGACCAGTTCCTCGTTGAAACACGCAGCATCGAAGAAGTGGTCGGGCAGGATAGTCGCTGTTTCCTGCTCCTCGTTATCGGGGAAAACGGCCAACCTGCTCAGCCCGAGGGTTCCTCGGCTGTACATCTTCTGGGCAATTTCTGTCGGAGAATAGAAGGAAATGATCATGGAGGAAGTTCCATTCCAACCAGCCTTGTCTTCCAGTACTCGGACAGTAAAGCTGTCTTGATTGCGGGCGCCCTCTGTCTCGACAGAGCCGAAGGAAATCTGGATATTGTCGTGTAGCACTGACACCATCCTGTCAGTGACGATCCGTATGTGACCTACAAGCATGGCGCCGAGCGATGTTTCGAAGTCGTCGTCAGAAATTCCCGTGACTAGCGTCTGCCAATGTTCCCTCGGTACGACGACGGTGACGGCAACCATCCGTGGGGGGCTAGTCCAGTAAGTAAAGGGAGCCCGGAACTTATTCTTGCTCTCATCTGAGCCCTCAAATACCGACAGGTTGACTGGGATGGTTGGCGATTCGAGCATGAACGCCTGGAGGTGAGCCTGAAACGTGACACCAAGTTCCCCGTAAGGCCCCATGAAGATCCAGTCGCGCCCCACGAACCGTTCGCGGAGCTTGGCCAAATCTACACCGGCTTCGTCCCAAATAGTATTGAGGAAGGCAGCCACAGTCTCTGTGGTGTGCCGCAGCCGTGCCGGCCTTTGAAGCTCATGCAAGTTCGCGCTGATAGGGAACATCTCGTCGAAGTATCTCTGCGCCATATCGATCAGACCATCGAATGTGGCACGAAGCTTGGCGGGTTGCGGATGCTGTTCTCCCATGTGCTTCATCTGCTTCCAAGCAAAGCGGGAGCCAAAGGTTGAGCTGTTCGTTCCTATCGTCGCGCTCTTATCGGACCAGGCCATCAACTCTTCGTCGGCTCTTGAAACAGCCTTGGAGTTGGTCCAATACTCTGCAGGAACCAGCCCTAGCAAGATTGAACAAGCGGTGGTATCATGACAAAGCATACGGGTAAAGAGATCGTCGGCCCTAGGGTGCTTGACATCTTCGTGTTGGATGCCTTTCGTGTACAGCGTGGAGTACGGCGCTTCCTTTAACAAAGGAGCGGCTGAGACCAGCAGGTCCAAGATGGTGGTGTCATCCGAGAGGTTCGAAGTGTCGATGACATCGAACCGCTTGGGTGCTTTGCCATTCCCACCATACTCCGAGTCGGCAAGCTGCAGGACATCAAAGCCATACTTCCGACGGTACCATTGGGCACACGTTTCGCCGGTCTCCAAGTTGTACCGGAGGGTATAGCAGAAGGCAAAGCAGTCGGATACCGTAAAGCGGATAGTGATTGTTGGGGCACCAGCTGTGAAGGCCTCTATCCACTCATCGAACTGCATGAGAGCCGTTTCAAGCAGCCTGTCCTGCTTCCTGACATTGTCCTGCCCCTCTTCCTCCAGCCGAAGTGGGGATAGCTCGGTCAGTTTGGCGTGAGCGGCGGCAAGATGGAAACTGAGGAGCGGATTTGTCGGGTACTTAAGGGACAAAGGCTCCATGAGAGGGACCGCGAATATGGGGTTCGGAGTCATAGGTGTCTCATTCTTGCTGGGATCGGGAAGGGGTACAGAGCCGGTTAGGCCCGTAGACCAGTGCTGAATAGTAGTCGAGGCTAGCTCGTTGGCAATGTGCATGGCCAACGGGGCGCATGACCATGAAACATGCAGCTTGGAGGTGTGTTCTGTAAATAAGGTCTGAATACTCAGCCTTGCCCTGGATAGGTTGGACTGGAAGCGTTCCCGATATGAATTGTCCTGAGGAGTGCTAAAGCGGGCCGACACAGCATACTCGACCCAGATTTCACGCACCAGCGAGAGCGTGGCCTCGTCGCAGAAGCGCACCGTGGGTCCATAGCAGCTTGCATGCCAGTCACGAAGGGACTGAGAAAACCCAACGAGTTTCTTGGCCTGGTTGCAAACCAGCAACATCTCAGGTTCGCTGAGGTAAAAGTTGTAGTAGATGTTCCATAGCTGCTGTGCCGAGACATTCTCGTCGTCATCTAGGACGAGCGTGAGGAACAGTACATTCCGCGCTGGTCATTATTAGCGTCACATAGACCAACAACGACTAGGAGAGCTGCTGATATCTCACCAATCAAATGTTCATCAGTGTCACAAGCGGTGATATCGAGCTTGCGTTCCGGAAGTCCTTGCTCGAAAAAGGAAGTGTACAGAATATGACGGACATCACCGCAACCCAGCAATAGAATATCTGCATCGACTCCATGAGGCAGGTCTTCGGTCAGGCTTGTAGCCGGGCTGAAGCTGCCTACATGGAGCCTTCTGCCCGGGCTAAGTAAGTGGGGAGTGTGCATTTCCCTCCCTTTTCCAGAAATTTAGACACCGACCATAAAGAGTGCCAGTGAATCCCCTCTTGATCAATCTTTGCTTGATGATTCAGTCAGAAGCCCCTCGGAGCATTCATTTGCAACCAAGGATCATCGCAGAGGTAGATTGAGTGACGGTGATCGGGGGTATCAGTATAATCAGCCTAAGACGAGTACAGATCCCAAAGGTGTTGTTGCCAAGGGAATTTTCTGGAGGAGTCGTTTGGTCGGGTGAAGCTGGTGGGAAAGCACCGTGTTCCCATACAGTGTTTAACGGCCTCGCACGGTGCATTTTGTGGGTGTCACATAGCCTACATATCGTTGATGAGTAGTAGTAGTAGGAGTAACAGGTTATCTGTTGAATGTTGTCAATGACTATAAGAACAATGATTGTGCAAGTGAAACCGGTGGAGGTCGACATTAATGGTATCGTATGTCTTACCAACTTTGTGACCTTCATAATATCTGATGGGATTAGTCTGTAACTGCCATACTTGAGTACAGGAGAAAGTTGGTAGAGAGCAACTTCTCCACTGGGTACTGACTTGGAGACGGAAGATGGAGAGAAGGCCTTTTGGAAAGGATGGGAAATAACCAAAAAGGAGACGCAACTGCGAATCAAACATGTGGTCCTACAAAATCCACAGCAGGGTTGCGCACGCAGAGAGTGTTGGTCAATTTTTCTCAGCTTGACCACTACACCACGCAGAGATTCGTGGGAAGTGAGCAGTTCGGGGCGGGGGGTGCGTTGGAAGGAACACCCACCATGGGAACTTATATACCCGTTTCTTTAATGTTGCCTGTACACATAGGCACAGGAGCTGCCTCTCCCTCTCTCTCCCCCATCAGCGGGAAGGCTCCAGCGCGGGGGCAGGAGAAAGAAGAGACAGGGACGACTGGGAAGAGATTGCAGAATTGGCAAGGGTTCTAGGAAGAACAGAGCGGATAATCGGGGCTTGGACGATGTGATGGGCGGGCTGGAGGCGGTTAGCCCCATAGTGAGCAGTTGGCACCACGTCATGATTTATCCAAGTTCATCTGTGCCGTCTCCCAGCAGGTATTGGCAAGAGGGATTGGGAAGCTGCCATGTTGTGTCCCAAAATACGAAGAATATCTCAATAGTCCCGCCACCCTCGCTGTCCAAGATCACTGTCCATAGAGCCAAGAAATGCAAGAGTACAAAGGAAACCCTCCAAGGCCATACCCCTGAGCCACTGCCCATTATGACCCGTGGGCCATTAACCACCACCGTGACAAAGGAAAAGAGTAGCTCGTCCCTGGTCTTACACTGCCAAAACAAAAGAAGCACGGTAGTGAGTACACGGTATCCCACCTCCTCAAACCATTCCTTCATAACAAAACATAGGTAGCAGTGGTGGCCGGATTCCCCCTCCCCCAGCTTCTTGCATGGAGGATGGAGGGAATGTGCTCCCCGCAGAAAACGCGGTTCGGATTTGTTGCCGAAACCACCCTAAAAGAACAAAAGACCCGGAACCCAACTCTTAGGAGATCTATCCCAATGCCAGCAATTCAAGAACAGAGACTGCCCCAAAAAGCCAGCAACCCAAAGCCATCACTGACACACGCAAGAAGCCCCCTACCCCGATCAAACGTACCACCTTTCTTACCCAGGCTGTTGACTACGCAGGCCCAAAGTAGAGATCATCCCCACTCATATTCGACATGTTTGTAAACATGCTGACAGGATCAAACTCGTCCTCGCTCGTAAATTTCTCGAACTTGCCGCTCCCCACAGCCAACATCAGCGACCCATGGTCCAGCGAGACCAATCCGTCGTCTGAAAACTGGAGGAAGGAGAGGTCATCGCTCTCCGCCAGACCAGGAACCATGACGCTGCCGGACAGCGGGGTTGCGGAGCTCTCCTGCAACGAGGAAGACGAGGAGGACGATGATGACAAGGAGGATGAGGTGGAGGAAGAGGATGAGGAGGCGGCTAGGTTGGCGGCTGCTGTTGTGCCTAATCCGATGATGCTCGCCTCTGAACTCATGCTGGTGTTGTTGGCATCGCTGTTGAGCTCGAAGAAGCGCGCGCTGGTGCCTGTGGGCGGCGGGGAGCCTGTTGAGGAGAGGCCCGGCGGGCTGCAGGGACCGTGGGTGTAGTGGCTTGCCGTGCTCTTGGCAGGGGACGGTGGTGCGTTGTGGTGGTTGTGGTAGGGCTCGCTTTTTACGTGCGGAAGGATGGTGTTGCCGCCGACGACGGAGGCGTGCGAGGTGTGGGATGTGTGGCTGTAGTCGCTCGTGGCGGACGGGGACATGGCGCTGAAGCTGCCACTGAGGGTAGACGGCATGGGCGCGCTTGAGACCCCTAGGTTGGTTGGGTCCATGGTTGCTGCATTTGACATAGACAGCAGGGCTGTCTCTGTGATTCCGGGGAACTGATCGTCTTCGAGCAGGCCGTCGAAGTCGTTGCGGGGAGAATTTGCAGCCGAGCTGCAGGTGTCCGAGTATCCGGACTGACTGCTGGCTGAGCAGGCTTCGGCTTCCGTGAGCTTGTTCTTGCGCCTTGTCCGCTCGGCCTTCTCTTTGCGCTCCTCCATCTCTGGTCGGATCTTTTTGGGTCTGCCTCTCTTCGCCACTTTTCGCACGACCCCGTCCACCGCGCCGATGCACATGCCTCGCTGTCGGTGGCGTGTGAGGGCATCGTGCCTGGCAAAGCTCTGGCCGCACTGGCACGGGTAGGGCTTGATGCCTGTGTGGATCTTGGCATGTCGCTTCAGATCGTGTTGACGAACGAAGCACTTTTTGCATGTTGGGCACTGGTACTGCCTGTCGTTGAGGTGTGTCTGGACATGGCTCTTGATGTTCTCCTTGCGACCGAAGGGTTTGTTGCAGTTCTCATAGAGACACACCCACTTACCCGTTGTTGGGTCAGGTCCCTGGATGAAAGCAGCGATATCCTCAAGCGTCACCCCGGTTTCTGTCCTGGTCTCTTCAATGTTGATATCGGCGATACTCGCGGCACTCGTCATCGAAGCAATCGAATCCGCTCGACGATGCGGTGAACAGCGACGAGAGGGCATTTTACTGGCCGGAGAGGACCCGCCAGGAAGATGAGTGGTGCTCGAGGAGGCGAAATCGATCGGAGGTTGCAAATTGGGCCTAAGCTCGAAAGCTCCCCGAGGTACAAGGTCGGGCGTCCCAGACCGCACCGGCGAAGGCATGGCTTGCATCTCCGGCGGGCAAGTTGGGAAGCTCTCAAAGCTGCTCTCAATCTTCTTGAACTCAGCGCTGATCTTGCGCATGTCCATGAAGTCCGGCGTCGATGGTACGTGGCTTGTCATGGCCATGGGGATGCTGCCTGTGCGGGGAGGCGTCGTCGCCATGGCCTCCGCTTGCTGGCGGAAGTCTTGGAAGATGCCGGAGTTTCGATTGCTGGGCCTCTTGCGGATAGGCTTGAGAGTTTCCTCCATCGACTCATCGTAACCTTCTGAGAACCTGCTCGGTACTTGAACGGAGTCTGGCTCTTGCTTTATCGGTGTCTGGACCGGCGTTTGAGTGAAGTAACCTGCGTTGTCATCAGCACAGCAAACCAAGAGAGAGCTCTGATTCTGAGTTCATACCAATCCCAGTCTGACTGTTAGGCGTACACGGCCTCTGTAACGACGGGGAACCGGGTCCATTGTCTAGGGCCTCGAACTTGGCAACCTTGTCCAGAATCCCGTTGCTTATACGTCGGGACCCTCGTCGTGAGTGGTTGCTCGCTGTCTCGCCATCCGATATCCACCCTTGGGATGCTCCAGCTGGGCTGGAGTCTGGGAAGTTCATGAAGCTTGGTGTGGAGAGCGCACTATCGGCGCCAAAGTAGTCCATGCCAAAAGATCCCGAGTACAAGTCTAGTGAAAGACCGTGAATGTTGTCTGTTGGTCCTTGCGCGGCTTCCGTCGCGAACTGTCGGCCCGGGAACGTGACCTGAGGCGACATGAGGAAGGCGTCGCTTTCCTGTTGCGTGAAAATGGGCAGGCTGGGGCCCGGGCGCGCTGTGCGTTGCTGCTGCGCTTCTCGCAGTACATGCTGTGGCGTCGTTGGTGTTCCTGGGTTGGTTCCCGACATACTTACCGCTGGGTAGCTCGGTCGCGGGGTAATGGGCCTCGGTGTCGAGCCGGGTTGTTGTCCTCGCGTGTCCAGGCTGAGGCCTCGTCGGTGGGACGTGTGCGGTCGCTGTTGGAAGCTGGGCAAGGGTGCGATCTTCACTGCCTCAAAGGCCGATGGCGTCGAGTTTTGCCGCCGATGTTGGCGTTGCCGCGAGTGAAGCCCGCTCATGTTGGGTGGATTGGACAGCATTGATAAAGCAGAGCTGAGTTCGGAGGATGGGCCCGTTGTCGTCGATGTGCGGCTGCCGCACGAAAAATGCGCTGGTAGATATGGTTCCGAGACTGCACCATCACCCGTATCAGTCAGTCCAGCGCCATGTCAGTTCGTTCTGTCGATGCGACAGCGTCGAAGCTGTTCGTTCCGGAGGGAGCATACCTCACGCAACACGAGCCAGGTGGCCGGGCGATAGGAGTCGTGTTGTTGTGCTCAGTCGGGCAAACTGTGTGCAAACGACTGATAGATATTGCTGGTGAATGAATGCAGGCCTGACTTGATCGAGATCCTCTGACTAGCAGATGTGATCCCTAAGTATGAAGATGGCGATGTAGCAGTCGACCGCGAGTAACGATCGTTGTTGAACACCGAAAAGCGGGCTAACTTAACAGGGGACTCCAACAAAGGAATGGGGGATAGTTATGATGGTGTTCCGCTGGGATGCAGAAGATCATGAAGTTCAACCCTAATCCGATGTTGTTTACTTGCACCCATCTGCGCCGTTGTCTAGGCAACCTCGCTGATGCCGGCGCCTAATTGGCCCACGCAGATTGGGACCTTGTTCCTGAGATCGGGACCCACTTTGATGTCATCGAATCACCCTCGACCTCGGTTTGCGCCCCACCCATGTGCCTGGTTTCGGCTGTTTCCGAAGCTCCCTGGATATCCACGGGTGGAATGCACCATCAATGCAGGGCCTGCCACCTGTCCGCTGTCCGCTCGCCTGCCTATTCACGTCAAGCACACTGTGCCTCTAGTTGATGGAAATTTCCTCACTGTTTAGTCACCCATTCAAATGGATCGCGTCGCTGTCGCACCAATGAGGCATGACCAGAGTCTCATACCCTGACTTCCGAAAGGTGGCAGGTCTTTCGCGCCTCGGGTTGTGATAATAGTGCGGTCAGCACTTTCGGGCTTGGTCTTCCTTGGAGCTGCAGTCGATGGTCCGAGCCCAGACTGCCGAATACAGCCCGCTTACTCTGGATCGGCTTTGACGGAAAGGCGGCCGGGCAACTAGGTGGACGATCCTTGTTACCCAAGCGTCGACTTTCGGTTGGATCCACGTTTGTATCCCCTGGAAGCCACGAATTCCAAGCGGGGCCAAACGGTTCATGTATTGTTGTCAGGTACTGACACTGTTCTTGCCGTATTGTTGCGCCGAGATAGGCCGGGCGACCTTTTTCCACATGACGCATAAGCTGGGGGCCATCCAATCTCTGACCCAATTTTCGAGCTATTAGTGAGACTGGCTTCCGTAAGATGACGCCGGGATCATGTCTACCGTATACACGGTACTGCGACTGCGCTCACCGATAGTACAATCTCCTTCCGAACCCGGATGTTGTTGTGCTTGACGACGTTCGGTAGGCCGGCGGGAATCCTCCGGTCCGGCCGCGGCATGAGCACCAAGATATTGTAGTGAAGCACGGGGGCCGGGAGCTTGTCTCCGCTCTTGTGCTCGACTTCCCTACCGGAGAAGTGGGCCTGGCCTCCCGGGGGGGGGGGTGGGGGGGCAGAGTTATCAGAGGATTCGAGGCTGGCTTCACACTTCCTCCTGAGACTTTTTATCTAGTCAGAACTGCCTTCCGACGTAAAACACATCGTCCCACCCCATCTCCCTAACCATGGAGAAGGAGTTCACGTCTGCACGAACCGGTACCAAGCCCTCAAACACGAGTCGTTTGGGGGCGACAAGGTACCTAGGTACTCATGACCATCGCTTGTGAGCTTTTGAGCCATAGCAACAACAAAAGCTCCATGCTCAAGCCGCAAAATAGGAAATCAGCGGATTGCGTACGAAAGCAGCACGAACATCTCCACCAACATCATCCCTGGACATCAGAGCCAGGGCTACCGATGCGAGACACTCGACTGGGTACTAGACTGAGGCTTCTTGACTCCCAGAGGAGCGTCTCAGTCGATCTGAAGAATATGCCGAGGGAATCTATCTGGTTCAATGGCGCATTGTCCACAAGGCTCTGCGTGATACATTGTGCTGGAGGATATGTAGAGGGAGAAGAACGACTTTGAAGGCGTGGTAGAAGTTGTCAAGGGCACTCCGGTCGGGGAATCCGACTCCTGGCGCCGACATCGCTTGATCAAAGGCCGATTCCCCTTCGTCGTAACCTTCTTTACAGGCCGCATCCGGCACTTGCAGCTACCCAATCGGGCGGGGCGTACCTGCAGGCGCATGACAGGATGCTGTGTGACTACCTAGGTACCTACCTACGGTCACTGCGAGCCGTTTGCCTCAGCTGATACCAGAAAAGGTGGTAAGATACTTCGTTCAACTTAGGCCCTCATGGGGCTGGCGATGGAGCTGAATGCCACAAACAGCAGGAACATTGAGATGGCTGGCGTGCAAGCACCCGCGCAGACACCCCGGCTTGCTTCCCGGACTCAAAGTAGGGGGATCCCGCTGCCCGGTCGGCCCTTCCCCTTCCAACTCCGAATGGACCGGACCACCGAACACTGAAAGTACAACCGGCTCCCAAACTGCTCCTGCCTTTCGGGGTCGGATGAAGCGATGCAAGGTCATTTGGACTCATAGCCTTCCCGATGCTGCAATAAAGACTTACTCATTCCAAACTTCTTGCCCACCACGCCGTGTCGTTTTTGCGCCGTCAAACCATCAACCACTGTCCACTGAGTATCGGACGCACTCCGAATTACTCCAGCTACACATCATACCAGAACTCTCTCCTTCGATTTAACGTCAAGATGGTTCTCGCTGTTCCCACCGCCAGCCTCGAGGGCAAGGTTGCACTGGTGACCGGAGCAGGCCGCGGCATCGGCAGGGGCGTGGCCCTCGAGCTCGCCCGCCGCGGTGCCTCAGTGGTCGTCAATTACGTTTCGTCCGCCGGCCCTGCGCAGGAGGTGGTCAAGGAAATCGAATCCTACAAGAACGGCGCCGGCGCCATCGCAATCCAAGCCGACGTTTCCAAGGTGTCCGAAATCAACCGGCTCTTCGCTGAGGCCAAGCAAGCTTTTGGCCGGCTCGACATCGTCATGTCCAACAGTGGCACCGAGTCATGGGACAAGACAGAGGAGGTGACCGAGGAGAAGTACGACCACGTTTTCAACCTCAACGCGCGCGCCCAGTTCTTTGTCGGTCAGGCCGCCTTTAAGAACCTGGAGCAGAACGGCCGGCTCATCCTCATGACGAGCATTGCGGCCGGACTGATGGGCGTCAAGAACCACGCGCTGTACAACGCTAGCAAGATGGCGGTGATCGGTATGGTCAAGGCTTTTGCTACCGACTTTGGCGTGAAGGGAATCACCGTCAATGGTGTGGCGCCTGGTGGCATCAAGAGCGACATGTTCACGCAGAACGCCTGGCACTACATCCCCGGAGGCACCCCCGACATTCCGGCCGAGAAAATTGAGCAGCTGATGGCGGAGCACTGCCCGCTTGGCCGCTGCGCCGTGCCTGAAGATGTGGCTCGTGTGGTCGCCTTTCTGGCGAGTGAGGATGGTGGTTGGGTCAATGGTAAGTTTGCGCCCTATGGGTGGATAATCGGACTCGGTGTGGCATGTGCTGACGTTCGCAACAGGACAGGTGATCACTATCTCGGGCGGTTCATCTCAGTAATCAAGGACAAACGAGGCAGCCATGACCACTCCTTTATTTGGCAGGAAAACACTAGGGACGGGTGAGGATGGAGTTCGGAACAAAATAAGCCAAGACTACCTAACCTTTGAGCCGGAGTTCGAGGATGCGACTGACACATGGTAATGCATGTTCTGGGGCCCCCAGGTTTCTTTACGGGGTATGCGGTTCATCCTAAGGCATCTCAAGTTTGACAATCCCTGGTCCCTTGTGTGTACTGTTAAAACATTGCATCCTGAACGACACAGAGCAGATCGACTTGAATCTATGCTTCACAGCTGAAAGCAGATGGTTGACAACGGAGTAGTGCCCTGTATCTAAATCTGAACGTCGCTCTCAGCCTTTAGTCCATCAGATCATAATGTTGATAGGCTCGCCTAGACCCGACAAGCATGCAGCAGACAAAAGGAAAGATGGTGTCACTTTGAAGCCATCACGGAACTTGGTTGAGTTTCCAGATGAGAAAACTCCCGTTGAAGTGCTTATACGTGACGCTTGCTCCATACCAATACCATCCTGTACTGTTGTCCTATGGACTTCCATTCTTACCAACTCTTTGTTGAGGTCTGCGCAGAATTCTGTGAGTTCCTTTCTCTGATAGATCCCACCGTACGTTGCTGACAGGAGAACACATACGGACCGGAGGTTCCTGAGCCATTGCGACGGGGCATGCGTCGAATATATGCAGACATGACTTGCTGGAGGGGGACTGTGGTGCCGGAACGACCAGGAACGAGAGAGCAGCGTTTATGGCAGATAGTTAGACATCACGAAGCGATGATTAGGTTCTTGCGACCTTTCTATGGGTTTGCGGATGCAATCTTCGTCGCTGGGAAATCGGTAGTTTGTTGCACTGGGGTCAGCGCATTGTTGTGGTGGTGGGCAGCCTGAAAAGGAGGCACTGCGTATGTGGTACAAGTACACGTTGGGAGGGTTCTTCTCCCTCTTCTGCATCAGATTCCCATTGTTGTTGCCGGGGACGGAATTAACCAATTGGTCAGCCTCGGTGCGGTGAAGACCATTAGTAAACGGCCCCAGAATAAGCTAGTCCGTGGAAAGCTATCCACCTATCATTAGAGAATGGAGGATGGCGAGAGTTATGGATTCATATAAACCTCAGCCATCTGCGTCTTTCGTCAACTCCGGTCCAGCCTTGGTCTCAGAGTGCCAGCCAGGACACGAAGATGCAGAGTAAGGTGACTAGGATGGCCTCAGTCGCGGACACCGAGGGAGTGATGGGGCCACCCAAAAGGCACCATGAACACGGCAACCGAGCTACTGTGAGATGCTGGCCACTTCTAAGTTGAGTTACCCATTATTACAGTACTTATCACCAGAACAAGCTAACAAGCAATAGCCAAACAATCCAGGTTTTGTTCCTCCCGGCAACACAATCTTGTTCCCAAAATGAGACGAACTCCATCCAACAACCGACCGAACCCAATAGGTATTACCGGCTTACGCTGAAGCCAAGAGCTTTTCCTTTTGCTTTTCCAAAAGCCCCTTGTAAGTAGTGTCTGCCCTACTAGATCCAATCTGCATTCCCAACTCTCTGTTCCCTGTCCCTGGTATTAATCCATTAATTTACTTTACCCTCTGCTTCCTCCTCACAGTCCCCATCCGCTCGAGCAACCCGAGGTCCCACCACCCCTCAATGAAACCCCACACAGTCCTCCGTTTCTTTCCCGACGGCGTGACAGGGCTCGGGCTCGGGGGGGCACTATTGTTGTTGTTGTTGTTGTCGACGATGGTCGCTGTCACGGACTGCACCGCGGGACTGAGCACCTCCTTGAAACCAGTGTTCTTTTCGGCCGCCGGCGGGTGGATAACTACGATGGGCGGGGGAACCGGCTTTTTCTTATTGTTGTTGTTGTTGGTGGTGGTGGTGGATCGGAAGGATTTGGTCAGGCTGCGCGACATGATCCCCAGTCCCTCGAACCCGACGCGGAGGGGAGAGAGGGGTGAGCGGGGGAGTTGGATGGGGATTCGTTTGTGTTCGTCCGGTATGGCGTCCTCGATCGCTGAGTTGCGGGACGGTGGAGATCCTGGCCTCAGCACCGGAGGGGGAGAGGAGGTGTTGCGGGGGGCCGACGAGGGTAGGGGAAGCGGAGGCGCACGGGAGAGTAGAGGCGAGATGCCGTCTTCTTCTCGCTTGTTTTCGTCATTTGTATTGTCGTCGGTTGGCGAGGCCGGGATGGGTGGCATCCGGGCAGCACGAGCACTTGTGCGCCGTGGAGGCGGGGGACGAAGGCCGCGCAGCTGCGGGGGGCTTCCGGTGTCGAGCTGTGGATCGCTGTAGGTGGAAGAAGACGCGTCCGAGTCGGAACTGAGTCGGGGCGGGGTGAGGCGAGGGTTGGGAGGGAGGCCAACACGGGCGGCGGCGACGGCGGCGCGCGGGGCGCCCCGGGCGCGGTCTCGGATGGGCGCCTGCGGGGGAGGCGGGAAATATGGAGGGGCTGCGGCAGGCCTGTTCCATGGCTCCTGCTTTGGCATCTCAATGCGGCTGCCCCCGAAGGCGCCCGCGCGTCCCTAACCCTCGATATCCTTCGGGACAGCCCCGCGGCGGATGCGGTGCCACAGGCCAACGCAGACGAGGCCGGAGAAGGCGAAGAGCACGCACAGCGCGATTGACAGGCCCCAGACGGCTTTGATCTCGTAGCAGGTTGGCTGGTCCAGCGTGACGAAGGTGAGGTAAGACAGCGTCCTGGTGATGATGCTCGTTCGGACTGGGTAGCCGACGGACGCAAAGAACGCAGTGGACGTGAAGTTGGACGAGACTGGGAGTACCTTGCAGTTGAGCATCGACAGGGGCTTGCCAACGAGCGAGGCCACGACGATGGAGGCGATGAGAAGCAAGCCGTCGAGGATGCCAGTCAGGAGCAGCGGGAGCATGCTGTCATAGTAGAGAATGTAGGTGATCACGACATAGACCACCGCTGTCACCGCCTGGCAACTTGTTAGGCGAGCTGCTCAACCGCAAGAGGATCAGGGGTGGGCGCATACCACTGTGAGAGTGCCAATGAGCTCCGAGGGAGGGTTGTGCTCAGCAGCAGCGACCTCGTTGATGAAGTTGGCGCAGAGCCCAATGACAGCAATCAGCGACGCGAATTGGCATGCCCGCATGATACTGAAGGTCACGCCCATGGCGCCGAGCTGCGGTGCCTGGAACCGCATCTTCAGGGCTTGGCTCGACTCGAAGTCGGTGACTAGCTGAAGGGAAGGCCGCTCTTTGCTCGCTGTACGCAGGGGGAACTTCGGTTTCGGGAAGGGCGCTGTCGGCGGCGGCGGGAAGGAAGCGTTGGCGGAAATGTTGGGCAACGGGTAAGGGGTCGTTGGGGATAGCGTGGTCTGCTTCACACCGGATGGCGTGAAGGGTTGGAGATTGGAGCTGGGGACAGATCAACTACCGTGAAAGACCAAAACCAGGAACTGTTGTTGCTGTTGGGCGAGAATTTCAGAAAACTAGGAAACCCTGAGATAAGTAGACAAGGAAATCCGTAAGGAGACCGTAAGTTCGTTATGACCCAGATAAGGAACCTGTCAACCCAAGGAAAGATGAGACGAGGGACCCAGAAGAGAGGAAAGATAAAGAAACGAGAACTAGGGAAAAAGAAAAAGACCTAGGAAAAGGACTTTGGAAGATGTTGCTTTGGTGAGACCCTCTCGAGAATAAGTCCTTAGGACATCGTCTGCCCTTAAGTAAACAACTGCCACGGGTCCAGACCGTCCAGGACTTGTTTAACCTGACCTCGGTGACGGGCCCAGATCCATGGTCCGGCCATCTCGACATCCATGATCGTTGAATTGTCGACGACTCAAGTCACTCAACCACGCCATTCAACCCATGCACTCTCAACCTCAAACAAGCGCGTCCCGCCCGTGGCGCCTAAGCTTCTATGCGCATCATGGTCCCACATCATGGTCGATTGCACGACAGTGCGTGGAAGCTTTGCACAAGCTCAGCTCCAATTGCTATTTTCGCTCTCGGTAGCTGGCAGCCATGGGTAAACACAAAACGATGGCAGCTCTCAGTAGCCGCCCCGCGCGCCAATCGGATCGCCCAACTCTCCGCCGACCGGGTATCGCAGGTGGGTCGGGTGTCCCCACCTCCCTCAGCGGCTGTTGAAGATGATGCGCGACCAACCAGATCCGAGATCGCCTTGAGATCGATCGATGATCGATCCAAGAAGCTGCTGTGGGCTCGGGCGGTGACAGGTGGGAGGTGGTTGATTGGATGTGCGAGGGAGAGAGATGGAACGGGGCATTAGCTTGGGGAATTAAAGGATGAGTTTGTCCAAGCTGCGAAGGATGGTGTTTTTCCCTGCTGTGATTGTCAGGACATGGGTAGCTTACCCGTGTTTGTAGTGCTTGAGGCAGAGCTTGGTCAGTGGAATAGGCCCTGGGGCCACGGCTGAGCGTCCCGGTGGGAAACCACATGGCCAGAGCGCGGTCTCTACTATAGAATTGGCGTCTAACCAACATGTAAACATACAGTAAAATCGTTTGGCCCTGAAGCGGTCGGATCGGTATGTATTGTACAGGACCTCCGTAAGTTACCTCGCGTTCGGTACGGTTCACCGCAGCTGGGCGTCTTGCTTCCGTGTTATTGTGACAGTTACAGGCATATTGTGTGTGTGGGTGTGTGTGTGTGTGTGTGTGTGTGTGTGTGTGTGTGTGTGTGTGTGTGTATGTGTGTGTATACGTGTATAGTAGGCACGCAATGGAAACGTACTGACGGGTGTGATTACCCCCAGAACGGAGCTTGCGCGGTGTCATACTTCGTCCTAACCCATTGAAGGATTGTATCATGACCGGGACGGATGTAATGACGTACGGAATCGAAACTAGAACACAAGAGAGAGAACAAACTCCTGAATCGGAAGCAAGACAAGAGACGACAAACAGAACGAACGAGGGCGGAAGACCCTGGAAAGGGGTTAGTATAGCCGACCGATACTCTTGCTTGGGTGATGAGCGAGCGTCAAGCAACATACCCGAGGGTTAGAAACGCCCAGCTTCTGCCAGATCCAATACGCACGGTCCATCTGTGCATTCCGTACATGGTGAAGGCAGAAGGCCGTCTCGCTTGAGGAGTTCAGAAAGTAGATCGCTGCGGTTAATCAAGTGGCCGCCCGAGGAGAATTCCCAGTGCGAGGGCGATGGGAAGCTGTACTTTTTCCGGCCCGACGAAGCCGTCGCCCTCCTCGGCACGCAACTGTCGGGAGAGAGGAATGGCAGATTCAAGCCTTACTTCTTTACTGCTACTCCGTATCACCCTATCAACGGATCTCCGCAACGGTGCAAATAATTGAAATGCCAGGTCACACGAACACAAGAACGAATCGGAAAATGATGCTCTATCTGTACTACCTAACTAATATGGATGGCGTGCTTGATTGCCCAGTCCTTAGTAGCTTGGCGGTAGCATTCTAACAGAGAGACCCTCCACTTCAATGGCAGTTCAAATCCGATGCTTCTTAAATTGGATGCCGATGCGGCTCCTCGGCAAAGGTGATCAACGTCGGTCCCCGCATCTTCAGTGCAACAATAGCAGGAACTTACACCGGGAAAGGGAAGTGCTAAGAACAGAACTCTTGGCAAAGCCAGTTCCAAACCCCAACATCGTGGTCTCTGAATGTTCCATGCTACCAAACTCTGCTTGACCTCCTTGTTTTGGCAGGCGTTGAGGACTCGGCGCTGGGCGAGATATGCCCCAAGAACTCTCGCAATGGCACTTTCGGATGTGACTAATAGATCGGGTTGTTGTGGTCGGCTGACGTACATACATACATACCAGGTACAAATACTCGGTCAGTCACAGGCCGGTGCTGAGGATGAGGGGATGATTTGGCAGTCTGAATCTTCCGTCCGTCTACTCCGTCTACCATTGCCAACATGAAGATCAACACGCTCGCCTCCTTGACGGCCATCCTGGCGGCTTCGGCGGCGGCAGCAGACTCTGCCGCCGCCTCTGCTCAGTCTGCTGCTTCCGGGAAGATGGAGAAAGTCATGGAGATCAAGACCAAGCAGTGGGACGCCGCCAGGGCCAGAGGTCTTTTTGGCGGCTCTGCCTTGTACCGCAAGATCACATCCAAGAAGACCTGCAAAAAGGGCAAGGCCGGTAGTGGGAATGACGCGTATGCCTGCAACAATGTCGACCTTCACGGTTTCCTCAGCCACGAAGACCTCGGTTCCGCCACCAAGGCCGGCAACGACGTTTGGGGGTGGACGTCACCGGGGGGCCGTGAATTCGGCATTGTCGGTCAGACAGACGGCGTCGGCTTCGTCGAGGTCATGAAGAACGGCAACCTCGAGTATCTCGGACGTCTCGACACCCAGACCACGCCGACCAGCTGGCGGGACATCAAAGTGATCGGACATCACGCCTACATTGGCTCCGAGGCAGACGGCCACGGGCTGCAGATCTTTGATCTCAACAAGCTGCTCGATGTCAAGCCCTGGTGGAACCCCGTCTTCTGGACCCCAAAGACCTTCAGCAAGGAGAAGGACATCACCTTGTTCTCGGGCTTTGGCGCCTCCCACAACATCGTCGCCCACGCCGAGACCAACATGATCTATGCCGTGGGCGGCCGGTCGGGAGCCAACGCGCGCAACACCACCTGCGCCGGCGGCATGTTCATGGTCGACGTGTCCAACCCGGAGAAGCCCGTCTCGCCGGGCTGCATCGCCCAAGACGGCTACGTGCACGACGCGCAATGCGTCATCTACAAGGGCCCGACCGACAAGTACCTGGGCCGCGAGATCTGCTTCAACTACAACGAGGACACGCTGACCATCATGGACGTGACCGACAAGGCCAGCCCGGCCATCGTGTCGCGCACGCCCTACGTCGGCTTCGCCTACACCCACCAGGGATGGCTTGTCGACGACTCCATGACCTTCCTGCTTCTCGACGACGAGCTGGACGAGATGGAGGGCACCGATCCCGGCAGCGACGGCCACACCACCACCTACATCTTCAACATCACCAACCTCGAGGCGCCCGTCAACACGGGCCACTACAAGAGCCCCGCCAAGTCCATCGACCACAACCAATATGTGAGTCACACCCCCTCCCTCCAGTCCAGGCAGACAGATATCTGCGTGCTTCCACAATCAGGGATTTGATCTAACAGCATCTGCGCGCTCAGGTTGTCAACGGCCTTACCTACCAGGCCAACTACGGCTCCGGGCTGCGCATCGTCGACGTGTCGGGCGTGGAGCTCGACCCGACCGGCGGCAACTTCGCCGAGGTCGGCTTCTTCGACTGTCACCCGGAGGACGATGACGTCAACGGCGTGGTCGAGTTTCTGGGCACCTGGTCGGTCTACCCGTATTTCAAGTCCGGCTACATCCTTCTCAACTCGATCGAGCGGGGCATCTTCTCGCTCAAGTATACGGGGCGGAAGGCGAAGTATCTTTAGTAGGAGTACCTAATATGGGGCATCTTTGAATGTGGGCGTAATAAAGGCTCGCCGGGAACGCCGCTCCCTGTCTTGGATGTACATAGAAGGAGAGAATGAGATTCCCAGATCATCTGGTACAATCAGAGTGACGTAGGATGTTGACGATGGAGTAAATCTGAGAGTATTATGCTCACGGCAATTGAAGTCTGTGAACTGTGAATGAGAGAATCAGTGAATGAGACGATCAGTGAATGAGACGATCAGTAAATGCGAGATGAAGAGAAGTGAAGTGATGAAGAGAGGTGAAGTGATGAAGAGAAGTGGGACTTCCACACCGCCGGTCTGCGCTCTACGGATGCCTCGCAAAATGCTACATGCACGAATCCCGGTTCGACGAAGTCGGCAAGATTCTTGATGAAATTGTTGATGAGAAGCTCAAGAACGCTGTCAGAAGCACGTTGGATGCGGCTACTTCTTGGGCGTGGTCCGCTGAGAGTCTGGATGACTACGGAAGGACCGTCTTCGAACGGCTTCCTCGTTTTCATGCCCAATTGTACGTCGAATGCAGGCCTGCCATGCTATATGCCGCCTTGTTGCTAACTACAAGGCAGTCCAGGACTGAGGTGGCAGAATATTACCCAATTGGCCACGACACAGCAGACTCTCTGTATGACCAGGACTTGGTGATGGCTGGTCCAACGACCGACTCGCTATCCATGATGTTCTGCGGCAGTGGTGATGCCCGCAGTGTCTACACGACCCTATTTACCCTCTGGTTCACGGTGGATAGGAAGCGAGGGCGGATCTGCAAAGATATCCACATAACGATCCTTGATCTCAAGCCGGCAGCCATAGCCCGGACCCTCCTCATTTTCGAGATGATGTTCGCATACGCCCTTATGAAGACCAAGAAATCCCCAGGCCTTCAAGACGCGCCGGCGATGATGGCGTACTTGTATGCCGGGCAGGTCATCCCGTCTGCCGTGAACAAGAAACTGCAGGTTCACATTACCGCGCTGCTTGCTCGCCTGGAGACGGACGAACAGCTGTTTAACTGGCTGCTTGTGCCGGCCTCGGCTCGGAAAGAGGTCGCGCATGTCCTCAGACAGTGGCAGAACCCCCTCGACGCCAACTACTACCGCACCCCGACCGTCAGACGCGCAGTCTCGAAAAGGATGCGGGCGGACAAAACGAAGGCGCTGATGATGGTTGGCCATAATGGGCCAGTTTAGCGCCCTGGAAGGTTGTGAAGCTGACCGGAAATCCTTTGACGCACTGGGCGTCCTGCTTCCCTCTGAAGGTTTTGCCACGCGTCACGGCCCCCCGCTTGTTAATCTTATGCAGCGATACAAGACCGGCTAAGACGACGCGAAGAAGCAGTTAGCCGGGCACATTGATACATCCTGGGTTACTAATTGGACACTAATCGACTTCGACTTTGTCGAAGCCGAGCAGTCGTGCAATTCTTTCAAACGTTATGCTGACCCATGCATCAGCGATTACATAGGAGGGCTCCTCACCGCGGCGATGTACGGACGCCCGCTACTGCGCGAAGACAAGCCATCCAACCTGAGATTCGTAAATCTGCTGAATCCACCATTCTTCCGATCCCACGAGGACTTCTAGGCCGAATACATTCTGATGTACGACAAGAAGCAGATTGCGGATCACTTCTCTCTTGTCCGAAGGCCAGCCGAGATGAACGAGGAGGAGCTACTCATGCGCGAGCTCGGAGCACCGCCTCACATGGAACGCGTAACACAGTTCATGGCCGAAGGCTACATCATCTGGGAGCGACGTCCCACTAAGAAGCTTCAGCATGACGGGGGCATGCTGCCCCGTCCCGCCCTGGAGAAGTGGCTGTATGCACTGTTCCTCAACAACTGTCTTCCCTATCGCCGCAGCTTCAGCGACAGACCGGTCTACTCTCCCCTCAACACGACCGCTTTCTTGCGTTTCGTCTCCCACCTGGCAGAGATTGGTTATCCGGCCCACTGGCTGTCCGGAGTCCTTTCCGCCCTTTGCGACGGAGTCATCACAACTACTGCTCGCCTTCCCAAGGGTGAGGTAACCGTTCCCGAGCACGTCGATGCTACCCACCCCGCGCTGGACATGGTCGCCGCCCCATGGAGAGCCGAGTTCACCACTCTGCTCAGCATCTGGAGCCGGCTGCTGCCGTTCGGGCTTGTCATCTCGTCACCGGCTGCCTTGGTCCCCCACGCAGAGATTGCCGATTTCTCCGGCGCGTTCCCGGCCTTCCACGGGGAAGTCTATTTGGAATACAATCTATATCATTCGAGTCCTTATTTACAAGGGCATCTTCTAGCATTATGCTCGACCGAGCCGCAGACACTACACTTCGGCTGCGTACACTTTTGCGCCTTTAGCCCAGTCGTCTCCGATAGCCCCGCCTCTCCTTCTTCGACCTCTTGAGGTCGCTGGCCGCATTGGGCACCCTGACGCGCCGAGGTACTATCCATTCCTTCTCCAATTGTAATAGCCCCTCCAGTTTTGAGGAAGGCTCGGCGTTGCGTACGTTTTCGCTTTTGTCGAGTATTCTCTGCTCGGAGCCGCGAGTTCTCTTCATACAAGAGAACAGCGTTATGCATAGCCATTTAACACCCTTTGACAATCTTTTGAAAGGTCCTATCCATTGGGCTTGTCCCATTTCTACGCCGCCTCTGGAGGTTGTCGAGGTCAGTAGTATTCGACGGAGTCTTGAGAGGGAGCGTCGAGCTCGGTTGGTCAAGGGCGGGTGTAGGGCTCGGTGTTCGTACTTTGACCTTAAGCCGAGCAAGCACTCACTCGGATCAATGGAACAAGCCCTGTTGCGGCAAAACCACTTCTAATATTTTGCAAGCTGAATGTCTTCGTATGCGTCTCGAGAAAGAGCTCAAGGAATATTGGCTTATCAATATAATGAACGCCGAGTGTTATCTTCGCTTTGACCAAGTCGCCGTATGTCCGTTTGAGGACCGAGAAGCAACTGACATCGAGGGGCTGATAAAGGTGCGATGAATGCGGCGGCATACACTCGATAAGTATCGAGTTCTCCTTACAGAACTTGTCCAACTCTGGCGTCATATAGCTTCCATGGCCATCGAGTATAAGGAGACGGTACCGGCCGACTATTCGGTTTCGCGTTGAGGTAGTTTCGAGGCACCGTAGGATTTATCTCCATGTACCGTAGCCCACTCATTTGCACCATACATAGCCCTAACCCTAACCAGTTTTGCCGCCCCAAGACCATACCGGGCCCACCAGACCCTCTCTCCCTCATGACAGAATAATTGATCCACCAAAAACCTGATTTTGGTGGCCCCACCTCAACACCATGCCTACCTCCCATTTCTGCCGTCAACACACCACTTTTCGAGTGTTTCCAAGAGCCACAATGGGTTACTCGCACCATACGACCCCAACGAAGGCCAAGATCCAGGGCGCAGTTGAGTTCCTCGAGGCCAAAAAGATCCCGCACTTCGAAAGCGATGTCATCAAGCAATTCGGAGTCAGCTATCCAACCGGCTGGCGTTATCTGCGCGAACCTGACAGCTACGGCAGTCGCACCTATCATTCTGCCTTTTCGGACCGCCGTGGCCGAAAGTCGAAAATCTCCGACCAGGATTTAGCTACGATAGAGCGCTTTCTTGAGTCTAACGGATTCGATGGCCGTACTGTGCCTTACGCCTCCCTCCCGGCCGCCGCTGGACTCGACCTCGATATTTCTGCGCGAACCGTACGCCGTGCCGTCGGCTCCCTCGACTTCCGTTTCTGCGTAGCATGTCAGAAGCAGTGGGCCTCGCGGCGTTTGAAAGAACGCCGGGTAGAATACAGCCGCATTATGCTGGAGAAATACCCAGAAAGGGAAGACTGGCGGTACATTAGATTCTCCGACGAATTATGTCCTCCGGAGACCGTGGAAGCGCTATTGCCCCGACTGCCTTGTTGTGCATAGAGCTCCCGATGAAAAAGACATCAAATGCGTGCACTGTTGGGTGTAACGGTCCCAGGAGTGTATTGCAACTAGCTGGTGACGACTCTACGAGTACACTGAGCTTGGAGAAGAAAAGAAGAGACGAGAAACTCTGGTGGCCCGCAGGCTTTCTATCCCGTGAGTGCGCTGGTCTAGGCGCGTTGCTAGAAGGTTCGATGTTTTGTGGACCGAGTGGGAATAGCTTCATCCAGGGGGTTCGGTGGACAGTGCTTGTGCCAGGGTTGGTCGAGGGTCACCGAAGCCTATACCGGGCCTAGCCCGTTACATTGGGCAGCCGTTGGATACGACTTCAAGTCGCCGCTTGTATGGCACGACAGTGGGAACGATAACGGCAAGATGACCTTGAAATGTTATAGGGACTCCATCACGGGACATTGAAATACAATTTCAATCATCGATTTTGGTAGCAATCTGGCCGTGTGGTGGGTGAACGAGCTTGGTGCTGGGTGCTGTGGTGGATCAATTATTTTGTCATGATGGAGCCACTCTAATTAGAATTCTGTGACGAACCCGGTAACGGCCCTGTCACGGTACCAAACCTCACCATCATTACATAATCTGGTGGTATGTGCCACAGCTTCACTCACATAGCTCACCTTCCTGTTCCATAGCTTCCTCACCTCTTCATGGTGCAACAGAGATCATTACCATGACCCAAGGTCAGGTGCGTGATAGGCCCCTATCCTCTGAGAGGGACAATCCGGTTGAAGGTAATAACACAAGGGGTGATGGTTCGGTGAAGCCAAAAGGTTCACAACAATGCTTGCCTGCAATGTCTGCACAATAGAGTAAGACCTATCGGTTGGAATTGCTCACTGGCGAACCTCCTGGGTTCAAAATATCCTCGTTGAGACCGTTACATTACACTGAGCTTCCTCTCTTCGTCAGAACAGAGTATTACGGGACCAATTGGTCAATCGCATTATTGTCTGCAGAAGAAACGCGGACGCGATCGTTACGGAAAGGTTCAGACCGTCGGCGGAGCGCCCAAACAACACCTGCGTCGTCAGGGAGACGGCGAGGTATCACGGTTCCGCAAGACACCGGCAACTTGGACCGGTTGAGCGAAGGGAAGATCTCAGCAATGAGACCGAGTGAGCTACGACGTCGTCCGCAGGATACCGGTTAACGGGCCCGGTCGAACCCCACGTCGTACGGCAAGCCCTGGTATCGTACGAGGCATACGAGGCCGCCCCTCCGGCCAGACAGAGACTGCAAACGGCAAACAGATTCAGCAGTATCTCGGACGAAGCGGCCGAGAACTACTAGAAGCACGATGGCATCAGACGCGCCGATGGATTCCCAGGATGGGACCCAGCAACTGATGCAGATGATGGCCCAGATAATGAATCAAATCAGCAGTATCCGGGCAGAGCAAGCCAGCGAAAAAGAGGCAACTCGATCACAGATCCAGGCCCTTCAGCAGAGCATTGCGTCCCTGCAGACTACGCCAGGGACCACTCCCCGAGCACCAACCCCGCCACCACCTTCAGCCGCAGCGTCACCGCCTCCGGTCGCCGCGCCGCCCCCGTCTTCGCCCAGTCTGACAAAGAAGATGAAACTTCCGGATCCTCCCCGTTTTGATGGGAACAGGAAGAAATATCGGAATTGGAGGCTGGGAATGGAGGGCAAGCTACGTACAGATGGTCCCCTCCTTGGGTCCCTCGCCGACCAATTCACCTATATCTACTCCCGGCTTGGAGACTCGCCCCAGTCGATGGCAGCCGCGTATCACGAGAGCGGCGGCCCAAACGGTGCCCGCAACCCTACGGACTTCCTCCGATACCTACGGAAGGCTCTAAACAGCGAAATGAAGGATAACCTCATCCCAATGTTGCACCTGCCGACGGATTATATCGGATTCGTACGGGAGCTTCACGACTTGGGCCCTAATATTGACGCTAGGAGACTCTCGTAAAAGAGAGCGGCCAGGAGACTTCCTCGCGCCTACCCAGTTGGGAAACCTTCCCCTGACCAAGGCGCAGCCAGGGACGAGGAGGACAGGTATACTCCCGCCACTCTACCGCTGGGCGCTATGGAATGGGAACCCACGAGGATCAACAGGATAATACAGCGCCAGAACAAGGCGCTCCGGGGTAAGAGGGCAAAGTGGGTTGATGATGAGGAAGTGGACCGCAGGCGCAAGGAAGGACGTTGTTTCCGATGTGGGAGAACAGGCTACAACATAGCCAACTGCCCATTGCTCCCACCCAAGAGGCCGCCACAAGCAACCAAGGCTCGGATCAAGAAGACAAAGCCTGTCCTCGACGCGGCTATCGACGAGGACGATGTGGCAACAGACGGCTCCTCGGATGAGTCGGATAGAGAAGCGGGAAAAGAGTAGCTCCTGGCGGAAGTCGTCGCCAGGAGCACTTAGAGGCGAAGCGGGCTTGGAAGAAGGCCGAGAAGGAGATGGACGGGGAGCCAGTTTACGTTAATCTTGGCATCAATGGAATCTTTTACACCAAAGCCATGGATTGACTCTGGTTGCCTGTGTGATGGTACGATTAGCGAGGCCCTTGTCCGACGCTTACACCTCCCACGCATCCCCATCACTCCTCATGACCTTGAGCATGTCAAGACCGTTGTTAAGGGAGCGATTACTGACGTGACGTACCTGGCCCTGGATATCGACGGGCACAAACAGAAGAGGGTGTTCCTCTACATTGTCCCCAACCAGGGAGAGGATGTAATCCTTGGCAGCCCATGGATGAGGGCTGAGCAGGTGGAAATTGCGCCCGCAAGGAACGAAATACGCATTGGCTCATCGGGGTTGGTGGTCAAGGAGCGGAGCTACGACGAGGGGATTAGCTTCCCAGTCCAACAACATATGGCAAGCGTCTTTGGAGCTCTGGTTGGCAAGGCAAGAAAGTCGCGTTTGTCCGGCCAGACAGGGGGCATGCAGATCTTTGCGGCAAGCCTTGCGGATATTGAGAGGGCCCTCGCCCCGAAGAAGCACAGTGACCCGCGCGAGAAACTACCGAATCACTACCACAACTTCCTCTATTCGGCCACACCCAAGCCGACCAGCTTCCACCGCATCGAGCGGGTGTCGACCATGAGATTCGCTTAGAAAAGGACACAAATGGCCAAAACAAGACGCCTCCTTGGGGGCCACTGTACAGTATGTCACGCGAGGAACTAATTGTCCTGCGAAAGACACTTACGGAGCTCTTGGACAAGAACTTCATTCGGGCAAGCAGCTCTCCAGCCTCAGCACCTGTGCTGTTTGTCAAGAAGCCAGGGGGCGGTCTTCGGTTTTGCGTTGACTACCGAGGCCTGAACGAGATCACTCGCAAGGATCGGTACCCCCTTCCCCTAATCAGTGAGACACTAAGGTCTCTGTCGAAGACGAAATGGTTCACGAAGCTGGATATGATTGCAGCCTTCCACAAGATCCGGATCAGGGAAGGGGACGAGTGGAAAACGGCTTTCCGTACGCGATACGGGTTGTTCGAGTGGTTGGTTACCCCCTTCGGCTTGACAGGCGCCCCAGCAACTTTTCAACGTTACATCAATCGTACACTCAAAGAGTATCTGGACGAGTTCTGTTCGGCGTACATCGACGACGTGCTGATGTACTCGGATGGCTCTGTCTCCGACCACCGGAAGAAGGTCAGGAAGGTCATGAAGAAGCTACTGGATGCTGGCCTCCAGGTCGACATCGACAAGTGCGAGTTTGAGACCAAGACCGTCAAAAAGTACCCTGGATTTATTGTGGAGGCTGGTAAGGGTATCCGGGTCGACCCTGAGAAGATCAAAGCCGTTGAGTTGTGGGAACGCCCCAAGACTGTAAAAGGGGTTCGCAGCTTCTTGGGATTCGCCAACTACTATCGCGATTTCGTCCCTGGATTCTCCGACATAGCGATTCCCTTGACAGCACTGACGAAAAAGGGTGTACCTTTTGTCTGGTCACCCCAGTGCGAACAGGCGTTTCAGCAACTAAAAGCCCTTTTGATCGGAGCCCCGATCTTGGCCGAATGGGACCCAGAGCGAAAAACAGTGATTGAAGTGGACTCCTCTGATTACGCTATCAGCGGAGCCCTCTCCCAGTATGGAGATAATGGACTTTTACACCCAGTCGCGTTCTTCTCCCGGAAGAACAACCTAGCCGAATGCAACTACCCGATCCACGACAAGGAACTCCTGGCCGTGGTACATTGTTTGGAACAGTGGGATGCAGAACTGCGAAGCGTACCGTCATTCGAGATCTGGACCGACCACAAGAATCTCGAGTACTTTGAGAAGAAACGGCAGCTCAGCGAGCGGCAGGTTCGTTGGGCCGAGATACTCGCCAGGTACAACTTTACACTGAAGTACCGGCCGGGGAAACAAGCCGTGGTCCCTAACGCTCTATCTAGAAGAGAACAAGTCATGCCCCAGGATTCCCAAGACGAGCGGCTGATGGGCCGCTGTTTCCAATTGCTAAAAGTCGCGAAAGGCAAGGCACTCCGTGTTAACCGTGGTGCGGCCGTGGTACGACCAACTGGGCTCGTCAAGAACGGCGACCAGGATGGAGAGACGGACGACGTTGCGGACAAGTCAGATCCCCCAACTAACCCCTTTTCCGAAGAACCACTAAAGGGCCTGTGCGATCAAGGGCTGGAAGCAAACAACCGGTACTGGCTTATCCGGAAGATGGTCCTTGATGGTGAGCGCCAGTTCCCAAGCCAGTGGGGGCTACCGATCTCGAATCTCAGAGTGTTCCATCGACGAAGGGAAGCGGCTCTATTGGCGGGCCGTGTTTGGGTCCCTTACTTGGAACCCTTGCGTACCCGGATCATCCAGGAGACCCACGATTCGACTCTTGCTGGCCATCCAGGAAGGGATCTCACCAAGCTCCTAATCTCTCGGATCTTTACGTGGATCGGCCTCAGTCAGGATGTCAGGCGGTTCATCCGGAACTGTGATGTGTGTGGACGAACAGCTATATGGCGAGAGAAGAAGTGAAGCCTGTTGAAACCACTGCCTATTCCAGGGAGAATCTGGAGCGAGATCTCTATCGCCTTTGTCACCGGGTTGCCTCCATCTGGTCCCGATTGAGCGGACACAATCATGGTTATTACTGACCGGTTGTCGAAGAGCGTGATCTTCGATCCAATGGCTTCTACCACAGTGGAGGCAGTGGATGATCGGCTACTACACTGCCTTATTCG